CTCCTTTTCACACCAGTGTGTTCTTATCACTAAATCTATACTTATTTCACCAAAAACCTATTTCAAAAATGATTACAGACAATATAAGTGTGGTTTCTACCTTCCTTACATCAATCCAGTTGCAATTTACAGGAACTTCCTTCAATCCATCCATCACACATATTTACAAACATTCCTCTCTTGAACACAAGGCAGTTTTCAGTCACTCCCTTAAAATTACTCGCACAATCATGTTCCACAAACCAACATGACTACAGTGTAGTGCATCATGATTTTCAATCCCCTAAATGGAATAAAAAGGAATATATTGCCAACTAATTCACACAAGCACCAAACAAGTTTTCTCCATACACTTGCTTCGAGCATAAACTTAAAGAATGCAGACGACAAGCTTAACGAGATCCTCCAACAGAACAGCTCCTTTAACATCTCTTTTACAACTTTATATCAAAGGTATAAACAGAATTTCCAAAAGTAGATCAAACAACTATGTAAATTCAAGTAAGATAATGAGATACGCCAATCAGCAAGTTAGAACATGGACTACTAGATAACAGAATAAGTATTTGGCAAAGAAAGTGTGTAGTCAGGACTCAAAGGATCAACTCCCCCAATTATACCAAAAATTGTTATGCAAACTGAGTAAACTGACCATAAATACACAAAGCACTTAAAAGGTACACACAAAATGAACCAAATCAAAACAATGACATAAAACAAGAAGGGAATACTAATCAATAGCCAGTCTTTATTCTTTTCTCTATCTCTTCATTTGCTTATTGGATCAAGTTTCTGTATTGACTAAGAAGTTACAAGGCAACGAAAAAAATGCCAGTTCAACCAAGTCATCCGACAGCTTTCCTTCTTTGCCTACACGTTTTGCTATATCAACTATTTTACAACACAAATCTATGACAAAATAACAAAACCAACAACAAAAGAAACAAAATCTTACTCCAAAACTAACCTTGATGCATACTCAACTAAAAAGCCAAAAAAACTAACATCAAAAAGAACTCAAACCATCTCAGTTCAGCTGAAGTAAGGACTGAGAGGATTTCGAGTATATCGCCAATAAACAGGCCCTCAAGAAAAATCTCTCCTCAGCTTAAGAATAGCGGAGTACATTTTCCTCCTGGAACCCACAGCATTAATGCCCATGTCTTTCAGATCTTCTAGGGTTAGCAAGTGCAGAACCTCATCATCAACCTCGTGCATCTCGAAAACAGGGGCATACCTCCCGAGCCCCAATCCAATCAACCAATCCCTTACCCCAACACTACTGCTCCTGTTGTTCTCCTCGTCCCCGGAATTCATCGCCATTTCGTTGTGAACACCATTTGTTCTATTATTACTGAAGTTTGTATTTTTCCTATTGGTGGCGGTGCTCTGGCGGATATGTTGTTCCAGGGTCTCTGAATTGGAACGCCGGTGACCTCTTACCACCCGCCGATCCCAAAATTGCAATCCCATATTGGGCTGATTATCCATGGAATGAACAGGGCTCTGGCTGATCCTCAGCTGTTCATCAATTGGACTCTGGGACCCGGCTTCCCCCTCTTCCTCCTCGGCCTCAACCAACTCCCGGAACTCATCTTCGTTATTACTGTTGTCATTATTGGCGTCGAGATTCTCGTCCCTGAATACGGCGTCGTTTTCGATCATCCCACCGGCGGCACCAGCTCCGTTAGCTGGGGAAGACTCGTATTTGACAGCAGAAGAAGAAGCCCAATTAGAATTAGACCTAGCTCTCTTAGTTGGCCTCTTGGATTTGGGCTTTCTCCCTCCGGCGAAATCGTATCTGTAACCGTGAGGGTAACTGTCTCCGCCGCCGTTGACTCCGTTGACTAAGTTGGTTAAAGGTCGCGTCTTGGAGGTCTTGGCAGCTACGGATGGGTCTTTATGGTACCGCCAGGAAGTCTTGGGCCGGCGGGGCTGGGACTGATCGAAAGTCTGGTCGCCGATCTCGCCCAAACGAACACTCGGGCGCCGTTGGCGTTTCGGAGCTAATCCCGGAGCCCCGCCCAAGTTGCTGGCACTAGTGACGGCAGCGGAAGGGAGGACGGCGGCAGATGTGAGGGTTTCGGCAGGAGGTGGGGGTGGGGGAGGTGGTGGAGCTGAGGAGGAGGCGGCGGTGGCGGAAATGGGTGGTGGGTCGGGTAGAAGCGGGTCGACCGGTGGCAGGTCAGCCATGAAGGTGGGAAGAAGAAAGGAGAAGAAAGTTTAATTATTATGTAGTAAGGTGAGAAGGGTAATTAATTAGTGGAAGTGAGGGAAAAAGTTTTTCAGGGATTGCATAATCTAGTGCTGCTGGGTCGTAGGATTTGTTGCGGTGTTGGTCCTTCCAAGTTCCAACTTCAACTCTTCATGGGCTTCTCTTTTCTTCTTTTTCCCCCTTTTTTTTTATGGGATTTTTTATTAATACCATGCCAAAATTTCATCTCAAATATACATTTGTCCCATGAAAATATCATATTTTATAAAGAATTTTATCTAAAAAAATATCTAGTTTTAGAGAAATCAAAACTAAGATATACCACTAAAATATTCAAAATTTCTCATCACAATTCACCATCAAATTAACATACATAACTTTTTCTTCAGTAAGGTATTGTCCGAAATGTAGTGCAAATGTGCATTTTTTTGTCAGTACCACCAAATTCTCATCCAGCCAAAGGCACGAGAAAGTGGCACAGAAAATTCCTTGCCCGTATATGTACTTTTCATATTATTGTGAGAATCATTCTTTATTGCAGCATATTCTTTAAAAATGTATGAAGTTGTTTAATTTCAAATGACTATTTTTCATAATTGGTTTAAATTATTAAAATTTTCGCACTAGTAGATCAGCACGGTATTTTGAATTTGTGTATATATACTTCTCATATTAGTAATTTAGTTGTTCGACTGTTTTAATCATATGGTTCGAAATTCGGAAACAGTTTCTTTTTTTTTTTAAGTACAGAGAATGAGGCTATACGCCTAAGAAAAGATGATTAAAAAGAGTTGAAAAACTGTTCTGTACACTAGAACCCACAAACGGACGAAAGGTTTAACAAAAGCTGCTAAAATTTTTGCATGGGACACATTAACCCATGCAAAATGGATGGCAACACCAAACCAGAAAGATAAAAAAAAAAATCTCTCCCAAAGTCTTCAAGAATTATGTCTCCAACAAAACTTGAAAGAAAACGCAGAGTTTAATAAAGCTCTCTGAGAAGTCAGATCAAAGCTTTGAGGGAGCTGGATATACCAAGAACAAGGTACTCCAATATTTTGCTGTAACCAAGCACCAGGTATGTTAATTCGACATTTCTATTAGTTCTATAGCTTCATTTATAAGATGAATTTGATTGGAAATCGTACTGTTAATGAGACCATGATTTTTTTTTTTTTTTTCTTTTTCAGTGTCAAAATTAGAGTTTAATTTATACTGAAAAGCATGTAATCTCATGAACCCAGCTCTGGCTAGGTCCTTTTGAACTCGGTTTTGGCTTATTTCTTGTTCCATCTTGATTCTTGCCGTGTTCCATTGTCTTATAGAGTAAACTCTTAATTTCAACTGGTTCATGACCTTTATCTATGTTTGTTGATCATAATTGATGCACTCTCTATATGACACATTCTTCCACTTTAAACTTGTCATCAATTTTCCCCCGCGTGATACCTACTCTTTGATGTTGCGTTCTAAGAGTTGTTTACCCTTTGCACATCCATCCTATGTGTTTCAAATGAACTGTAAAAAAAATTGCAGGTTTTAAGATGCATAAATTGAACAAGGATCATCCTGTGTTACTCAGTATTGGTATCCTAGGTGATTGTATACAACATATTTTAACTTTCAACATGTTTCACTTCAAGTTTTCTTTTTTCCCTTCCTTTCCAGCAATTTGGTATTTACATCTATTTTTTTTTTCATTTTGAGGTTTTTTCAGGGAACTTGACTTCTGTTGCTGTGTATCTTTCACCCCTGTACGTTTGATTTTAATTCTTTTCTTAGTATCTTGTAATTTATAGTTTGATTTCCTTAGTCGGTAACTCAAAGCTTTGACTTTTGATTTGTTGCAGTCCTACATTTCGGCGAATTGTTCAACAAAGAACAATTCAGGTCGTTCCCGCCCGGGTTGTCCAGGCGGAACAAGCTCAAAACCTCCCTTGCTTGCCATATCTGGCAGCGTTCATGTATGCGCTGCTCTAGGGCTACTACGGGGTTCTGGAAAAGAACCTCGTGCTTATAATCATCAATGTCATAGGAGCAGCAATTGAAGCAAGCTACGTACTGGTGTATATCTCTACGCTCCGGCTATGGTGAAGGTATACTTCCTACCAACTTATAAAAGTAATTTGTTTAATTAATCAGAGTACCCTATAAAATTACGTGTAATTAGATTGCTAATTGAGTGACTAAATATACTCATTCTGAATGTCTTGTTATCACACATTAGTTGATAATGCCTTTCATTTTCTTCATTAAAAAAAAAAAACCCCTACAGGAAGACCATTCTCCTCCTAGGTACTGCACTTGGAGGCTTTATTGGAGTCGTCCTGGTGACCTGGTTAGCTTTCCACTCAGGATTACAATTGTGGGTTGGATTTCAGTTGGATTTTCATATCTTGCCTGTGTAGCGCCTTTGAGCGTTGTGGTAAGTACTTTAATTTAACTCTTATGTCTTGTCATCCTTGGTAGCTAGTTTTATTAATATGCATAGCTGATAATATTCCAATTGTAAAGTTTAGAGAAAAGTGATAAGAGATGGCAATGCGCAATTGATGCCATTCACCCTATCTTGTGCTCTTACGACTTGCACAGCTGTGTGGTTTGTCTACGGGCTGTTTGCCCTTCAGTCCTTTCACCCGCAATTCATCTTTATATGTCTGACAACTCATCTAGGTTACTTTGTTTGTCGTTGCTTCGTTTTCTGAAATATAAATAGCAAATAAAAATTTACATGTAGCTTCAAATTCTGGCTAGAGGTCTGCTACAAACCTTAAGGAATGGGACCTGTTTCATTAATTCTCTTAGTTGTGTTAGTGTTCCTTACACATCATTAAACACACAACCAAATTACGCTTATCATAGAGGAAAAGGACAAAACTATGTTAAACAATATTTATATTCCATCATTCAAGAATTCTTCATAACATAATGGCTGAATATATCTAAATCTAGGTTGTTCATTACTAAATTGGAATAGCCAAGATTGAACAACGGGAAAAACAATTCCGATAATCTACAGCAAAGAAGCCACCATAAATCCTAACTTAGGCCGTAATTAACCAAGTCATCATCAGCGACTACTCCAACCTACCTGTCAAAACAAAACTGATCAGAAAAGTTTATTATTACACCCTATCCCAGATTTAATTCGATAAGCAAAGAAAAAGCATATTCTTTGAACTTAAAAGTACTTTTAAACCAAACACCTGGGAGGAGCTGGAGTGAAGATTTCACTCAGAAATCAAACTCAATTCAATTATATATTCATATTTCCATATACAAAGCAGAACTAACACAATTTACAAAATGCTCTGACCAAAAGCAGACATTGTCAGTACATTGCATCCTTCTAGAGCGCAAAAAATGAATGATCAATTCACTTTTGAATTTGAACGGCAAGAAAAATGCTACATAACTGTAATATTCTCAGGTACCCAGCTCTGACTCTTGACAGAATGTTGTATTTCATGCATGATTGGTTCAACCAATACAGTATTTTCCGCAAAAGAAACCGTAAGCTGGGATGGTAACATCTTGTATGGATATATTTCTCTATAAGAAATCAGAAGCAAAGTGATTAAATGAACTTGGAAAGCATAAACTTACATTGTAAAAACAGAAAGAGTTAACATTTTTATCATGGTAAAATAATGTTGATTGCTTTAAGACGATATCAACATATGAATAGCAGAATGTCCACAGTTGGTTTTTCTTTGTGAGTTTGCTCATGTATCTTTATACTGAGTCAACCATTAAATTATGATGCCAAAAAGTGAAAATTACAAGGAGTTCTAACAGCATACCAATTTAGACATGCCATGTCAAAAATCATTAACACTTTCTTTCCATACTTGAAACAAAAGAAGCTAAGATGCAAATTCAGTTGCCCCACTGCAGATGAAAGACCATTTGTTAGTCCTTGAAAAGTGTTTACTACAGTCTTGCAAAAGCTCATTCAATTCTGACTAAACTGGGAAAGGTGTATTAAATCACCTTTTTAATATTCAAAAAAAAAAGGACAAATGATGTAGAGCAGTCCAACCAATAGCAAATAAAACAAAAGTAACCCCTCGCTCAACGAAATTTATTTCCTTTCAAAGTAACAAAAGTGGGACATAAAAATTTTATAGAGCAACAACAGTTTCATAATGTTGGCAGAATTCAATAAATTTGAAGAAATCCGGACATAACATAGTTCAAACAGTTGACTAACATCTTTCTTCCACAGGCAAACATAGAGGGATTTATTGTAAGCAAAACCCATGATTAATTTCTTTTATTTGCAAGATCTGAGGAAGTGGAATGTATCATTAAACTCCACAGCAGCAGCAGATGATTCTATTCCAATCCACAAAATCTTAACTTGTTGTTAATATCCTGAAGAGAACCATCATTGACAGCGAAAAAAATCTCTACAAATTCAAAAAATTTGTATCATGCACTTTGTTCAGAATGGACTCAATTACTGTGGCGAACCTATAAACTGACCAAAGGTACAAATAAGCACCTCTGCATCATTAGATAACCAGAGAATCAACTGAGAAAAGTAATTCAATATCATGTCATTTTATGCAGGAAAAAGACCACATAAAATCAAAACACACAAGCACCATTGCCACAAAAAGATTTCAATAAATGAATTTTCATCTATTTAAGAAAACCAAATATAATCATTAATTGGATTAAAAAATGATTAAGTTTACTCGTAATTTTCACATTCCACAAATTCAATCATAAAGTATATCAGAATCTTCTATGCAAATCCAATGCAATTCCTGAATCATAAATAATTCCTATCCTTAGCCATGCAAAAATTGAAAGCAAAAAATTAATAATAATAATAAACAAAATCTACTAACAAAATCAAATCACATACGACTGATATTAACTCAACTTAACAGATCTGTAATACATGTTAACGTTGTTACAGATTAGTAAGAAAGAACATGGACACTTCTTTTCAGATTAAGAGTGTCATATGCTCATAAGTCAGAACTATACCATCCCGAACTATTGCATCAGAGAAGAAGCATCAATTTAATATTGAGATCAACACAAACTTGTAAGGAAACTTTTCTAATTTGTGTTCTCTTCTATGTGATGCATTACCGCAGTCCATCGAGATTAAAGACTGAACATTTATACTTTTCTAATTTGTTGTTCTCTTCAATTGCAGCATTACTGCAAAGTCTGCAATCCATCAAGATTAAAAGCTGAACATTTATAATTTTCTAATTTGTGTTCTCTTCTATGTACAGTATTACCACCATCCATCAAGATAAAGGTCTAAAAATTTAACCCAAATAAATTTGACATCGAGGGTAAAAGTCTAATTTAATGGACACAAATTAACTTGAAGAATAGAAAAATAAAATGCTTCAAATTGCCAACTCATGTAACAAAGTCTGAAAGGATAGAACAAAAAAGCTCCCAAAAGAAAGCAAAACATAATGTAAGAGATGATATCCACGTTGTAAATCTCGTTCTTTCAAACTACCAAAAGAGACTAAACTATAATTATTGAAGGTATCTCCTTATCAACTACTTCGTTGTCCTTTTGATTCATGAATGAGAACATGATGCTTGGTTAGGACGGAGTATCATCTAAGTTTACCTCTATGGTCTTCTCACGGAACCGACCACACATTAATAAGGTAGCATCGAAGATCCCTTTTTAATTTTTTCAAAAAATAGGGTAGCACTGAAGATTCCACAACTAACAACCAGCAAACAAAAGCACAGAGTAAACTTTCAATTAGCACCACAAGGCATATCAGCATTACCATTATAACTATTGAACAACTAAACCCTTTTTAAACAGCTTTTACACCTTTGAACAACAAATAAAAATCTAAATAAATGATTACCTTCGATTAGGGCGCTGCCAGTCGACTTCCCCACTTCCACAGCTATGACCACCTCCTCCACCATGTCCAACACGATCACCCTGGTATCCCTGACGCTCTTGATATCTACCGACGGCCCCTAAAACACAGAGAAGGCCGAAACTAATTAGAAAGTTAAAAAACTCAAGGATCAACCAAAAATTGGAGCAATTAATCGACAATGACTAAGGGATCAATACCGAATAAAGATATAATAAGTTGATTCCATGCGTTGCTTTTCATCGATTTTAGCGGAAAGAAAATCACTGCCAGACAATTGATGCGAAGGAGAGAATCGAGGAGAGAGCCAGAAATCAAATAAAAGGAAACCCTAAATCAATTCTGGTTTTCACTGTCATCCCCCTCGACATTAGCATCGTCTCGCTCACAATGAAAGCTAGAGAGGGAAAGGGCTAATCGGAGCAATTTGTGAGGAAGGAGCAGAAAAAAAAGTCAGTCTATAGATTATCTACAAATCCAGTTTAAAAATTGAATTTGCGAACAACAATTCATCTCACCCTTATATGGCGAAGTCGCCGGTAAAGTGGTAGTCGGCGAGGGGAAAGAACGGACTTGTCTCCGGCTGTAAAGAATCGGCTGGGAAAACGCAGGGGATGAAGTTCGAAATGGCGGAGGAAGGGAAGAGCCACGTCAAAACGAATTGCAAGTTTTATAGTCCATTGGGGCATCAAAACGACATCGTTTTCATGTTCAAGCTGTAAATTTTTAGTTTCGGGAAATAATCAAAACGACATCGTATTGGATTTTAAGGTTTCAATATTTAATTTTGAGGAATTTTGTGTTTATCTATTGACCGTTATACATTTTTTTAAAATCGCTGATGTCATCAGGAGTCTCTCAGTCAATCAAAATATTGTTTTATCATTGAAATATAAATGAAGGTGATTCTTTTATAAGAATAGAGATAAATTACTCATTATCCATGAAAATTGTGAGATTCATGAAAAAAAAATGTCATCCATAAAACACGAGACCAAAAGGCCCAACACAGATGGACAACATTTTTAATCCTTAGTCCTTGAAAGACCAGGCTGGATCCAGCCTAGTGAGAAGGGTAGGACGAGCCCAATTCCAATTTGACAACACTTGCATAAAGATAAAATAAAGGGCGAATTACATTTTACTCCTGAGTTTTGACTTAATCTACCCTAAGTTTTGGTAATATCACTATATATCCTTTTTGACTCCTAGTTAACCTATCAAATCTCTCCTCATCATAATAACATTATCATCAACTTTGTGTAAACGATCAAAAAAACACTTCAGTTCTATTTTTAAAATTATACAATTTAAATAATTTTGAAAAAATAAAAAATAAATTAAGTTAAAAAAATACTCTACATTAATTCTTTTTATGTATGTTAATGCACATAATAATAAATTCTCAAACTTAACTATATCATGTATTCTGAAATAAAATAATTTTTATTAATTAATTTTTCATAAAACATAATTAATTTAATATTATTAATCATGAATTGAATTTTATTTTTTAACTTGCTGTAATTAGAATTAAAATATCAAATTTAAATTAATTTTCATTTTAATGGTCAAAAAATTAAAAAAAAGAAAAACCAAAAAAATAAAAGGAAATGGAATGCATGTAAACTATGGTTATTTTAGTTATTTTTATGTGTGACCCTACTCAGAGGGTAAATGGTAATATTACCAAAACTTGGGGGATTTATGGTAGAAGGGACTAAAACTCGGGGTAAAATGCAGTTCGCCCTAAAATAAAATCAACAACGACCGAATCCTAGGTCTAATTTCATTAGTTAACATTTTCAATTTCTTTGACTATCCAATCTCTTCTCTTCCTCTCACTAGAATTTTTTTGATCTTCAAACGACCTACTGAAAATCAAACAGGGGAATTGGTATATACGTAATCGAATCTTTTGTTACAATTCTGTGAATCTGACTGTATTCCGGATCGATCGGTGTGATACGACGAAGATGATAAAGGAGCCCTAGTTGAATCTAATAGCCTTTGCTTTTTGATTAGGGCTGATTTTAGGGTCTCTGAAAGATCTGGATTTGCTATTGTTGGTGATTATATTCGATCTTGTCGTAAAGAATAGAGCTGAGGTCTATTCGCAACTCAGAAGCCAAAAGAAAAGAAAAGAAGAATTTTGGTTGTATTTAATAAATTAAAGAATTAAAGAGAAGGGACCGGAGAACAAAGGAAGAGTAAGAAGAAAACCCTAGGATTTGGGGGAAGAGAAAAGATGGAAGAATGTGCGACCGTGCAGATAATTCACGATGTCGAAGAAGGGGAGATCTCTGATTCGGCTTCCTCTGTCGAGGAAATCAGTGAGGAAGCGTTTAAGTCGCCAACCTCGCAGCCACCACCTCCTGCTTCATCCGGCGCCGCCACGGCTGCTAATCCGTCAGTTTCTCTATTAAATTCTAACTCTGTCAACGAGTTTAATAGCAATGCTAACCTTAACAATAAGCAGCAGCCGCAGCAGAGGGTGTGGACGATGAGAGATTTGTATAGTAGTTATCCCATGTCTAGAAATTATTCTTCCGGTTTGTACAACTTGGCTTGGGCTTCCGCAGTGCAGAATAAGACTCTGGATGAGGTTTTGGTTGTGGAGTATCAGAAAGCCGAAAATAATGTTGGCAATTTTAATTTGAAGCGCGGAGGCGCCGCCGCTGAATTTTCAGTTACAGCTCCGGCTGCAGAAGGGGAGAATCCGGAAGACAATGGTGTAGGGACTGTAGTTTCTGGCGCAGGAAAGGATGAGGAGGAGGAGAAAGAGGAGGGGGAGTTGGAAGAAGGTGAAATTGATTTTGATTCCGATATGGTGATTGAAGTCAATGTGGATTTGAGCAAGGCTGAGGAGAAGGAAAAGGAAGATCAAAACGAATCTGTCCTGGGTCAAGATCAAACTTTTGATCTAATCAGGAAAAAACTGCAGACTGTGACTACAGAGGAGGCTGAGAAGTAAGTCCCTTGATGATAATTTCGGAGTCGGGTGTTCTGATTTAACGAATAATTTTTTCATGTTTTTTTTTTTGAATTTGCCTGTGTAGATCATTGGACGAAGTTTCATCTAGGATTGATAATGTGTTGGACAGTATTGAGGAAATGACGGAGAAGGATTTATTGACTGCTAAAGATGTCATTGCTCCACTTGCATTTCACGCTATCAAGACCGTGAATACCGTAAGACTACTACTTGGATGATGATTATTCAGTCCGCCGATGGTCTCTTGATAGAGTCTTAAACATTTAATCACTGCATCCCATGCTTAATTAATTTTTTCTGTATTGTCATAGTGGCTGAAATTTTTGTGCTGATTTTAGGTTTTCTACTCCATGAACTACATTCTGGAAGAAAGCAACAAAGAGACAATGTTAAGGTTGCTACTTATTCATTTTTCTTACTTCTTCTTGTCTTGCAAATGGAACTAGATGGTTACTTATATAGACTATTATTGCTAATGTGACAGGTTATTAGCTCATGCGTCTAACCTCAAGTGTCCTTTGTTCTCTTTGGAGCAGCTGAAAGAGGTTGATTATTTATTATATGACATTTTTATAATTACTGTATCTTAGTTCGGCAACTTGTAATCTCATTGCTGGCAATTGCAGATAGAAGATATGGTTTCTACTCTTGATTCTTCATTCATGTCTTTGGGTATGAAAGATGCTAGTCTGGACAAAAATATTATAGAAGCAGAGGGAATATCAAATAGTGATGCTGCTTTGCTGTCCGGAGTTCCGAAAGACATTTTTGAGTCCGTCAAAGTTCCTGCTGAAGCATCTGATAAATCCGAGCTGCGAACATTTCAAGAGAACACAAAATCAATTAATTCTAAGTGGAAGGGATTTTCCCTTCCTCTACTAGATCTTCACAAGGATCACGATATTGACAGTCTCCCGTCACCAACACGGGGAGGTGGACCATCTTCTTTCCCCAGTGATAAAGGGATTGCAGTGGGTAATGGGTTATTGAAACCAGAGTGGCCTGTTCCTAGGGTAGTTCTTGATAGGGAGACTGTTCCTTTACATCCATACGAAACTGATGCTGTTAAGGCTGTTTCTTCTTACCAACAGAAATTCGGAAGAAGTTCCTTTTTTATGAATGATAGGCTCCCAAGCCCAACCCCTTCGGAAGAAGGTGATACTGGGGAGGGTGATGTTGGTGAGGAGGTCTCCAGCTCTTCTAACATGCATATGAACCCAGTCAGTACACCATTGGTGGGTTTATCAAATATTTCTTCTGCTCCCAAGATGGACATTACTAGTGGGCGAGGACTTATTGGTGCTTTGTCCAATGCAAATTATGGCTCCAATCCTTCTTTAAAACCATCTTCAGTTAAAAGTAGAGATCCTAGGCTTCGGTTGATCAGCCAAGAACAGAAAGTGGACTCTGCCGGTGGCATGATAAATTCAAAAAAGCAGAAGGCCATTGAAGATCTTGCTTCGAGTGGGCCTGCACTGAAAAGACATAAAAATGAGCAGACTGAGATGAATATTGTGCAGACTGTGTCTGGAACTGGTGGTTGGTTGGAGGACAGAGGCATAGGAGGTTTAGGGGAAACGAACAGAAGCCACGAATCAAAGAGAAGTGTAAATGATCCTCGGAGAAGACCTGAATTTGCCGTGACTGGAGTCAGTTCTACCAGCAGCATTCCGAATATAACATCCAACTCAAATGTGAAGTTGCCAGGGACAAGTTCAATCCCCACAACATCCCTCCAATCTTTATTGCAAGATATTGCAGTTAATCCCTCTATGTGGATGAATATACTTAAAATGGAACAGCATAAGTCAGTTACTCCATCACAAACTATGACTCAGCCCATTATGTTGAATTCACATGCTGGCCCTGTTCCATCAACAAGTGTGGTTGCTTCAAGGCCTCCTGCCCTTGGTGAAAAAGTAGCAGTAATAAATCCGACGACTCCACACATCCCTTCGGTGGTGAGCTTGGTTTTACTATGTGAATCTTATTAGTATTATTTGAATCTCTTGGCTTTTTTTACCAGGGATGACTAACTGATGCTCTGTCCAAGCGATAAATGCCCTATTTCTTTTGGGTCTCTCTTAGACCATGCTTGAAAAACACTCTAAATGATGTTTGCTCTCAGTATTTCTGTATATATTTTTGCATTATGTTCATTATACTAAATGTTCTGTGTTAAAGATAACGGAGCTGTTTTGATTGAAGGAGCCTTGTAAATATACTTGTACTTTGATCTGTTTGACTTTCTTTTTCATATTTATTGCCTTGTTCTCCTTTATGAGAGTTTAAGTTTAATATAAATTGCAGGAAGAACTGGGAAAAGTTCGCATGAAACCTCGTGATCCTCGCCGGATTCTACATAGTAGCACAGCCCAAAGAGGAGGGAACATGGAATTGAATCAAACTTTAAACAAAACCAATACATCCAACACTCCGGGGACTATGGGCATCACGAATATCCAAGGGCTGGATGATCCACTTGATAACAAGAACATGGCTTCCCATTCCATTGCTCTGCCAGATATCACTCGGCAGTTCACTAAAAATTTGAAAAATATTGCTGATATGTTTTCTGTTTCTCAAACAACTTCACCTCAACCAGTAGTTCCGAAGAGTACTTCGCCCCCACCAGTTCTGGAGTCAGGTAATGTTCAGAATGTGCCTGGACAGGATGGTCAAGTTACCTCAGGCTCTGCTCAACTACAGAATGACTGGAATGATGTTGAACATCTGTTTGAGGGTTTTGATGACCAGCAGAAAGCAGCCATCCACAAAGAGAGAGCTAGAAGATTGGAAGAACAGCGAAAAATGTTTGCCAAACGGAAACTCTGTCTTGTCTTGGATCTGGATCATACTCTTCTCAATTCAGCAAAGGCATGGGGTTTTTACTTCTTAAAACAGTGTTTGATATGTAAACACCATATTAGCAACTTTTTAGAGTGGTATCATAATCGCAGCCCTTTTGTTTTTCAGTTTGCCGAAGTTGATGTGATGCATGATGAGATGCTGAGAAAAAAGGAGGAACTTGACCGTGAAAAATCGCATAGACATCTATTCCGGTTTCCTCATATGTCAATGTGGACTAAACTGAGACCAGGGATCTGGAACTTCTTAGAAAAGGCAAGAAAGACTGCCATTGTACAGCCTACTTTGTGTTTTTCTTTTTGATGAATGTGCTGAAAGTCTTTTTTTTGCTTTTGTGTCTTAGGCTAGTAAGCTGTATGAGCTGCATCTCTATACTATGGGAAATAAGCTCTATGCCACGGAAATGGCAAAATTACTTGATCCAAAAGGGGAATTGTTTGCTGGACGAGTCATTTCAAGGGGAGATGATGGAGATCTTCTTGATGGTGATGAAAGGGTCCCTAAAATCAAGGACTTGGAGGGAGTGATGGGTATGGAATCCTCCGTTGTGATTATAGATGATTCTGTTCGAGTTTGGCCACACAACAAACTAAACTTGATTGTTGTTGAAAGGTAACAGTTGTTTTGTAATGTGTGTTTGGACATTCTTTTTACGTATCCTTTTGAAATCTCTGGTTTGTCTTGCAGGTATATTTATTTTCCATGTAGTCGGCGCCAATTTGGTCTTCCTGGTCCATCTCTTCTTGAGATTGATCATGACGAGAGAGCGGAAGATGGTACTCTAGCTGCTTCTTTGGCTGTAAGATATCATTTCTTTTTCTGTTTGCATTATTGTTTGTGTAGTTGTTGATTGCTTTCCTAATACCTTTCTGATATCTGATACATCTAGGTCATTGAAAGAATACATCAGATGTTTTTTGAACATCAGTCATTAGATGAAGCTGATGTTAGAAACATCTTAGCCTCAGAACAGAGGAAGATATTGGGTGGTTGTCGAATTTTGTTTAGTCGGGTGTTTCCTGTTGGTGAAGTCAATCCACATTTACATCCATTGTGGCAAACGGCAGAACAGTTTGGTGCTATTTGCACAACGTCTATAGATGATAAAGTCACTCATGTAGTCGCCAACTCACTTGGAACCGATAAGGTAACTATGTTTGTTGAAAGTGAAATTCTTCCCTATGATCTGTATGAAATGATTGCATGTCATGTTAGTGCACTCTTAACTCATTGACAGTTAAGATGATGATTAAAAATGTGTTATAGGACTTCGTCAGTTATTATTATGTAAATAATTCGGGGCTATTTAGTTATGAAGGCTAACTATGTGATGTATTGTACAGGTGAATTGGGCTCTTTCCACTGGGAGATTTGTGGTACATCCTGGCTGGTAAGAACTGTTCCTACTCCATTAAAACACATTTTACCTTCGATGTTCGAGTAGTAATCATTTTTGAATGTGAAACTGCCTTTTATTTTTGAATAAAAACTTGTTGAAAGAAAGAAAAATGAAACCACGTTGCAGGGTTGAAGCATCTGCGCTGCTATACCGGAGAGCTAATGAGCAGGATTTCGCTATTAAACCATAAAACATCAACATCTGATTGAAGCATCAGCCCTTTTGATTTTTTAATACTGGGTTCTGGAGTTGAAATTCTCAACTCGGAATCGGCCCTCAAAGCTCACCTGAGCTGGTGGCTGACCTTACCGGGATGATGCCCTTTTACTTGGACCAAGCTGTTCTTTGACAGCCTATAATGCTTGGGATTGCGGTGCTGACCTGGGAGATTCCCTGAAGTTTAGTTTCTCATCAATGCCCCCCACCTTAACTAAATAATTTTGAAGTAAAATTGGAAAAGCAAAGGTTGGGAGCAGTATAAAAATGGAGAATGATCCATAAAATCTCCATGAAACTTTTGACCAATCAAGCTAACCAAACTTGAGGATCTTAACAAAAAGGTCTAAACTGAAAGATTATGCAAAACCCTAATGAAGGGAAATGTTTTCAAATTGTGTAGTAGTGCATGGGGAAGAGGAGGGGGATATGTGAAGCCTTCAAAAAGGAGGGTGAAATGTATTAAATCTTGAAAGCATTCAAATTTGATGCCAACTTAATGTGGGGGGTTCTAATGTGGAGAGAACTGAAAAGATCCATTTTTCACTTGTTAATTTTGTCCTGTAGGGTTCATTCTTGTTGTAGTGTGATTGTAATTTATGAAGAAACCAAAATATGGTACTGGGGAAAAAAAAGAGGCAAAATAATCCACCATTGCGGTCTAATTTAGGGACAAGGAATATATAATTTTCTTCTTCTTCTTCTTGTCTGTAACTTTTACACGAGCTTGAAAGTGGTCAAAGTCTTTGGCCTTTCCTTCTCCGCGCCCGCTCACGCTTCGCTGACTTATCGCGTGGTAAAAAGAACAAAGTACAAAAGAATAGATCGAAGGAGGTTCGAACTCCCCTTGCTTGCTTTGTCCCAGTGACTGAGATATAACTTCAAGTAGTAAATTCATGAATATCCTGAATTTTATGGAGAGAAAAAAGGACGGTATTTCCAAGAGTATTTTTATCCATGTACTGTTCCTTATCGGCTACCGCACACACTGAACTAACAAGGCCAAAGTTAACATCCATGAACATCCAGAAGGGAAGCAAAACTTCTAAACATTACAAGGAAATTTTTTTTAATCACTACCACCTACATGATGGATGAATCAATGATCTTTAATATTTTAACAGACCATTGTTTTTGCAACAAAGATTGCGAGGCCTGTGTTAATCTGATTTTCAGGCTACCATTATGGTAAAAAGTAGTGCTGAAGAAACATAACTGATTCTTATAACAGATATATAACAGATTGTTACAATAAACGTGACTTTTATTTGAGGAAAACAAAAACTGTACTACATGTATTGTTTCTTATAATATCATTATCATAGTTGAGTAAATGTGACTTTTTCACATATTTGAATGAACGTGACTTTTATTTGACAAAAACAGAAGACTTCACTAGTCACTTCATGCCTTGTTTTTTAAGATATCATATTTGAGTAAATGTGACTTTTTCTAGAAGAAATGACTACAACGCATGGTTAAATGTTTCCCAATAAAACCAAGAGTTTGCCTTTAAACTTGTGGGGGGAAGAAAGCTTTTTCAAGAGAAGTCGATATTCCTTCCATTCTAAATATAGATAGTTGAAGAAATACAAATAAAAAAAAATAAAAATTAAAGCATGTGCCATTCTAAAATTTGACATTTTGTTCAAAACTACCTTAGGAGGAAAAAAAGGACCATCAATTACATCCGTTTCTTAGTAGTAATAAATTGTTAGACGGAGTATTTTATTTTAATAATAAGATGATGGAGAACTGTAGCCTTAATGCGGCAAGTAAGAGATAATTTTAGTGATATAAATATTGTAATTTAGAGCTCTTTAAATCGTACAAAAAACTTTTCTAAGGAAACTTATTTTTGAATGAACGAAATACAAATGAAGATTTATTCCAAAAAAAAAAAAAAAGGACTAATGCAAGATGTACTCCGAAAGCACATTTTATGCATTATATAATTATATATGTACTACCTCCGTCCTATAATTATTGTCTAGCATGAGTTTTTATTTATAGTTCAAATTGTACTAAAAGTGAAATTTCAAACTGGACAATAATTTTGAGACAGAGGGAGTAGATAGCATCACAAGTTATGCAAATTCAAAAACTAATAAATGAAAATGGTTTGATGGAGTGGATATGTGCTGGATAACGTTAAATTATGATGGAGCTATAATCAATCCTGATTGCAGGCACTTAATTTCAGCAAATCCGATCCTCAATATTGATGGTGATCATTTGACCAAATTAATGAGGAGAACGAGAGTAAAATTTGAACTAGTTTTGAATGAATTCAAAAGAAAAGGAAAAAAAGAAAAACTTTAAAAAGACACAAGGATGACATATAAATATACAGTGAGATTATGTTAACTTCTCGGGGAAAAACGAGCTTTAAAAAGGTTACAGAAATATAACAGCCGATATTATAAACAAATCAAATGGAGAATAAGATAAAAGCATGTCATGATTCAGAGCCTTCCGATACCAATACTTCCCCTCTTCATCACCATCAACCTCAATGGTCTTTTTCTTCCCTTTCAGGTACGTAGATGATCCAAAACCATAATCTTCGACTTATATTTCTTTTTCCTGTTATGTGTTTTTTGTAGTTTCCATTTATTCCCTCCGTCCCAAAATTATTGTCCAGTTTGGATTTTCATTTACATTTGAACTAAAATTGAAAGCCCAAGCAGTACATAATTTCGGAACAGAGAGAATATATATTTAAGGGTTTTATTTTGACTGCAGAATGGTTTTTTGAGTTTGGTTGATACATGACCTTTTGTGCTTGCAAAGTGCAGAGATGGACAAGACAAAAACAAAGTTGATGTTAGAAGAGATGTGGGAATTGATGGAGGAGAACTTGAGGCAGCAGGAGGAGTTGATAAGGAGGAACGATGAGAAAAGAGAATGCATTAAAAGACTAGGGTTACAATTGGATCAACTCCAGAAGGAGAACACTCGGTTGAAACAACAGTCTTTCTCACTTACGAATAATCATCTCACGTGTAATACTAGCACCAACCTAGATGATGATGTTGATCTGTATGAAAAGAAGCAATGTCTCACTGTTGTTACTCGTCAGTTGTCTAATAGGTTGAAGGGTTGGTTCATTTTTTTGATGAGATCAACAAATGCTTACTTAAATTAGTTCTCCTTTTTTTCTTTTCATGTTTACTTAATCGGCTGGTTCATGTTTTAAATTTATTAGCTTCCCTGGTTTGTCATACTTTGGTTATCTATGTGTATCATTAAGTTGCCATCCAGTTTAAGAATACATCGAGTTGCAAGTTTACGACTATTTAATCAGCTGAAACCAATTATGCCATTTCTTGTTTCTAAATTGGCAGATCAAATATATTAGGAAACCACACAGTATTACCGAATTAGAGGAACACAGCGGGCAGAAGTAGTTTCTGCTGCTAGGATTCAAACATCCAGTTAGTGTTGGTCTATTACAATAACATGTTCGCATTCACATGTCACTTGAGCTCATTTTGATAAATTTTCAGATAAGAAAAACGTCTTTGTTATTCTCATGCTTCTGTCACTTAGGCAACGATCCTAGAAAACTTAAAAGATGAAGAAGAGCAACTTCCTATATGATCATCAAGAAACCCTTGAAAATAATGTATTTTGTGTTGACATGGTCTCTTTGTATTGTGGCGTAATGGGCAACCGACTAAATATTTCATTCTCCTCAATTCAGGCAGGCTTATACGTGTGTGTGTGTGTGTGTGGGGGGAGGGTAGTACTTCACGGAACAAGTGATAGAAGGATAAGAAAAGCTCAGACTTGATCAGACAGTACTTGTATACTAATCTCTTTCATTTCAAACTTTTGCATTTAAAAGACTGGTCTTCGTTTATTCCATTTTGATATGCTCTCTTTTCTCCGTCACGAAATTATTGTTCAATTTGAATTTTTTTTCAATTTAAATTGTATTATAAGTAAAATCTCAAGTCCAACAATAATTTTGGGACAGAGGAAGTGCATGTCAACTTTTATCCCGCTAAAAAAAAAAAAGATAATGTAAACATTTTTTATTCGTGTAACATTCATAGATTAAATGTTTTAAACTTCTTGATCAAGGGATTGCAATATATTGTAACCATAATTTATTCCCGTAATGTCATAGATTAAATGTCATTCTAGCCGTTTGCCTCGCTTACTAATTCAAAAAAGAAAAGCAAAAGAAAAAAGAATAAGAAGCAGCATGTAAAGATCAATTCTCCACCCTACCTGAACACGGACTCTTCCTACTTGCGGATTCTGTTCAAGGTTTTCCCTGTCCAAAGTCTGGCCCTCGCGGGCAGAAATAAGACTAGTTAAAAGCACAACTAATATTTACTCACTTTGTCCAAAAAAAAATTTACTATGAGTTTTTAAAATTTATTTTTGTTACATGACGCTCATTTGTAATCGTAAAGAAATTTTCTGTAGTAGCATTAGCCATTAGTTAAGGGAAAGGGGTGAAATTAGGAGGAAAAGGGAATCTGGGGAAGAAACTGATTTCAAATATTTTCTTCCACGATACAGGAGACATATATTGCCTAACAAGTAACAACTATTATCAAATTACAACTAGACCATCTAACTTGCGTACATTGTGAGTGCAATACTTGTTCCAATAAAATTTTAATCAGCACAGAAAATGAGTATGCTGCAATTCGTGTACAGCATTCTCCAACCCAAGAATTCACACAAGGGCCAGTTTCAAATGACCTTAACAAACCGCCAAAAAGAAAAAAGTAAGTTCAGGTAACCGGTAATACAATGAAACTAATTGCCCTAAATCTACCAAATGGCCAAAGCCAAATCACCCCAACTAGCACCTACTATTACTGAGGAGACCCATACTAAACGACTGAAGAACAAAGTACCTCAGCTAAACATCACAAGAACAAATCACTTGCACCAAAAATATACAGAGCAATGACAACGATTCCACTTGCTATCTATATTAAAGATACTGCCAAACCAGCTATGTGCATATCAGTGGTTCATGTTTAGAGATGTACACAACAATACAACCCTAGAACATGGTAAAAAGAACTGCTTTACAATTTAACCGATGCAGCTTAATTGCCATTTAAATTTCCTGACCTAAACACGTTAAGTCAAAAGGAACCAATATAGCTAGACAAACCGAAGAAACAGTCATAAATCTTTGTGAATATTAGAAGAATAAAGCAAAATAACTTCCCAAAAGAAATTCCAAATGGTGATAAAGGACAACAAAACATTCATAACCAATATAGGATCCAAAAGATTGTAATTTCTCTTAATAGAAGCTACATGATTAAAAAAGGGTCTTACATTCACCAAAATTATATCAAATCTAGACCTCACTTTCTAACAAACTCAAGACTCAATATCCACGCTGCTGAACATTGCTTCTTTCTTTCCATGCAAGAAAAACATCAGAAGGGGAAAAATCAATCACCCTTTCTCCTGAAAGAACATCCCTCTGTGAGCCTAGCACGTCCACCAGTTGGCTGGCACAAGACGGTCTGGCAATTTCCACACACAACCACAGTCTGGGAGTGGCTAAACACGGTTGTTCTGCACATACAAACATCAACATCAAATACAAATACAATTTCCACCACCGAAAAAGAAACTGTCTAGAAAACCCATCAAGACCGTAATACAAGTGAGAGTTACAATAACAAGTAAGCTACATCATCTTATACAGTGGACAAATAGGTCAAAACAGAACACAGCTTTTAAAGCCATTTTCCTTACAGATCTGATTCCAGATACTTTGCTCATTTGGAACAATCGAACACTCCCCTGCCTTGCCCAAATAAAAAGAATAAAATAGAAAACTGCCATGCAATATTGACACAATATGGCAGCTACACTAGTGCTATGCAGACACCAAAAAAAATCATGCCACCATGGCTGAATGAGGTGGTAATCTAATTGCTTCTTAATTAGATAACAAGCGAATATCAAATGTAACCGATCACTGTGCAATTCAGTTTAAACTATGTAGTCAAACACACAGGGCAATGCAACTAGAAACAATCTGCATAGCTACAAAAGCCTATTCAATTACCTGATTACCAAATAAAAAGGAGAACATATATAGAGGTAACTCATTTCAAAACTTAATCAAACCCACAAATGCCCCAAAACAGGGGAAATATAAACAGAAGCAACTTCTAAGCACAAAAACCACATAAAAAGGACAAGGAGGGAAGGTACTACTTACATGTTAAAGCAACCTTGACATTTCACATCCTGAAACAACCAGACAGAGTGTTAGCACATGAAAGATCACAATATGAATGCTAATAGCACAAGATCAATTTAAATTACGTTCCTCGGAGAGCATATGATTGATAATTCGAAAAATTAGGGTTAAGTACCATGAAGAAAGAGTTTGGAGAAGCAACCAAACGCTTGAGCTTGTGCTTCCTCTTCTCCAACTCTGCTGGTGGGTTGAGCAAATCGACATCGTTTGGAAGAACCTGCAACGAATAATAAAAGTACAAACAAAAAAAAATTAGACACAAATGAAATAACCATTCCGTCGCCATAATCCACAAAAAAAGCTTCAGAGAAATAGATACCATCTTTGGAATTGGATCCCGATCGAGCAACAAACGGTGCTGTGATGAAACAGAGAGAATTAGCAAGGAGGCACAACTGGAAGCCCAAATGCAACACTCGCCAAAGATGGAGGGGAATGACGGTTAGGGTTTTGCCTATTCTTTTATACTAAATGGTTTATAATGTGAGCCGTCGGATGTGTAAGGTTTCATCAAGACCCTCCGATTTCATTCCCATAAGGCGGCATCGATGTAAATTTACCAAAAACGTCATTGACATTATGTAGGGGACAAATACATAATAAAACTTAATTATGGAGAGGGAATTGGGGAAAGAAAGAAAATAAAAGGGCACTTACCTTAATTCTTTTTTCCAACCAATCAGAAACGTCACTCCGCAGTGGGGCCAGGCTTAATCGAAATCGGACGGTTAATGTACTCGGAAACACGTCAATACCAAATTACACTGGACAACCGAGATGAGTCTCGACTGGTAATGCAGTCAAAAACAGTCACTTATTCAGTCCCGCCGGTGACCGTTATCTACTCATTCCCCCATCCCGACCATGTTGCCGCCGGAGCTCCAACCCCGTTCCTTCCGGCCTTACATCTCACCCTCCATCAGCGCTCCTTCATTCAACAGCAACAACATCAACGATGCTTATCCCAGCCCTAATTATTCACCTTCCACATCATCTTCCCACACCAGGGCTCGCAGCGCCAGCACCGGTGGAGGTGCCGGAGGAAGCTCCCCCTTTCAGTCCCGATCTCTCAAGAGCAGCTCAACCTCCCGATTCTCTCCTTCCTCTTTCGTCCACAACGCCAGGATCGCCGTCGCGTTAGTTCCTTGTGCCGTCTTCCTCATTGACCTTGGCGGAACTCCGGTGATCGCAACCCTAACGCTAGGTCTCATGCTCGCTTACATCCTTGATTCCTTGAACTTTAAGCCAGGTTCTTTCTTCGCCGTGTGGTTTTCCCTAATTGCTGCACAGATCGCCTTCTTCTTCAGCTCCTCACTAATCTCCACCTTCAATTCCGTCTACCTCGGCATTCTGGCATCCCTCGCGTGCGCGATTACAAACTTCCTGATCGGCATCTGGGTCTCCCTTCAGTTTAAGTGGATCCAAATCGAGTATCCGACCATTGTATTGGCCCTGGAGCGCCTCCTATTTGCCTGCGTCCCAATCATAGCTTCCTCCATCTTCACATGGGCCACCGTCTCTGCCGTCGGTATGTTCAACGCCGCCTATTATCTGATGGCTTTCAGTTGCGTTTTCTATTGGCTGTTCGCCATACCTAGGGTTTCCGCCTTCAAGGTCAAACAACAGGTCAGCTACCACGGTGGCGAAGTCCCGGACGAATCACTCATCCTTGGTCAGCTGGAAAGTTGCTTCCACACCTTGCATCTCTTGTTTATCCCCTTCCTTTTTCACACTGCCTCTCATTACTCTCTGATATTCTCGTCTGTTGCTTCGGTTGTCGATTTGGTTTTACTCTTTTGCATTCCGTTTCTGCTTCAACTATATGCCTCTACTAGGGGCGCATTGTGGTGGGTTACTAAGAATGAGGGGCAGCTTCGAAGTATCCGGTTAGTTAATGGGGCAATTGTTTTGGTTGCTGTTGTGATATCGTTGGAAATCAGGGTTGTTTTCCATTCATTTGGAAGGTACATTCAGGTGCCGCCGCCTTTGAATTATCTTCTTGTTACTATCACCATGCTTGGAGGTGCAGCAGCTGCTTGTGCTTATGCCCTCGGAATGGTTTCGGATGCTTTCAGCTCTGTGATATTTACTTCATCGGCTGTGGTTGTTAGCGCTGCCGGGGCTGTTGTTATCGGTTTTCCTGTGTTGGTATGTGTTCTTCTGCTGATTCTTTTTGTTTTTTTAGTATAATACGATTATCTCTATTTCATGGTCAATTTTTAGTTTGGCATATCCTGGTAAGAATTCCAATTGTAGAATGCATGAAAGGCCTGCACTTTTATCAATTTAAAGGGAAGAAATATGGTCTGTTCAAAATTATCAGCCTTAGTTATTGCCTTCTCTTTCTGCTTCTTATATTTATTCCGTGCCCTCCTAAGACAATGATGGTGATTAAAAGACTGCATACACTGTGATGAATATTGCATTTGCATTTGTTACCTTTTCTGTTCTACAGGAGCGGATAGATAAATTTTATTTATCTTACCACACCTCTGTTTATTTACTCCGAGCGATGGAATTTTGTTCTGAACCACTTTTGGCTTTTTGTTTGCAGTTCATTCCTCTTCCATCAGTGACTGGTTTCTACTTGGCACGGTTTTTTACGAAAAAAAGTCTATCATCATACTTTGCCTTTGTTGTGCTTGGCAGTCTGATGGTCACCTGGTTTGTGATGCATAACTACTGGGATCTTAATATTTGGATGGCAGGCATGTCATTGAAATCTTTCTGTAAGTTAATAGTTGGTAGTGTTATCCTAGCCATGGCTGTTCCTGGTTTAGCTCTTCTTCCTCCAAAACTTCACTTCTTGGCCGAGGCTGGTTTGGTGAGCCATGCTTTGCTCCTATGCTATGTCGAGAATCGCTTTTTCACATATTCCAATGTTTATTATTATGGAATGGAGGATGAGGTAATTTATCCAAGTTACATGGTCATCATGACTACTTTCTTGGGATTGGCTTTAGTGAGAAGACTTTCTGTGGACAACAGAATTGGGCCAAAGGCAGTTTGGATTCTGACTTGTCTGTATTGTGCCAAACTGGCTATGCTCTTAATGGCATCAAAGACCGTTGTGTGGGTGTCAGCTGTTCTTCTGCTGGCCGTTTCACCACCTGTACTTCTATACAAGTATATACTTAACCTTTTCTCAAGTTTGTTTTTGTACGGCTTTTCTGATGTTAAACTTGACCAAATCCTCCCTCATTGTAATTTGCAGAGATAAGTCCAGAACTGCCTCAAAGATGAAACCTTGGCAGGGTTATGCACATGCTGGTGTGGTTGCTTTATCAGTTTGGCTCTTCAGAGAAACAATATTTGAAGCTCTTCAATGGTGGAACGGCAGATCTCCATCTGATGGTTTGTTGTTGGGTGCTTGCATTCTTTTAATGGGGGTAGCATGTGTCCCAATAGTTGCGCTTCACTTCTCTCATGAAATGGTACTGTGCTTTCTTTTCTGTTCCCCCTTCCTCTACATATCTTTTAACATGTTCAATAATATGTTTTGAAATTTGATTGAAATAAATTAGGGCCCTTGTTAGGTAAATCCTTTTTTAGCTGTAGTTGCAACTTTTGCTCATTTCAATGTTTTGATTTAAGTATCGCAAGTATTAGTTGCATGTAGATCATCAAGTTTACTCTTGAATGTGTTGTGCAGTCTGCAAAGAGATGCTTGTTGCTGGTGATAGCAACAGGAGTACTATTTATCTTGATGCAGCCTCCAATTCCCATGTCTTGGACTTACCGCTCCGACTTAATCAGAGCTGCTCGGCAATCTTCAGACGACATCTCAATATATGGTTTCATGGCATCAAAGCCCACATGGCCTGCGTGGTTGCTCATTGCTGCAATTTTGCTTACTCTTGCAGCCATCTCCTCAGTACTTCCTATCAAGTACTTTGTTGAACTGAGAGTATTCTATTCCATTGCCGTTGGAATTGCTCTTGGAGTATACATATCTGCAGAGTATTTCTTGCAAACTGCAATGCTGCATATCTTAATCGTTGTTACCATGATCTGTACCTCGTTGTTTGTGGTCTTCACACACTTGCCATCTGCCTCGAGTACAAAGCTTCTACCATGGGTGTTTGCCCTTCTAGTTGCTCTTTTCCCAGTGACTTATTTACTGGAAGGCCAAATCCGAAATAGCAAGAGTTTGCTTGTAGACGAAGTAGGAGAAATGGAATTGGAAGACAACAAACTTGCCACTTTACTGGCAGTTGAGGGCGCAAGGACATCCCTCCTTGGTTTGTATGCTGCAATCTTTATGCTTATCGCACTTGAAATAAAGTTTGAGCTGGCTTCACTTTTACGAGAAAAGGTTACAGAAAGAGGGGGTCTTAGACATAGTCAGTCCAGCCAAAGTGGTTCTGCTGGTGCCCCGCCAAGATCAAGGTTCATGCAGCATCTCAGGTCCTCCACTGTACCAACCTTCACAATAAAGAAAATAGCTGCAGAAGGAGCGTGGATGCCTGCAGTTGGTAACGTTGCCACTATTATGTGCTTTGCTATATGCCTTATTTTGAATGTCAACTTGACAGGTGGGTCAAACCGGGCAATATTTTTCCTGGCCCCCATACTACTACTTCTAAATCAGGATTCTGATTTTGTTGCTGGATTTGGGGACAAACAGAGGTACTTCCCGGTCACTGCAGCTATCTCAGGGTATTTGGTCTTGACTGCCTTGTATACTATCTGGGAAGAAGTATGGCATGGGAATGCTGCAGGTTGGGGAATCGATATTGGGGGACCAGATTGGTTCTTTGCAGTAAAGAATCTGGCATTACTTATTCTCACCTTCCCGAGCCATATCCTTTTTACTCGGTTTGTTTGGAGTTACACGAAGCAGACAGACTCAGGGCCATTGCTTACAATTCCTCTGAACATACCAGCCATCATTATAACGGATGTACTGAAGGTTAAGATATTAGGGTTGCTTGGAATTATATATTCCTTGGCTCAATATCTTATTTCGAGGCAACAGCAAATTTCAGGGATGAAGTATATTTAAGGGATAGAGAAATGAAAAGAAGTTGTAGAATAGTTCTTTTTTGTCTTGTACTATTTGTCAATGAGTTAGCATGGAAATTTTACCCCTATCCTTCTCTTCCTTTTTTTCTTTGCCTTTGTGAGTAAAAGGAGATCACCGGTGGCAGAAATTAGGTCTGTACGATAGTTTCTTTTGGGCTTTGGATGATGTTGCCTTTATACACTAACTTTATGTTGTTAAGACTAACTGTTTGCAAAATACAGAGAGGTGTTGCCATGTAAATTGGCCAGGTGATGTGAGGTGATACACATTGACGATGTGGAGGCGGAGTCAATAAAGAATTTGCAGGATAGTTTGTGTCTGCTCGCGCATTCCTCAATGGAAACGGAGAGAATGAATTTCTGTTGATGATGAAAAATTGAAAATCGTACCTTGTCAAGTTTTGCGTTTTTGGTAGAATCCCTCGTATACTTGGTTTCACTCGAGATGGGTTTGTTGTATAAATAAATGAATCTAGTATTACTTCTTCAGTCTTCGATAGGCTAACCAAACCGGCAAATGATTAGCACGAGATCAAATACCAGAAAAAAAACATTTCTAATCAATAATTTTACAAGATTTCAAACTCCCATTTTATTAGGGAAAAACATCAACAATCCCACATTAATGAAACAAAATAGCAGCAATACAACGTGAAGATGGATTGTGTCTTTTCCCCCTACCTAAACCAAAATGCCACAAAACTAAGTTGAAACCTGAAAAAATGAACTACAAAATCTGATCGGAAAGAGGGGGAAGCCGCCGGAAAAAGTTGATGGGGACAGAGGGCATGTCACCACGGAATCTAGGATGTCGGAAATAGTAGAATCCAGAACCCAAAACCAAGACCTTAAATGGTACAGCATAGAACACCAAGGAAGCAATCAGGCAAACCACAACAAACATTCCAGTCGCTCTTGGATCCCTCCAGTTGAAAAGTGCTTCCAATCTTTCTCCCTGTGCCGCCAAATCACCCAAAAGCGTTTGGGCCCTACCAGCCAGGGCCCTCAACCTATCGTATCTTATGCGCACCTGGTCCCACGATCGTCCGGTTGGGAAGCCATCAAACTCTTCATCAAGCTCGTCGGGTCCCACCCCATCGTACTGAGACAATCTACCGTCCATGGTGATTGCAGCTCTTTGCCTGTACCGGAACCTTAACGCAATGATCAGGAAAGAATACATGCAAATGGTGGGCAATATTAGATGTGGGCATAACACAATGGCCATCAACAAAATATGGACCAAGATTGTGGTGGGTGGGTGAACCCAGGTCCGAATTCCGTCGATCCATTTTGCAAATGTGGCTGCTTTAGACAAACACCTCACGACCCGGAACCAATTTGCTTTACTCCGCCTCATGCTCCACATGTGAGTATCTGAATCCAACATGAACTGCACCACTTCTTGTCCCAATGCGGGTTCGGATCTTGCCAATCTTGCCGTCACAAGTCTCATAGCCATGTGCCTCAAAATGTCCTGTTGGGCAGGACCAAATGGGCGAACATAATGCATCCGGGGCAACATCGGGTTGGTGTAAAGCTGAACCAAACTAATCCAAGAGGGGCAACTAAACCTGAATGCAATCTCAATTTCACCCATTTTCTTCGCCCCACCAGGTAGCAGCACCATCAGCGGAAACGTACCCATGTAGACCCGATTCGTATCCAGTGTGGAAAGTCGTACCCGGAGCTTCCCGAGTCGGACATCCTTCCTGTCGGGTTGATCATGCTTGTACCTTCCATTGTCAAACACTCCAATGGTCAGCACGGTGCAGGGATCATATACATCCCAAGTGTACTGCTCATTCCATCTGGGGTTAAACCGGTCAAGGATGGTACGGGTACGGACCCACTTGGGCCCATATTTAGCAACCACATACGCATCTGTGGTGCCACGTGTACCGTCCCTGGTTTTCACCGGAAGCAGATTTGTGGCTCCTCTCAGACCAACCTCCAGCAATCCGATCGGCGGCTTACACAGTTGTTTGGCTGTGGCTCTGACGTCGCTTGTCACGTGAGCGGCTTCATCTAGCACGTGATATCCACCTTCCAAACAGAGCCGCACGTGTATTCTACCCGCATATGGCTTTTTCTCATCCCCGCACAGATTGAACCACATCGATCTGGGCTCTGATTTGTCGTCCATACGCTTATCGATGGACGCGACCTGCACCTTAGCATACCCCACTGAATACCCATTAGCCACATCTTCAACAGTGATCACTAAAAACGGCTCAAACGGCTCAGCTGCAACGAAGATTAGATCCTCATTCCACGTAGGGTTGGAAGAAGCCGGGCTGGATAGGACGACATTCGTTCGGCTCGTTTTGAACAGCTGTGGGCCCAGCTGCGCTTTCACATAGAGTTCCGGGTTCCGAGCCTTAGCCTCGGGTGCCGCTCCCGGACCTCCACCTAGCTGCAAATCCTGGGTTTGGATAACCGTTAGTCTCAAATACCACAGCTTTGGAGAAAGGTATACCTTTGCTCGGGTCTCCGGTATCAACCCGCCTGAATCCGACTGCCACGCTTCTTGAAAAGCTTCATCCGCCTGAGTACCCAGCCAAACCGACAGCATGACGTCATTCCCCGGCGATGGCCCTTCCCCGCCGCCGCCTTCTAAACTGTACCATTGAGGAGCTAATGGACTGTCCGGAGGAACTCTTTTAGGAACTTCCTGTAAATCAAACGACACCGTTCCCAGGCAAAGTTCACTTGTTTTTTCATCAGTTTCTGCAGCTTTAAATCCTTCTGCCCAAATCGCGATTTCTAACGATCCCGAATTCAAGCTTTCTTTATCAAATGCAAACACTTGATCCCATCCTTTATCCCCACCAGGGGTTGATTTTGTTTGGATAGTATGTGTCCCAATCACGAGCTTCGCGTAGGTTGACGAACCCGCCGGCGGATTAGTCAACTTTGCCTTGACCACCCGAACATAGAGAAAAGGCATATGGTCGACGAGATCAAACGCCGTTCGCCGGTCAATATTGGACAAACTTTTGTCAAGAACCATTTCCACATCCTTTCCGACAGCTGTAACTGATTTTTCTCCGCTCTGGAGTTTTGGCGGCGGAGTCTGGGACAATGGAGCTGGAGCGATTGCTTGCTCCTCTGCAGCAGGCGGAGCCGATGGAGGCGGTGGATCAGCCGCCGCCGCAGCTCCTCCCTTGTCCTCCGGCGGCTTTTCTTCCTTTTTCGCGTCTTCGGCCGGTTTTTTCTCATCATCTGGGTTCTTCTTCTCAGCTTCCTCATCCTTCTTCTTTTCCTCAGCCGGTTTTTTTCCTTCTTCCTTCTCTGCTGGCTTTTCTTCCGATGCGGCCGGAGCCGCCGCCGCTGCCGCCTCCGCCTCCGCAGGTTTCTCCTCCTTTGACGGCGGCGGCGGAGGAGGAGGAGCGTCGTCAACATAGCAAATTTTGAGCCCAATCTCCCCTTTAATCTGGGAAAAAACGCTTCTTTTCTCCAACGGATAGTACACCAAAGTCTCAGAACCAGCTTTGACAAAGGTACTCCCTGAAATTTTGACTTTCCCGAGAAAAGGGCTCCGTTTACCCGACTTTTTATCGTTGTAGACATTGAGCTCTAATGTCTCTGAAGCCATGGACTCTGCATCGTGAACTAAGAACTCGAACTTCTCATCCCACTGCGGGTTCAGATCTCTGAACTTGGTCTTGGTACGACGTCGCTGACCATCAAAATCAACGAGCACATAAGCACTCGCGGTACCCTGCCCATCTTTTGGCATCAGATTATTTGCATTGCAGACTTCCACCATCAGTTTTCTGATGACACTCTGTTCCGTCATTTTTTCTTTCCCAGGAATTTTTCCTACAGTCGGTTCCGATCTGTAGCTGAGATTGGGAATCAAACGATCGGAAAAAGTTGATGGGGGAGTTTTTTGGCCTTTAATTTGGGTTCTGGGAGTGAAGAATTTGATCGGTTTTTTTTAGTACAACAAAAAAAGGATTATATGAACAGTGGCTACAGAGGATATGAGTGTTGGAATATAAAATGAAGGTTAAATTTATATAGTGGGGGCCGAGGGGAGCTAGTGAGCTACTTTCGAGACCATTAACTATCGTTACCGTTGAAGAATTCCTGTACTATTGTTTTTTTTTTTTTTTAATCAGTGGTCTGTTTCTTTACTTTCTTTCCTCTTTTGACGAGAATGCTACGGTTAATTTTAGTTTTCTTTTTCCTCCCCAATGAAGGAGACGAAATGTCAAGAGACTCAAATCAAACACATTGATCTAGTAAAATACACCAATAACTTGTAATGGAACCATGGTTTAACTTTCGAGAAATGAACCAAACCGATAATCGTAAAAGTTACTAAACAATCATCTACCAAACTTAAATACATACAATATATGCTTCTTCTATTCTAAAATATTTATTCAAAATAAATTTTCACTTTTGATACAATATATATAATAAAATGAAAATTAGAATTAAATATTTCGGGAGAGAAAATATATATATATTTCAACTCTGCCTGCTCTAGCTCCTACTAAACCATCATTAATCAAATGCTATTCCAAGCTATAACCTATCGAATATTTTAAATATATATGCCATGCATAGTATCTTCATTTTTCACTGTGTGGAGATTAAAGAAAACTAGCACCAAGCGCTACAATTTTCTCAACCATTTTATTTTTACTGCTTTGAGTTTACTGTACATTGCAATTACCATAAGCAGGTAGGGACAAAAGGAGGACACATCAGCGGTGCGTGGGAGTGCTAATAATTTTTGGATTGGACAAAAAGTATCTGGGAGTCAGAATTGACAGTAGATACTGTACGTGTACGTGGTAATAACGGATTAAAAATCAGGCTAAATGGCAAATGCCCAATTGGCCCATGGGAGCGGAGCTCACTGCTTCCTGACTTGGGCCAGATTACAGCAGCATAAATGTTTTTCCGCCATTTTGGTGACGTTACTGTTCGAACTGTTAAATGTGTACCAATTAATAATACTTAAATAAAACCCATCTAAAAAAAAGTTTAAAACCATCTCTTTGGATACCAGTATCACTCAGTGTTTGGTCGATTACTTTGTTCGAAATTTATCGAAAAGGTAATGTGAGACCATCGGTTACAATAAAATTTTCATAAATTTTCCAACGTTCCAATTGTTCTTTCCTGAAAAACTCTAGATATAGGAGTACAAGAGAGCAAAGACAACCACAGTGGTGGGAATTCAGGGTCATGTTACGGGTTTTCCGAAGAGATGAAACAAAAAGAAGAAGAAAGTAGTAGCTTTAGTATTTGTTAATGGGTAAATTTTTTCTTTTAGTACATACTTGAGTTCATAGAATAAAACTCATACGGAGTTTCAACTTCATATGCCATTTGATTAGATCAGTTCAACTCGTTCAAACCTCTAACATAATTATTCAGCATTTTTTTTTTCGAAAAGGTATCTATATATTAATTATTACCTAGGCTATTACATCACATACGATTATAGGCTAGATTATGCATTTCTTTGGTAAAAAAAATTTCTTCAATGGGTCATGTTTTAGCAGCCAATTGGCAACCGTCTCATTTGCACATGTCTCATTTGCTCATTTGGGACTTGGGAGTTGGGACATCCATGTATAATTCGAAAAGAGTGCTCAAAGAATATATATATATATATATATATATATATATATTTAAGCACTCTTTTTTAAATATAATCAGTTGATGAATTCTTAGTAGGAAAGTTGAAGCGTGTTTTTATAAATGAGAAACATTCCCAAGAGAGCTTCCTTGAAAGTATTATTTTATTTTATTTCTTTTTTTTCTAATTTAATAATAAGAGAAAAGGATGGATACATTCGTGATGTTGATGTTAGATGTTGTTTTTATAAGTTTAAATTATGTATAGACGAAGCCTAAACCACTTCTATACTTTAAGAACTCATATAATTGAAAAGTGAGCTAACGCTCTTCATTTGTACATTTTTTTAGGCATTGATAAAATGTATTTAGTTTTTCTAGTGTAAAGAATTTCCTAAGTGATGAAAATGTATTATTGGATGTTGTCTGAGTTCTTGCTTTTCTTACAAAGAAATTCATAAGTAGCATATGTTACACTTATAAATCGCATAAACACTCACAGATATACACAGTTGTAAATCATGAGCAAGACTCTATGAATTCATTAACAAAAGGTAGTAATACCTGAACTTTAAAACAAATCTATTGTACTTAATTAAAGCAGCAAACAAAAAGGACATGTGTCAGCACTACAATGAAAATATTCTCGCCAAAAGTCATTTTCAGTACAAAATTATTTTTGACACGTGACACTCTAACTAGTCAGAAAAAAAAATGGAATAGATAAATACATAATCCCTTAATTATAGCTACATAAAAATCTTTTAATTATAGGTATATACTAATCTCTTAAAATAACATATTTAATTAATAAAATCAAATGTAAGGAAATCCCCTTAAATCAAGTGAAATACAATAATGTCTTCCCAATCCCCAATTTCAAAGAATCTCTTCCATTCCGCTCCTCTCTCACACCCGGGCCTTTAAATCAATTACTTAAAATCTGACATCAATTATCAATCCATCTCTTTCTACAACAGAGAAAAAATAACTTGTTATGAAAAAAATTTGATTTTTTAAGGATGATTTTTTTTTTATTCTTCTGTTGTAGATATTGGTTTATGATTTATGTAAACCCGGGCATAAGTTAACTGTTGTTAATTAAATGTTATAAATCTGGGCATAGATTTATATATAATAACTCACTTTCTGTCCTTTCAATCGATTTTTTATTCTTTTATTTTTTTTATTTTTTTAAGAATGATTCGTATTTTTTTTTAATCGATTTAAAAATACAAGCGGCACCCGGGCATTCGCCCGGGACAAGCATCTAGTAACAATTTAAAATATGTGCAAGGCACGGGCATAGAACTAGTGTTGAAAAATGAGAAAGTCTCAAGGGTTAGTAGAGCTTTAAATTAAATGTGTTATTCAGGGAGAGTTTTTAGGGTTATCGTTACATATGCCATCACTCAATTTGTCTTTCATTAAAATAAAAAAATGTAACTAAGTTAAATTAAATTTGTAACTATACTTTGATGTCAAAATAATTACTATATTCCATCAGATCATACATTAATGTTGACGTTAATGAAGGCAACTATTTACGTAATCAAAGAAAGCGGATTCTGATCATGAAATTTAAGCAAAGATTGTTCCGGATCTTATTCACACAACTATTCAAAAAATTAAAATCCTGATTATTATGACTTCATTTTAATTTTTTTTTACATAAAAAAATTTATTACATATCCTATTATTACTTGAGTAGGATTAGTTTTGTTTGAATATCTAAATATATTTTATTAATTAGAATTAGTTACAGTATCTAAGTATATCTTATTATTATTTTTTTTGTAAAAATTAAAAAGATAATGAATTCGATTGAAGTTGCATCTTAACTATAATTTAAGATAATTTTTTGAAATCTTTATTTTTGCCTATAAAATTCTAAAACACCTAAACATACATACAAAAAAAAAAAAAAAATCTTTTTTCTCTGCCAAGAAATAGAGAGCCAACTAAGTTGACCATTATATGATAAATAACTTTTATCCATACATTGTATGTATTTTTTTTATGTCTTCTATTTTGGACCTCTTTTTGTACAGTGAGAGTAATTTTAGTAATCTATTTTTAAATCGAGCAATGCTAGGAGATAAATTGTTCGCCGACAATGATATTTGAAATATTTATTTACGTTTTGTTAAACTATTATCTTTCATCTTTCAACAAATTATTTTCTCTATGTTTATATTTTATTAAACATACACGTACATCGTATGGCTTTAACATCTAGTACTAGTACTGGCATTAAAGATAAACTCGAACCGTGGGATTTCAAATTAAGGTTGACTTACTTGTATAACTGTGATCCCCAACAAACTCAAGAATGGATCCACCTTTGAGCAATTTGGCAACATATGGTTTAATTTTGTTTCGTTTTAGTTGTTCAATTTCCCATTGAATTAGTTGCTTTTCCGATTTATCTAGCCAAATCTCAATTGGAACTCTTTGAAAGAAAAGAAAAAAATAAACAAATAAACGAGAATTATGCCTTAATTATAACAAAAAACAATAAACTCTAGCTTGGTTTGATAATGGACATTGGGAACTTGAATTTACTACAGAACAATCTCGCACATTATAATCTTTTTGAGGACAATGATTCATTAATATATCCCCATAGAAAACTCTTCTCTCATTCAAACTATTATAAAATGTCTTTGAAGCATAAAATTTACTATAATCATATCTCAAACCCAAATACCCTCCTTTATCCGGAGTACATACATCCTTATAAAAGCCGTATTCCCTGTTGTATCCGCGTCATGTTTAGTATCATCCAAACTTACCTCCAAAAATATTTTACACAGTTTTCAATAACCGACAACTCGAGGCTGATGTTTTTTCCATGGCCTATACTCAAAACTAATCCTAATCGAATTATAACAGGATATATACTAATTTCTTATATATAAAAAAAACTAAAATAATTGTGTGAATCAGATCGCCTGACTATCTTTGCTTTAAATTTCATGATCAAAATATGCATTTATTTGATTATGTGAATAGTTGCCTTAATTAACATCAATATTAATGTATGATATAATGAATGATTGTCACATCAAAGTATGGTTACAAACTTAATGTAACCTATTTTAAATCTAAATTTCATCTCATTTTTAATTCTACACAGTGACAATTTTGATTCAATTCCAATTCTAGGCAACCAAACAAAGCCTAGAATTGGGATTGGAGGCTTTTGTTTGGTGGTACAAAAGTGAAGTTAAGTAATTGGAATTACAATATTATATAGGTCCGATTATATGTTTTGAACCGATTATATGTTTTGAATTCTTTTATGTGAGCTAATAATTATATAATTCTAATATCAGGGACCTAAGAAAATAACACGTGTCCAAACCGGGTATAATCCAAAATGTATCATTTTTATCCTTTTTCTCTTTTTTTAGCATACAGGCGCTGCTTTCCTTTTACTTTTTCTTTCTTCCTTTTTTTGTTTTAAATTTTTGATTAAACTATTATATGTTTTTATTAAAATCAATATTGCAATTTTCTGATTTTTTAATCACAAAATAATCCTATATCCAAAATTTATTGAAAATGATTGATAAGTAATTATATTTGTCTTAAGTTAAAAATTTTTAATTAGAATATGGTATATTAATAAGTGTAAGTTTTTTGATAAACTTTTTATAAGAACGATTCAAACATCACACATGTATATGCATATGCAGTATATATAAATTTTAAATTACACATGACATATTTTGCACTAAATTATAAACAAAGCAATTATGATTGAAGTACAATTTCAATATCTCATTTTTAATTCTATAAGATTGTAATTCTAGTTCAATCTAACCAAACGGATTCTTAGCTCAATTGATAAGTTTTTTCACTTTGGACATATCTGGGAAGAAGAGGACAATAGCAATTACTCGCGGAAATTTTTGACGCGAATCTACTTTTTTACTTGCACATAGCCGAGGATAATCAACCAAAATGAGCAATGAAAGAGTTTGAATTCATTTGTATTGTAACACAAAATAATTATTTAATTGAAGCCTCAAAACTTTAAATAGAATTACGTAAGAGTCAACAAGTCTTTTCTAGTTAGCTGCTTACTTCTTTTTTTTCCGGTAAGTCACAATTTCACGTGTAATCATAGTATGAAGGATTGAAACTCTACTGGTCTAAATGCCAAAATAATTGAGCTTGTTCTGAATGTACACAAAATTATGGGGTGTTGATGAGTGATGACAATTTTGAAAATAATTTTTGGTACGTGCATATGGAATTGTGAAGATACATTTCCATAATATTATGACGAATAATTATGGGGTTTCTTTTTTTAAAAAAAAAAAACAATTAAGATTGAATGTAACTTAATAGTATGCCTATTTCCTTCCGAAAATCAGAATGCACAATTCTCGTTAAAAAAAACATGATAGAGTACTCCCTCTATTTTATTTGTACTAAAGATTAACGCAATTAATAGGCCATGGAAAATCCAAGGGGCCTCGTGTAACAGACCTTTTTTTAAGTCTAATCAAGGTCTTTTCAGGTTTAGGGCTTATCCTGACCCGTGTGGCATTTGGCCTTCAACAAAGAAGTATAATCACTTGTGATGACAATACCATTTAGAACAAATTGATGAGATAGTTGCTAAATTGTGTACAGATTCTAGTTTCAAAATTTCCCTTCTTCTTTTGGTTTATGATATTAAGTAATACTCCTACTGTGGGAGTCTTTAACATAATCTGGGAATTTCCTTGGACTCTATAACTGGCATGCAAGTTGGCACAAGGAATTCAGCTGACGTCGGTGTTTTTTTTTTAACCTTTTTCTCGTTATGAACCAACAGAGGTACAACACAATTCAAACAAGAAATGAAAATTTGCCTACAATGGAAAAAGCTACTGTACTGTTAAGGAGTTTCGAGGTTAATTACATCGATTGGAATCTTATGAAGTTGTAGCCTTAAACATTTTGTGCTCAGATCTACCAAAACCAAAAGCCAAAAAAACATAGATGCTAATGCTGGTTCACATTCATTGATCCCAGTACTCTATTTTAGACGCAGAAGGTCACATACGGATTCGACTCCACCTCCCCCTCTTGCTAGTAGAAATATTGAATCACTGTCAGAAATTACTTTTGATGCGTTCTTCAACCTTCACAACTAACAGGTAGTAGGAGCCTGGAAAATTATCTCATCCACCGGGATGCTAATGCAAATCAAGTCAGTTTCCATCAATTCATTGTTCCCTTTCCAAGCAGAAGTTACTACCTGCTTACAGGCATTACAAAATGCCTCATTTTTGAGGATTCAAAGCCTCAACATCTACACAGACTGTGAACTCTTGACCACCGATCATGAAATTTCTCAGTTTCCGAGTGAAGCTCAGGAAATAATAGCTAATATACGTACCCTAATGTCTACTTTTCGGAATTGTTCACTGTTTAAAGTCAGCCAGGCGGTAGTTAAGGATCTATATAACTTAGCCTATGCAAAAATATGATGTAATAGTTTAGGTATTTCTTAATTAATTAATACATGTACCATTTCAAAAAAAAAAAAAAAGATGCAATTTGTCATCGGTTCTCTCTTCCTCAGTTCTCTCACTCAGAATCGGAACTCTCAATCATGATGTCCCACATCATTGATGAGGCCGCCGACCAGCGTCCATTAAGCAAACCACTTTCTGAATCTCACTCTCCTGATTTGCGTCTCTAATTTGCAACAATATACTACTACTTCTGTCCCAAAAAAAATAATAGAAAACTCAATGTGGACTGTTTTTTTTTTTTGGATAGAGGTAGTACTATATAAATGGATTATGGATAGGTTGATGCAAGCATTAATTTTATGTCCTTTGCTTTTGATTTCCATGAATCTCCCTCTCCTGCCACTTTGAAATTGCAAAATCTGAAATTTGAATTAATAGGCAAATCAGAAATCATTTGGTTATAAGATTTCATTTGATTGGCAAACCAGAAATTGCTAGGTTAATGGGAGAATCCAAAACTGAGAAGCTGTTGAGCGCCCTAATTTTTTTTTCTTTGAGCGCCCTTAAAAATTATATTTTGATCATTTTGCCCTTATTATTATTATTATTCTTTTTTAAAAAAAGACTGTGGCGAAGGACATTTGCACCAGCTGTTCATGGCTGGCGCAGGAGAAAGGCGCCACCCATTATTTTCTTGCTTTCCAATTAAAGGAGGCGAGAAAAATTTTGCTGTCCAAAATGGGGGTGGCGCACAAATGTGGCGCCACCCCCCCCCGGTTTTGCTCGCCAAACCGAAATTACTTTTTAAATTTTTTTTAAAATTTTTTCTATTTTTAATTTATTTATTTAATTAATTATTTATTTTATTTAATTCATTTATTTATTTAAGTTTATTTTTTATTTATCTATTTGACGGTTGAACAAATAATTTTAACTTAAATATTTGACTTTGTAATAGTATAAATTAAATGACAACGAGGTGCGGTCTAGAGGTAAGACATCTTATCTTTGACCAATAGGTCACGGGTTTGAGTCACATAGGGGATAAATGGGGAACCACTATTAATCCTTTTTTAAAAAAGAAGAAAAAACATTAAAAAATTAAATAAATAAATAAAAGTATTTATATTTTTTCCATGCTTTTTAATTTTTCGTTTCAACGTATTTTATATTTTATATTTTTTTCCAAAAAAAAATATTTCCAGGACGACTAGATGCACCGATGATAAATAATTAATTTGTTTGGTAGTAAATACATAAGTTTTAGTTTTTATTAAATAATAATTTTTTGTTTACGTTTAAAAATTTTACATAACTAAATGATAAATTTTTATAAAAATTTACTACGTAATTAAGCAACATTCTCCAAATATTTAAGTTAAAATTATTTGTTTAACCACCAAACAAATAAATAAAAAAATAAACTTTAATAAATACATGAATTAAATAAATTCATTAAACTAATAATTAAAATAAATAAAAGAAATTAATTAAATATATTAAAAAGAATTAAATTAAAATAATTTAATAAATTAATTAAAAAATTTAAAAATTAAATTTTTTTTTTAAAAAAAGTAATTAAGGTGGGTGGCGCACAAAATGGTGCCACGCACCCTTTGGTTGCGAGCAAACATCACAAATGTAGCGCCCAGAAGGGCGCCACACCTTCACCATGCGGCGAAGGTTTTCTCGAAGGGAGGCGAGATTATTTCACGCCACCCCTTAAAGGGTGGTTTCTTCCTCTCTCGTCTTACTTTTTTTTTTTGAAAAAAAAACCAATGTAACTCCATTTTACAGGGATGTGTACATTTTTTTTAAGACGTTCAAATAAAAAAATTAGGGCGCTCAACAGCACGACCCAATCCAAAATGATTTGATTTTAGTATTGTTGTGCCTGAGCAAATTTGGGCCAGGTTCATACCCAAAGCCAGTAAAATGTTTCCCACACACCGTGAAATAGTTACATACTATTAAGTATTCCTTAGTTTGGCCGTTTACGTCGTCCGAAATTCATCGAAAAAGACAGGGAGATTATCGGTTTTGGGCTGTCTTTTCTTTCTTTCCTTTGCCAGTAACATATATAATAAATAAACAGTATGCTTGTTGATTAATTTAATTTACCTTTTTGTACAATATATTTGTGTTGCTATAACAAAACGTGATCATAGTCGTATCGATCGAATTAGTTCAAGTACTGACTACCTTATCATGGATTCTCCGGCCAACCTTTTCCGCATGTTGTGGAAACTTTAGAACCTTAACACTGTCTGTCAGAACCTCTAAGGTTGACCATCCATGTGTGAGCGCCTAGATGTTAGAACTTTGTAGCAACTAGATAAAATTTTTGTAGCAACTAGAACTTTGTTTTTCACCTCCTTCTTTGTACAAAAAAAAAATAAAAAAAACTTTGTTTTTCAGGCTTAGGGCTTAAAAGACTAGCATAGAAATTTTTTACAGTGCTGAGGTCCTTGAGGACTTGAGATTATATTGGAATCTTATAAAGTCATAGCCTTAACATTTAGTGCTCAGATGCCAAATAACAACTTTTCAAAAAAAAAAAAGGAAGTGAAACAATTTTTTTTTTAGTTTTTCTTTAAAAAAAAAAACACACAATTGTATTTATGGAAAATGGAAAAATATTTATTACAGCCGACAATGTAGTGTATAATTTTTTTATTTTTTTATTTTTTACACTTTGGTGAAAATAAATGTAATTTCACCCACAATTCAACATTCAACAGCTATATGAATTTTAGGCTTTTAGCCACCAGAGGGTTGGGGAAAATGGAAAGCCCATCATCATTATACGTATACATAATGGTGAAGTATGAGAATTGAGGCATTTATTATCATTTACACTATTTTGGAAAATATAGGAGAGCCTAATATAACTCTCATCACTCATCAGTTCTCCACTCCCTCACTGCCTCAGAGACTTTGAATCAAACCTTCACCGCCATTCCCTCCTCTCTCTCTCAGTGGGTTAATATCTTTATTAGTGCCGAGTTTTAAGTGCCAAACTCTGAAAAAGTAAGTTCCCAGATCACCGACGAGGAGACAGCCGCCTCCAGCCAGCGTCCTTTCTACGTACACACTCCGACTGTCGCTGGACCTGCGGCAACTGTGATCATTAGGAGAGTTGACCCGATCCGAGAAATGGTAGTCCTGCCAGACGCCATCCTCGGAGACCCCAAAGGTGTTCCCATACGGCAGACCATTTTTATGGACACCCCAGCTCCTTTCAACTGCCCTCACTGTGGCTCGGTTGATCTCACTCGTGTCAAGTACAATTTCAACCTAAAACTCTCTCTTGTTTATTATTACTATATTTTATATCTGGGTTCGTGATCGAGTTTAAATTTGGAGATTCTTTGTTTGTCTCTTTCTTTTTAAATTATTATTATTGTTTTTTTTCTCTTTGTGTGTGTAAGTTGCAGTCTTTGTGTGGGAAGTGGGAACTCATTCGAAATTAGGGTAGACTATATAAGTCAATCATTATTAATCTGTAAAATTCATGGTAGATCAGAATTGATGAAAAATACAATTTCTACTTCCTTGCTATTCTGAATCCTAGCTCTTTTCTCCCTTAATTCTGATTCTCAATTGTAACTCCGTCTATGTTTAACTCCGTTTCCGGCTGCCGGTCTTTGGCTTGGTTGGCTCCTGTTATGGTTTAGGTGTCAAAGAGAAAATTAAAAGCTGTAGAAGGTCTGGATGTAAGTGGTTTATTGTTAGGGCTTATGAAATTCTTAAACAGAATTGTAATCGGGAAATCATGAAATTAGTATCCCAACATCCATCTACATCTGTTTTCTCCCTTAATATTTTTGCTCCTCATCCAATTCACCATTTCTGCCTTGCTTCCCCTTTTTCCTCTGAATTCCGATTCTATTTTTGGTTTTACAATTCCAAAGGTTATTTGCTATGCTTCTGTTGCTAATTGACTCCTTGACTACGAAAGTCTCACATTTATAGACGTACGTGTATATGTCCGCCTTTCTTAAGAACATGACCTTGAAAATTTCAGACCATTTCAAGGGAATGGCCCAATGCATACACAAAAGTAGGAATACATAAATTAATAAACGTTGAATCTCTATCAACTAGTAGTATTATTAAATCTTAATTGGCTCCGCAAGAAATACCATACTTCTTTTTTTTTTTACCGAATAAGTCAAGAAAACTAGAGCAACAATCTGACTAAAGAAGTGGCTACATTAGCAGTATCACGAGCAGCTTTATTAACATTGGAGAGAGGGGATGCGGTGGACTTGAAACCATCTTCACATTCTTGAACCAAGAAGCAGCATCCGTTGTGGCTTCCTCTGCAAATTTTGGATTACCTTTGGTTAATGCCTCAACAGCTTCAGTGATATCAAACTTGAGTATGAAATTGTATTTCTTCAAGCACTCGTTCAAGGCCACTTTCAATTCTGGTCTGCTCTTCAAGAGTTGGTTGATTGTTGAGAGTGCGGAATTGGACTTGGATTTGAGTGAGTCAACCACGATGAGGGCTAGCGATGTGACATCTCTAGCTCTCGAGCTTTTTGGGTCAGCTCTGATAATTGCGACACATCTTCGGGAATTAGGGATTTGTTTGCACGTGTCGTCTACTAAATCCGCTGAACAATTGGGAACAAAAATGGTGGAAACTGCCAGAATTGCTATTACTAGGACGGCAATGGAATGAGGTGCCATTTTTGTGTTTTTGGCTTGTTTGGTGGTGAAGCACAAAAAATAAAAGGGAACAAATTAGAAGATGTCGTCAAACAATACTAAAAGGGATGGATGATTTTTTATTTGCGTTTCTCTAATTTACAACATCATATTATACTAGTGATGTCTGGTCGCGCAATACACGTCCCTAACCCAATATATCTATAGATCTTAGAAATGCTTGTATCTGGAAAAAAATATTTTGTATTTGGACTGATATATTTTAGAAATGTTTTATAAGTGTGATCACAAAAATGTTTGTATTTGACATAAAAAGAAATTGTATTTGGCCCGGTACATTTTAGAAATGTTTCAAGATTTTAGAAATGTTTTATAAGTGTTACTACTTAAATATAAATAAACTTGATCAAACATATATCTTCAAGTAAATGCTAGACAAAATATAAAAGCATCCTAATAAGTTTAAATATTAGTAAGATAATGTATTGATGTTTTCCATTGGCTGTGCCAAATCAATACTTAGTTTTGGAAATTTATAATAGCTTTGTAGTAAGTTTCGTCCAAAGGGTAAACGTTTAATTGTTGGAACTATTTCTTCCAAAAGTTTATAGGTAGTAAAATATCAAAAATATGATTTTGAAACTGGTTAATTGTTGAAACTGGTTGATCACAAATATCAGATGACAATAATATAAATTTGCATAGGTTTCAAGTTATAGCAAAAAGGAGCTCACCTCACCATGGCAAATAAAAAAAAAGAAAGTAAAAGATAGCCCATTAAAAATTGAGAAATTTACTTTTTTTCTGTAGGTAAAAATGATGTATAAAAATACAAATAAACGTAGAAACATCATTTCTCCTTCTCCACCTCAAATTCATAAAAGGCTTCCCCATAAATTAGTTAGAAGAAGCGACATGAACTATTTATACGATGAGTAACTAAAAAAAGTCCAAAAGCCAAATCCAAAAAAGTATATTCTTGAAAGCTCAAACACAAAAAAAAAAAAACGCACTTCATTTGCAAATAAAATAAAATAATAATAATAATAATTGGTCAACTGGGAGTATGAAACAAAAGCAAAAGCAATTAAACAAAGAAAAAATACACTTCATAACTGACCATATACGAAAAAAACCCGAGAATCCATAATTAAAAAAAGAAAACCACTCTAATTGAATGAAACATAAAAAAAGAAATTTAAAAAACTACACTTTTATAACAAAAACCCAATTAATCAATTCAATCCAAACCAAACTAAAATCATACAAAAATTCTTGGCTAACTAACCATATAAGAAATCACATCATATTACTTGACAACGGCTACAATGCTGTAACGAATGGACGCATAAAAATAATAGTAATAACACTATTTTTGAACGGGAAAAACAAAAAAATAATAAAAGTCAAACAAATAATCCGTGGAAATAAAATCATTTAAATTTTAATACCTGTAATGGCACAAAAGCCGAAGCAAGATCAATGTGAATCTTTTTTTTTTCCTTTGTGTTTATATAGAGAGGTAAAGAAAATAATTTTTAAAGTCGAAATTCTATCCGATTAGGATGTAGTTGATCATCACTAATAAAAAGATTGAACATGTTAATAGGAAAGGAATATATTTCACCACATATTCTCAATTGATAATTGATGAGGAATTTGTTTTTTTATTTTTTATTGTGGAGAAAAGATTGATTAGGGAGTCGATTGTCGTGGAGATGAAGATAAGGATTTGGGTTCTTTATGAACCCGGGGTATTTTTTTTTTTGGCAAAAATAGGAGGTGGAGGTGGAGGTGGATTTGGACTACATTTGACTTTTAAGTCTATGAGATGTGTAAATAAAAATTTATTTTAAAAATATGATGTGAAAATGTCACATGGTAAATGATTGTACTTTCTCGTAAGTGTGGTTTTTGTTTCCAATATAGTAAGATATGGATTATGGATTATGTTTGGTTTGCGAGCATTAATTTTATGTCTTTAAATTTTTTATTTCCATGAATCTCCTGCCACTTTAAAACTGCAAAATGTATATATGTTAGAGATTTTATGTGATCATAATCACAGAGGATCGATGATTTGGGAAAATTTGTCAATTAGGATATTATGACAATATACGTTAAGAGATTTGATATGATCATAATCACATAGGATGATTTGGGAAAATTTATCAATCGGGATATTATGACCATATATGTTAGAGATTTGATATGGTAATGACTGTAGGATGGTTTGGTAAATGATGTTTCGTTCTCTCAGTTTTTAAAAATGTGATTTAAAATATATTTTGGGTAGATACTTAAGGTATTGTATATATACTAGTACTATAGTATGTTTAAATAAATTAATCTTTTCCGGATAATTGCCAGACCAGTGCAATGTGGCTGAAATTCGGCGAGTAGTAACTTATGAGTTGAATAAGAAGAAAACGAAAATACATACCACCTTCCATTTCCTTTTTTTCTTTTCTTTCTATTTTTGTGGGTTTAATTGAATCGAACCCTGAAGAATCTCCGGGCCCTAACTTTGTTTCTGTTTTCTAGGAAAAATTGGCGTTCATAATCAAAACTTTGGACTCATCGTCAATTCTATTATATTGATTTTCGGTTAGTTAATTTTGTCCTTATTGTTTAAAATTTTTGTTAATTTTACCCAATTAGTCCGATTTTCCTTAAACTCAACATACCCTGATAGTCCGATTTTACCCAATTAGTCCGATTTCCGTTAGTTTTTTTAACCAAAAATACCCTGATAGTTTTAATGAATTATAAACATAACCTTAAAAATATAAAAATAATAAAATCATCCATTTTATTCTTTTTTTTCTATTTTATTTTATTTCTCTTTATTACTTTTCATAACCATCAAAATATACTATATGATCTTAAAAAATAATTATTTATTTTCAAAATCTATTTTTCATGTACATTTCGGTTGAGGGATAATTTTGTCATTTTAAATTTTTAAAAAATTTTATTTTTTTATTCGTTATTTTTCTTATATTTCCTTACTTGTATATATTGATACTAGTATAATTATTAAATTTCAATAATTAATTTAATTTTTTATTTCATAGATTATAAAAAATAACATAAAGAAAATAAGAAAGAAAAACTCAAGTTGAAAATAAATTTAAAAATTAATAGTTTATCATTCTAAACAAAAATCGAAAAAATCTTTAAAAAAAAAATCTGCAAAGAGAAGTCTCTCCTTCTTGACTTCCTCTAATTCATAGGTGAGTTACAAAACATAAATTTTACTTGATCTAGACTAAAATAATTATTTAGTTCGTTGTAATAAAAATAATATAAAAATTAGACAATCATTTGAAACATGAAAATGTGCTAATTTAATTACTCCACAACGATGCATTTCTGTAAATTTTGTTAACACTATTTTTATTTTTTTTTAATATTTTTTTTTGGCGGTTGCTAAACTGCATAAGCAATTATTGAATTTCATGAAAAAGATAAATACGTATATTTTTTTTAGCAAAATAATTACTAAATTATACTACATGACTTGTATTATTTTTATTACAAAGAAAAAAATAATCATTTTAGGCTAGATCAAGTAAAATATATCTTTCGTGACTTACCTATGCAATAGAGGAAGTTAAGGAGAAAAGATTTTTCTTTGCATTTTTTTTTAAGATTTTTTTTAAGAATGATAAACTATTATTTTCATGTTTATTTCAACTTAAGTTTTTCTTCCTAATTTTCCTTATGTTAAAGTTTTTATAATCTATGAAGTGAAACGGTAAATTAATTATTAAAATTTAATAATTATTCTAGTATCAATATATGTAAGTCATGAAATATATATATATATAAAGAATCTAAAAAAAAGACGAATAAAAAAAGAAATTAAAATTTTAAAAATTTAAAATAACAAAATTGCCCCTCAACCCAAATTACATGTGTTGTACATGAAAAATAGATTTTGAAAATAAATAATTATTATTTAAAGATCATATAGTATATTTTGATGGTTATGGAAAATAATAAAGAGAAATAAAATGAAATAGAAAAAAATGAATGAAAGGGACTATTTTATCATTTTTATATTTTTAGAGTTATTTTTATAATTTATTAAAACTATCAGGGTGTTTTTGATTAAAAACTAACGGAAATTCTTTAAGTTTAACGGAAATTGGGTCAAATTGGGTAGAATTGACAAAAATTTCAAACAGTAAGGATAAAATTGGCTAACTGAAAATCAATAAAGTATGATGGACGATGAGCCCAAACCTTTAGGTATGAATACCAATTTTTTCCTGTTTCCTACGTGGTACTCTTTTTCTCACACGTACGATCACCATTCTTTGACAATAATTTTATTCGTCTTAAAATAATTATTGTACTCCCTCCGTCCCATAATTATTGTCCAGTTTGGATTTCTATCTTTAGTTCAAATTGTACTATAAGTGAAATCTTAAATTGAACAATAATTATAAGATAGAAGAAGTATTTGTTATCCATTTTAAAGAGTAAGAATTGTAGCAGTAAACAAGTCAATTCTATTTTACCATCTTAGCCTGCCAAAACCTCAAGCTGGTTTGAATCCAAGGGGCGACACTGCCTAGCCAAAGAGAAGTACATTACCAAAGGGGCGAAACTGCCTAGCGAAAACGTTATGATATGTTATAGGAGAAACTCATTTAGAAAAACGTTATAATTCGATAATCTAAGTTTTAATTTCTTTTTTTACGCCTAGGGGCGGTTTAATATTTTAGAGACTCTTTCATATAAGTATGTTTTTTCTTTCTTTCATCAACGGATTTAAATCAAATCCCAAATATAAAACGTGCAACGTGACGATTGCTTGCTAGATAAATTAACCCTCAACACCACAATTTTTTTTAAAAAAAAATTTGAAAACAGAAAAAGGAACCAGAAAAGGTAATAGTTCCATTTCCAGTGAGTATATGTCAGTAGCTACTCAATGGAAGGCAAACTTTACCACCGATTATATAAGTAAAAAAAAAGTTACAAATTTGCTGTATTTAAATACTAAATACAGCAATGTGGATGAAAAAGTAAGTTTTAAATACTAAATTAAAAGATTACATGGATAATGTTAACTTTTGCTCAACTTTTTTATGAGTTTTTTTTTCAACTTTTTAAATTCATTAAGGAAGGATAAAAATGAAATTACATTAAAATATACTTGGTTGCAACCTGCAAGTCAGTTAATCAATATGTAATAATGGTTGGATCTGATTAGGATTATAAGTCTATAGTCACCACTCAGGACAATTATCGTGTAGTTAAATAATAGTGAGACGGAGTTCTATTATTTTGATATTTATCGTATAGTTAAAGGAAAATTGTTGTGTGAATACAAAAACGAAAACATTTATAACTTCAAAAAGTAATTGTATGCAAAAACTGTGGAATTTTTTTTTATTCCTCAGTCAACTTATTGATTCTTTTGTAATGGTGGTGAAAACTGCTCTTCACTAATTTCAACTTTTCGTATTGTTGCCAATGTCAAATAACTAAATATTTGACTTAGGAAAATGACATAGATAGTGAGATAAAATAGTGATTGATGTGGCACGTGTATAAATATATAATTACCCCCTATTTTGTTGATAGTAATTAGGAGATGTGTGTCTTTTTTTTATCTTTTTATTAGTCGCTATTTCATTTCACTATATATATCAATGCTCTTTGACTTGTTCATTTTAATTTGTCATTTTTGCATATGTTTATATCGAAATCATTGTTAACTATATACATAAAAGGGGAGTTTCTCCCTTCTCACACGTGAGATTTTGGTAGTACCTTCTCACGTGTGTGAAATATTATTTATGTAATTTTAACATACATTATTTCAAGTTTGATTTGTTTTTTCTTTTCTTTTTTTTTTGTTCTCTTTTTCTTTGTCCTTCTATCAATCCCACTTTCTTTCAATTTATGCATGCAATCAATTTTTTTTCTTCATAATAATGAATTTACTACATCATTTGCTAATTCTAGGTAAAAATTACTAACTTTTTCAATTCTTCCAAGTAAAAAGAAATATAATTTCACAATATGAACCTGCACAATCTTTTTGAATTCATCTTTTTCTTTGCCTTTTTCTATTTTTACAGATTTTCTCAAACTTTGGTAGTACAAAACGCATCGTTTTGATGAATATCTAATAGTGGAGCAAACATTGATTTTATTAGCATTCAAATCTATTTTTATTGTCTTTAGCTACTCCCTTCAATAGTAACTGAGAGGAAGAAGATCAACTGACCTCCTCCATTATCAAATCTATTCATTTATTAATAATTATTCCCATAAAACTAATGTTCATATGTATTTTACATTTTTCATCTTCTTCCACTATCTAATCTTCATATGAATTTTTAATGATGTGATAATTACATGGAGGGCGGTTACGAACTGATCATGCATTTCAAAAGATTTGTTTTGCCTTTCTTCTTCTTTATGTGAACTTTGGAATCATAAATGATTCACTATCCATTTTGACAGTATTTATTGAAAAGAAAGAAAAGAGTCCAAGCAGTTTTGGATGAGCAATACAATTTATTCATATTGTTTTACACTTCAACTTTCTTTCTCAAAAAAATTTATAGATATATAATACGTACTAGCAAATTTACTTCTGGAGTGCAATAGCGATACATTGGGAACGGAGCAGTGTCATGGAGAAATTTCTTAAGTCGATGCATTCACTGGATGGAGAGAATTGGCCTGTTAGAGGTATCAATATGATATTAGGTACTAAATTTGCTATTCGAGTTAGCTTTTTTGGTTCATTCCGTCAAGAATTATGCCGATTTCATTATGGTGTGGATTATCTTTAATTTACAAGTTACGAAATTCCCCATGATTATGACTAGTTACTCTTTGGATATTTTTCTTCTTCTAAAAAAAAATTACAATAAAAAGTTCTTTATGAACATTTGCTGTTAATAAAGTGAACTTCTTCTGAAAAAAAAAACAAAGAAGTAGTTTTGCAGTTTTTCAATATTAAGGAAATATATGTTCAAGATTAAGCATACATATGTTTATGTTCTTATGATTTTTACATTTTGTTATTTCATGTATATTACTCCCTCCATTTCAAAATAAGTTCCGTCCTACATTTTGAATATAGTTTAAGGAATTTTTAAATAGGGTAATAAAATTACTTGAATATCCTCAACCAACCTCATTATAAAATTGTCCACCAATAGTATCAACTTTTTTGAGGATAATTTTAGAAACTTTTGACAAAAAGTACATTGAAATGTGATAACGACACTTATTTTAGAATTTTTTCATTTTGTTAAAACGACACTTATTTTGGAATGGAGAAAGTACTTAAGATACGTGCGAAGCGCGTCGGATTTAGCTAGTAAACTTTAATTGTGTTTATATCTTGCAGGTTTCACAATCACCGGGATGGTTTAGTTGAATTCGCATCAGTTTCAGTTCCTCTGGATGGATATTCAATGACACTGATGAAGACAAAAACTTCGTCTTACAGTTATTTTTGTTTGTTTTTTTTTCTTTTTGGATTAGTAGCGATCAATTTTATTTATTTTTAAACATTTTATTTTTGGGAACACTAGAATACATAATATTGAGTAATATATTCATCTCACCAAATTTATCTCATCTTGTAATTTACCTTATATGTCAATTATTTATTGGACAATAAATTATCTGCACTTGGTGCACCATTTCCTTCACCACATGTAAATATATCAATTTAAATATTATATTTCTTATCAATATGATCCAATTTATAAATCTTTTGCATTATTATAATTTTTCCTTTAAGGGTTTTTTTTTCGGGGTTAGGTCTATTCATTTTAAAATTTTAGATGTAAAAATATCCAAAAAATCTATACATTTAATAAAAACTAATTGAATTCACTTATTAAATTTCACCCAATAATTAAGTGCCATGTAAGGTGAGATAATTAGATGAAATGTGTATCATTACTCAATAATATTATGTTACCAAAGATTCTTAGGGTTTAACTCACACTACTGTCTGTATTTTAAATTTTTTTTCCCCCTCTTTTGAATCTGTTTGGGTAGCATAATATATTTCCAATGCAAATCTGGGTAATATTATATAGAAATTATATTTTTAATATTATTTCAACCGATAATTAATACGAAGTACTCTTAAAAGCACTGATTTTCAACTCCAGGTAATTTAAAGCACTCCTTTTTCAGATAATTTAAAGCTACAAAAAACTGTAGTTTCTTTGAGCCCATTTCAAAGATCGAAATATTTTTACTTTTTACCATTTTACTGAGATTGAATAGTCTAGCAAGTAAGTGGTGGAGCTAGAATTTCATTATAGAGGGTGCAAAATAAAATTATCGAAACAAGTGTATTAAATACTAAAAAAGTATTAAGTACTAGAAATTATTAAAATATCATTTTTTCCTCATTCAAAAAACCTACACCAATTTAATTAGTTCCGTTTCGTTAATATTTTATACATCTTTTGCAACTATTATACCTTTAAGATGGTACTAAAATTTACTATATTTTCTATCAATTCCTAGTGTTCAATTTCAATTATATGTTTTTACAATGTGAAGAAAAAAAAAATATTTGTGAATACACATTTATTTAGTCATTGAAATGGGACACTGTAGGATGAAATTTTAAATTTGGCAAATTAATTTTTACAAGCTCGAACTACGAATTAAACACTCAACGGTCAAACCTGATACATTTTAAGGAAAAAAAAGGAATAAAAAGAAAGTTGGGCCAAGTTATAAAACTATATAAATTGAGATATAATTATGTAAAAATTTTATTGGTTTCGAACTTAAGTTAATTACCATTTTTGTTATCAATCTTTTTCAACAGAAGATCAAATCCAAAAACATTAACTATCATCTTCTTCCTAGTAGTTATTTAAAAATCAAACCAGTAAAAAAGCAAAAAAAAAAAATAGTGTTAACTTTGTATTGAGAAAAGAGATACGGTATACTATAAATACATATATTCACAGCGAAAAATGTTTTCTTTATCTTGTATCATTCAAAATATTTTAGAAGGGGGTGCGAAAATTTTAATTTTTTTTCAACTTAATAATTTATAATTTCTTAAAATATCAAAAATCGGAGCCCGCACCGGCTGGCCCCCCTCTCCCTCCGCCTCTGCAAGTAGTAACTATGCCGACCTCTGAAGCTCATATCCTTTCTTCAATTTGTTATAGAGATTAGTAATAGAAGATTGAGAAAAACTGATTTAATTAAGAGAGAATGTTTGTCGTCTCACAGATAGTACACGTCTACATGCAATTCACAATTTTTATATTTCCATTTTTCTTTTCTATTTAAAAGAAGGAGCACACAATTAGAGAGTGTCATCTTCTTTACCGAGTGAGTGGAGTCGGGGTAGTTGGATAATCCGACAATGGCCGCTCTGAATTCGCCATGGTTGAGCATTCGCCTCCTTATCTTATTGACTTTTCTCCGACTAACCTTTCCCGCCGCATCCACGCCGACTCCGACTCCGACTCCGTGGCCCCACCAATTTCACTCCCTACTGTTTGTCAACTTCAGCGGTTCTCTCAGCCAAATTGACCTCTGGTACGACTGGCCTAACGGCCGGAATTTCAACATCATCCGCGACCAGCTCGCCGGCGCCGACTCCATCGTCTACGACCTCGAGTGGAACAACGGCACCGTCTTCGCCTACAACGGTTCCTCCTGCCGGACCTCCCAGGTGGATGTTGGGATTCTCCGCCCCGATTGGCTAGTCGACGGCTCTAACTACCTTGGCCAGCGCCATGTCGACGGTTACCTTTGTAACGTCTGGGAGAAGGTGGAATTCATTTGGTACTACGAGGACGTCCTCACCAAACGCCCCGTTCACTGGGTTTTCTACACCGGTAAGCACACACAGCAGCTGCTAGGTTTTTTCGTTTCTGGTTACATTTGATTTTCGCGGGTAACAACTTGCTTCCCCTATTTGGCCGATGATAATTGGTAATTGAAACTATGTTGACAATTGAGTGAAGAAAAATCACCGCGAATTATCGCTTTGATGTGGCAAACATATGCATAGAACGACTCTGCATATAAAGAGAATATATCATTAAATTTTCGTTCTGCTTTAGTTGTTTACTTCTATAATTCATTGGTGTGAAACTTGGATTAAAATTAGAATCTGTTTGAACGGAAGATAAAGCACGAATACAGATTTTGACTTGTCACGAGCATTGGAGTTGCCTCGGATTTAGATTTTTAATTTGAGGGTAGGATTTGGTTCAAGTCTGTGTAGCAGCACCTCCAGTTCTTGCTCAATTTTGATTATCATTAGATAGAACCTCTTAAAAACCGCGGAAAGAAAGCCCAGCTCTGTTAGGTAAATGCTAAGGCCATTAGGGTCACTATGACCTGACTTGGTATACCTCTGGGATTTCAATTTTATGAGGTGACTTCCATATTTGTGCTCCCCTGTATTGCTGGTCACTTGTTAGGCTATCACCAGCTCTAATGCTGTGTCTGTGTATGAGTGATTCCATTCCTTTGTTTTCCTTCTTCTTTTTACTTCCAATAGCTCTCTTAAAAGACTTCGTTATCTTGGCAGGAAGGTCGATCCATGTCATGACATTTGAAGTAGGGGCAGTACTTGAGGATGAGAGATGGCAAGCTCCCGTGTATTGTTTTGACAAGAAAGCCGGCAACAACGACACAAAATCAGGAAGTGTTTTGGATTTGGATATTCGGGAGCGTCGTTGGATGACTTCTTAAATTCGTGTCCGGTTTGAGTTTTCTGAATGTACATGGATGTATATCATGGCTGCACATGACAAAGTTGATTACTCGACAGGGATTAGTGTCAGATCAAAAGTGCTGTTGTAGTTGTTCCTAGATTGACGTCTGGTGGCCAACTTGTTTTGAAACCTTAATTGTTATGCTAAATAGTTGTTCCTTGTGTATTTTGCTTTTTGCAAGCCCCATTCTTAGAAACCCTATCATTAGTCTCTTCTGTGATAAGTTTGGGGATGCATTCTAATCTTGCATCAATGTGTGAAAAGATTGAGGATATACACGTGTGTGTGCATTGCTTTCATTTGAATGGAGTTCGGATTGGTTCATTTCCTACTGCAGCGATTTCTATCCCTGCTTGTTTGCCATTTTTTTTTATTGTTGCTCGAAACTGTCTCTGAAGCAAGCCTGAGGGAATGGGGAATTGCAAAACATCCTGCAACTACTCAGACTTTCCTCTTCCATAATATCTTGTGTCAAATTCTGACAAAGATCTCCTCGGTCTGCTAATCTAACTTCACCTCAATCTAGTCCTCTGCAGTTTGAGTAATCATACAGTAGGTTGCCTTTAGCACCTCCTTCTTATAAGCTCCTTGACTATCAGGTGCACTTTGATCAGGTAGAAGCTGTCGGGGTACTAACAACTACTAGTTTGGTGCCTTAATGGATTTTATTTAACTGATGATGCATTTGGTTTCTATTTCCTGTTTCCTTCATTTCTTTCATACATTCCGAAGAGGAAATTTTCTTTTTGCAGAATATCCTGGTGATAATTGTCGAAGCATAACATGGTAGTGGTAGGTATTTATGAGTGGATGGGGTGATTTGTCAGCTTCCAGTCTGTGGCAAGGTTAGTCAGTGCCCTTTGGTATGCTTTAGTTGGTTTTATTAGACGTGATTGAAATATGCAATTCACTGTAAAAGATAAGAATACAGTACATGAAAATCACAAGGAGCTGCATTCTCGGAAAATTACAACTAGAGATTTGGCATGATGCGGTAAAGCTCCCTATGCTTCCTATCTAGTGAATTAAGAATTGAGCTATGATTTGAATCATGAAATTTTGCTCTTGTTAAGCAATAAGCAATATGTGAATTTACACATCCATTTTTACCCCCTCAAGAAATAAGCTCTTCTGGTCTTTTCCTGTTATCCTGTCACAGTATCAAGGATGAGTAGATTGTAGTTGTACGTTTGGTAGTTCCTTCATCTCAATCCCTTCCTTTTTCCTGTACTGATATCTACGTGCTGTGTACAGAAAGGCAGCAAAGTTGATCACAGCCAACACTGTAAGAAGCCAATAGAAGTAGTCGAACCGCCCCGTGTTTATGTTCTGAGAAAGCCATGATTGTTCTCTGTTTTCTGCACTCCCCGTTGCAGATTTCACGATGCTGTTCAATATAGAAGCGGCAAAGCAACCTAGGCCTCCAGCTACTGCTGCGTAAGCAGAACCGATACTTCTCATGGCATCGGGAGCTTCTTCATACAGAAATTCCAGCAACCCGACAATACAGAAGACTTCAGCAATCCCAATTAGACAGTACTGAATCAACAACCAGTATGCGCTTAAGTCCGGCATAGGAGTCAGGAAACTGACTTCAAACCCCTGTTTTATGGCATAGTTTCTCCTGTACCTCTCAAATACCCCGGCCCATGCCACTGACAAGATGGAAACTGCCAAACCAATCCCAACCCTTTGGAGCTGAGAAGCGCCGTGGGGGTGACCTGTGATTCGCCGGCACAGGGGGACAAAGACTGAATAGTACAAGGAGAGTAGTAGAAATATGCTGATACAAGGAAATACCGGCATACAAGTTACAGGGAGCTTCAAACTGCCCATTTGAGTATTCAATGTATATGCTTGCTGCACTGAGAGAGTGAGGAATTCTGTCAATATCAAATTGAGCATTATAGTGCATGCTGGAATCGGAATCAGTTTCATGAGAATTTTAACTTCTTCGACTTGGGTTACAGTGCAAAGCCGCCAGGGACTTGGATCAGCGCTATCTTCTTTTAGCTGTAGAGCAGCTTTGTCCAAACATCTGATGGCAACACTCAGAGTAAGTGAGAAAGAAAATTGCACTATATTTAGGTTATTTTGTAAGTGATACTAACTGCACAATCACCTGAAATCATCAGTATGAGCGATCTTGCTGCTTCCTTTTATAGCAGACCTTTTCCCAGGAAGTTCATACAAGCCTACAAAATCACCACTATCAAAAGAAGCATTCCTCTTCCGAAATGCAGCCACCAGAACCTGAGCCACCCGAGTCAGAGGGCTGCCTCCTGGTAATCTGTGCCTGTATAAGGGTGTACCTAGAAAGAAAACCAAGTTGGATATGGCCATGGCGATTGCCAAGGAACCAAATGCAGAACCCCATCCATGCTGCATTTGGATGTAGACGACAGCTGTGAAGGCGATGATCGCACCGAGGGTAACAGATAGATAGAAGAAGTTAAAGAACCGGTCTAGGTGGGCTTGGTAATCTCTACTCCTCTCATCGAACTGATCAGCGCCAAAAGAAGAGACGCATGGCCTAATACCAGCTGCACCAAACCCAGTCACATAGAGTACTGTGTAGAGGTAAAGCATCTGCCATGACTTTGCTGGTTCACAATTACCCAATAGTAAGGCTATCTGGTCGCACTGGTCTTGATTTGGCACAAACATTTTCATTGTTGCACAAAGGGTTATTCCTGTTAAGCCCTTCAATTTGCATGAAAAAGGAAACTAATAAGAGGCTAAATGAACTTAAATTAAAATACAGCTCTAGACTAGGAATTTAAGATAACTTGCTTCCTGAGCTGCTCTAGGAAATTATTATCAACTAATTGAATTGGAATTGATTATATGATACCGCAAGGTAGATTGTTGTGAAGATGGCAATGGTCCAGTATCTACCCAGGTAGGCATCAGCAAGAAAACCACCAAGGACGGAGGAGACCTGTGATATCCCGAGGAAATTATTGACTGCATTGGCAGAACTTGAGAAGGGGCGGTGCATCACATAGAACATAAACACAACCATGTTGACCGATAGCCCAAAGTAAGCCATTCTCTCTGCCATTTCATTCCCTGCATCCACAGCAGCATGTCACCTCAAACTAGCTATAACAGTGTCACTGGCTAAATCTACATTTCTACTGGATTGCTCTACTCACAACGATGTTTTACATTAATAGTAACTAATTGTTGCAAGACTCTTATATTTAAGGAAAAAAAAAGAAGATTTCTGATTTTATGTTTAGTTCTTATTTTGTAGTTCAAAGCTTTTACTTTGGTTATTTGATGATTTCAATTAAGATTGAAAGGTGTAATTGGGAAGATTACACTCCATAGTTCATGTATGGTACCTGAATGAGATCAAAAGTTCTACATTCTCAAAACATAACTCTTAACTATAAAATTTAGGGAGTACTTTTCTATTTTTACAGAACTGAAATTTTGAAAACGTTTGATAAAATCGGAATTCCGAAACCACAGGTGGATTAAAAGTACTCTGCTTGGATCTGATTGATGCATGAAAGAAAGGAATTTATCATATAATCATTTACTAACCAAAGATGAAGAATGCTGCAATCCAGCCGCCAGTCTTTGATATAGTGGAAACAGGGATTGGCTTTCCATGTATATTAACAGGTGTAGCTCCTCCAATGTAACCACCACCGAAAGCTGTCCGCCTGTCGTCAGACTCGATGAAGTAGACACCCAATTTCTTACTCCGGTTATGATGAGAATGAGCAGATTGTGGCGGCGTTGGTGAAGGAGACACAGGCAAGGCTTCGGGAGACTTGATTTCTTTTTCACCAGCCATGATGATGGCACAGTTTCAGTGAGTTTTTTCTCACTTCTCTTTAATTAACTTCTTCAGTGGTAGTACAAACAGTACTCCAGCAAATGCCTCTATTGAGAAGGAGAATTCAGCATAATGAGATGGTAGTACTTTGCTAGCAATAGTCTACAAAATATTCAACGCCATCTTATGATATGTTCAGTTTTTGTAGACAAACAGTTAAGCAGTAAATTTAATGTTTCATCTGCATCCATCATCATCATCATCATTTCATCATGTCATGATAACAACAAAATTGATGACACTCCTAATACTTGAGAAGAGGGTGTTTTGGCTTTGAGTTCTTTCATATATCTAACATAAAATAAGGGTACATATATGCCATATGCATGTTGACAGCAAGCATTAAATAGTGATCCAACTAACCACATTAAATTAGATGCCAAATAAGATGGATGAAGCACCAGCTGGTTGGCTTCCAAGATGAATCATTAATGTTGTGAACAAACTTTGAGGCTGAAAGATTGAGAGTCACAGGGACTTAATTCAGTATTTTCACTGGTTGGATTGTCAAATTGTCATCAAATCATGAATTTTGTGCATGTAATTCTTTGACCTCTCTACAATCTGGACTAGGATTGTTATTAATACTCCCGTTAGAGATTTTAGTGTGAAAATTTGAAAATGTTGATCTGTTTACCAACAAAAGGATTGATTGTGAAATAATTGTATCCTCTAGTGTCACAAGCAAAGCATTCAATGCAAATTTGCAAAATGCCAATTACGGGTAGTTGTTAGTTGGCTTGTTGACCTCTAGCCCACTAATCTGGCTGGTCCGCTAGGACCGCTACAGTTATCTTTCCATCTCTAGAACTTTGGGCCAACCTCGATGAAATGTGAACGCTGCATCTAAACGTTCATCAGAATTGGGCTCTGGTTTTGGGTTGTTGAATAAGTTTGAGAATGGGCTATCGTTGATTGCAACTTATGTGTTGTTTGTTACCAAATTCATTGCCGTTTCAAACTTTCAATACACATTTTGGAGCTTTGACAAAACCTTACCACCATGTCCTTTCAGAACAATCACACTAAAGTCAATATCTTTTGGGCAACTTATTGGGGGGTCAATGTTTTGGAGTAGTGTTTATTTTGGCTGGCCTTTACTTTCCATATGGAAGGCCCAATGATGCTAACTGCAACTTTTATTGTACTTTCTTGTAACCAAGCCATTTGGACAGAGAATGAAGCAGTTGATTCTCTTTTAGTGAAATTTGAATTTTTGCTGTCTTGTGGAGTTCTATATTTTGTTAATTCCCCAGCTGAAAGCTAAAATATTACTATTTCCTTTTCACAATGTAAGTTCACTTTGAGTAATATTAAGAATTAATTATTAGTAAAGATGAAAGGTTTATTTAATTTTTATTAATAAGGCCAATTACTACTTTACTCAAAAATCGTTATAGACATAAAGGGTAATTTAGGTAGTATAAATAAAATTATGTATTGTGATACAAAATGAACTTATTTTTCTCTTTAAAATCTACTCCAGTGAACCATACTTAAATATAGGTAAAACTCCCATTATATATCCCTTGATGGGAATTGAACCTAGATCTAATATCAAGAATAACAACATTCTAATCACTAGACTGTCCGTTGTCATCCAATTCTCATACAAAATTAACTTATATTTCGACATAGTCCAATATAAAAACTGGACTTACATAGTGAAAAAGAGGCAGTAGTCGCAGTCAAGGAGAAGTCTGGAGTTTAGGCCATCTCAGATACGTAACTAAGTTATTTGGCTTCCTACATATATTTAAAAGAATGCAATCATTATTCATTTATGCCAACTTAGATGTTCTATTTACCTTTTTATTGCCTCACAACGTCACAACAGCTAATATTATTGAATGAGGTAACTACTTTGTTTTCTAAGTATGTTAAGTTGTAAGAAAGCTTCTCTGCCTACCTTTCATAGTTTTAAATTTACTAAATGAGCAATAATATTTTTATACTATTCCCAACTTCTTGCACTTGGGGGTGATGGCTCAATTGCCCTTAACGAGTACATTTATAACTTGATTGAATATACTATTAGGGTACTAACATTTAGATAGGTTAATGGTAATTAGTGAGATTTAAACTTTCGTGCCTTAAGATAAAAGCACCCAAATTCTTTATTTTGGATAAATGATTGAGGAAGATGAGCAAATTAAACTCAATAAGTGACGGCAAAAATAACATTTGCTGGGAGGGGGAGAGTACTATTCATGATAGTAGTCACGGGAAGGCTTTGGTCCGGAAAAGCGACAAATGAACGAATGACTTATACTAATCTTTTCCAGCTGTTCAATGACTTTGTCCAGTTGATTCTTCTGCTGCTACTAGAGATTGAAAATTACTTTAAAAATTCGTATCAGTGTGAGTCAGTAGTAGCCATTATTATAAGCAAATTACACATTATGTTAATCTTTTTTGACTAATTGTTTGTGCTTATTTCTTGGATCAAGTGAATGAAGAAAGCCGAAACACTAGAAAAAACCGGGCACACTCCATGTGGGCTCTCCTAGGCCCACTGTTTTTTTGCCCTGGCGCCCACCCTTTCCAATCCAAAAATCCGCACCACTGGAGACTCTTTTTCTTGTTTTTTTTTTGGTTCTTTTTGGGCAAAACCACTCAGATCCACACACAACTCATAGCTGTCCACTACCGATAATGATTTTTCTGTTTAAACCATTTTAATATCTTAATCATCTTTAATCATTTGTTATTAGTTCCCCTGATTTCGATCAATTTAAGAGCGGTTTCTTTTGTTGGGATTGGGAGATTTACCTCCATACTCTAAATTTCCCTTATAATTTAACGGATCTTCTGTGACACTTTTATATTTAATCTTGTATAAACCTGATTGAATAATAGTCGTAAAGTCTTTTATAACGTCAGCACACCGAATATATAATGACTAGTGAGCTAACTAAAATTAGAACTAATGGTTTTTTTTTTTTTTTTTTGGGAGATTTTATGGGTAATTGCACGGGTGGTCCTTCTTTGAATAATGAGTAGTATCAATAAATCGCAGAGTAAATCACTTCACTCCAGCCCACTACTATCAAACCTAGTAGAAGACTCCCACCACTACTATTAGTAGAACTAGTATTTCCCCCATTTCTCGTTTCCCACCTTTTTTTTTTTTTCTTCAATTTTTGGCCAGTCAATCCGTCCTCGGATTTGACGACGGACGACGGACGCCGGCCGGTGGCGATGACGGACGACAATAACACATACCTGAATGGGGGCCTAATCCTGGTGGTCACCCTGTTGGTGGCGAAACTGATTTCGACCCTCGTAATGCGGAGATCCAAGGGCCGCCTTCCTCCGGTGGTGAAAGCGTGGCCTCCGTTGGTCGGTGGGCTGATGAGGTTCTTGAGTGGGCCGGTGGTGATGCTTAAGGAGGAGTATCCAAAGCTGGGAAGTGTTTTCACCCTTAAGCTGCTGACCAAGAACATCACCTTCTTCATTGGGCCTGAGGTTTCTGCCCATTTCTTCAAGGCCCCTGAATCCGATCTCAGCCAGCAGGAAGTGTACCAGTTCAATGTCCCCACATTTGGGCCCGGCGTGGTATTCGATGTGGATTACTCCATCCGGCAGGAACAGTTCAGGTTCTTCACTGAGTCTCTCCGAGTTAATAAACTCCGGGGATATGTTGATCAGATGGTTGTCGAAGCTCAGGTCTCATCTCATTTTCCTTTACATCGAACCTCTTTTTTTGTTTGGTTTCATGGGAATTTGCATGTGATTATGCATTTGTATTGATCATAATATGATTTAAGGATAGATTAGAACTGTGAAATTGCATCTCAATAATATTCAAGTTTTATTAGATTTGTAAATATGCATAATCTGTTTCTTCTACTTGCATGTAGCTGTATTTTTGTCCAATTGATCAGGATGCTCTAGTTTTCATCACGGATTTTGTTAAAAACTATAGTGTGGTGACTGATGTGATTGTAAAGGTAAAGTTGGATTTGGAATGATGTGATTGTATAATAGGGTTTGATTTACTAGTCAAAGTCTGAAAAGAGATAGTTAACACAGTTTGACCCCTGTGAAAGTATTTTACTTGATTGAGATATTGATTTGTGACCGAATTCAGAAATAAAAACTAAGCAAGTGATGTTAGTTTATCACTTTCAGAAATTGAAAAGGGGACAGATAAAAGGTTTGAAAGGTTACCAGATGGGAGTTGGATCATTGTATTTTCACCATGATTCTGGATCTGACTGTTGTCCTTGTGCAGGAGTACTTCTCAAAATGGGGAGACACTGGGGAAGTGGACTTGAAATATGAACTGGAGCATCTGATTATACTGACAGCAAGTAGATGCCTTTTGGGTGAGGAAGTACGCAACAAACTCTTTGACGATGTCTCTGCCTTGTTTCACGACCTTGATAACGGCATGCTCCCCATCAGCGTGCTAGCTCCTAATCTTCCTATACCAGCTCACCGCCGCCGTGACAAGGCACGCAAGAAGCTTGCGGCTATATTTGCTAGCATTATCGATTCAAGAAGACAAAGTGGCAAGTCAGAACACGATATGTTGCAATGTTTCATTGACTCGAAATACAAAGATGGACGTCCCACAACAAAAGATGAGGTTACTGGTTTGCTCATTGCGGCCCTTTTCGCTGGTCAGCACACCAGTTCCATCACTTCCACCTGGACTGGTGCATACCTCCTAACCAACCCTCAGTTCATGTCACAAGTCGTGGATGAGCAGAAGAATATACTGAAGCAGCATGGGGATAAGGTCGATCACGACATTTTGTCTGAAATGGAAGTCCTCTATCGGTGCATTAAGGAAGCACTTAGACTCCATCCGCCTCTGATTATGCTACTTCGCCAATCACATGCTGATTTCTCTGTGACCACTCGGGAAGGGAATGAATATGACATTCCCAAGGGCCATATAGTTGCCACATCCCCTGCATTTGCTAACCGCCTCCCACATATCTACAAAGATCCTGATACTTATGATCCCGACAGATTTGCTCCTGGAAGAGAGGAAGACAAGGCCTCTGGAGCATTTTCTTATATTTCGTTTGGTGGTGGCCGACATGGATGTCTGGGAGAGCCGTTTGCTTATTTGCAGATCAAAGCTATATGGAGCCATTTGCTGAGAAACTTTGAGTTCGAACTGATATCACCTTTTCCGGAGATTGACTGGAATGCCATGGTGGTTGGCGTGAAAGGAAAGGTCATGGTGAGATACAAGCGCCGACAGCTTCTGGTGGAATAATTGTGCATTTCCTGCTAGTATAGTGACGAATCTTCTGGCACGATTCTTCTAAACACTTTTTTCTATTGGTTGCCCTTATTTTATTTTGATGTCATTTTTTTCTTCTGCACTTTATTCCTCCGTAGATTGACCTAGGTATTTTGCCTGCTCCAGTAGAACTGACACGTTTTCAGTTGAATATCTGTAATCATTTTGGCATTTCTGTTTCCCATTCCCTTCTTTTTCTTTGATGATTTGCAACTGTTAAGTTGGCGAGTAATGATGTGTTCTGGCTAAATGTACTGATGTGAAGCAGTGTTTTATCCAAGAGTTTTTCTTTGGAGTAAAGAGCTTTCATTGGACAAGATTGATATTGCCCAAATGGGCAGTTTTTTTTTTTTTTTTTTTGGATGAAAGTTGAATTTCATTCCATGTTGGTGATAAAATACGTACATAATAGATAGGATTCGGTACTTATCTACCTGTAAAATTTCGAAAGTAAGTAGAAATAGGGTTAATGATGCCCATCAAAGGGCTGCTGCTCTATCTTGTAGTTGACAGTTTTTAATTATCAATGAATATCCTTTTTTTTTAAAAAAGGTCCTTTTGTTTTTTTTTTTTTGGAAAAGCGAAATGTCCTTATGACCAAGGATTTACAAGGCTGCAACTCTATATAATAGTACATGATTACAAAAGGTTCCCACATAAGGAGTACCAAAACAACTCATGCTAGTGTCATATAAACTGTGGAGAGATTGACATCCTGCTACACCAACTTCTATTCTTGCTTGTGTTTTTCATTTTGACAATCTTGGACAGGTTCATTCTTAAGGAGAATGAAATACTGCATTACCTCATAGATGAATTCTGACTTCGAGGAAATTATTGGAGATGTGTTTATTGTAATGAACAACTGAAAAGGGAGAAATACATGGAGAAAGAACCAGATTTACAAATGATTTAAGTACTGTACTCTGTAAACTAGGACTTGATATTGGGGAAACCGGCCTTAATCAAGGAACGGGCCCTGGTAATTTAGCACAAAATGAGTTGAATAAACTCTGATAAATGATTCAATTACATCATATCTATTGAAAAGAAAGTATCAACAGCTAGTTGTGATATTCAGGTGTACATATCAAATTCTTTCCATCTCAAAACCAAGTTGATGGTTCATGGAAAGGCCTCAACTTGAAACAATTTTCAAGAGTTCAATATCAAACAAGAGAGTTTTGTCTATCAATCCCTGGTTTCTCAGCACAAAATCCAGCGCTCGCTGTCCCTGGACAGTGGAACAAGATATATTAGCTGACTATTGGAAAGCTTCAAATATGCATATGTGTCAAGTAAAAATGCTGCGGCAACAACTTAGTTTTATCCTCCCACTAGGTAGGATCAGCTAATAGATCATTTACAATCATCTTTGTCAAAACATGAAGTTTCAATTGAATTCAAATAAATTAGGCAAGTTGTAAGGGATTACAGAAAATGTTGTTGGCCTGGGGCCCTTCTTGTTGTAGTCATTGTCAGGATATCCTAGTTCTGGAGGAACAATTATCCTGCACGAACATGGACAAGCTCTTCAAGCATCCACAAAATTTTATCGCATTATTAGATTGAAACTAACAGAAAACTACACTAAGCTGCTCACTGGTTGAGTTCTTAGCAAATAACATACCTTCTCACACCACCAGGCGACATGCCTGAAACGGCTTCCTCAAATGCGGGTATAACCTAAGGTTTTAGGAAAAAAAACTGAATTACCATCAGGAAATATAAACTTCAACTGAACAATACGACCAATAAAGCTAATATGGAAGCAATTAGGCACAGCATTAATCAAAGGTAATCCATTCTAAGGTAGATGGAAACAAAGTTGTGCTCAAAGCTTACCAAATGTAGGGCAGTATAGAAGACATGCAACTTCAAAGATGATAAGAGAAGTATAAGCATGAAGCATTGATTCTTGTTAGTATTGCGCTTTCAATTTTCTTACTCAATCTTTTTCAAATTACACGCAATTGTTACCTCGTCAGATCCGATTTTGAATTTGTAGAACTCCTTCTCACTGCCCTGAATATGATACAAACAGCAAATGATTTATCACAAATGATACATGCTCTGGGGAACAAAGAAGAAGAGAAAACAGTGGCATGTTCCATACAACTGGAAGACATACCTCGAAGGAACCACCTTTTGTTTTGTTGCGAGCTTCAAAAATGCGGCCATAATAACCAATGGTGTAACCATCCCAATCAACCTTTAAAAATATTTGATCTTAAGAAATCATCAGAATCTTTCATCTTTTCATTTAGAATAACCAACCAATGATGATTTATAGCAAACTAATTGCATCATTTCCCAGGAAATTAAAAATCAAGGCTAATCAAAGAAATGCAGATGTAATGAGCAAGACAACTTTTATCTGTGGTATGAAGTGACGAAGCATGTGATCAAGCTTCAGAGGGTGCTTCCAAGTTCTATAGCTGGTCTTATTTGATTTCTAAATTGTCCAGTTATCGAAAAGCCAAAATAGTTCAAAATAAGATGCAGAAAGAAAGCAGGCTTACCACGACTGTCTCTCCTATCTTGGGTGTTGGCCCATCCCCAACTCGCAAGTCCTGCACTATTTGTCATTTAAAGAGTTAAAGAAACCAAGGTTCTTCTAGGAGAAGACAATGAAGAACGTCACACAAAAGATGGTTTATGAATCACTATAAGACCTTATACTGAAGACCTGAGTTTGTTTCAACGTAGTCAGGGTACCGCATCTTGGTCTTCCCGTAATCCTTCCCCCTCAATGCAGGCACTGTATGCTCAAACAGTGAGGCTGTTAATTAGTCTTCAGATCTACAAGAGGTTGCAAATATAACAATCAGACAATTACACAAGGACAAAACAAAAGTGGGGTTCAAGAGCTTATGTCGTGAAGCAAAATATTCAGTAAGTGGCGACGAAATTCTAATTTTTATTTGGCCATTTTGCATCATGTACCGAAACTTGGACGAGTATCTCATAATATTGAAAAACTCCTGGTAACTTTGTGAAGGGATGAATTCTTACTATACGATGGTGTCCTATACGGGAAATGATGAATCAATGAGTCTTGGAGGTGAATTGGAGCAAAAAGAGGAAAAGAGAAGAAAAAAACAGATCCAAAGCAGGAAGTGAAAGCTTGTGAAGTTCAGATGCTCAGGCTAGATACCATGCCCAGCATAAGATTAAGAGCCGCTTCCAATTTGAGGCCAAGCATCATGCATAGTAGTATGACAGTAGTTGCCAAGCTGAATCTCATGCTAGGCCCAACGCCGAGCCTGGCCTGGGCGTGATACTGGAATTTTCAATGCTGACACGGAACAGAATCACACAACAATGTAATAGAAATTTAAGGTCAAAGAAGTTATAGTGATGAATCTGAAGCTTGAAGGCTTCATAAATCACAGAAGGGACAAAGAATAAGGGTGGGGCGAAAGCTCAAAATTTGCTTATTTTGATTAGAATTAACAGGCAATGCTTTCAATGGTAATCATTGGAGCACAGTCATGACATGCCAGTAACATGTCGATGGTAAAAGGAAGAAGACAACAGCTACAACATTTTTCGATAGACTTAAACCGAATGACTGAGAAATGGATTAAGAGGTTTCTAACAGGACCTATGGAAACTCGATGAGTAACAACTACAGAAATACAAAGAGACATTAGGGCAGAAGTGAAGAAATTACTCACTGTCAGCATACTGAGAAGCGGCCAGGGCAGGTGCATCATCATCTCCATTGAAGTAAGTGAGTGTCAACACCGCAATAGAGGAAGACATGAGAAGTCTCCGACGATCAACAACAGGCCAATGTATCTCCAACCGGTCATCATCTTCAGAAGCTGAAAAGCCGAAAAACAGGAAAAAAAACATTCAGCTTTTCATCTTTGGTGCATCAGTGAGCATTCTTAATCAGAGTTTTTCAAGCATGAACTTTGTTGTAGTCATCATATCAGGTAGAGTGGAAACAACCCAAAATCATCATACGGAAATAAATGAATTAAGAAAGATACAGAGGCGCAAATAAGATGTAAGAGTCACGTTATACTGTTTCTGAACAACCAACAGGAAATGGAGAAACCAAGTGATAAGTTATAATGAAAAAACATGAGGCACAACAACCTGAGGCAGGTGCTTCACTGCTTCTGCGCAAGAAGGACTTGGGATTGGTGATGAGCCACCTCTGAAATTGATGCTTGTGCCACCACTGAAATGCTAAAAGGCAATCATATCACTACCCCAATTAAAAACCCTTCGAAAAATTTGGCTGCAATTCGTAGAACCAGAACCCAAATTCCACAATGCTTATGCATGCGTACCCAAGATGATGATGAAGAACAAGAGATTGGAAAGGACCCAACTGTGAACGCCATTTTCACGAACTAAAAATGTGCACAAAACTACACCAGAGCTGCTGCAATCAGAAGCGAGAAACGACGGATGGATAGAGAGAAAGAAGAGAGAGGGGTAGAAGTTTCCAAGTGATTCTAAAGGAAAAAGACGTTTTGGGGGAAGAAGAAGATAACCACCTCAGAATTATTCACATCCACTCATCATCATATTAACTAATTTACTGTATCATGCCTCTTACTTAAAATTGAGCCCTCTTATCCTCCTCCCTCCATTTACATCATACTCCATAATTTTCTTTCCCCAATCTTTTCTGGTCATTTACTAAAGCAAAAACTTGTGATTTCCTCAGATGATTATACTGTCCATTTAGCTCACAAGTACCCTTTTTATTAACAGATCAAAGCACCAGCTTTTGTGGGTCAACAAAAATGGTTTCAGCACTTCATCTCATAGGATTGTATTTCAATTCAGAAACGCAATTTATAAATACCAACCAAATCAAGATGAACTACATCATGAAAAAAGTTTCCAAAAAGTAAATTTTTTAGCTCTAATACACACAATATTCATTCATGTAGCTATTCCACTCTCTTTACACAACTTTTCGTTCATCTTACTTCATTATTTCATCATCCGTCCAAGTAAAATCAAAAGACAGCTCATTGCAATGGGGATTCTCTTCAATGGCTAACAAGCTTAAGACTATTTGCCTTCTCTTGCAGACTGTCTAACAGGCTATCAAAGCTTTTCTTGAAAGAATCCACTCCTTCAACTTCAAGTTGAGATCCCACGTAGCCCCAGTCAATTCCCAACTTCTCAAGGGCACTGTAAATACCCTCTGCTTCAGAAACATTGGCATCGATGGTCCTTCCAACAGTGCCATGATCAATGAAAGCTTGGAGGGCTTGGTCCGGCATGGTCGACACCTATGTGGTTAAAAACAAAAATGAACACAATCATACACAAAATTTCGGAATTATCATCTCTATGGAAATATACGACAAAGCCTTATCCACATGCCACTGTTGGGTTCGGTAAATGGACTTACATTTCAATATTGGGAGCTAATGGGAACAATACACCACAAACAAAACAAGGAAAGCAACTAACTAAAAAGTAATACAATGTCATAAGGTATAGAGAGATATACCGTGTCAGGTCCAATGAGAGGAGCCACATATAAGGTATCAGGGTATGCTGGATTCTTCACACTGGTTGAGGCCCACAGCAACCTCTGCTTCTTGGCACCCTTTTTCACCAAAGCCTCCCATCTTGGTCCAGAGAACTTCTTCTGATAGAGCTGATAAGCAAGACCAGCTTGCGCATTTGCAGCCTGTAATAGTCACAATTATCACATAAGACATTCCCATGCGACCATGATAGGAAAATTGATATACTAGTGTTATGTTCAGTTCAATTACCTTCCCACGGAGATTCAGAGCTTCGGGTGTTCCAATTTTCTCAAGCATCTTGTCCACCAAGGTGTCTACTCGACTAACAAAGAACGAGGCAACACTTGTGACGCGAGAAAGATCTGATAGCCCGGACGCTTCAAGGCCATCAAGGTAAGCATCGATGACTGCTTCATATCTTGCAAGAGAGAATATGAGCTGTTTGTCCACCAAAACAAAAGGATAGGGATTAGATTAGAAAAGAGAAATGCTTAAGCTTAAAACAATGCATGATAAGATAATTTCTTCCATTTTGTTATTCAAAGATATCTAAACTAACTAAAGCAAAAGATGCCAGCAGTACAAATGCATTTCACTTCCAAGTATGAAGAGACGAATATATTTATTTAACATACCGTGACATTGACACTTATCCCATTTGCAATCACTTCCTTTATCGATGGGATGCACGGAGCGGTAGCAGGGATTTTTATGTAAACATTCGGTCGAGAAACTACTTTATGAAGCCACTTTGCAGCTTCGATCGTCCCTTGAGTATCATCAGCAAGTCTTGGTGACACTTCAACGGAAACGTATCCATCACCACCATCTGTTTCATCATAAATTGGTTCAAAGAGTTTACACGCATCTTGGATATCCTTGATAACAAGTTCCCAGTATGCACTTTCTATGTCCTTCCCAGCTTGAACTAGTTCCCTGGAAAATTTGACATATATGATCGAATTTTAGTAATTTGGAATATGATAATGAGGACCCTCATTAGATCATTAAACAGTAAATCACTTGTCATCAACTTCATAAGGAAACTGAGCACACTAACCAGTGCCAGCTGCAAGATTATATGCATAAAAACACTTTAAACTCCAACAGAACACTGACATTTTAGTCTTGTTAGACAAGAAACCAAAGCCCCACAAAATACTATAAACTAAATGCAGTGGATTGTGTCTCCACAGGAAGATGAAAGACTAGTACGTGAGAGAACAAAGAGTCTTAAGGACAATTCCCCAACCACACGGCTATAGAGGTGACATATTGACACTAATTTACAGTGATATTGAGCATAAGATACCAGATTACAACTATAACTGGTTCAAAGTACCTGAATTGGTCATTATAGGCATTTGATGTAGATATTGCCTTCTGGAAGATCTGCAGTAAGAAATGGTATCAGTTACTACCAAAGAAATAAAAACCACAGGAAGATAAATTTTTTCTGTTTCTGAAGAAATACATATAAGCATGAGGATAGAAATATTATAAAAATTACCGCAGGGTTGCTCGTTACACCTCTGACGCCACTTTCAATCAATGGAATCAGGTCAGTAACAGGACGGCACAAATTATCATACCAAGGACTTTGCCCTTGCTTCTCATAAAGGTCGTGAAGTGTTGTTCTCTTGATAGGGCTTCCATTTCCAGAAGCACTGGAGCACCTAACACTGTCAAAATGAAGCATGCTTGTGAATCAAATAGATAAAAAGTAGCAGAGCAGAAAGCAGGAAAATTGAGCCGATGCAACCAAATGGCAAGTACCCAAAGAACCATTACACATAAATACAGGAAACAAACCCATGAATTGGCATCTGCATGGTACTCATAAGAAATTTGACATCAGACATAACTCTGCTTATATTGCAACAGAATATGATGACAAGTGCGCACTAGGAATAAATTAGCGTACTGCTTCTTAACCAAACCAATATATATACGACGACAAGTGTTCCATAAGGAAAAATGATATTCAAGTTTTATAATACAAAAGCTATAGTTACCAATGCAAAGGGTACAGATTAAAAGCAAAGTCAACAGCCTAATATGAACCTTTGTGTTTGTATTCCAGTAAACATAAGATCGCATAAAATGACCAAAACAAGTCATTCTGCTTCTAACACAAAAGCTATAGTTACCAATGCAAAGGGTACAGATTAAAAGCAAAGTCAACAACCAAAATGAACCTTTGTGTTTGTATTCCAGTAAACATAAGATGGCATAAAATGACCAAAACAAGTCATTCTGCTTCTAGATATATAAACAAAGATTGGGACTTTTTTTACTTTCTCAGAATGACGGGATAACTCAATTGATGTGAAATAGAAACTTGAAAAAGGGGTGGTTGATCCCTTTGTTACTCTACTTTATGATCTTACTAAACCTAAAGAAGTTTCAGAGAGAGAATCAGGGATATAAACAGCGAATTGAAAATTCAAGAATCGACACTTTTAGCGTGCTGAACTTATTTAAATGATTAAGTATCAACAAAACTTAGAGAGATGAAATGAAAACATTACATCAAGGAAACACTGTGAGGAGCAACAGGAGCAGAGAAGGTAGTTGACAGGAGAAGCTTTCTGGCATTAGCGTTGGCAAAGGGTCTGTGAAGAAGGGACAAGGAAGACGATCGGGTCCGTCCACCATGAAGATCAGCAGAAACCCAGCTCGCGGAAGCAGTGGCGGCGGTGGAAAGCTTAGAAATGGTAGCCATGGAAGCAGAGAAAAAATGATCTGAGATCAAAAAAGAAAAAAAAAACCCTTTCGAAAATCAAATTCGGAGAATTCGAAGTGAAACTCTAAGATATAAAGTCCAACCGCTCTTCTTCTCTCTCACGCACACACGCACTCACCAACCCCCCAATTCAGCTTTTCTTTCTCCAAGGCGGTTTTGGTAAGAAAGGCCTGTTCAAAGGTTTTCCTGGTTTTTTTACTTCTCTCTCTTTTTTCCCTTGTTCTTTCTTTTTTTTTTCTAGAGCAGCGAAGTTAGACAAATCACGAGTGGATCATTATCTTTTTTTCTCCTTATGATAATGTTTAATACCACAATGTATTGTGGATCATTATCTTTCTTTTTGCATATTATTTAATTTTGGGGTTTTTTTTTTTTTGGTGCACATTTCATTCAAGACCAAGGATTTTTTTTCATAGGGCTAATTTCCAGTTACAATAGTACAATTATTTTACAAAACTGCTATTATCAATAGTCAAGGCATATGTGGCAAATTCAGAGCCGAGTAGAATAGTAATTTGTAATACTAATACAAGGAAAGATATCAATCAAGTAAAAAAAAAAAAACAGAAAGTGTAATTGAATCAAGGCTTGGAATGAAATTTCAATTTCAAAGGTTTTGACCCTTTTGGGTTTTCATTATTGAGATTTGTTTTGTTGATCATGATGTCATTGGTGAAGTGAAGCTGAAATCATATTTTGATGGCTAAAGCAGATTAAAAACATTTCATTAATTTTTTAATGATAATAATAATGACTAGCCATCTTCCGATGAAGGCCAACTTTGAACTGTCTGGAGAGATGGCTTCCGTTATGCAATAGCAACCTGCGGGCGTACCAACAAGACGAGCCATTTTAGCAGAATTGGTAGGCAGGTGATATTTGGTGATTCCCAAAGGCCATATCTTTTTTGAAAAATGATTTCTGATTTTTAGTGTATTAAGTACTAGTATCCTTTAGAAATTATTATCTTTTTCTCTAAAATTATTATTTTATTCTATTATTGTGTCTGGTTGCACAATCTTACATGGTACAGTAGCTGTACTGAATAATTTCTCATATTTTTTTGTTGTGTTTCGAAATCATTATTATATTTCTTATTAAAAAATTATTTAATGTTTAGGATAGAAAAAATATAAAATTGTTTTATAAACAAATCAGGATTCAAATACATGGCTCTTTTATTGTTTATTTTGGTAAACACCTGACCTTTTGGATAAGTGAAGAGTAGAAAAGAATCTTTTGTTCCCGATTTCGGCTGCTAAATTAGTTGTGAAATGGAAAAATATCCCAAGTTCTACACTTCATCATCAATAAAGGAGAAGAAAAAGAATATCCAGATCACGTGGGGCGCGTGCGACGATACCGCAGGCGTCATTTGGGTTGGATTATGCATGGACGTAATCCGTTTCTCACAAAAATTCCAAAGCACAAGTCCAAAGTCCAAACCCATTATGTTTGAGGAACTAAATGGGCTACTTCAACAAAGGATGTCATAAGTATTGGGCTTATCAAGTTCGGACTGGACAGTGACAGTCCCTACAGAGCGGATTTTTAAAAGAATTGGGCTTTGGTTTAGTCCTCCTAATCACGGATTCTCAGTTGTCTTGTGAGTTGGGGGAAGTGAACTTTCATAATTTAATGCTTTGAATAAACAATACTAGTAATGTACATCATCACATGGCATTTAAATACGATTAGTGATCTCTTCCAGTTCTTTAGTTATGATGAACATGCTCAGTTGGGCATCATTAAATGACGTGTGTTGGTTTCAGAATTATTCAAAAATCAAACTCGAATATTTCACTCACGATCTTTTGATATCATCTCTTTAAAAAAAAAATTTACGTTATACCGAGTCATTTTGTATCAAAATAGTGACACAATGAAAGCGCACTTTGGTGTGAAGATTAGAAGTTGAAACTCCCCGCTTTATGTTTTTTTTTTTTGGCCTTCTCAGCAGTTCTTACAGCCAACTCAACAGAAACAGAAAATGAATAGTATAGGATGGATTTGATAAACTTTCTTATTCGATTATTATCGTAGAGAAAGTTGAATCCTCTATTTGTCCCAAAATTATTGTCCAGTTTGAGATTTTACTTTTAGTACAATTTGAACTAGAAATGAAAATCCAAACTGAACAATAATTATGAGACGGAAAGAGTATATAGTAAGCCATCATTTGTGCCTAATACTCATAGCAAAATAACAATACTTTATCTGTGCCAACGTGATATACTTCGAATGTGATTTCCTTTCTTTAATAATAGTTTCATCTTATCAAAAAAAAAAAAACAATTACTTTATCTGTCTCATTTATGAGAAGTTTAGAATATTTTATTTGTCATATTAAAATTGTTGGACGGGCCGACGGGGTGACTTTAACTTGTTAATCAGCCACAGATGCTGATATATATATATATATATAGAGTAATAATTTGCAAGTGTGACTGAAAACAAAAATAAATAAAGCAGCAAAGCTGGATGACCAGAAAATTGAAGTATATGGGGAGAGAGCATTGAATATAAACTTGACTGATTCCAACAATTTCCATCACTTGTCTCGTATCCTATGTGTCTTAGTAGAGAAAGAAACCCAAACCCCCCTTCTTCCTTCCTAGCTCATCTACCAAACCAAACCAAACAAATAATTATAAAAAGCATATTTTAAACTAAGTTTTAAGTACTGGTATTATTGTTTAAGTCCTTTCTTTCTTCAAAGCTCCAACAATTGATATAAATGTGTGTTTGAGTCTGACCACACACGTTACCATTATTTTTCATTCAGTCATCTAATTCTTTTTTTTCCTCCAAAACCCCCCAAAAATAAAAGGTTGTCATTTTTCTTTTCTTTTCTCCCAATATATAATTCTTTTTTTTTCCTTGTTTTTTTGGGGCGGTGGAAATTTGGTTAGTTAACAGTCTTTAGAAAATGAGTTCATATTTCCGGCAGAAATTCCAAATTTCTTCAATATGGTCATCATCATCGTCTTCCTCACCAGAAGAAGACAAAGATGAAGGAAAAGTGAATCATCAAGAACTTAAACATGAGGATGATTATGAGGAGGAGGAAGAAGAAGAGGAGGAGGAGAAGCTAGAACTGGAAGATCAAAAAAGAGACGAGATTGAACGAAGTAAAATCAAGATCATGAGAGCCCGCCTTCTAACTCAAGATCCTTCTTCCCAGGTTCACAGTTCTGCAATCCCAACTCACTTGTTTCGTGTTCCTTTCCACTTCTTTTTCTTTCCTGCTGAATACTGCTAATGCTGCATTTACCTCCTTTTTAATTTTTGCCTGGACATTGGGGGGAAGAGATGAAGTTCTCTGTTTTTTAAGAATTTAGGACATGAATTCAAGTTTGTACTAGGAATGCTATTGATTCATTATGCAGCTTTTGGTCAATGTTTGACTTGAGTCAGCTCACCATTTTAAAGACAGCTTCGAACTGTAGCAAAATCACAGATCCACCGATGATTAATTGGGTTGAATAAGATGAAATTCCAGCTATAGATTCTTATTTGAAGCTTCATTACATTGAATTTTGTGCTTTCTAATTGGTTGTTCACCTAACATTATGTGTTGTGGTATAGTGGAAGCAGCTATCACTTTTTGACCAAACAAAAAGGGCATTTTAATTTTATGTTTGTGTTGTTCTCATAGAATAACTTGGGTTGTTGATTAACTAACCCTTTATACTGTAATCACAGGATCTAGATGATCTTATGATCAGAAGGTTTCTGAGAGCTCGTGATCTTGACATTGACAAGGCTTCTGCTTTGCTTCTCAAGTACTTGAGCTGGAGGAAAGAGTTTGTTCCCAATGGCTCCATTTCTCCATCAGAGATCCCAAATGAGCTTGCTGATGATAAGTTGTTCATGCAAGGACTGGATAAGTTGGGCCGTCCCATTGTAGTAGTTTTTGGTGGACGCCATAAGCCTAAGAATCTCGAAGAGTTCAAACGTATGCCCCAAATTTTTTTCACTGTCGGTGGACATATTCCCTAATTGGAAAGAAAGTAACGGGAAGGGCACAATTCATTGAACTTCAATGAGAAGAACGTGTAAATTTGTAAACCACAATTGTGACGTATGGTCTGTAGAAGTCACTTCACATAGTAGAATAAAGAATTAGTTGTTGCTGCTGCATTCTTCTCTAATTTTTTTTCTTTCCTGTTTTGAGTTGCACAGTATGTTTCTAAATCTGTTTAATGGCTTTCGCCCTGGTGTTACTTTTGCCCTTGTCCTTCAGCATTTCTTCTCGCTAATGCGTAATGTGATTGGTGTTTCACCTATGCTAACATCCATTATTTATCCCTTCTTTCTCAACAGGCTATGTCACTTTCAGCCTTGACAAAATATGTGCCAGGTAAATTTACTTCTATACATGCATTTCAATGTCTTTGGTTTTTTAGAGGGTTCTTTGAGAGTTCTTTGGAAATTGAAAGAAGAACCCTCAAAGTACTTGTAAATTTGCTCAGTATGATATAAGAGAATAGACCCCTGAGTATTCAAGAAACAAATTATTTTCCATTACGTATCTGTTCAATGAGCGAATATACCACTCGCGTACACACTAAGCATGCCTAGGCACTTGCGCCTGTGTTCTGTAAGGGTTGTTATGGAGATAAAATGTTATTGTCACAACCAAAAAAATGTTGCCTTTGGTGGAGCTAATAAGGCTTGAGCCTCTTTTATTGTAACGAAAAAAAAAAGTAAAAAATTGTTATACTGTGCAAATGACAGAATGCCTACTGGACAAGAGAAGTTTGTTTGCATTGCCGATCTTGAAGACTGGGGATATACCAATAGTGACGTCCGCGGTTACATTGCAGCTCTGTCAATTTTACAGGTTTGCTCACGTGTTTCCCAGATCCTCATTGCTGATTATCTTGCGATGGAAATCTGATCTTTCCAAATATCAGGATTGCTACCCGGAAAGACTAGGCAAGTTATTCATTGTTCATGCTCCTTACATATTCATGACGGCTTGGAAGATGATTTACCCGTTTATTGACCGTAAAACAAAGAAGAAGGTAGTGGATTTTCTGATCCTGTCTTTCCTCTTCCAGATGAATGATACCTTTAGGGTACATGGATTAATCACACACCAGAAGTCTAGCTTTCTAATGTTTTGGCTGAAATGTGATTTGATTTTTCCTTTGTCACCAGGCATCATGATGCACAGAATCACGGCTTAGATTTCTGGTTCCTTTCTTGATGTAGTTTCAGGATTTCTAATCTTCTGATTGGTTGTTTGTTTATGCAGATTATGTTTCTCGAGGACAAAAAACTGAGATCAAAATTGCTTAATGACATTGATGAGAGTCAACTTCCTGAAACATATGGAGGCAAACTACCATTGATCCCGATTCAGGACTGCTAAACTGATGTTCCAATTACAAACACTAAATGTGTTTTCCTATGTACCCTCCATTATATTGTTTTTATTAGCCATGTCCCATTTTCAAGATCATTTTATTACCATTGGGATATGAACCTGATCAGTATTCAGTACCTCGTTATCCTGTACCATTTGTAACAAAAACCTATATTATTGTGGTTATACTACCGAATGCTATCTGTTGTTGAAACAATACGAGCTAAACTGCTAGTCTCTGCTTATCGAACTTCTGTGCATTCCTCATTTCTTGTTATTAAGGATTTTTTTTTTACACAAGTTCCACATACAAACAATGCCAAATCAAAGCAATAAAGTTATTGAAAGAACAATCCACATTTGAGGCAATTTGTTTTCTCGTGACAAATTAATACTACGTGTGAGGCTGGGAGCATGGGACGAAACAAAAATTGTTCTTCACCAAATTTGTCCTGATTTGAAAAGAATGTCTAAAATCAGGTGTTCATCCACGAGCTTCTATAGTTCTATCCACAACCTGACGTGATATTCATCAATAAGGTAGTCGCCTGATAATTTGGTTCCAAGGTGTTCGCCCTGTTTCCTCCAGAAAACTACTATACCGCGTCCGACGACAATCATTCCAGGAGAGAGGGAACACATAAATTCATGATTCTACCATCAGTTCTTCGAAATGCATGATTACTAACTACATTCAGAAACAAATGAAGGAATCGAAACAACTCTTAAAATGAAGGTAAGACTTCTAAACCTTAGGTTCAGGTATATATATCATCCAATCCAGCTAAAAACATGATTATAAATATCAACCTAACCCATTTCAATATGGTTCTGACAGAAGCCAGCAGAATTATTCATGACAGCAATTCCATGCCTTGACTGGCAGGTCCAAACAAAATCCACATCATGTAGAATGTGATTGCAGTAACCATAAAATTAAAAGGAAAGAGCAAAAATATAGAGAAAAAGCAACTCGAGCTCAAGCCATTCAACTAAAACAAAATAAATTCAACAGTTACAGATGACTTTGGTGATGCTGCAGTAATCCTTTAACCAATAAGTAACTTGTTCTCGTCCAGGAAGGTGTATGTTGGAACCTCCAAATTGTATGGTGCAGGTCCTTTTCGAATTCTACCGGAGATGTCATAGTGCGACCCATGGCAAGGACAAAACCATCCACCAAAGTCACCAGCATTAGGTAAAGGGATACACCCCAAATGGGTGCATACGCCGACAACCACAAGCCATTCGGGGTTCTTCACCCTAATAGCATCTTCCTGGGGATCACGCAGGGAACCAACATCGACACTGTTAGCCAATTTGATATCATCGTCAGTCCGATGCCTGATGAAAACTGGCTTCCCACGCCACTTGACTGTGACAGTTGTGCCAGGTTCAATGCTAGATAGATCAACCTCAAGGGAAGCAAGAGCAAGGACATCTTTGCTGGCAGACATGCTTAGGACAAACTTCAGTACGAGAAGACGGATTAATGAAGCATAAACAAACCTCCCTCCGGTCAAAACAAAGTATGCAAATGCACGTTTACTAGGGTCACCAGGAGGAAAACGTTCATGATTGGACTCATCATAGGTAATTTTTGCAGTTGGATTCTTAATAGCAGCCACTGTTGATGGGATGTCTTGAACTAAACCCATTTCTTGTGGTGAAGCAAGAGAGTTGGAAGACAATCCTGTAAGAATTTACGATTGAACATTAGGCAGAGGATAGCCATCAATATTAAGAAACCATAATAATTCCTCATGATTACTGTACTTGAATAATTGAACTGAATTAAAACATCATCAGTAATCCACCAATCTACATTAACTATCCAGTGTCCACCACTTAACCTCCACTCACATTGAGTAAGACAGAGTTTCCAGTAAACAAAAAGGCACATTGCGACTCGAGGTCCAGGTAAGAAAAGGCTATCATAAGCTTTGCAAAAGAAAACCAAACCTCCATACACAATACTTGCACCCTTGCCAAGATAAAACGTCTAAACTCAACTCACACAGAAAACAGGCTTTTTCATACTTGGAGAAGACAAACCAAAATGCTCTCATATTGATAAAATTTAAATTCACAACTTATGATATGAACAAAAGAAATCAAGTGCCATTGGAAAGCAATTCCACTATGCGGTAAAGACCATTATTAAGCTTCGTGAAAAGAAGAAGGACCCTCCACCATATACCATGTAAGCCATTTCAAAAATGAAAGCAAGCATGTTTATACTAGGAAGAGCACAACAAACCCCGGAATTCAACAACTTCAAGTTAAGATAACTCATCCGCTACTTACGGGATTATCAGAAGAAATCAAATAGTCACATAATTCAAGTTCATAACTGGCCATAAAGATTTTTCAGCCTGAAAAGATATCATTTTTCACATAAGGGCAATGAAAGAAGTGTACAACTTCGACCCTATCTACACTGCAATCCATAAAAAGGTTCAAATGAACAAATCCACGAACACCAACAAAATAGCTGCATCATAGCTTCAAAGCAGGAGATCAAATTCACTAGTTCATAATCCAATTAAAAAATGAACAAGAGCAGAACGGGAAGGAAATCCGGAAAAAAAATCCTAAATAAGTTTTAAAATTAGTAGGAACATAATTAAAAATGACCAAATTCAAACGAGATATCTATGGCATCCTTCTGATCGATGAAAATGAATTGAACACATACAATAACGAAAAATAACGAAATAATAATCGCCGAAGATCCGAATGGAAAAACAAACAATAGCGAAGAGAAAAGAGGAAGACGATTTTAGGGCAAGGTAAAAGTGATAGAACCTCTGATTTGATTGAGGAAGGGGGATACGGTGAGAGAATAGGCTTGTTCTGGAGAGGCGAAGGAGGATCTGGAATGGAAGGATGAGGAATCGACGGCGTGGAAGTGAGAGGCGGTCGAGCCGGCTACCAAAGCGTCATTCGCAGCAGGGCTTCTCCACCAGGGGAGAGGAGAGTGCCTCAGCCTCTTCCCAGCAAATCGAAGCATTTTTTCCGCCGGAGATTTCAATCGGAAAATGGATTTCAATTTAGGGTTTGAGTTAATGGTGAGCGCTACCACCACCGTCAGCTGCTTTCCGCACCACCGCTTCGGGAGAGACTTCTTCTATTTGGTAGAATACATTGATGTATTTTGACGCTATTATTTTATTTCTCCGAGTTTTTCTCCCTTCTTGTTTTTATATATCTTTTATGCAACAATAGGCACCGAAAGCCGTCTTAGCTCAGCCGGTAGAGCGCATGGCTTTTAACCATGTGGTCGTGGGTTCGATTTCCACAGACGGCGAAAATTCCTTAAACAACATACTATAATATATAAATTTTGTTCTTATTTTTATGATTTCAGACGCCGTTTTCCATTGTTCATACCAGTGGTTGCCCAAAAGAGAGGAACCAAATACTTGTTGGGATCTTTAAAGTTTGTTTACCTTGCAAAATTCATGTCAAGTGGAACAAATTGCAGGATTCTTCTTTTGATGTATGATGAACTTTGTTGCAGTCAGTCTGCTGCAGTTCAGCTCAGGACCGAAGTTTATAACTTATCAAGCATATCAAGTTGACAAAATGAATTCAAAATGAGTATACGCAGCATAGAAAATGGAGAAAGATGAGATTGAACAAGACAGAGTTGTTTGAGCACAGAACATTGATGTTTGATGGCGAGAAGAAAAGTAATGGTAGTATCATTGTATTCAACATCTTGACATGTACAATGACTATACAGTTATCTTAGATACCCTCCCTACTAGACAGGAACAAGTATAACCAAATTCAGTCTTTGAAGAGGTTTCGATCCACCATCCCATAAGGTCATCCAAACTACCCCTACTCACAGCAAAGGTCACAAGCTCCTTACAAGCAGCTGCAAGTCTATTACCAGACAGAGGGATTCCTCTTCCAAAGCAGCTATTTTCTTGGTTATAGTGCTTACTTCTCACTTACGATTGATTCCTGAATGAAATGCACTGAGCCTTGGATGGAGGATAAACTAAAATCATTTTCACTCTTTGCTTGGGGCTGGAAAACTGACTACTTGCCCTTTTTGACTTGAGTGAAACTCCTCGCAGCTTTGGGGAAGGACTCTTTAGTTATATAGTACAAGGCCCTTCTGATCACCAACCATTTTCTCTTCACCAGAAAACAATTTCTGCAGCTTCCCTGCTGATTGCCAACCAACACCAAGATAATACATAGAATGTCTGTATCAATTAATTACCACATATTATTGCTTTTGAAAATGATACCCAAAACAAGGTCTAACCAGTGTGGCTATGTTTGTTTCGTTTTTTTAGTGTGTGTTTTTAGGTGTTTTTTATATTGAGAATGTAAAGAGACATATTGAAAATGTAACAAAGTATGCTGGGTTGCACAACTAATATTGAATTATTTTGAAATTACCATAAAAAACAAACCAAACAAAGACTTTGAATGTATCGAGCATTTTGAGTTGCCGCTTCTCAAAGCCTGTCAGATGCTAAAACAAGATAGTCCATGTCCTTGGTTAAAGATATGATCTTCGTGTCTGTTTCAGCAATAACCCACTAATCCTTGAAATGTGCATCTCCTTTGCTTCTCCCTCCACAAACCCCCCCCCCCAAAAAAAATAATAATAATAATAATAAAATTTAGTTTACAGTCAATGGGGTTTTCCTTTTTTCCACTTTGAAGTTATGACTTTTAAATGGAACTGCTATGAAGACACCCGAGCATGTAAAGTAGTTTGCTGAGAATTAGAAAGAGAAGTCTAAAAACAAATGAAGTCTTAAGCTGATGAAACTCAAAAACTCTGTTAAGACAACACCAATGTGATTTACAAAAGTATAAATTGGTTCCTATTAAACCCAATGCAGCATGACATGGATAGTTGCAAATTCTAAAAAAATTCTGTGGAATTGGCCTCTGATCATCTGCTAGAGTAAACTTGCAGTAAACTTCTATCCATATACTTCCTTTACAAATCAACCCCTCCAACAAAACACCTTGTGAAACCCCTTGTTCTGAAAAACCTATGTCGGGAGTGACATTACCATAAATTACAACACCTAATGCATTCAGAAATAATCTCTGCATGAATCATTTCTTTTTCTTCTAATTGTTTAACGAAATGCATTGTAACCTCAAGAAATGAGGAAATATAATGTATTACAAAATTGTAAATAAAGACTAATTAAATGTCTCATGGGTCTGACTTCTAAAAGACCGAAGGTCCGAGGCTGACAAAAGAGAAAAAATAATACCATGTTCTCAGCGCAAGTTAGTGCACAACGATTTCACTCATCTACAGATCCAGAAGAATGAAGTGGGTAGATCTTTAAAACATCATCCCATGTTGTGTTTCCCTCAGTCACCTCCTTCACAACTAAAGCTACCTTTTCCACATCAACACGAATTTGGTCCTTGCTATCTCTCTCTCTGATTGTCACTGATGATGCCGAATCCACTGTAATTGCGAAGGGCACACCAAGTTCATCCGTTCTGGCATAACGTTTTCCTATAGAAGTACCTACAAGAGTTGCCAACAAAGAGGTTCAAAAGACTAATTACCTGTTTTTTTCTGCTTCAAGACATAGATATTCACTACGACTTTCCCAAGATTAACGAACAAAGTTAGAGAAAACGAAAATGTTAAGCCATGCCTACACAAGTATATGTCATTCAACTTCCCAGAACATGCATGAATTGAATGAAAAGCCTAAGTAAATTCCATGCTACAAAGGTTAAATACCTAGTTTGGTTGCATACCTGTTATGTCAATCCTATGTGAAATTCCACAAACAGTCAACGATTTGGAGATTAATTTAGCAACTTCTTCATACTGTTCATTCTGAACAAGAGGGAACACGGTGCATTTGATTGGGGCCACAAGAGGAGGAAAACGGAACACGTTCAGCTGCTCATCCCCAGCTTTGCTTGGCCTCATGTAGAACGCATGCTCAAAAAGACAATATATAATACGCCCAATTCCAAAAGATGGCTCAATGACAGAAGGTGTAAAAACTCTCTGGTGTTCTTTCTTTATTTCCTTGGAAATCGATACCATGTTTCTCTTGATAGTCACATTCTTCCCAAGAGTGCATACATAAAACTCCACCTCACCTTTTGTTTCTAGATTAGCCTTCATCTCCAAGGCTTCTTTTTCATCCATTGCCTACAAAAGATAAGGGACCAAAGAGAAGCATTATAAAACCGGAAAGAATTATCCCTCTTGTTATGGGGTCTCTCTAATTCACTTCTTGGGTTTCTATGCTGAATTCGGCAAACTATTCTTTACTTCTTTCATTGTTCAGTCCCGATCCTCTCAGCCATCTTTTTTTTTTTCTTTAGATGATGCACCAATACACATTGTTCACTAGGCATTCAAAGATATGTTAGGATCAGAGGAGGATAACATACCTCCAGGGATTCAATGACCATTTTTTGGTTCCCTTTGAATGCTAGGCCGAGTTCCTTCTTAACTGGAGCAATAATGAGTTTCTAGCAGTAGAAGGGGTATCGTTATTCGTTATGAACATCAAAGTTGCAAACAAAACCATATTTTTCATTAATGCAAGTTAAGTTAATCAGCTACCTCGACTTCCCTGGGTTCTGAAAATTTCTCCTGAGCAACAAGCGCAACACCACTTTTGTCCTATTACCAAAAACAAAGTGAAATGTTTTCAGCAGGAGAAGTTCAAAAGTATCTGTATTTCAGTTCTAATAGAAAAGAATATTCATGGCGATCACTTTTCAACAAGACACTAATAGTAAAGAGAGCATTTGAAGAAAAACAAAAACAAAAATGCACACATGCACAAAAATTTTGCAGGAAAAACTAGTAAAGTGCTTACAGAATGTGCACGCAAATCATATGCAGATCGATCAGCAATTCCAACACACTCAATCCAGCCATGAGAACATTCAATTTCAGCATCCCAACAATCTGCAGCATAATGAGCCATCTCATTTGCAAGATGCTGCCTGAATCTCAATCGTTCTTTGTCTATTCCAAGCCGTGTTAAGAACAGGTAAACTCTTCCAATGAAATAACCAAGTGTTTCATTGTTGACAATTCCCTACAACAAAATTTGGATTAAAATGATTATATGATATATTCTACATCATGAATAATTTTCCACAACAAAGAACCAACCTTTTTGACTGCTTCACCAATCTGTAATCTCTTTGCTGATTGCCCAGACGTTTGATCCTCCCTTGGGAACATTAGGAACTCTAAACTCGCAACTTCGGAGAATTTTGGGTGAGACTTGTCGAGGGGATCAACAAAGTGCTCAATTTCTGCTAAAGTGAACTCACGGACTCTTAACAGGCCTTGCCGAGGGGAAATCTGTGCATTATTCGTTACAGGTAACAGAAACAAAGCAGATATCATAAATGCTGAATCTTTTACTTTTCCACGAAAGCATCCAGCTATGCTGGAGAAAGTCTTACTACATAGAGAAGAGATGCAACTCAATCCACACATAGTTTGCATCACAATACAAATAAAACCACAGTTATTATATAGTTTTGCCTGATCCTGGTACAAAAAACAAACTTGCATAGCAAACTACGGTAATCCTAGGTTTGCCTGGTTCAAAAATGAATAACAAGATACTATAACAGATACACCCCGCGGGGACGAGTGCTAACCAGAGTAGCTAAGATAACAGGCAATATAAGATTTAATGAGAAGATGCTCTGTTTTAAGCCAAGGTACCTCGTTTCTAAAAGCCTGGCCAATTTGAGCAGCAGCAAAAGGAAGCTTGTTCCCATTGTAATAATAAAGATCTTTGAAGTTGACAAAAATGCCTTGTGCCGTCTCAGGGCGCATATACCTAACAAAATCAAAATGAGATAAGCCACAAAGATCATCCAGATCCCAAAGATAGTAACCACTTGAGCATTAAAAAAAACTCCATAACATGACGTACTAAAAGCTTCAAAATCAAGCCGTCATGAAGTGAAAATTTTTAGGACACAAAAAAATCATGCTCACCCAGGGCTCAGGCCAGAGGGCCCTATTGAAGTCTGGAACATCAGATTGAAAGGATAAGGATCAGAAAGCTGGTTTTTAGTGTCTGGTGCAGTAATTCCATACTCTTTTATCTTTGCGCCAAGCTGCTCAGGAGAGAGATCGTCAAGAACTGCAAGAATATGTTTCAACTCTGAAGCCTTATCAGCCGGCATGGTCAAATCCTTCTCAAGCTTATCTTTACAGTAATCCTTTATCAGATGATCAGCTCGATAACAAGTACCGGTCTTGATATCCTTTACCATAAGATCTGTGAACTTGTCGACATGCCCAGATGCCTTAAGGACAACTTCAGGTGTAACACAAGGACAGTCAACCTCAAGCATATTCTCCTCCAAGACAAAATGCTGAAACCCAACAGAGAACAGTATCAGATGGTTGAATTAAAACCATCAATGATATGACAATTTCCACTTCGAAACCACTAACAGGTTTGTAGGCACATAATTTTCCTATCAAATCTCCAAAGCAAGTAATGCAAAAGTTATCTAACATGCAAACAAAAATCGAAGCCAGATACCATCATACCAATTAAGAAACTTAATCTGCTATCCATTTTTACAGCACATATCACTAAAATTATTAAAACAGGATCCAGTTTTACAACACATATAACTACAATTATAAATGATTAAAATGCTTATTCCAGTCTCAGTGTAAAAGTCTCAAACATGCTTGATCATGATTTGGGAGCCATATGATAATCAATACAAGAAAAATAACACCAAATTACTAACTATAGTTTTTAATGATGCAAAACGATGGAATAAAATAAGCCAGATCAACAGAGAACAAGAAAATCCTAATAGATAGAACTCCTTAGTCATGTTCAAAATTCAAACAATGAGTTTGAGAACAAAACAAAAATTAATATGGTCTCCCTATGCCAAAAATCCAATGAATGGACGACCCTATCCCAATAATTACATGAAAGAAATAACGAGCAAATACGCAATGCAAAACAAATACACGATTGTACATAGGCCGGGGTAGAGGATGGAGTACCTGCCGCCAGAAACCAAGTACGTTAGACTTGACGGCACAACCGGGAGGACCATAGTCATATAGACCGGCAACGCCACGATAAATTTTAAAGGAAGGAATATAAAACAAACGGCGTTCCAGGGTGTTAACAACAGCCTGACGGAAGGCATCCCTACTGCCGGAGGAGCCTGAAGATAAGGCTGATTGGAGCTGGGACTCAATGGAAGACTTCTCGAGCTTCAAAGCATTAAGGGATTGGACGGCGGCGTCGATATCGGGCTTGGGAGCACCAGACGCTTTCAATTGGCGAACGAGATTGCCTTGGGCTTGGATGTTGTCTAGTTTCTGGGCAAGTTCCTTGCGCAGAGAGTCCTCCATTGCTGGGATTGGGCGGAGGACGGCGGTGGTGGAGTGGAAGAGGTGGCGGAAGGAGGTGGCGGAATGCGCCGAGTTAAGCAGTACACGGAAAAACGATGAAATTTGCAAAGCTCCCCGCATGCGCCAAATGACGTCAGTCTGGGTTCTGTTTCACAAGAAGCCGGTTATGGATGTACTATATATTTTTAGGGTTTTAGGAGAGCCTTATTCTGTTTTAGCCTGTCCAGGAAACCGAACGATGGCGTTTCAGTAAAGTCCTTTTGTTTTCCCTATTAATTCTCATTTCTCATCATACCGCAAGTACATGTACATCTATATCCCAGAGGAGGCGAGTAACAAATGTATAGTACTACTGTTTTACTTTGTCAAATGTATACAGGTAATAATATCCACTTACGGACAGTGTTCTATTTTTGCTGGTTTAAACAGTGCATACATACATTCAACATTCACATAACGCCCCTCATTTCCTACTCAAAAAGAAAGGATATGGAACATCTAACAGTGATAAAAGTTGCTCAGAATGTAGATTTTTTTTCCCCAAATCCCATCTCTCTTAATCAATTCAGTTCATCTGCTGCTGCTGCTCCAGTTTATTGATGAGGGCTTTTTTCCCTGCTTCTGTTAAACTGTTGAACATGAACACCGACTTGTCTCCAATATCATCCTACCATTACACATCGAAGACAATAAATCAGAACCAAAATGGTGCTACTGCAAATAGTAAAAGTGCCAGATGTAGGGACGGTCTGTATATACCTTAATCGGTTGAAAGAATTTCCTTCCTGCAAATACTACAAAGAGTGCCATCCACACAACAAGCAGATTTGTTTTTGTTCCTTCATCCATTAGACCTGTCTACATGTAATTCAAACAAAACTCCTTTTAGTAAGTAGGAAGCAAATGCTTTTGTTCCTATCACTACGTATTCGTACTTCAAGATAAAGGTCTCTTGGACTAGAGCAGGTGCATAATCATTACTTGGTAAGCGTAACTTTTAAATTCGTCGTTATGAGAATTACCAAGTGTCCAAGCAGAACAGTAGGAATTATGAATGTGAGGATACCCGCCTCCAGCTTGCCATAGCAAAGACCTGTTCAACTCAGCAAGAATGAAAGCTCCAGATCACTCCTTAGAAGCCGAAAGGACAACATTTGTGAAAACTCGAGATACATGGAGAACACAGAATTTGCTATTTATATTTATAGTTTCGACAGGGTTTACTCCCAATAGTTTCTGCTGAATTATAAAGGTTGGAATGGGAGGAATGAAATTCGCAAGGATCGATTCTCCATCAAAATGTGATGTAATTTAGCCCTTGGTCTCTTACCAAAATAAAGATAATTACAGAACATTAAGCATACGGACATTATATCCATCGATTAAATCGAAAACATCTTTTCCTATTACATCCATCCATTGAAGAGCAAGAGGAACAGTACTGTTGGAAACACAAAGCATACCTTCCTTGAAGACAAGTCCAGTGAGGGCAGCAAAGAGCGGACCAACAAACCAGGTAGCCATAGGATTTTCAATGACATAGTTAACCAGCTCTTTTCCAGCCGGTTGGGCAAAGTTTGCATAGGTAGCCAAAGATCCTAATGCACCAAGGACCCAAAGTGCTTGAAGTGTGCGCTTGATCTCAGTCACATAAATGTGAATGAGGTACAGGGACAATCCCAACCCAAAAGCTCCAGTTGCATAAAAGAGATCGATATTCCTTCGAATGAAATCACTAATTTCGGATTCGTGAGGTAGATAAACTGCAGAAGATGCAAGGACAAATGAAGCCGCAGCAGTGACTAGACCTGATCTGTACAGTATCACCTGCCAGGAAAATGATCATAATTAGAACACAGGCCCCAGCAAATATGTCAAAAACATAAGACAAGTGCATGGAGTCTCTAGTTAGTCATCAATTTTCTATAACTTAAACCAGAAGTCTAGCAATAATTAATCTCCTCATAATTCAGACAGCGATTGCTACATGAACATAACTTGAAAATGAGCCAGAAGATCATTCAGAGCTAAGTGATCGATTTTGAACCACACTTCATACATTTAGAACTCGTGTGAGATCCTTTTAAGAAGTAAACGAGAATGTTCTGCAACACTTTCTGCGCAAATTAAGACGCAAATCAAGAGGACCATTCATTTCAATTGGGAAATTCCATTAAGATATTGATGGACCAATCTGAAACATTCATGGTATACAAATCACAATCGAACGCGATGCATCAAGCAAATAACTAGCAGGAAATAAATTCGCCACAAAACAAGCCCTTGAAACTAAAGCACCAAGCTAGACAAAACTAACTAAGAATGATTATTAGTCAGGAAATGATGATGGTTGATGGGATGAGAAATTAGAGGCAGAAGAAAAAGAACCTCTTGAACATCGGCAGGCTCAATCGTCCAAGGGCCATAAACTCCTTGATAAACCACCTGCTCCGGCGGCTGAGATGAGGAGGCGCCACCGCTATCAGAAGAATCGACATTTGTGATGATAATCCTTGTCTTCTTGGTCCTAGTAATCCTAGAAGAAGATTGTAGTAGCCATGTATTATTATACCCACCACTACTAGAAGGAAACCCACCAGCTGGACTTAAGTGACATGGTGAATACTTTGGAATCAGTGCTGGCAAACCCAAAACACGAATGCTACAACTCGAGCTACTCATGATGCTGCTATATAATTTAATCAACTTCCTCTTACAAGCAATTGGTTTCCCAAATGATAACCCACGAACAAAAAGCCAGTATGAGTTTCATCCGTTTGATTGTACTGCTTTGATTGAGTATTTAATTACATTATTACGATAAATCTGATAATTAGGGGGGGTGTTGTTTGGATTGGATGCTTATCAATTGAGAATCATCTGAATTAGTCTGTGGCTGGAAAACTCGAGGCTGTTTGTTTTATTTTTCTGGGGTACAGGCCGAAGTTGTTATTGTCGTTTTGATATGATCCAATCCAACATCCAGTTTGGGCCTAGTAAAACCAAACAAGTGTCAAGCATATCGGGTCTTTGCAAGCGGGTCGAATCAAAATTAAAATCAGGGCGGGAAGAATTTGGGAGCGAACTACGTCGTTTGGCAGCTCAGGAGAATCCAAAGCTGTCACATTCAATGTAGCAAAACTAATATTCATGTGGTCTGAAAATATGAAAATGAAGGATTGTAGAGCTGATGAATGTATTGGATTTATCAAGTGCAGGTGAGGTGATGTGTACTTTCAGATCTCTTGTTCGTTTTTTTTTCTCCTTTTCTTTTCTTCTTCTTTTTCCTTTTTGTGTGTGTGTGTGTGTGTGTTTTAACGATATTTCTAATGGAATGTACACCTGCCATTTGTGGATGAAGTCGTTAAAAAAAAAAAAAAAGACACCGGGGAGATAAATTATGATCACAAGAATAGTCAAATATCAAGCTTGGGCTATTGAACCAAATCAGCCCAATTTATTTTGCCAAATAACCCAATCTTAGAAACGACCGTAGAATTGAAAATATGTTTGTTGGTGGGAGACTAGTAGTCCATTTTCAGAGGTGATTTGAGTCCAACCAGAAAAACGTAACTCTACTTTCCCAGAGTCCAGATCCGTGGTAGGTTGAGGTTTCAAACTTTCAGTTTGATGCTTACATAAAGTTTGGTAACTAAGGATATATTTGTTTCGTTTTTTTATATATGTTTTTACCTATTTTTTGTATTGAAAATATAAAAAAATGTATTGAAAATATAAAAACGTATGTTGGGATGGGACAGTTAATAATATAATAATTTAAAAAAACCATCTAAAAATTGAAACAAACAAAGCCTAAGGCAGCGATTCAATTTTGCACTTGTAACGAGCTGAGCAATGATAACATTTTGTATTAACGTTTGATGCAATTAATCCAAGTTTTTGTGTTGCAATTATGTCTCCTTTGTACACAAAGAAAGAAAGGCGTACCATTCTTATGTAGTATTAACACAAATTGTACTCTTTCCATTCCAAAATAAGTGTTTTCATACACTTTACACATCGTTTAAGAAACTCTTAATAGAGTAATAAAATTACTTGAGGACCTCAACTAACCTCATTATAAAAACGTCCACCAATAGTATTAATTCTTTTGAAGGTAATTTTAGAAATTTTGAATAAAAAGTGCATTGAAATGTGAGAACAACACTTATATTGAAATTTTTTCACTTATTAAAACGACACTTATTTTAAAACGAAAGGAGTATAATTTATAAGAAATAGAGTGAGTGTCACACAAAAGTATCACAGGATCATGTGCCCGCTCTATATCCATTCTCTCATTGTAATATATTTTAATAATTATGTCTGAACATCAAATTCAAACTGGCGAGGGACAACAAATGTTAGTTAGTACTATACTGCATTACTAAACACTACTACTATTAACCTTAACCAACACTAACTAGAAAGGAAGATTGCAGCATGAATTCAAAACAGCAAAGCCAACCAGTACAAGTTCGCTAAAAAGGTATGTTTGGGGGGGGGGGTTCACATTAGATAGACGAAATCTTTCATAAATCCTTAAAATCAATAACTTTTGGGTCTTTATTCAAGCGTGGTCAGAAACTTCGTTTTCTTCAATCCATGATCCAACACCACCGACCTTTGTGTCTTTTCAGAGCTGCAATTTGACCATCATTCCCCCTTCCACTTTTTAAAATTTATTTATTTTTTTTGGCAATTTGCCAAAAGGAAAGTTCGTACGAGCTAGATAGTATGCGATTGTGAGAGAAGTGAAGAAAGGCTGGCCGACTAATTAAGATCTGAGCACCGTCAGTTCAGAGCTGAGTACCTATCCTCATCATCATCACTTACAACAACATATTTTCATGCACGTCATTTCCAGAATAAGCATCCGCCGCAAACCTTGACATTTTCACCCCTCTCTTTCTGATGGAGTATTTGTATTTCCTTCTTCTTTTTTTCTTTTTTCTTTTTTTAAAAAAAAAATTCTCCAAGAAGAAAGAGTATTACTAATAATATACAATGTGCATATATATATTGTAAAGCTTTTAGTACTAGTAATATAAATAATTAAGGAGTCAAATGGAATGTCATTCAATTCCGTACCCGACAAAGGGTTTGGTTTTCTGGACTTGCGAGCTGTATGTAGTTTAAACCGAACGTTGTGCCAAATCCCACAACTACATTTTCAACGCTTCTGAATTTTTTAAAGAAATGGACACAAGTACATCATCCATGATATATCCTCTTTGTAGTAATGTCTTTGTCATTTGATTTCCTCCCATAGAAAAAATTTTGTTAAGAAGAAAGTCTTCATCATTTCAACAACGTTTTCATATTAGATAGATCTCGTCATTGTCGATCGTCCCAATTTTTATTTTATTTTATTTTGTTTAAAGAAAATTATGATGAGTTTGATGTGTGAATGAACAAATTAAGTGCTTGTTTGTTTGTTCACTCATTTTACATTTTAACTTATTTTACCTTTTAAACACAAAACTCAATAGAAAAGAAAATATCATTCAAACAACTTTCTGATTTATATTTTAAAATCCAACTTGAAACACTTTTTTTTAGTGTAGTGACTATTTTTTTGAATTAAAAATAGTTCAGTGACTAAATCCAAAACTTTGTACATTTATTTCAATTTGCTTCTAGTCAAAAAACGCTTTCTACAACTGATGGTGGTTAGGAAAAAAAATTTTTGGAATATATATTAAAATATCAAGTAAAAAAATATCACTAAACAATCGAAAAGTGTCATTTTTTGTCACTGTAAAAAAAGAATTTTAAAAATTATTACTAAACAACGGAAATGTGTCGATTTTTGTCACTGTAAAATATTAATTTTAGAAACTATTCCGTGATTTTAGTGATCATTTTACAGTTGTTTAGTGATCATTTTTTAAATTCTTTTTTTACAGTGACTAAAATGGGATTTCCGTTATTGAGTGATTGTTTTGAAAAAATTCAACTTTGTAGTGACTAAAATGGGATTCTCATTGTTGAGTGATTATTTTTGGAAAAATTCTTTTTTTGCAGTGACTTTAATTGATAGTATTTAATTATTTAGTGATGATTCTTATTTAATATTTTAAAATATAGTTCAAAATATTTTTTTCAAAACCAACATCCAAACAACTTTTTGCTCAAAATATCATCCAAACAACATTTTATTTCTTATTTAGTTTCAACTTAAAACACTTTTCACTTTTAAGTAGTAAAATGAAAGACGTCGAAACAAGCACTTAATGCTTTTGGTTAAGCATTAATGGAAGATATGTATATGCTTTTGAGTTTAAAGAAACAAAAAAAAAAAGTTCATCGTCAGGTTAAGCATTTAGTTAATTGGCATACTTTTCCGGGCATCGGGGTAAAAATAACAAGTTGTGACGACTTTTTCTCTTTTTGCCCTTTTACATTCTGTTGGAGACACTGTATTGTATAGCATACGATATTCACTTTATTTCAAAATATAAATTTTTTTAACTTCTACACGATCATTTAATGAGTAATTTGTGTGTTAAGTGTTTATTTTACTTTTCATTAATTGTTTTGGAATTATAAACAAAATTAGATGAAAAGTAATTAGCATCGCCGGGGATAAAGTTGGAAGGGTAATTTTTAATTTGCTTTAAAATCCTAAAACGATTTACATTTTGAAATATTTCTCCAAACGTAAAACGATTTACATTTGGAAAGGAAGAGAGTAGCCATAAAGTGTTAATCTCAAAATCAATTAATTAGGTCACTTATACTAGTATGAATGTAGTTTTCTTGTAGGATAAAATTCCAAATACTACTGGTTAATTGTTCCTCGTCCTGGTTTCATTAGGCAAATAATACTACTATTATGTTTTCATCGTTTAAAAGTGATGATGATGAATAATGTCCCAAAGGAAAGAAGGGAAAAAAGGAAAAGTTAAAGCGAGGGGGATTAGGATGGTCCAAGGAAGGTCAGTAGTATAGGTTCACGCTTGCATTGGGATCTGCAACCCCCCACGTCATCACATCACGCAGCACCGCAGGCTAGGTTCATTCTTCCTTGCGGAATCTTCTTTCTTTTGAGATCATTAGATGTGAATTTCAGAAAATCCAACCCACATTTGTTCTCCTTTTTTTTTTTTGTTCTGCTGCTACTTTTTAAGACTTTTGTTTCTTCTTTAGCTTTGGTTTCAGCGGCGCCCCAGTTTCAGTTTGGTACTCTCCCACAAAGCCCAGAATCCAAATCCATAATTCCTACTTTGGACGGTCAAGTTTCCACCAAATTATTCTTGACTAACTCATATACTACTTTTTTTTTTCTGTCAAAATAATTTGTAGATACATAATATGTTGCACAAGCTAGTAGAAGGTATACACACTATATATAATTGATGGAATGCATCTAGTTTCCGAATTTGGAACACAGAATGTAGTTTAGACCGTCAATACATGCACATATCTTTGTGTCATATATTCCTTACACTCTCTGTATGTGTCTGGTATTCGAAATTATTATATTTTTATTAAATTCAAATTTGAATTTGGTATTCTTTTTTGAAATATACACATCAAATAAGTAGCTAGTCATGATTGGACTTGGTGCGACGGGAGGAAGATAAAGATAGATTTGTTGTGAATTGTGATCAATATGAATACAGAACGATCATGTTCATGATCACGCGAAAACAGAAAAGGTTTCATGATATCTGAATATTGTGATGCAACATCCGATATGCGATCCAAATTTGGAATCCAAATTATTCCTCCGTAGAAAAAATAAAATATATATATGCTTCTTCTCCTTTATGGATGCATATGCCATATTGTATCCTTTTGAGTTGGCGTGATTGGTTTCAATCATTCGAGTAAAAAGGTGATGAACTTAGTTACATTTATGTCATTTCCGGTGATACCTGCACGAATATATTGCACTTGCAATTTGCCAAATTAGATCAATCTTGTCACTCTCCAACTTTGATGATGAGGAAGCTTCCACATATTTTCGGCGCATTTCTATAGATTTTGGGGTTTTGGAAAGGGGGATATAAACCATCAGAGATTATTTTGTTAGATAATATTTTGATAGCGATACTAGATTGACTGATGTGATAATTATTCTTTCCTTCAAAACAAAATTATTATAACGTTCAGTTTCATGATTATAATTTATTTATTTATTTTTATACTTGATTTTGTAGATGAATGGAATACTAAGTAAAATGAAATTGTCATTTTCCATGGAAATTTACTAATAAGGCTTAATTATCACTAAGGAGAAGAAGATATAATCTAGTTATGTGAATAAAAAAAGATTAATTTATGCGTCTCAAAGTTTTCACATTTAGGTTAATTTTTAGTAAAGAGTTCAAACCGAGTGATTAAAAAAAACGTATAGGAATTTGAGATCGCAATGTTGAACCAAATATGAACAAAATTTGAAGCCGTAAAATCTAAATTAACTGCAACTTTCATTTCATGCATGAATTAAGATTGCGGTACATTTGAAGACTACTAAAACACCATGCGCTACAGCTACATCGACGATCAAATTAACCAACCAAAAACCGATCGATCTATGCTAATCACCATAGCCGCTGCTACCGGGATCGAAATGATTATTTCCATGAGGCGGGAGGTAATTATAATTGATAAAATCCGAAGAATAATCGTACGGTTGATAATCAACTTGAGGAGGAGGATGATCCGACACAGAAGACGAAGAAGACGGCGAGAAACTGGGAGAATATCCAGGTTGCTGTTGTTGCTGATTGTAAAGAGCTGAAGTGTAGTAAGGCAACTCGGCATCGGAGCTGGAAAGCAACTGCGCATACTGATAGAGATGAGGGTAACTATCAACGGCGCTGGCAGCGGCTTGAGGAGCAGCTGATTCTTGCTGCGGCGGCAGCGGTGGTGGACCTGGTGGCCGTTGGGTTAAGTAAATGGGGTTGCCTTGCTGGTAACGTTCGGGGAAATTGAGCTTAGCTTTGGAACCCTTGAATTTGATGGCGGCATCGTCGTAAGCCATGGCCGCGGCCTCCGCGGTGTCGAATGTCCCGAGCCAAACCCGAGCTGCTTTCTTTGGATCCCTGATTTCGGCTGCCCATTTCCCCCATGGCCTCTGTCTTACTCCTCTGTAATGCCGCCTTCCTCCTTCTCCGCCTTCTGCCATTTTAATTTCAAGTTTCAAATCAATTTTCGCATATTTTTCATTCGCCTACTTATAATTAATTTATACAATCTCTCCTCTATATATAGTCATCAGGAGTTATTCGAAAAGGAAAAAAAAAGAAAAAGAAAAAAAGAAGAATGCAATGTGTATGCAGTAAAACTAGAGGAAAATACGTAGAAGCAACCGAGGGACAAAGTAGCATTTATTTTTTTTTTTTAAAAAAAAAAAGAGGCACCGACTTGCATGCATGCAGCTTCATACACTTCCTAACCATAACAAAACAAGCATATGATCCAACCGTAATCATGATGCGCCACCTCTAATTTCACCATTAGTACGATTCTACTTTAATCCAGATCTAGATTACTGATGAAGAAAAACATTACTTTTTTCTTAAAGCAAAAAAAGCAAAATATAGAATGCAAATTTAATGATTCAAAGCTAAGTATAAATGGTGAAGACAATTAGCGGTCATCCGCTATGTTTCTAAAAAGTAATTATAAAAAATCACAACAAGTTGATACATATTCATTGTAAGTACATTGGACAATAATCACGATGACTATTACCGCGACTGATTTCATTTGAATTACACGAAAAAAAATATAAGTGTAGAAAATTGTGCAGCTACCATACATCAATTATCAATTATGTAAGAAAGATAAATACACGTATCGTGTTGTTACTATATACAACCAAAATAATGCCCATGTGGAGCTATTATTGATTGTCACTTATACAAGAAAAATAACAATTAAATCATCACAGAAGTTATTACTGCAACTAATTTGCGCGTCATAAGCTAACCATAATGAGATTACTACTGCGTTGTCTACCTATTTATTATAAAGTGTATGCATAATCAGTTCTTCACATATGCCATGATTTGGGCATTCGTGGGTTAATAACAGGTTCAGAGACATTATCAATTTACACAAGACACGTATTAATAAAGGAATCAAAGATTTATTATAGAGTGACTGGTGTCATATACTATATTTTTTATCGCCTGAAATTACAATTTTATTGTTCTTTTTAAAAGATTGTCATCATGTCGACAATTCACCAAAATAAATGGATGGCACAATTTTAATATATTTGGCGATAAACACATTGCAAATTTAACCAGGAAAATGCAGATAAATATGGATAGAAATGAATGGGTGTGAAAAAGAAGTCCTAGAATATGCATACGCGTGGTACTATACTGATTTGGTCGGCAAAGGCTAGCTGTTCGTAGCTCATTTACTGACCATACTTGTAGTCAAATTAATTTTATAAAAATGTTAAAAGCACTGGAAAATTTCCAGATTTAGTTCTAAATCAATTGTAGTGATTTGGAAATCCACCGATCAAATTACTCGTTTGAGCTACCTACGTACCATCGGATGGGACTGCTGAGGTGATTAATTAATCTACTAGTAATTAAACAAACAAATCATGTGCCATACATCTAACATTAGACAGATAAGAACACCTTAAAAATTATGATTTTTTTCCCTCGGATAAAGTATTTAATAAACTGGTAAAACCGTGTCATAAAAATCAGCACTTCACGACTTTAATTTTGTTTTATTTTTTGGTTTAACAACGGACACGAATCCGGAAGAAATACCTGGATGAAAAAAAGAAGGGAGGGAATATAGGATAGAAATGGTGTCATTTTCCCATGTATAATTTGGGGTTTGAAGACAAACAAATAGATATATATCTATATATATATTTCCAGAAGATTCAAGATTGCTGAAAAGGAATGGGATTAATTATAGGAGTTTCCAAAGGTTCAAAAGAGAGATGATTCATTACGGAAAGTTATATCAACACGTACACACCTAGTACAGCGAACCTGACCAAATTATGCATTTCTAAAGGTTTGAATAATCATTTTTATTGTTCCCGTGTAATTATTACTTACTTCAAGTTGAGTCCTTTAAGGAACAATGGGATTTTTAGTTCATTAAGCTTACTTAATTCACTGCTTTAATTAATTTGATCAAGGAAAATAATTCCATCAAAATCTCAGAACTCAGGATTTTTCTTCAAAGCTTGCAAAATCAGCAAAATCAACCAAGGAAATTGATGGAAAAGTTAAGGGGTTCTTGAAGCTAGCTAGTAGCACCCATCATTCGATGGGGAAATCAATTTTTTAAAAAAGAGATTAATATATGTATATGTGTTGGTTTAACAGCTAACAAAAATTATAAATTTTAGTGTAAAAAATAAAATAAAATAAAAATTACCTCGAGGGTTGGCTGGATTATTTTGGTTGTTGTTGTAACCTGGAGGAGATTCTTCCATGGATGTTGTTGTATTTTCTTCTTTGGAAAACCAGAATTGATCATGGGATGAGTTTGATCCTCGGATCTTTCCGTTTAAATTGGATCCACCTTCCGGAAAGTACTGCCTAGCTAGGGTGTTCGGCGGTGGTGGAAGTGGTGGTCATGTGGTCGATCTTGGAATATTGAAGAAGGTTGGAACAAAAAAGGATGTGGATGAATTGAAATTCCGATGTCAATCTTAGCCAATTTATACTTGGGGAAAGTGAAGTCAGCAGCTAGATATGTATATGACTAGGTTGCTAGATGACTAAGAATTTAGAAGGTCCATTTTAGCCCGGGGCGTTATACGCGATACTTCTTCTGTACCGAAATAATTTTATTTTTAATATAAATAATATTAATATTGAAATTATAATTTTTACAAAATAAATACTCCCTTCGCCCCATAATTATTGTCTAATTTGTCCAAAAAATTTTATCCCAAAATTATTATCCAATTTGACTTTTTATGGATCAAGTTACACATTTGTCCTTAGTAAAAAATATTATCCATAAAATCTTAGTCGTTAAACAATTACTTATGTAGGGGTATATCCGGTTGTTTAAGGTAAAATATAATTAAGTTTGACAAAAAATAAAATCTTTCATTTAGTAAAACTGGACAATAATTATGAAACGGAGGGAGTATATTTTAAAATATTTTATGATTCATGTACCAACTACTACTAATAAAAAACCACGATACACATATACATTTATTAATGAATATCACTGAATAGATTATTTGTGATTGATTAGTTGGAGAATTTTCCGATCACCATCGAGACATTTAATTGTCACTTTTCTTTTCCGTCATACCTCATGCTAAGTAGTAAATAGGCTTGGTAACTATCGAATTATTTTTACATTTTAAAAAAAAATCTTGGTGGTCATGGAAATTGGAAAAGACTAAAAATATAGCATTAGCATTAACAGAAATATATACGCCTTGATTTTTCAGTACATTATTTTACAGCTATAATGTAGGAAATCCATCCAAAAAAAAGAGGTTTCAAAGGAAATGATTGAAATTATATTAATTGCGTATATCTATCTTCGTTTTCCAAATTCCACATAGTTTTCTAATTATTATTATTTGTTTTTGGAACATCAAATGTGTATATGTAAATAAAATTAATTGGTATTAGATTATAATAATCTCAATCTATATTACTCGTATTATTTATTTTAATTTAAACACGTACATTTCACATGTCACATGACATTCGCTTTGAAACTACTTCGTTGCTGATGATCTAAGACTCTCGTAACGGATGATAATTAATACTCCTTCAGTCCCATAATTATTGTCCGGTTTGGATTTTCACTTCTAGTAAAATTCAAAAGTGAAAATTCAAACCGAACAATAATTATGGAACAAAAGGAGAAGAATAACTATAAGAAAGAAAAAATAAAAGAAAAGAAGAAGAAGAAGAAAAGATTACGTAGAACGTAGAAATACAGAGTTGTACTTAATTGGGCCTTGATCTTAGCCGAAGCTTATTTGGGAAGATGAGATCAACCGAAGCCTAGCGGCAGAATGATGTTAAAAGAAGGCCCATATAACATAATCATGAGCTTATGCTGACTAATCCAGCCGATTACCGATCTAAGAGATATAGATGGGACTATGTAATATTGACGTCATTTTCTTTGACATATTTATCCTTTTTTTCTTCACTTCCCTTCGAAATTGAGCTTTCATTCTGGTCTTAAACAAAAAATAATTAAAATAATAAAAATAAAAAAAACTTTTCATTATTGGGGTTGATGAGAATATAATGTGGAATCTATCAGGCACGATTCTTATTTTTTAACGCATCATTTTCTGTTAGTTGCGTTAATTAGTACAACGATGTGTATTATCAAACATTCTATAGTTGGGTTGGCATTTGATGAGATATGGTTTTTTATTTAAACACAATAAAAGTTACTCGAGTTTGAAAATCAGATTTTCGCTAAAAGTTACTCGAGTTTGATGAGATATGGTTTTTTATCAAACATTCTACTATGAGAATATAAAGATAGGCTTGTAGCAATTGATTAGAAGACATATATTGGGTGCACTTCGAAGGCCCATCTGTTGAAACAAAAAGTTCGTATCTAACTGTAACAAGCATGATTGGACAGCCCACAATTTTTGGGGCACGTTTTAAATCTTAGTGGCTCATCCATATCCCAGTCATTTTACATTGAGCCTCTTTGAATCGGGCCATGATTTTGGATCAGTGAATTGCTCTAATTCTTTCTTGTTAGTAGAGTGCTCTTGAAATGATTATTAATGCTTTGAGGTTTCACATCTATAGTACTACAAAGATATTACTTTATCTGTCGAGAAAAATAAGAATAAAAAACAAATATATATATATATACATTTATATATATATATATATAGAGAGAGTTTTGAGATTTATATTATTTTTAATAAAAATTTTAGAATTCGTTATAAATGGAGTATTACCATATACTGTTGCACTTGTTTAAATCTTGACCAACATTGTCGGTTTTGTTTTTGGTGAGCATTTTTGTTTTGCAATAAGAGAAAAATTCCAAAAAAAAAAAAAATAAATTGAGAAAAGAGATTTCACATAGGATATGAAATGAACCTTTTAATACTTTTTTATAATTTTTTCCCAAAAAATGGATTGGTCTTATCATGAATATCCCATAATATTTAACTCAGTAAAAAATAAATGTGTTGGAGTGAAAATGATTATAATAGGAGAACCTAGGTGTGTTTTGGATGCGATAAAACAATTAGATGATGTGGCCATATTGTGGGTCCCAAGCGAGGCCAGAGTGGAGTTTTTGGATTTGGAGAGGATTTTTAGAAACAAAACGAAAATTTACTGAAAAATTCCACTCACCCAAAAAAAAAAAAAAAACAAAGAGAGAAAACGGAAGCGGAATCCGCCAGAGCTAGACGACCTTTCCGGCGGGATTCTTGATTGAAATTCAACTCCGTCTTCACATTCAGACAACAGAAGTTATCCACATATTCCTCTTCTTGCCCTTCTTGCTGCTACTGTTCTTCTGGTACTTCAGAATCCAATTCTCTACCCCCGCTTTTTCTTTCTTTTTTTTTTTTTTTTTTATTGCTCGTTCTGTGTGTACTTGTGAATTTTGTATATGAAACATAAGCCTCTGCGATTTGATATGATCTGGATTTCCTATCTTGAATTGTTTTTCTCTTTGGAGATCGGGAAACCGGGATAAAGTTTTCTTTTGCCTTGCTACTGCAATGTGTAAAACCCTTTGATTGTTTTTTATTTTTCTTTTTTGATAGTGATAATCTGATTTAGGAACTCTGTTTTTTAAATGGCATTATCACCTCATCCATTTTGTGCGTTTCATACTAAAATTGGTTCCACTTCTTCTTAATCCGGCCAATCCTGTAATCCCCTTTCCCCCAAGATTTAAGTTGTATTTATCCTAATTGATTTCCTAGTTGGGCTTTCCGAGGGGTTGTAACCATATGATGATTTGCTTAGACTAGAAATGTGAAGGAAATATCTGAAAAGAATTGGAAAGCCATTATTAAGCTGGAAATTATCTATTTGAAATTAAATGGAAGTACATGTTTTGACAGAGCATGATGGCAAAATATGATGCATATAACCTGGCTCACATTGGATAGAGGATATTTAGTTGTTGTCTCTTTTCACATCGGTATCGATTTGTCTTTTCGGGTTGGCAGGATTGATTGTTTTATCAGAGATGCAGAGTAATCCAGATGCCCGCGTCGACAATGCTGACGCGGAGAGTAATCTGACCTCTGTGGAAGTTTCTCTCATTGACGATTGGCAAAATTTTAGGGATGATGATGTTATGCAACAACAGTCGGATATCCAAGCAGTTGAATCAGAGAAAATTCCATTTGTTGGGGACAAGGTAAAGTCACCTTGAAACGGGACTACATACTTGTTTTATGAAATGTATTATGCTACTCTTCTGTTAGTACTGATGGTTATTGACTCCGAACATCAGATTTTGTGAATGGTAGAAGTTCTTAATGTTTTTATTTGCTGCAGTCTTATGGTAATTTATATTATCTAATAATTGGAGATGCTTGATCCTACATGGTTTCATTGAGTTCAAGTTTGAGCTTGTAAGTGTTCGGGGTTATTCTTTTTCTTTTGAAGGGGAAGAAAAAGCTTATTTAGTTTGTTGGTCCTAGGCAACAATTCTCCCATTTATCAATGAGATTTAAGATGTGGTCTAATACATATTTTTACTGGTTTTGTGATTATCTGGATCAACTGTTGTAGCTTTCATCGGTTAGACATAAGTATCTCCTTTTTAACTATGCTATGCTTTTTATAGACTACATGGGGTAGGGGGTAACGGTTACTATCTCAAGAATCTGATTTCTAGCTTTGAATAAATCCTCAGGACTTTAAAAGAGCTATTGCAAAAAGAAAATAGATTTTATCGAAGGGACAGTACTTGATATTGTTACATGCCAACTTGATTTCTGTTATGTCAGTTGACTTCAACTGGAAAAACATAAGCCAGGTCAGAAATCTTTAGGTAAATATCTAGATGTAGTAAGGATTCCTTTAGTTTTCTCGTGGAGAATTGCAAGTTTCCTGGTTGGTCAGTGTGAGTGGATCTTTTCATATTTAATGATCTCTTACAATCAGCCACTGGTCTTAATGTTCTAGTCTAGAGTTGCTTCCTCCTACCATATGCTTGCTCTAACTGGCACTATGATTGCAGGAGCCCCTTTCTTCATTAGCTGATGAATACAAGACAGGAAGTCCAATTTTGCTTGAGAAAATAAAGGTTCCTGAAAGATTTTATTGAGATCCTCGTCATTGCTTCTTGACTGATCAATAACACTGTTGAGATCTGTGCAGATATTGAATGAGCAATATGCAGCAATCAGGCGAACAAGGGGTGACGGGAATTGCTTTTTCCGAAGCTTCATGTTTGCATACCTTGTATGTGATGCAACACCTGACATCCAATTGTATTTTCAAATTGTGAAGTCAATTTGGATATTTTGCTCACTACTCTCTGTCTCTCCTTCTCAAAACTAGGAGCATATAATGGAATCTCAAGATAAAGCTGAGGCTGATCGAATCAAAGCTAATGTTGAACAGTGCAGACTGACGCTGCAGAAATTGGGTTACACTGAATTCACCTTTGAGGATTTCTTTGCAGTAAGGCTCCATTAATATAGTTATGTGTATAAGAAACTCCTAGATGAATGAACAAACATATTTGAGCTCGTACTGGATTTTAAAGAGTGCCTAGGAAAAAGTGAATTTAAGAATTTGAGAATCGATGGGTTACGAATTGTCAAGAACTACTTTTTCTTTGGAACAAATAGTTTAATGCGGGAGCATTAATGGGTTTTAAATTTGTGTAGTCTGTGGATTCTTTGGATATCTAATTATAAGAAGAGTAGTGTTTGTTCTATTAATGTAACTTTCCTTGAAGTTCAGTCATTCGCTCTTTTCTGTTTTCCCCTCCCCACTTGTCTAGGGATTGCAGCACCGTGAAATTATTAGTTTTGATACCGTCAGTGGTAACTGATAATTGAAGTCTTTTTGTGAATGGCATGAATTCTAGTGAGCACATATGATAGTTGTGGAAATATGGCGTTATAGAGGAAGTCAACAGTCCAGGGAGCACAGATTGTCTTCACAGAACAGAACTTCTATATCTTGTCAATAGTTTATGACTAGTTGTATAAATTAAGTGGAAGGTTTGCACCAGACGTTTTCTTACATCATCATCCAACCTTATTGATTTGTAGCCCTCCGTTGGAATTTTTTATCTCCGGTAGAAAATTGGTTTGAAGTTCATTACATAATTACTACTGGTACTGGGCATCTTCAAGTCTGGTTTTGGTTAAGCATTTTGATTTGGTGTGAGTGGATTTAAGCTGATTTCTTCGTTCTTTTCCCTTCCTTTCTTTCCTCCTTATTCTTTTTTGACTTTGTTGTTACTGGAGTTTCGGACTATCCTGAAGTTATTTCACGACTTTTCAGTTGTTCCTTGAGCAGCTTGATGATGTTATTCAGGGCAGCGATGCTTCTATAAGGTTTGATGTGGAACTTGTTCATCCACTGCTCTTTAAGAAATAACCTTACATGATCTGTGATCCTCATCTCTAATTGTTTGGTTGCAGTCACGATGAACTTGTACAGAGGAGTAGGGATCAGTCAGTATCTGATTATGGTGAGTTTTATTGTGAAACAATTAGTTGGATGAAAGCTTCTTGTTGCATATGTATATTCTCTGTCCTAATTACTGCTTCTCTGCCAGTGGTAATGTTCTTCAGGTTTGTTACCTCCAGTGAAGTTCAGAAACGATCTGATTTTTTTGAACCATTTATTCAAGGGTTGACAAGTGCATCGGTACAGCAGGTTAGTTTCTATGACTTGTGTATCTTAGCAGTTTACTTGTGTAACTTTGAAAGATGATAATGACAACTGTGGTTACTAAAAACCAGCAGTATTTCAAGATCTAGGATTCTTTTGAACCTGAGCTCATACTAAAACGTTGTTCTAGAGGCAAAATACTATTAGCCCGATTAATTGACATGAGATTAAACAAGATAATGTCACTATTCTATAGAGTTTTATGTTCTTGTCATCTTTTGGTTGATAGTTTTGCAAGACTGCGGTGGAACCAATGGGTGAAGAGAGCGACCATGTTCACATCACTGCACTTTCAGATGCATTAGGGGTTCCCATTCGTGTTGTATATCTTGACCGCAGCTCCTGCGACAATGGCAGTGTCAGTGTAAATCATCACGACTTCGCTCCTGCCGGTAATGATCAACCCAGTGCTCAAAATGGTAGCCTGGAGGCAATATCTCCATTCATTACCTTGCTATATCGACCTGGCCATTACGATATCCTGTACTCCAAGTGATCATCTAGTTTCACCTGTGCCAATCAAGAAGATTGTGTCTATGTTGGGCGTTCCTTAGATGAAAAGTATGATTTTTGCTCTAAGAACTCGGCTTCTGTAAGACCTGTGGTTCAAAGATATAGAACTGGTTTTGTATCTAGAAAGGAAGTAGACAGAAGACAAAACCCGAAAGCAGCGCTCCAGATGAACTATTGTGGCATAACTTTCTGAGATTTAGATTGAAAATTGAAACTATGTTCTGAATAGTTTTGTACCTTTTATTTCACCATTCTATTTTTACTTTTAATTTTTTTTTTTTTTTGGGGAAAGGCAATTTAATTATATCATAAAGTTGTAACTTGTTCTGAGAAGCTACGATAAGGCCTTGCCGACAGAAATTAACAACAAGGTTCTTCTAATTCTCAAGGTAAGATGAACGGGAGGAGAAAGATAAACAAGGGAAAAAACAGAACAATGATATCCAAGCTAAAGAGGCAACAAATTCCCATAAAACATTGTAGAGGTGGTTGGTTAAATGGTTACAAAAGACAACAGTTATTTCACATCAAAAATGGTTTTTAACAACACTAAGAATCCTCTCTAAGCAACCTTGCAGAGGAAAAAAGCAAAATGCCAAGAGAAGCCAAAAGCCGCCTCTGTTGCAGCAAATATTCACATTGCTGTTGCTCCACAACTTCTATACACATTGGAATTTAACTTCCTCAACATCCAAAATTTTGAAGCCCCATCATCAAATACTTCTGTTTTGTTGATAGCCAGCCTCAGAAATCCTGATCAACCCACTTTAAAAATGGGGAACAAACTGCCCTCTCCTCAAGCATTACACATCTAATTCAGGAGAGTTGTTTCCGTCCAAAATCACAAAAAATGGAACCATTTTCTTTTTGTGGGTTTTTTACTTCCTCTACTAACCACCCTAATATACATCAGTAAAATTTGGGTGGATCAACTTAAAATTACTTAATCCTACTTAGTTAGCGCCGTGAAGGGACAATGGTGTATCAGCTTTGGTTAATCTGACTCCTTGAGAGAACTTGAAAGGGAGTCCCCATTAAAGGAAAACTCCTCACCATTCGCAAAATGTTTAGGGCTTTCTTGGTTATTTTCATCATTGCTGGTTGCTCGATTCTTATTGGCTCTTGAACGAACATGAACACCCATGGGGAAAGGCACCTGCAGAGTGGAATAAGAAAAACATAAGCTATTCTTTTCCCATAATCCTAATCAGCTGTTATTTACAAACTTCCATTGATGTCACAATTTGAAGGTTAATGTGCTCAAATGTGTTCAGTATCAAAAACTAGGGGCATCCACACCAGTAGAAAGTAATTTAAGTTAAAACATAAGCCAGGTAGAGTTCTCTGACTCTGATGTCATAAAAAGAAGGAAGCATCATCTAGTTCATCTAGTAGCAACAGTACACTAAAGAAAGATCTCGCCTTAGATGAACGGATAAAAGGCAAAGAGTACATTGAGTCGTAAAATCTTCAAAACACACATTTCCTGACCGGCTAAGTAAAAAATAGCAACGATGCAAATACCATCCTACTTCAGTTACATACTTGCAGATAACATCCAGTCCCATGAAAAAGATCATATTAATTCTGTTTTCAGGCACAGACTTAACAAGGAAAAATAGAAACTACAAGTAACGCAATCTTATAAACATATGATTGCTTTGCTTATACAGAGAGATCCACTGTTGTACCTGATCGCCAGCATTAGGACCATCAGTGTGAAAGAGTATTGGCCTGCATCGTTTATCTTCATTCATCAAGCTTGAGTTCTGGAAGTGAGCAATAAGAGCTGCTTTTCCCTGTATACGAGCATATGCAAGGGAGGCCACTTTTTCACTGTTAAATTTCTCCCATTTCTTGCCATTGAATGCCTGCAATTAAAGGAAGTTACTCATCTGCCACAAAGAATCCAAATCAAAAAGATTACTAAATTACAAAAAATTATCTGATTAGTTTTTTTTGGAAAATGGTTCTGATTAGTTGGAATGTACCTGGAAAAATGGGATTATTAATGATGGATCGGTCATGTTGATAAATGCATAACCAACATTACACTTATTCTGAAACAAAGGTGAAAGAGGCAACAAAAAGCTTCAGATATCCATGTAGGAAAAGGACAACAACAAATTCATCAGTGTGTGAATAAAAGATCTACTTGCCTTGAAATCAATCGGCAAGTAAATAAAATCATAAGTTCCCCTGTGACGCTCATCAATTGCAGCTAACAGCATCTTCGAAGTGTATCTACCAAAGTAAGAAAGGGAAAAAATTATGACCAACAAAATCGAGGAAACAGAATGCATTCTGTTTGATAGATGATATGGCCAGGAAAAAACATGAAACCAAATCCATAACCCCACTTGCTACGAGTCAAGTCTTACTTGTTAGGTATATTCTTTATCATAAGAGTAGTCCGTTTATCTTCTCCTCGCATTATTCGGTCAATGTCAAGTTCAAACTGCTTCTTGTTGTCACCCTGACTTGAATTACCATCATTCCTACGGTTTCTCGTCCTTTCATTTGGAGAATCAAATGAATTCATCATAGGCATCATTTGGCCTCTTGAAGGAAACATCATGCACCTCTGTGGAAGTGGGTTGAATCCGACATTCTTGGAAGGAACTGCAAGGTCTACACAGCTTCCCCCAGAACCTGGAAAAACATTACGGGGAACAAACTCCAATGGATGTGGTGAGCTACCAGAAATCCGAATATTTCCAAGAGAACCTGGGTGAAAAACAGAAGCATCAGGAGATTCCCCAGCAAATCCCGCATGTCGTCTATCCCAGATAGAAGGATTCACAGACGGTGCAGATCCGACATGGTGGTTGTTGATAGGTAGAATTGCATTCAGCATTTGGCTTGGTGCTCTAGGAACGGCATGCAGTTGTGGAGGATGTGGAGAACAAACCCCATTCACAAATGATGGTGAGTTTGGCCACATCATGCCAGCAGGTTGGGGATGGTGCGCGTTACTCCACATATAATGACGTCCAGGTGGAGGGCAGCTTCCATTTCCAGAGGAACCAAAAACTGGGAAAGGCGAGGACAAAAAAACAAAAAAAAAAAAAAAAAGATTTACGTTAACTTTGATTATGTTTACAGATTTTGCTATGACTAATAAGAAGTAATGAAAGGTTTCAGTTCAAGTCAAGCAGTTTGACTGGTCTTAGATTCCAAGAGTAATTTTTGCAAATTTGGCAAAATCCCCCGGATATATCAGAAATCAAACCTGACTTTGTTAATTAGAGAACACTTTATGGGGGAAAAAGGGGGGTAAGCTCCAGTAATGAATTGAAAGTTTGAACAACATCAACCAATGAAGATTGCTCCAAACACCAATAAAAGGAAAATCAATAGACCATAAAATGAACACAAATATACATACATTGAATTGTGGAACCAATACCTTCATTCAACTCAACAGCATGCCCATTTGAGCCAGTTCTAACAAAGGGTGAGTTTTCAATCATCTCTGAAGCTCTCGCACCACTCACATTAGTACCAATGTGACCAGGAGAATTGCAGGACAACACAGTTCCACCAAGCCCATCATGAAATTCTGGAAGTGAATGAGGATGGAAATTCGGCACGGCTCGGAAATCAAATTTCATGTCCCCCTGCTGGGCATGGGCTGAGTCATTAACACCAGCATGATTACCACTAGATCCCACCCTAGCCAATGAAGGTACGCTGTTAGGAACTGAAGAAGATACCCCATGGTGGAAGGCATTTTCGAAAAACGTAGTAACATTATTTCCACTGGCAGAATGGGACCCAAAGATTGTTCCATTGTCCACACCAGATGTGACGACCCCCATTGGAAATGAACCTGGTAAGAAAATATACAAAAGCTTCAGCATCTATGATTCTGTAATATTCACTAAACAATTTTGGCAATGACCCATTACAGTCGGAGGCACGTAATGATACCAGAGAATCCAGTTGATGTGTTTTGAGGGCTAGCCTGCTGTAAAAGAAGGCCAGATTCTTCTTGCTCCGAGTCCGAAGTAAAAGGCTGTGATAATCTGCAAGAGGTACAAGTGAAATCCAGGTAAAACATTTTGCAGCAGGAAGAAGGGGAGAAAAAAATTCCGTAAGCAGTCCAACAATGGTTCTCAACCCATTGCCAGCATAAAAAACATAAGCACCCTCTCTTCATCAACAAGAATCAACGAAGGTAAAAAAGACGCGAATAAAGATAAGTAATGACATGCAACTCACCGCCTAGCACCACCTGGACGACTAGGCTCTAGCTTGATACGCTTCCCAGCAATGTCACTCCTGTTCAAAGCACGAAGTGCGGCCTCTGCAGCTCTCACATCATAAAATTCAATAAATTTGTAGTGACTTCTGTGTGGAGTCTCGCGGATCTGCATTCAAGATAAAAACATAAAAATTAACTCGAAAAGCTATGTCACCTCACTTTGAACATTAACTCCGAAAAAAAAAAAGGAAAAAGAAAAAACCGTAACTGAATTTCTTACCTCCTTAATTTCACCATAAACCCCAAAAATTTCCCGAAGTTCATCATTGGAAACAGAAGAGTCAAGGTTAAAAACCACAAGCGTTCCTTGATTGATATCTTTTTCAGATGGATTGTCCTGGAATTAAGAAATAGCAGTAGAAAAAACATTTAATTACAATTACATGCATAAAATTAAATGATGAAAACATGAAAAGGAAACAGCTAGACCTTGAGATATATACTGAACTCCATGAACAGAACGTTGAAAAACATACCTTCGGAATAGAGAAATGTATGTCAAGCTTCCTCCGCCTCAATGGCTTATTTTGAAGTGCCTTCATTGCATTCCGAGCTGCTCTGATATCAAAGTATGAAATCATGACGAAACCCCGATGCTTACAGGCAGTATATAGCGTACGAATATCCCCATATTGCTGCAATCAAAGTCCAAAACAGGAACCAATTCATGAGGACAGGTAACGAGAGAATGATAATTAATGGTTCATGCACAGTGTATTGGCAAGCAATAGACCTCCATACCTCAAAAAGAATTCGTAATTCAGAATCTTCAACATTGCTATTGATATTTCTGACAAAGAGTGTCCTAGAAGGGTGTTCTCCAAAAGGGTGCTCCCCTCCAACTGCTCCTGCAATCTGCCCATTCCCACTGCCACCAGAAAGATCAAGATTACTTTGTCCTGATGGAAAACCATCATCCCCCAGCTCCATTCCTCCGATATTGCTAAATACATCTAACTCTTCTATGTCATCACCACTACTGGGATGGCCCATAGCATCCATCCCATCAGTAATGCCAGATAGCAAATCATCATCATCAGGAAGGAGGTTTCCAATGGTGTGAGCCTCGAGTTCTTCAAGTGACTCAAACGGTTCCTCTTCCTCATATGGGAAGGCAGTAGCACCAACGGAGTGGCCATAAGGTGGATTATTAGAAGATAGTCGCACTGCATAAAGAGAAAATGAGTAAGCCCCTGTTAATGTAATTCAAAAATTCTATAAACAATACCATGCAAATGCGTAAACCTCGAATAAATAAAGATAGATAATTATCTGGTGAAGATGACCAAAGGAAAACATCAAACATATTACTGCAGATGTTAAAGAAAAATAAACTCACATTTTCTGCTGAACAACTCTGAAAGCGAGCTCGAAAATAGGCCATTCTCACGTTCAGAACCAACCAAATTCAGTTTCTCTCCTTGCAAGAAGTAAGCAGCAGGCTCCACACTAAAGTTGATTCTTCTACCGATATCATGGTCAAGGTTTCTTGGTAATGAACGACTGACTGACCCTGCTGCTCCACCTACAAGCTTATCTATGCTAAGGGCACTTCTCTGGTCTTGGTTGTAAAAAGTATCTTGAAGTCCAAAAGATTTTGCAGATAGAGAATCCAACGCAATCCTTTTCTCAAGGGGTGATGAAACAATACCATCTGTTCGTAGGGAACCATCAAATTTGGGATCTGCATAGAAGTCAGTCATATCAAATTTCAAACATTTGCAATCAAACCAATGCCATTAGAGTGAGATATCAAGATGAGAAAAATGAAAACAGTGACAACAGCCCTCCGGCACCGAAGGAAAAAAAAAACACTCAGGCAAGCAGCGGCAAGAACGGATAAAGGTTCTTTACTTTACAGCACAAACGCATCATATAGGATATATCTCTCTTCAGAAAAAGGCTGAATCTTAGCAAGGTAGTGTTGCGAGCATAACAATATTACCTAGGATTCTTGAAAACACTGAATGCCAAGAAAGTCAGATTAACTTCAACATGTTAAAAAAATCAGCGACAGAAGCATATCTGTACTCAACGACAAAGTTATTAACAACCTAATCAAGAATTAGCATGATCTCACTCTTAATAACTTTACTTAAGTTCATTCAATTAATCGTCACCTCCTATTAAAACAACTAACTAATATCTGGGAACAAATCCTGAAACCACAATGTCCTCTTCTTTCCTTTTTTTTTTTCCCTCAGTTTCTTTCTCTCTTCAGTTGTATGTTAACATTTCACGTAATCTGCAGCTAGGACACCATGAACTTGTCCACTATTCACCAAAGTATATTATACAGATCCTCAGACAAGTTATCCAATATTCTTTGATCAATAGGTAAAAGGTAAGCTTAAACAACAAAGAACAACAGAATTTATGAAGCTTGTCTCAAACCCCAATCCTCTACAAGAGATACAACAGACAGAACAGAAAACGTTCACTAGTCAAATTATACGATCACCAAAGTTCCATTTGCCTAGAAAAGCAAACTGATGATTATTTTGGAACCTTTTCTCAATAAATACGGCACAGATTTTTCTATAACAACATTTCCAAACGAAACAATTTTCCATGAGATACAACAGACAGAACAGAAAACGTTCACTAGTCAAATTATACGATCACCAAAGTTCCATTTGCCTAGAAAAGCAAACTGATGATTATTTTGGAACCTTTTCTCAATAAATACGGCACAGATTTTTCTATAACAACATTTCCAAACGAAACAATTTTCCATAAAAAAAAAAGACGCTTCGAAGTTTGAATGGGGTAATATTCACAATTAATAGCTGCAAATACTAGCGAACATGGATATCCATTGCATAAAGACAAACAAAAACAAAGATAAAAGCGAAGAATGTGCAAACTCACCAAAGTGTTTGGGCATGGTATCCATCTTCCAGAATCCTACCTGTCTCTGCTATGTACAGAACAAAATCATAAAACTGGCACATATAACAACCAATTTCTTGTTTATAACAATTACCACTACACAATACCTCATCACGAAGACGCAACTCCTCGGCAAAAAATGAGGACTGGGAGAAACCCTGTGAATCCATCATTTCAGACGGCATTGCGTGATCACAACTCAAGTAGCAGGGTAAAAGTTGAAAAAATCCAGTCTTTGGCTATGAATGAAGGACAAACATCTACTATATATCACGGGGAAGGGGAAGAAGATCTCGCTTCAAAGAAGACCTGCAGTTAGAACACAAAATCTCATCCATGTGTTCAACTAATTGCGAATTACAAAAATGAAACCAAAAGAAAAAATCCAAAAGCTTTAGTACACTAGACATTCCATAAAATGCTACCGGCAAAGGAGAGAAGCCAATTGTCAAAAAGAGCTCAAACGAAAATACACATGCAGACAAATTACAAATTTACGGAACAGTCAGCATGGAGGCTGAGTAAAAGGATGATCCCGAATGGAAAATCTTTCAATTCCATGGCACACACAATTAGGGGCAGTACAATTGCAAAAGAGCACGGGTGCGGGCGGAATTGGAACTTAGTTGCATATGAAACTGAATAAAAAAAACATCTTTTAAAACCTCAACAGCTCTAAAGATTGAAACTTGAAGGGATTACTGTACGTGTCCCGAAAAATTTAGCTCAAGAAAGGGGAGGGCAAACAGATGTGGAAATTGAACAGATCGGAAAAAAGAGAGGCAGTTTCGCGCACTAAAATTTCAAATTCAGAGGGGGGAGAAACAGAGAAAAACAAACAATTTCAAAATTTTGTAAAAGATCAAGGGGGTTAACTGAAAAAGGGAAATAATCGCACGAGGAAGCAAACAAACCTCTGGTAACCAAAAAAAAAAGGCAAGTACGGCGACTCCAACTAAGAAAACTACAATGCAAACCAGAATTCACAAACGGAGAAGAAAAACGCAGGACATATGAGGGGAAGCAAGGCAAGGGCGTGGAATTTTATATCTGACAGAAAAGAGAAGAGAAGACCGCAGAATTTAAAAAAAGGGAGAAAGGAAATTTTTGAAGAAAGACAACAAAAGAGAATAAATTACGGCATAAGGCAAGAAGAGAAGATTGCAGAAGAGATCTAGGGTATCTGTGCCGTGCAAGTACCTCCAACTTCCCCACCCAATTTTCCCCCTATTTCTTTGATCAAATTTTTTTTTTCTCTCTCTACCTCCTCTTCCTCCTCCTCCTCCTCCTCTGCAGCAGTTTCCTACAATGCACGCTAATTGCGCTGTCTTTCTTCGATATCCAAATTGTACCAAAAGCACCGCGGGAAACTACGAACAAATTCGTGAAGCTCCACGCGCCGCGGGATGCCGGATCGGAAAGAACAACGCAGGTGGCTCTCCGGCGGAGAATCCTAGCTGCTGCTGCTGCTCCTCCTCCTCCCACCTCCGGGGAGAAGGAAGAGAAGAACAGGAGAGGGAAAAATGGTAATTTGGGGAGAAAATTTTTGAAACCAGACCCAAAAAAGAAAAGCACAAAAATTTTTTTTGAATATAAATATACACGAATGATAGATCGCTAAATGGTAAGAAAATGAGGTTTGAATTGAATTGAATTGAATTGGAGTTGAATTAGACCGAAAAAACAAAATTTGAGCGGACCCAAAAGGGAAAGAAAAAACACCGACCAACCAGATACCTCTTCCACATCTTCCGAACCCGATTCCGATTCCTCTGATTTCTCCTCCGACGACGGGTTGTGGCTTGAGATCAAGGAAGAGTTAGTGTGAGAAAGAGAAAGAGAGAGAGAGAGAGAGAGAGAGAGATTGATTTGGAGATAGAGGCCACGGTCTAGAGAGAGAAAAAAACTGAGGTGACCCCTCCAAAAAAAACGCAGAAAATAATAATAATAATTATTTAAAAATATATATCTATTATTATCGTACTCCTATTATATTGAGAATAAAATAATTTAATTTCTATTTTTTTTTCCCTTTCCTAAAAGAAGTGGAAAAAGAACATCGTAGTTATATGTTCATCATGAATCATGAGGCTCTCTCGCACTCTCTCTCTCATGTCTTGATGTAGGAGGAAGGAAGTAGAGAGGATAGGGATGGGTGGTGGTTCGCCGTTATTTCCCTTTAACGGCGTTCTGTCTTTCTATTATTTCGCAAACATTGCTGTATATATATATATATATATATATTTTAAAAAATTAAATAAAGTGCTCATCTTCTTCTTTTTTGGCTTTTAATGCCAAAAATAAATACCGAGTAATTACTTCGTTTGTTGTATTTTTAACTTCTTTTTCCCCAATTAAAAAGTCATTGTCTTCTTTTTTATAACTTTAAAGCGTATTTTCATATTTGCCACCATTCTTTTTTCTTTCTTTTTTTTTGAAGAAGCCACCATTCTTATTAGTATAGGAAATTTCGGACTTCTTTACTTTTTCAACAAAAAAAATTGTGTAAATAATACTAACATAATCCCGTTTTGCTCGGCTAATCATGAATGATTAAAGGACTTTTTTTCTTTTTAAAGGAAAAAAGGACACGTTGGCCGCATATATAGCTGTTCTATCCTCCTAAATATGAGTCCTGACTCATTTATCTTATTCTTATCCATTAATTAAAAATACGCAATGCTCCCTCTGTCTAGAAAAATGAAAATCCAAACTAAGTAATATGTTTAATTTGTTTATGATTTTCGTAAAAAGATTTACGATTCTATTTTTTCTTTATATCCAAATAGAATATGTGATGCCCCGAGCAGATTAATTATTTCGAGTCTAATGAGAATAAATACCCAAATAATGAGAGAAAAATTTAGCCCCTGGGGTGTACAGTATGGCTGGAATTGATTCATGATAGACTTTTTCATTTGATGTTTAGAAAGGCTTTTTGGGACTCCTTAACAAAATCATAATTACAACACGGATATTTTACAATCCCAACAATTCTGCTGGCTATATAAGTAGGTAAATTTGTTTCAAGATGTGAGTTAACTTCTCACTTGTTAATACTTAATACATTATACTCTATCTTTCCGAAACAATGTCCAACTTTGATTTTAAACTTTTTTAGTACGAATTACACCAAACATTAAGAAAAATAAATAAATAAATCTGAATGATCATTTTGAGACAGGAAAAATAAATGAAATTTTTTTTAAGACAATTGAAAGAGTTTTTGTATGAAAACTAACCTCTTACTGCGTGTATATGAAAATGTACATTATTTCCTTGTCCGTTTGATAAAATTTCACTTTGTTATTATATCATTGTTGTTTTAGTTCAATGAATTAGGTTATACTACTAATAAAGTAGTAAAATGGGGTTGAGTAATGACTGAGTATGGTTCATAATAGTATTGGGTCTAAATTGCGACGTTTGACTTCAGAATGAATGGGAATATATAGTAGAGTGAAAATTGCTAATAAAGAAAGGAAAACTACGACAGTAGTAGTAGTAAAAGATGTTTAGGTAATGAAAAATGTTAAAAACATGGTCTGGTTGTTATGTTATGGTCAAGTTTGGTTTGATTCTCCCCTCCCTCCCTCTAAAATAAAAGGATTTGGTTGTTTTGGGATGCGAGCCAACAATTCCCCTTTGCCTGAGCGACCTGTCTTTATAATTAAAAATCAAATCCATTTCGCACATTGACCTAATTTTTCCCTTGATATTTGTCCATAATTTATTTTTTTAAAAAAAAAATGGTCAAATGGTTGGTACTGAATATAATGGAGTTGTGCTTTATGATCAAAAATAGATAAATGTACTGGGCTGATAAATATAAATTGGCATTGGTAAATTCCTCTTTTTCTTTTGTTTGTTTAAATATGTTGAGTCAATGATTAAATGAAAAATCATGAAAGTACAGCAGTACTGACCAGAGTTGATCAGGAGATGCAGATCTTGTGGTTCAGGAATGGTTGATTGTTTCAGACACTTTGTCTATGTGTCTATCTCCCACTGGGTGAGGTTTTAGTACTTTGTGTCCGTTTTCGAGTTTCCACTGCTACTTTCTTTTCTTTTTTTTTGGATTTTTCCCCTTTCATTTTGAACTATTGATAATTTGTGTGGACTCTGGAGGATGATATAAATTGTGAAGTACTAGTACATACTTGTTGAGTTTAAAGCTATTTTTTTATGGTATTTTCAGAATATTTAAATAATAATTGTCCAATCTCAGCATATCTTTTTACATTTTCAATATATCTTTTTACATTCCCAATACAAAAAACACCTAAAAACACACACTAAAAAAACGAAACAAACATACTCTTTGTAACTCCCGCTGGCCCATGTGTGGACTCAATGTGTACAAATTATTAAAGTTTAATATAAACTATTTTTTGAGACAGAAGTTAAATCTTTCAGTAAAATTTTATAAAATTAACCAGTTAATAAAACTATAATCGTTCTTCGTTTGATAATAGAAACTTATAAAATGGTAGTTCAACATGTAGACTATCGTTTTTTCCTAACTTTCAATTGCTGAAATTGTGTTTTTAAGGGAGAAAAAAAGAAAAAAGAAAAAAGAGTCATCGTGTAATTAAAATACACTCGATCGGCCCAGCAGTCAGATTCTTGTGCCCATCCTAAAGTAGAGCGGCATATTACTCCAAGAAGTCCAATATTCCAAAGCCCCCACAGTTTGTAGTTTATTATACAACATCGTGACTCGAGGCTCTCTTTTGTGCCTCGTCTTTTAAGTAATTTCAATTTAGATCCATCGATTTTTGTATGTTGTAAACTTGTATTTTGTTCTTCTTCTTAATATAATTCCTTTTCGGGAAAAAAAAAATCAATTTAGATCCATCCATTTTTTTTAAAAAATAAATAAATAAAATATAAGTCTTGAATTTGTGCATAAACTTTGGGGCTCTATAAATGGAAGTTTAAAGCAATTTGAGTGAGTTCATAAAATTTGTTTTTCTCCCTTGACTGTTCCCAGGAGTTAAGTTAGTTCAGCTTTCTGTTTCTAAACTATTTTTGCATACTTTTGAGTATTTTAAGCCTTCGGATTAACCACTTTATTTGTATATAAGAAATAATCAAATACTCATTTTGAAGTGATTTACTAAGAAACAAAAAGCATTACATTTATGAAGTGAAATAGCATGAGATTAACAAACAAGACTTTTCTTGAAACGGATAATTATTATTATTACACACACACACAAGATGTTTTTGATTTATTGTCATTTTCCCAGTTGAACACAATTTGTATGCTAAGAATAGATGGGGCTAATGTCTATCTTGTGCATCCACGTGGCTTCGTGAGTTAATGAGTTTAGCTTCCTGACTAAATGATCCATAATCTAACAGTTAATATATAAATTGTACTACTTCTCACGTACTCCCTCCGATCTTTAATATAAGTCATTTTAATTTGTCATAAGTTTAATATAATACATATTTTTAATCGACAAAAAAACCTTAAAAATATTTCATAACAATCAAGAGAACACAACGAATGTGAAAATATATATTTTAAGATTTTTTTGTCAATTAAAAATATGTTCTAGGTGAAATTTAAGAAAAGTTAAAATGCTTTATAATAAGGAGGTGAGAGAGTATAATTCACATGCAAAACAAAAACCAAACAACTACTAGTATTTAACAACCTTGAACTGCACACGACACGTTACTTATGTAATTCTTTCGTCCCTAAATGAATATTTACAACAGATGGAACAATTACTTTAGAACTATGTAGGATTTTTTTTTTTCCCTTTTGAATTGATTGATAAGAATCACAATTATCAATTAGGGGCGATTACAATTAGTTTAAGCTGCAAGAAACTATGTTGTATTCAGAGTGACATGCTCGGATCGATCTGGAAACTATGATAATAATTTTAAAATAATTCCATAAAACAGTTATCTGGCTAACAGAATATGATTGAGTCATTTATTATGGAACAGTGAATTATAATATACATTGGCAGTCTGAATTTTGAAATATGAACATGATACTAATTAATTTAGGAAGTATAAAAAGAGATTAATGATTGGATGAAGAACGTGGAGGGCCAGTAAAGTTTATTCATAATTGGGTTTGCTATGTAAGTTCCCTGATTTAAAAATTTGCATTACAATCATATATTACCAAATGATTTTTATATAATACTGTATGTAAGATTGATGAATAATCAGAAGTACATAATAATTAAAACATAATTCCTTGTATAAAATGTTGTTGCACGTGCCAATTAAAGGTGGTCAGGGTTTGCATCCCTTATCCTGATAACCCTAAGCAGCTGTTAATGGTCCCTGTTCCCTCTGCTGCCTTCTTTCTTCCCCATTTGTGTTTTCTGCTGGATATGACCATGCCATGAAAGAAAAAAAAAAAATTTGTTGAATACCAACAAGCACTCGATCCATATGTTAAATGTATCGGTCCGGTTTAATTATGACCAAAGTCTAAACATGACTATAAATATATAGTAGTAATTAAAAAAATAAAAAAAAACTTGTTGAAATTATAATGTCTCTAGAAAACAATTATACAGTAATTTCGGATGATGCCTAGACTAGAAGAAGCTGACTTTTTTACTCCCTCCGTCCCATAATTATTATTCTGTTTAAATTTTCATTTTTAGTTTAAACTGTATTAAAATTGAAATCACGATATGAACAATAATTTTGGGACAGAAATACTATAATCCAACTTGGGAAGCAACAGTTACCCTCAAGCTGACTTTTGCACAGAAATATTGCAACCTCTGACATGCCCACTGTTAGGCTCGGCTCAAGTCAACATGAAGTGTTGAGAATGATAAGCTGGGCCTGTAGGTTTATATCTAAGGGGCTTACAGCCCAATGAGTGAAATCAAGTTTCATCATCATCAAATTTTATCATGCAGGCCCTTGAGAATTTTAAAACCAGCCATTGGATTCCATTTTAGTTTTCAATACCTATGTCAATATTCTCTCTCTTTGTACTACTGTCTTCCTAGTTCCTCCCATCGGCTCTTTCATTTCCTCTTTCAGTCAGACCTCATCTCATCCTTGTCTCTACTATTATTGTCTTCATTCCCTAATTCCGGTAAGAACCCTAACTACAACTAAAGACCAACAACGTTACACACAAATCACAATGGTTGTTTCTGTTTCATTCTCATCAATTAGTATTCACAACATCCATAATAGTATTTATGTTTCAAGGAAGTCGACTAGTTTAGATATTTTTACTCACCAGAATAATATAGAAGAGTCTCAACTCAATCCAGCAAAGCCTAGATTATCAACGGAGATTCCAAGTTAGTTGTTCTAATCAGAAGTGACAATGGCGGCGGATGATGAGGTTCAGAAAGTCAACCAGAAGAAGAAGAAGAAATCAGTGGAATTCAAGCCCAAACACTGGATCTGGGCCATTTCGGTCTTAGCCGCTTGCATTTGCGCTCCGCTGGCGAATTATTTCTGGTGCGGGGTTGACAAGATCAGATACGATCGATTTGTCAACCCCCAGCAAGAATTGGAGCGCTATGAACCGGTGAACAACCTGTTCTTCGTCTTCTTGGGCGTTGATTCCGCCGTCGGGATCTACGCGGTTATGTTTTTGCACCTCTTGATACTCGACCTATTCGGTGAGGAGGAGATTTCAGTCCCAAATCAGAGTGCCTCCACCATCAGCACAAAAGACAGCAAATGGGATTTACTTGCTGCCATTGCCCCCATTATGATTCTAGTAACCGTGGTGATTGTTTTTATTGGATTCGGAATCACGCCCACGTCACTCCGGAAAAGATGAAGGAATTTCAATACAACAACAGTCTCTTCTGTTTGCTTTTGCCATTTTTCCTCTCCGGGCTACTCATTCTTGTTGCCCTTCTCTCCTGGAATGAAGCAAACAGAAAGAAGCGTTCGGACTCCGTGGTCAATGGAGAATCAACTCAAGCCAGTACTCCTTAATCAGTATGGGGGTATTTTAATTATTTGGGGTTAATAACTATTGGGATTATTTAATCTGCAGTGTTGGTAGTTTTTTTTTTTTTTTCTTTCTTTTTGTTTTTCTGTCCTTTTCTGTCTAATTAGGCTTCGCTATGTGGTAATGTTTTCATGAATTAACTAGTAGCAATTGAGTTGTAGTTGTTTTTTCATTTCCTTGTAAGATATATTCATATATGTATTCTATGATCTGGTCCCTTGGTGTTGTAAATAGTCCTGAATTATTTAAGCAATTGAATTGGAAGTACCATTTTATTTAATTAAAGAAGAAAAACCACTCTTTGCCATCTATTTATACTTGATGATTTCAATAAACAAAACCCAAAAAGAAGAATTTTTTATTATTATTATATATACTTGGGGAGCATAGAGCTCGGAATATAAAAGTCAACTCATTAAGGTGGAGTTGAGCTAGGGCCAATCTATTCTTACTTTTTTTAGGATTATTGTCGGGGGTGTTGACAAGACGTATTTCCCCGATACAAGATAATCTTAGTTTGGCTAATGAATCAGTCGGCGGTTCATTGCCGTTGCTACTTCTATGTAAGTAGTGTACTGCCCATTGCTGCTGTAGAAGTTGTTTTATCCTATGAAGGATGTTGCTGCCCATCGCCGCTAGGACCTTCAGTGTTAGTTCTCGGCTGCTGCAGTTCTCATCAGCGAAGATTTCCTGATTCCTCGCATTCCATATTTTCTAGCACGCTGTTGCGGAGCAGGTGGCCCATTGATATCCTTCCTACAAAAAAGAAGAAGAAGTGACTTGGGAGATGAAGAAAATTGGTCGGGCGAGGTGAATCTGTGGACTTTGTCCCTTGATCGTTGGGTATTGGAATATGGACAAAGTAGAGCTAAAAATGCACTTCATTGGGCTGCCCAGTCTTATTTCCAGCAATTGAAAAAAAAAAGCGGCCCAATCAGGAGACGGAGCTGTCATATCAAAATGATCAATGATTAGCATCTTAATTACGCCTCCTTGGGTATGGCTAATGAATTATTCCCGCAAAAGGTATGGAAATTTTTTGAAAGGTGGGATATTGAAAGATTTCACTTATTTTCATCCTGGGATCCCAAATTGCCTATTTTGCAATTTATAATCAAAACAGCCATACAAGTGTTGAACTGAATCTGGGTTGCAAGATGACATAACCAAATAAAATATAAGTAAATCTTCTTTTATTTACGTTGCAAGTTATAAGTATTAACCTCATGAATTCTCAAATTAAATGTTAACTGATTCATGTTTCGTATCGTTTAGTCAAGTTACTATCTCTAGATTAACTTTTGTGTATAACATTTTCACCAATTCAATATAAGAATGGGGGATTCAGAAAAAAAAAAAAAAAAAACCAACATTAAAAAATGGGAAAGGGTCAGTTGCGGATTAAAAAAGAGGACCAAGGCCACAAAGGTAAGGAATTGGAAACTAAAATGCGTGTACAAATTGGAAAGATACATATTAAACACACTAGGATAGTGACCCCCACCCCCACTCTCATCTCATCACAGACAGTCCTAAACAGAAAGAAAGATTAGCAAATGATGCAAGGAATATGACTAATTAAGGATCTCTGTAAACGCATCCGTTCAAACATCACACCTAGAAACTCCCCTAATTTTAGTATTAAACAATTAATGCCCCATTGGCTAAAGGGGTATCCCACCCCTTTCACAAAGTTATACTATTTATTTAGCATTACCAAACAAATAATGGCCTACTACTATAAGAATTTATAAACTTTCTTAATTAGCAGATTATGAAAAAAAGAGATAAGAACGTGATTATCACCTCAATTGGTCATCATCATTTCATCATCACAAAGCTTGAATGGTCATAACTCATAATCCCACCCTTGCTTCAAACTTCAAAGGGTCCATAATCATTACCCAAAACAATTACATATATTGTTAGAGCCAATAGGTCTTGCATACTACATAGTTAACAAAAAAAGATAAGTCCCTCTCTTAATCGCAACCAATAATCCCCTCTTTAATTCTTCTTCTCCTTTCATATTATCACTTTGATGATTTTATTTTATTTTTTATTTTTTTGTGTGCAGGTGATGAGATTATGAGTGCTCTCTCCCTTTTTCTCCTCGCCCTGTTTTTAAAGGTCACACACACACACTGACTGTAAAGCTTCTTAAAAAACAGTTAATATTTAATAACATAAAAATGTATATCTCAGTCAACAATGTGATGAATTGTAAGGTGAGACTTTGAAAAAGCCAGCATTGGATTCCTTTTTACTTATGTAAAACTGTTGATTATAATGGTAACTAAAGAGATTTTACCACTAGTAATAATCTGTACTGTCTTCCTTCCCCTCCGCTCCTTCTTTACCACTTTCTGCTAATTCCTATCTCAATCTCACACACTCTCCATGTGTTGTCCTTTATTCCTAAATTCCTAAATTAGGAACACTCTTAGTCTTAACTACAGCAAACAGTATAACGTCACAATGTCAGTTTTATCAATTCATCAATTCATTCACAGAGAGAATACAGTCGATAGTAATGGCGGCCGATCAAAAGCTCAACAAGAAATCAATGGCTATCAAATGGATCAGTGGGATCACTGTTTTGATCTGTTGTATCGCCGTTCCTCTGGCGATCTTCTTCTGCGGTGGGATTAACCAGATCAAGTACGACCGGTTCATCAACCCGGAGCAAGATCTCAAGCGGTTTCAACCCCTCCACAATCTGTTCTTCTTCTATGTCGGGGTTGATTCCGCCATTGGGCTGAGCGCTTCTTTGTGCTTGATGGTGTTGGTGATGGATTTTCTCGAAGATAAGTTTCCAGATCCAGCCGCCCCAATTCAGAGCACAAAAAAATCTGGGGCTATTCGCAAAAACTGGTCACCATCACTCTGTTCTGCAATTACATTCGTTGTTCTGTGTTATGTTTTCCTGATAGGGCTGATTGTGATGACTTATACCGAGGAGACGCGTCCAACGCGGATCAAAATCAGGCATCATTCCCACATCAGCCCGGAGGAGATGCGGGATTTTCAAGAACTGGACATGATGTCGTATTGCGCTGCGGGAGTTTTCCTCGCCGCTTTGGTTCTGAAAACTGCTTTTTTCTGTTGGTTGGATGGAATTTTTAAGGGAAATCAACATTCTGAAGGTGGAGGTGAAGGTGATGCTGAGCTCGTCTAACTCCAGCCCAGGGCGGTTAGTGGTGATTAATTTGCTTTGTAGTAGTAGTAGTAGTAATAGGGTTTAATAGTTTGTTTATTTTAATTTATGTAAGTTTAGAATATTGCGAGCTGTTCTGTTCTATTTTCTTCTCTCTTTCTTTTTTTACCCCTTCTGTCGTAGACTCGTAGAGGTATCTCTACTATGTAGTGGAACCTTGATTTTATATTTAATTATTAATCGGGAAGTTTTTTTAGATAATTATTATGAGCTGTTCATTTTTATATTTATTAATTATAACACTCCTCTAATTAGTGTTATAATCAGTGGCGAAATTGTGACGGAGTTAATTAACTTGACAATATAATATATTAACTTGGTAAAATGGCCAATTGAAAGATAGCGACCACTTGATAAATTAGGTTCAGAAAATAATTTTTAATTTTTTATAGAGACTTTTATAAAATTTTATTATTATAGATTACTATAAATGAACTGTAACCCAATTTATTTATATTTATTATAGTCGGAAGTACCACCTTAAAACCCTTTGCCCTCTATTTATATTTGATGATGGTCAATTACAAAACAAAAACCACGAAAAGAAGAAGTTGTGAGACGAAGAAAATTGGTGGGGGTGTGAAGCTGTGGACTTTGTCCCTTGGCCGTTGGGTATGGACAAGTAGAGCAAAAAAGGCCCTTCATTAGGCTGCCCAGTCTCATTTCCCGCAATTGAAAATAACGGCCCAAACAGGAGAGACAGAGCTGTCATATCAAAATGATCGTGATTAGCATCTTAATTACGCCTCCTTTGATTAAGATCACAAAGCCAATCCAATAATTAACTTCCAAGTATAAATAAAATTTTAATATGCCTAAAGGAAAAGAAGGACGGGGGATCAGAAACGGATAGGGGCCATAATGAGCAAACTTACTTAATGGGAGGGCAATCTTAGCACTAACTACAGATGATCCATTTCCACCATGACCAAAAGAAACAAAATAGAAAAAAAAAAAGAGAAAAACCTTAGAGGGGTGGCCCTTTACCTAATATTGGAGGGACCATTAAATATAACCAAACAAATATGGAGGATTAAGTATTCGATTTTTTTGTATGGCTAATGAATGATTCCTCCCAAAAGATATGGAAAATTTTTTGAAAGGCGGAGAAGCAAAGGAGAATAGCCCCTGTAGCCAGATTTTGCTTATCATCCTAAGATGTCAAATTGACCATTTTGTAAGTTAATATCAAAATAACCACAAGTGCTGAACTGAAGAGGTACAATAATAATAAGATAATAATGTATTACATAATAAAAACAAAATAAATATACAATTTTTTCTTTAATTTTCATTACAGTTATACGCGTGAATCTAACAAAATATTCATTGTTTCGTATCGTTTAGACATTTTACTCTGTCTACAATAACTTGTAGGTGTGTAAAATTTTGACCAATTCAATGTAACAATGGAAAAAAAAAAAACATGAAAAAAGGTTTTAACAAATGGGAGAGGGTCAGTTAGGGATTAAAAAGAGGACAAAGGAAAGGAATTGCCAACTAAAATGCGTGTGCAAATTGGAAAGATACATATTAAACACACTAGGATAGTGACCCCCACCCCCACTCTCATCTCATCACAGACAGTCCTAAATAGAAAGAAAGATTAGCAAATGATGCAAGGAATATGACTAATTAAGGATCTCTATAAACGCATCCGTTCAAACATCACACCTAGAAACTCCCCTAATTTTAGTATTAAACAATTAATGCCCCATTGGCTAAAGGGGTATCCCACCCCTTTCACAAAGTTATACTATTTATTTAGCATTACCAAACAAATAATGGCCTACTACTATAAGAATTTATAAACTTTCTTAATTAGCAGATTATGAAAAAAAGAGATAAGAAAGTGATTATCACCTTAATTGGTCATCATCATTTCATCATCACAGAGCTTGAATGGTCATAATCCCACCCTTGCTTCAAAGGGTCCATAATTCCATTACCAAAAACAATTACATTTGGCCATTTAGTCAGAGCCAATAGGTCTAGCACTCTACATAGTGAAAAAAAAAAACAAAAAAAAAAGAATAAGTCCCTCTCTTAATCACACCCAATAATCCCCTCTTTGATGATTCTTCTCCTTTCATATTATCACTTGATTTTCTTTTTTTTTGTGGAGGTGATGAGATTATGAGCGTTCTCCCCCTTTTCTCCTGGCCTTGTTTTTAAAGGTCACACACAGTCACACAGTAAAGTAATATTAAACCTTTGGGGAACGGGGCGCCGTTCTAAGCCCCCCCAAGAGGAAACGCCGTTAACCCCAAAACCTCCCCGTTTGGCCACGTGCCATTTTCTAGAAAAAATTCATTCGAAAAAACGAAAATTATTTTAATTTTTCCAATTTTTAAAATAAAAAGAGTACGATTTTGTTCCACATGGCGGCGTTGGAGCAACTGAGCTTGGCTCCTGGTCCTCAATCCGACTCTTCTCCTAACGGCCGTCAAATAACGGCGGCGGCAGCCTTAGAGGGCGGCGATGAAGGCGGGAAAGTTCCCCGGCTTCCCCGTTGGACCAGGCAAGAGATACTCGTGCTCATACAGGGGAAAAGGGTTGCCGAGAACCGGGTCAGAAGAGGACGGACGGCAAGTTTGGCGTTCGGGTCAGGGCAGGTGGAGCCCAAGTGGGCATCGGTTTCGTCCTATTGCAAGAGGCACGGCGTGAACCGGGGTCCGGTTCAGTGCCGGAAGAGATGGAGCAATTTGGCCGGGGATTTTAAGAAGATCAAGGAGTGGGAGTCTCAGATAAGGGAAGAAACAGAGTCGTTTTGGCTGATGAGGAATGATTTAAGGCGGGAGAGGAAGCTTCCTGGGTTCTTTGATAGGGAGGTTTATGATATCCTCGACGGCGGCGGTGGCTCAGCCGCCGGCAGAGACGCTGGTGAAGATGCACCCGAGGAATTGGATTTGGCTTTGGCGCCGTCGACGGTTGCTGCCGCTGCCGCGGCTGAGGCGGAAGAGGCGGCGGAGACGGATGCAGTGTTTGACAGCGGTCGGAGTGCTGGGGCGGATGAGGGGCTGTTTTCCGATTTTGAGCAGTCAGTTCAGGAGGAGGTTGGAGGAACCTTCGACAAGGACTTCCGGCACGCCAGGGAAATCCCGGTGACTACTCTTCAAGCTCCTACGCCGATTTCAGGTAATTATGCTGCACTGAAACAAAATCTACCACATTCCTGACTATCATCATGCTTCATTTTACACCATTTAAGGGGGGACTGATATTGACTTAACCTTCGTATGGCGAATTCATAATTTATTCATATAGATTGTCTGTAAATGGTTTGACTTTTGATAAGTATGTATCGCAAATGTTACTGAAAAGTTTCTCTCTTTGCTTTGCCTGTGACACTTTTTTGTGTCTTTATTTGTTATTGGTTTATTCTCCGGTATGATCAGGTTGTTTTGACTTTTAATATAGACATAGATGATGATGGTCATGTGAATGATTTTTGTTGTCTTCTGAATTTAGTAGTTAGTACCATGTGCGTTTTTGTTATTTGGTTGATCTTCAAGTGGCGATTCATCATCCCAATATGGAACCTAAGTTTTTTTTTGAAAAGGGAACCTAAGTTGATACATCATACATTGTTAATCTATTCAGTTTATTGATGTTTGTTTTGCTTACGTATATTTTGGGTTGTGTAATTTGCAGAAAAGCAGTATCAACCATTCTCTCAAACACATCCGACTCAAGGTATGTTCCCCCTTGGAAGATTCGGTTATTTCAGTAGTCATCTGTTGTGTTTAGATGTGCTTATTACTGAGATTGTTACCTTCGACGTTGGGTGATTCTGTTGGGAATTTTTCATCAGTCATTTTGAGTGTATTGTAGTGTGGTTCAGATGATCACCAACTGCAGCATTATTGTCCATCGTTTTCTCAAATTCAGGACTGAAGATTGTTTTGAGTTCTTTTTCCTCATGTAGTCCATTGATATGCAACAGCCCAGACAGTTCTTTATGTTATTGAAGAGAATTTTCAGGGCAACTGGTATCTCTGAAATGACCGTACAAACATGTTTCAATGTAGGAATTTGCATAAATTGTTGCTGTAACATTCAAAAGTTCTACTACTTACTAGACCTTTTTCCTGAGTTTTTGACTCGTGTTTAATGTGTTTCCTTGAATGTGGTAACTGCTTTTCTACAACATAGTGTTACCTGCTTTGCCTTTCTTATGGTATGTGTTCAGATGCAGGCACCAGTTTTGAGAAACCCTCTAATGTGGAGTCCGAAACAAGAGGAGGTGAAGGGAAGAAACGAAAAAGACATGCAGAAGAACAAGTTGACGAAGAAGATGAAACGAAGTCGCTGCAAGATCAGTTACTTGAAGTGCTGGAGAGGAACGGCAAATTGCTGAGCGCGCAACTCGAATCCCAGAACCTTCACTTGCAGTTGGACCGGGAACAGCGGAAGGATCACGTGAATAGCTTGATTTCTGTTCTCCATAAGCTTGCAGACGCCATGGGAAGAATTGCCGATAAGTTGTAGTAGTAAATCAATAGCAGCAGTATGAAGAAATTAATACATGAATTATGACTTTAATTAGTTTTTTAATTTTTTATAAATCATTGAAGGTGGAGGCGAATTCTTTGTATCTAATTAGATTTTTCAAGTAGGAATTTTGTTTTGCTTCTTTCAGTTTTACCTTTTTATAGGGGTTTAAGTGGCCCTAATCCTGTACAAATGACTGGAAGATGTGATTCTGGGCCGGGGGTTTACTATATATGTGATCAGTAGGATTTGTCAGACATGATTCACATGAATATGAGTGATAATATGTTACAAAATGTTGGTGCATGTAACACGTTTTCTGCTGTTTTTGGAACCACACTTTCTTCTGATTCTCAACCTCAATTGGCTTCTACAAGGCTAGGTAGGTTTAACAAAGACAGGTTTGAACTTTGAAGTTTGGTCGTTTCCATTGTTTCCATTTGAAGATTTTCACAAATAAATAAATAATAAAAAAGAAATCCACATTCAATGGCAAAAGCTCAGGTTCAACACATTACACATTCGATTTTGTTGAGTCAAAGATGTTAGAAATTGCACCCAAGCTGCGTGGCATTTTGTAGTTGGTGTCGTTTGATCGATTTTTAGCTATTTAATTTATTTTTTTTTGATGATAGGGGGCATCATCAGAGTCTGTAATAAGTAATAACCAGATAAACGATTTAGAGCTAAGATGTTGAAATTCGGCAACATCGATTTAGTAATGTTTTTGTTCACTACACTTAATATCTGGAGTCACGGCCAAATTAATTCGGAATCATCAGTCCCTGGAATTCGTTAATTAATACTACTAATAATAGTCTGACGTTCATCGTTGCAGGTCATATTTATCTTCCTCGTCTTTCAAGATTTACGGTACCGATTTATTTATTAGTCTATTTTCCGTCTTTATTTGTCTTTCGTGTTTTTGAAACTTTGTAATACAACAAACTAAATGACTAATATTATTAGATAAATCGTCAAAATAATAATATACTCCCTCTGTCCCAAAATTATTGTCTACTTTGAGATTTCACTTTTAGTATAATTTAAAATACAAATGAAAATGAACAATAATTATGAGACGGAGGGAGTAATAAAGTTTATTAATAGGAAAAAATGTGAAAAATATTAAGGAGCTTGCAAAGAAAAAGTGTAGAGAAGCTGGTAGTTAAACATGTAATTAAAAATAACTGGATAGATTAGATGCACTTCGCGCGTACGTTATGTAAAATTAAGTTACGTAATGTACATTATATGTAAAAAAAGAATTTTTTATAATTAAAATAGTAAATTACATTTCTGTCTAATACACTATCTACAAAATATGTTAACAAATTTATCAGTAGTAAAAAAATTATACTTTTAATTGTAAGAACAAAATGATATCACTAAAATGTGTCACTTCTTTTCAACTGAAGTAACATATAGTAGCTGATTGTGAAAAAAAAAAAAAAAAGGACAAGTCGGTGAGAAATAAAATAAATCGAGTTTATGTATTACTAGAAAAAAAAAGAATAATTAAAAAAAAAGGAAAAAAAACAACTAAATTTGAGAAGGAAAAAATCAAGAAAAAAAGATGGAGATGAGCAATGAAAGATGATAACCTCCAATAGATTTGAGATTGAGGTAAAAATAAAGATTCGAAAGGAAAAAAAAAAGAGAAAGAGACAAGTGATTGAATATTACACCCTTTCAAATTATATATATGTAACTTTATACTACATGACTTTTAATATTCTTTTGAGTCGTGGAACAATTAAAACTAGTACCATTGAAGAACCTATTAAATTCAAAGGGAAAAAGAGAAAAAGAAAAGATTTAAAGAATTCAAAGAGGTTAGAATAACCGAAAATTGCTTTTAGGCCAATCAATTTCACACAATAATGAGAAATTATTTTTGAAATTAATGGTTAGAATCATCATAACCATTTTTAGACTGATCAAATTCACCTAATAATGAGAAATAATTTTTTGTAATCTTAAAAATAAAAATTAATGGAAGAGAGATTAAAGGGTCATTATATTGTTTGGTAATAAAGGATAATTTATTATTATAAATTTAGATATAATGGAGTAAAATATAATAAATATAATAATGAATAATAAATAAAATAATAATGAAATAAATAGGAGAAAATAGGTATTACAAAATGCTTTTGACAAAATTCAATGAGAGACTATAAAATTTATAAATTGCATGCAAAAATAATTAACCAAAAATAAATAAATGGGAAGGACTACCAAACTTCAAAACTTATTCATCAATTATAATATAGTATGAAAAAGAAAAAAAACACTCATCCGGAGGAGGCCCTTCAATAGTTCAATTAGATCCTTTGTCCACCCATTCTTCTAACGTTGGATGGACTGGTGATGGCCCAATTAAGATTTTCCCTATTTTTCGTTGACGTAAAATTTTACATTCAATTCGATAATTCATGTGATACTACGTAGTAGTACTAACATTTTGTCCTTAACGTCTGGCTTGTTGTAAACGTCTTATGTTTCTTTCTGAAGTGACAAAAAGAAATAATCTTAAATTTTGTTGGGTTTTCTTCCTATTTTGTTTTATATCTCTTTGTCAAGGACCTCAAGGTTCCCTAGAGTAGTCAAATGAGCATACGAATTTGTTGAACTAAATCAATTATTAATATCGCAATTTATAATTTTTTTAAAATTATTATGAAATTTTAGACGAATTTTGGGATAAGCATTACAATGTTTAATAAATTAGTTAAATATATATATCCGGAAATTTGACTTCACAAATACAACTACGCAAATGGATGAATGCAAATTTTTTGGACTAGTAAACTGGGAAAAAAACAATATGAGAGAGAGGAGGAAAGAGTCTAAAGGGGATTTGAAAAACTGGGAAAAGAAAAAAGAAAAAGAAAAGAAAAGGAAAGAAAAGTTTATTACTTTGTCTTCTTTATTGAAAGTGTAATACTGTATGTTTTTTTGTCTGTCATTTGTCCCACCATTTTTTTTTTACTTTAAACACAAACACACACACACCCGAGTTAAATATTATTTCTTAAAACTGTAGAAATTCCATCAAACTTCCAGTAAAAATCCTTGAAATTCCCAGTTAAAAGTTATTTATTTACAGTGACAACAATAAAGATGCTTATGCTGCTACTTTCTCAGAAACGTTGCCAGTAGCATTAAATTAAATTAATTGAAATAAAAAAGGGAAAATTCCTCATGCCAGTCTGCCATTTCATTGCCTGCCATTAATAATCAAAATCTTTGTTTCCGAAATTTAAATTAATTTTCCTAACCAGATATTTTAATCATAATAATACTACTCATCATCAGTAGTAGTACTAGTACTTTAGAAGTAGTTGATGTTTAAGGTTTTGAGTTGATGAACCTCTTTCAACTTTATATTACACTCTTTTATCTCTTATTCCTATGTTAGTTACTTGTTTGTTCTAACACACTGCAAAAAAATTGCCTTTTTTTTTTTTTTTGGTTCAGTGGTTTTCTTGTTTTTCTTAGCTTCATTGCTTCCGCCATTCTTTCCAATTCCAAAGGGTTTCTTTTCCTCTCTCTGTCTAAGCTTCTAGGGTTTTGTACCACCACAACCAAAAATCATAATCTATTTTTTTTCCCCCTTTTTACCAGACCTCACATTCTTTTCCCATTATACTCAAAAATAGTTTTTGGCTTCTGGGCTCTGCAAATAATGGCTTATACTTGTGATTAAACTAAGTTAATTGATTTTTTGCTTTTTAATGGGTTCTGCTTTTCTCTGTGCTTAGCTGGCCTGTCTTACCTGAACAGTAATTATGTTGAGATCGGAGTGAAAGGAAAAATGAGAGATCTTTGTTGGGTTTTGGAGCAATAAAGGACTGCTGAACATCAAATTTCCCCTCATTTTTTACGTTTAAACTTTGTTTCTCACTGGAAAGAATAACGAAGGGAGCAAATTGTTGATGTACTTCCTGCAAACATGCATTTCCCTAAGCTTGATGACTCTCCTATGTTCCGTAAACAGGTAACTTTCTTCTCGCCCCCCCCTCCCTTTTCTGTAAGAATTTCTTATAATTCAGTTCCCAAATGTGAATGCCCTTTTATGTCTTTACTGGAATTGGACCTTCCGTGAGTTCACTTGTAGTTTTTCTGAGGTTGATGCCAGCTGGGTTTTCTCTTTCCTTCTGTTGATTATTTTTATTTTGGTGTGAAAAATTAGGGAATTCTATTAAGCAATGCAATTTATTGGTAATTCAGATTAAATTGTCGCTGTAAATCCTGAATATCATTGTCAAAACTGTGTGACGTTTTTTATATAGTGTCTCAAGTGTTTTTGTGTTGTACTGTGCACTACTGAAAACTTAGCATTTTGTTTGTTACTGAAAGGAAGAAGCTTTTTCTGTCCCCTGGTTGTAGCAGACTTCAATTCATTAGCCGCTTATTGAAGTATGTAATGAATTGTAATTGGAACTAAGGAAATCCATGTTCAAGTTCTATTCTCAACACTGTTTTCCCTCTCCATGCTCTGCCATTCTAAGGCAAATGTGTTCCTCTTTTACTATCTTCTTTTTGGTTAACTGGCGAAAAAGTTTTAGTGTGGACTTTTGTTATCTTTCCTGTGTATTAGATACAATCATCGGAGGAAAGTGCTGAATCCTTGAGAGAGAGATGTTTGAAATTTTACAAGGGATGTCGAAAATACACGTAAGTACAATGTTTTAATTTTTCGGGCTATTTCTTGCATTTGAAATTGTATATAATTTTTTGCTTTCCTCTGCACCATTGTTGTAGTCGACATGGTTTCTACTGAAAAAATGCGAACCATGGAAGCATTTGTTGGCCTTGCTTTACTGTTTCAAGGAAGTTGACTTCATTTGGCATCATTGATTGAATCATACTCTATTCCATTTTGTTTCATATAGGAAGTGCAAACTTGAACTTTAGGTGGGTTATAGGAGTATTGTGCTTTAGATGAACATCAATACTGTGTCTGAATATCCCGAGGAGTATTGTGCCTTACAAATGCTAATATGTTTTTGTTTACTCTCATTTTTCTCTGTTAAGAAATTTCACTTCAAGAGGTGTGATGATCATTTTGATTCCAGAATTCATTTTTCTTTATTCTTCATTTTTTTTGGTTTATTATGCTTTACTCTTTTTTTTCCCTCTTGTTTATCAATCATATTAACATTCTTGTGTTTAAACTTGCAGTGAAGGACTTGGAGAGGGATATGATGGGGACATTGCTTTCGCCAGTGCACTGGAAACTTTTGGTGGGGGGCATAATGATCCGATCAGTGTTGCCTTTGGGGGTATGTCATATCTTCTAATCACTTATTTGATTGATCAAAGTAAACTTTGGTATGATTTTGATGCTTTGAAAGTTTTAATGCTTCTCAGTGGCTGCTTTGTAAATATAAAGGAATTTTGCTTTCTTTAAAAGTTTTGTGTTCTCTGCTCTTTTAATTTGCAGGCCCTGTCATGACGAAATTCACCATTGCGTTGAGGGAGATTGGTACTTACAAGGAAGTCCTTAGGTCTCAGGTTAGTTGCCAAATTTTGAAATGTGCTATATTTCCACCTCAATGTAGTTGCAAACTTCCAAGTGCTATTGAGTTACTTGAGTTTCTTTTAAGTTAGTATGCCAACTTTGTAAACGCAGAATTCACATATATTTTTTTTATTCCCTATTTGCAAGCCAAAGAAAATTCATAGATTGTGAACACATTCCCCTGCTTCAAGTATTTAATTGCTCTCATTTTTGCTGACTTTTATTTCGAATTCCTTGCTCTGGGGAAAAAGAATGGGAAATACTTGCAAAGATACAAGGATGGTTATGATTTATTATTTATTTATTTATTTTTAAATGATAACTTCTTTCGCGGTTTAGAAAAAGTTTTGTTGCTTGCATTTCAGGTTGAGCACATGCTGAATGATCGATTGCTGCAATTTGTTAATATTGATTTGCTTGACGTCAAGGTAAATACTCTTCGCTTATGCTTTTATTGCCATGCAATCTACTTTACTTCTGATCATGAAAGGAGTCAAAGACCAACAATTTATGCGCAGTTCCTTTGTGAGATTACTTTTTCTGGAATTCACAGTTGAAAGTTTCTATTCTCTAATTTGTCAAATTTTCTTTTTCATTCTCTCTGTCTCTCTCTTGAAATGCAGGAAGCACGTAAGAGGTTTGACAAGGCTAGCCTTCTTTATGATCAGGTGCTTTTCCACTGTTAAATGCTTGAAGTTCTTGATGGCATTAACAAAGGATATAAGTTTGTTGAAAGTTAAGAAATTTCTACCGATTTAAATTTGCCTTATAAGATATAAGAGTTTATTGGTAAGCACAGTGTGATAAGAGCTTCATGTTTGTAGCAATATGACCTACAGATACATGAAAAAAAGGTTGACTACATTAGATTTATTGACCTGGTCCTTCCCAGAACTTGCACATGCTGACATGCGGAAATTTCTATGCAAAAGTTTCTGTTTCATTAATATTCCTTCACCAGTAGTCCTTTGATGGGTGTTCTTGATATATTTTGGAGGCCATTATCAGTGTGGGACACTGATATATGTTTCTAATGCAGGCTCGGGATAAGTATCTGTCTCTGAGGAGAGGCACGAAGAATGATGTGGCCGCCGCATTGGAGGAGGTATGGCCTTGCACCCTAATCAAAATATTATTTTTTATCTGTATACTGGTATGCCTGATTATGAAATGGTTCAAGTATCATTCTAAACATGATGGGGTTTGTGCAGGAGCTTTATACTGCAAGGAACACTTTTGAGCAGGCTCGTTTTAATTTGGTAATCATGCTCATCACTTATTGACCAATGTTATGCTGTTTTTGACTCAATGATAAGAGTTCACTATCTAACATAATATGCTTGGTTGTTGCAAATGACCAGGTAACCGCTCTTTCTAATATTGAAGCCAAGAAGAGGTTTGAATTTCTGGAAGCAGTGAGTGGTACTATGGATGCCCACCTTCGCTATTTCAAACAAGTTAGTACTTTACTTGATTTGTTTGTGGCTAAGAATGCTTTACACTCTTGAGGTATCTCAAAGTTTCCTTTTTCCAGGGCTACGAACTATTGCATCAGATGGAGCCTTATATTAATCAGGTACATCTCAGTTTCTCTGTTTGGTTCGTTTTTTGGTTGGTTTTTTTAGAATTTTTAATTAATATTTGTCCCATCCCTGCATACCTTTTTACATTCCCAATACACCTTTTTACATTCCCAATATATCTTTCTCAATACAAAAAAAACGCACTAAAAAAATGATCCAAACATAAGATTAGTTACTATAACCGTCTAAGTTCTTATTGGATTGTATAACCATGCCCTATATGCTTCCTTTTCAGTGGTTTTGAAGTTTTTTGTGTAGCAAAGTTTGAGTGCTGAACATTTTTTCTTTCCAGCTTTGGTAAAGCTGAACAAAGAGGACTTCTTGTAGCTATAATTCTGTGTTCTGTTCATAAAAACTGTAATTAGTGTATGTCTCATTGTGGATCGATGAATCTGAAAACAATTGATATCTGTAGTTAGCTGCCTATGTATAATGGAAAAACTTGAGAGTTATTTGCAGTTGTGCACGTTTATGCTGTTTGTAACTGTTCTTTGGATTAGTTACTCAACAATCTTCTCTTCTGTAGGTGTTAACATATGCACAACAGTCAAGAGAACGGTCAAACTATGAGCAGGCAGCCCTTAATGAAAGGATGCAAGAGTATAAACGACAAATTGATCGTGAGAGTAGGTGGTCTGCAAATGGTTCTAATGGCTCTCCAAATGGAGATGGTATACAAGCGATCGGTAGAAGTTCCCACAAAATGATTGAGGCAGTAATGCAATCTGCATCAAGGGGAAAGGTTATATCTTGCTTACATGCACAGGACATATTATCTTATGTTCATAATGTGTAAATTACTGTAGCTCTTCCATAACCTTGATTATCCTTTCAGGTTCAAACCATAAGACAAGGGTATCTATCAAAACGGTCGTCAAACCTTAGAGGTGACTGGAAAAGAAGGTTCTTTGTTCTTGATAGTCGGGGAATGTTATATTATTATCGCAAACAAACTAGCAAGCCATCTGTAAGTGATTTAGAAATGTCCAGTGTTACAGATGAACTTAAGTTCATCGTGCTTTTGATATTTGAATTTATTGTAATCTTCGATTCAATCCTTAGGGGTCGGGAAGTCAACTTTCTGGTCAGAGGAATAGTTCGGAATTGGGTTCTGGATTGCTAAGTCGATGGCTCTCTTCTCATCATCATCATCATCATGGAGGAGTACATGATGAAAAATCTGTTGCTCATCACACTGTTAACTTGTTGACTTCTACAATAAAAGTTGATGCTGACCAATCAGACCTGAGATTTTGCTTTAGAATAATTTCACCCACAAAAAACTATACCTTGCAGGTAAAATCACCTTTTTAAGCAAAAAAGTTCTACAAGAAAATGGTTTCAGTTGTAAATTGTTTCAAATGGATTATATTGTGTTGCCATTCTAACTTGTTTTGGTTGTAACTGTAGGCTGAAAGTGCCCTGGATCAGATGGATTGGATTGAGAAAATAACCGGAGTGATTGCTTCCTTGCTGAGTTCTCAGGCTCCAGAGAGGGTAATCTAATTGATAGATGGTTATCTCTAATGGTTGTTTGTCTCATTTATGTTTTTATTTTATTTTTTTTCTTTTTTGGGTTTAATTATGTTTGGTTTTGGGTTCAGTGTCTAACTGCTAGCCCTATGGGAAGTGGGCATCATCGATCCGCTAGCGAAAGTAGTTCTTTTGAGAGTTCTGATTTTGATCACACAGCAGTTGATGACTATGCGTCCGAGAGGCTTGCCTCGGTCCATCTCGAAAGGCCATTTAGAAACTCACAGCAATTTCGATCATGTGTTAGAAGTGAGAAGCCAATTGATGTTTTGCATAAAGTTTCTGGGAATGATAAATGTGCTGATTGTGGTGCCGTTGAACCAGACTGGGCATCATTAAATTTGGGTGTTCTTGTCTGTATTGAGTGCTCTGGCGTTCATCGTAACCTCGGTGTGCACATATCAAAGGTATATGTCAATGTCGTACGGTTAGCATGATTAATTCTTCTTCACACTCTTGTACACAGGATGTCTTAAACCCAAATCCTCGTTAGTAACTAATTAACTTAGGTTGTATTTTGGATGCTGCAGTTCCACATCTACTGAAATGCTATAACTTTTTTTGATGCTTAGTGTGGCTTGATATGTTTCGAAATTAATGTCTCTTTTTTCTCCTTCTTTTCCCTTGTGGTTAACTTCATTCAGGTTAGATCGTTGACCCTTGATGTGAAAGTGTGGGAGCCATCTGTTTTGACCATGTTTCAGTCTTTGGGCAATAACTTTGCAAATTCTATTTGGGAGGAGTTGTTGCAGTATCGGAGCAGCTTCCAAAGTGATTTTGGTTCCGCAGGGTACATAACTGTCTGAATTCCTTATTACTTTCATCTAGTACACTGAGATATCAGCTGAATTTGAACATGGTTTGGCTTATTCTGCTGTATTTGTGATATTAAAAGGTCAACCAAGTCCGAAAGACCTCAACTGATATACATAAGCAAGCCAAGTCCTGCCGATTCCATTGCAACAAAGGAAAAGTTTATCCATGCAAAGGTATCTCTTTATGTTGATTGAGCTTTGGATTGAGTAAAATGCCCTTTAAGTTGGCTAAAATGTCAGGACTCATTGAAAGTTTTGTTTACACCCCCCACCCCTTTTTCTTTTCAAGTTATAGATTTTTTTTGTTCACTGAAAGTTCAGTAAATTCTCTGTTCAGCTTACATGAATATGTTCCTTCTTGGGGTCTGCAGTATGCAGATAAAGTTTTTGTGCGAAGGCTTCGGGATATGCGTCTAGTTGCTCAACAGATATGGGAGGCAGTACGCGCAAATGATAAGAAAGCTGTATACCATCTCATTGTCTGCTCTGAAGTTGATGTAAATGCTATTCATGAGGAATACACCAGCAATTCTTCTTTGACCCTTGCCAAAGCGATGCTTTTGCCAGAGCAGACTAATCTTGATCATAGCTCTAGTTACTCGGAGGCCTGCCAAGAGTTGTGCACTAGTTCTAATGCTAAAACATCGACAAGTGAAAGCCAGTCAGGCGAATATCTCAATGGTATCAGCTTGCTCCACCTTGCGTGTGAAACTGCGGATATTGGGATGTTGGAGCTTCTTCTACAATATGGTGCAAACATAAATGCCTCTGACTCAAGAGGTGAGACTGCCCTTCATCGTTGTATAGTGAGAGGCAAAACAGCGTTTGTGAAGCTGCTCCTTTCCAGGTAACTTAATTTTCATTACAACTGTTATTGTGACAGAATACTTAATTTGTGTGTATGATAGTATCCATGCCAACGTAGAACGCTTTAGAATATGAAGTGCCTTGAAAGTCACAAATATGTACCAATTCACAGTAGTGGGCAGCTGCTGAAATGGCAATGCTAATTGCTTTGCTGAGAGTCATTTCGAACGGGTTTTGTCTTACATATTGCAGGGGAGCTGATCCACATGTTCTGAATGGGGAAGGTAAATCACCATTGGAGCTTGCCGTGGAATCAAATTTTGATGATCAAGACATCCTTGCTATGTTGTCAGACTCGAATCCGTGAGTAACTCAAGCATGTACAGCAAAATCCCAAGACATTGGTGCTGGAGAGCTCTGGGAATGAAAATTTTGAATTTGTTGTAAACTTGTAATTATGTATTCTTACTGTCTGCTGTGTAGTATTAGGAGTAATGGTGGGTTGATTGATGGTTGGGGCTATGGAAGTAGTTTGATATTGTTGTTTGTTGCTTCACATTAGTGAAATTGTAACTAAGGTTGTGACTTTTTGCTGAGTTTAATCTGTACAAATTTGAAGGGGAGAAAAAAAAAAAAGGAAAGAAAGGAAAAGCAAAAAAGTGGATTAAGCTATGGAAGCTTAAGTCCCGGGATGTGGTGTGTGAAACTGAGACCATGGCAATTATGAAATGTGGGTATGTAACATTTGTTTCTGCCTCTGTGAACCTTTGTTGGCATGGCAAGGTAGATGAGATGCGTGATTGTACATCAGCAGTTGAACTTCATCGCCATCTCTATTTTATTTGAACGAGATTCAACATCATCTTTAAATCTTGAAAGCAATCTATGATGATATTATGAGAAAAACCATTATATTTTTAGCAGAAAAAAAATGGAAAAAGAGGGCCTTTGAGACTTGAGACTCAAAGTGGCATTTCAGTAACCAGTTTCTTTTTGTGCTTTAATGGTGAATACAAAGAACTTCTTGCCTTGAAGCACACGGTTCGATGACTGCTTTCGGCAGCAAATGGGAGCGGGGACACAGGACAGGGACAAGGACACCAGGGAGCATGTCACATTTTGTGTAAAAATTATGGCTCTTTCAAAAATGTGCCCCATTTGATGAAGGTGGGCCTTAACCATGCATCGTTGCAAATGGCGGGAACACCAAGGCCTCAATAAAATTGCTGTTTGTTTTTTCTTTTCTTGTTGCACTTTTCGCTCACCTTCTCTTTGTAGGTTTTGGAGTTGGGAATCTGCCCCAATTGATAACTGTCATTTTCCATTACAAAATTTTGAAGTAGTATGATGCCAAAGGCAGGATTTTTATCCAGAGATATTGGGTATTGTTTTACTTACAGGGGAAAATATATTCATATTCATATTTTCCTTGATTGAGAAGATTTGGTGACAACAACAGTCGAATTTATTCGATATAATAAGATGGTATAAACTATAAACTGCAGTAGTCTAGTAGGCAAATAGTATTACTATTTAATTAGTACTCACAGTTATTAAAAGTTACTAGCAAGATTGTTTCTTTTCGTGCCTTCCTCTTTTTCTCTCTGGTGGGATAAAGTTGCTGTCTTTGGCACAAAAGGCATGTTTTGTGAGGCTTTCATGGTCAAAAACCGAAAGCCCTTTTTGACTTACTGTGAAGTTTTCCGTCATCCCTTAATAGTTAATAGTCTTTTGGAGAGACAAAGGCTTAATTTTTCTTCAGTTTCATCGTGGTAGTTAGAATGAGAAGGTTTTTCTGGGGCTTTTGATATGTTCCGTGAGTATATTGTAGCTATTGAGCATTTGAGCTGTGATGATGATGATTAGTGTTAGTTCATACACAAAAATAGCGTGTTTCTGGTTCATTTTTGGCTTACTCTTCTGCTGTGCTCAATGTCACTCGCCCTCTCATCAGTTCAGGAACAGGTTCCAGAGAATCATTTTCAGCATTTTTCTTGGTATTCTGACTGGTTTAGCATTCTCCCTCCTGTTCGTCTTTCTAGTGAGATGGTTTGTAAGGTACGTAAATAGGACTCCGATTCTCAAAGGCCCTGTGGTTTTTTCACCAAAAATTCCTCCAAATACACTTCAATTAGCTCTTTCCAGTGAAACCCAGCTTCTAGGTTCAAGCCCAAATGGAAATTACTTCAAGGCTGTTCTTGATAATGGCCTTACTGTAGCCATCAAGAGGCTGGAGCCTTTTGAGCCTAGCTCACCTGAAATTCAGAGCAAATCCTTGAAGAGAAAAGTACAGCAAGAACTTGAAATGCTTGCTGGATTAAAACACAGGAACTTGATGAGTTTAAGGGCTTACATTAGGGAACTTGATAGGCTCTGTCTGGTTTATGATTATGTGCCCAATGGAAGCCTTGAAGATGCAATGAGAAAAGTGAGGGATAATCAGCTGCAACTTAGCTGGGAAATTCGACTTAAGATTGCTGTTGGGATTGTCACTGGGCTACATTATCTTCATTTCTCTTGCAGTAATAGAGTGTTGCACTACAACTTGAAGCCTGCTAATGTATTGTTGGATGCTGAATTTGAGCCTAGGTTGGCTGATTGTGGCTTGGCAAAACTCATCCCTAGTTTTAATTGGGCGTCGTCCTTGGGCTACAGTGCTCCTGAGTCTTTCCAGAATTGCAGGTGACCTATTTAGGATGGCTAAATACTAGTGGTACTTATTATTGAGTAATGATTTCCTTTGCTTTATTGCTCCCTCTTTTTTTTTTTTCCAGAAACCTTTGATGATCTTTTGATCTGAACTCTTCAGTATAACAAAAATTAACTAATGATTTCCATGGCCTCAAGGGAGCTATAAATCATTTATGAAAATGCTTTCTTTATTGCTGTCATGCTCTTCTTGGGTGGATTCTTAAGAAAAGCACTTGGTTAAGGAGCAAATTAGTCTGCAAGTTTAAGGCCACGGTAAAAAGTTCAAGTCTTCTTGATTGGAGTTTTATCTTTTTCTTTCTGATTCTGCTATGACTAGTATCTTTCTCAGCATGGTAAAAAAGTGGGAGTCTTTGTACTCTTAACCCATCACTATGGTGCTAGCTGTTAACCTACAAATAAGAGTTTGTTTGAAGAACTTGTGGTGATTTGCCCAGTTATTTAACTGTCAAGTTTGGTTAGGCCTGTTCATGATGACTGATTTCCGGCTGATTTGCATTAGGTACACTGATAAGAGTGACATCTTCAGTTTTGGAGTCATCTTGGCTGTTCTATTGACTGGGAAGGATCCGTTGGACAGTTTCTTTGGGGAAGCTCCTAATGGAGGAAGTTTGGGACAATGGCTTCGGCATCTGCAGCAGGCAGGAGAGGCTCGAAAGGCACTGGACCAAAGTATTCTCAATGGGCAAGAAGTTGAGGAAGATGAAATGCTGATGGCTGTTAGAGTTGCTGTTGCATGCCTCTCTGACTTGCCTGCAGAGCGACCCTCAAGCGACGAACTTGTCTCTATGCTCACTCAACTGAATAGTTTCTGAAGAGTGCATATGAAAACTTGTGAATATGTTCAGGTTCCTAGATTGATTTGGGCATTTGGCTTTTGCCATAGCCAAAGCTCAGAGGGGTCTTGGTTGTTACAGCAGCTATACCTATCTAACTGCAGTCTGATACACCGGCTTGTATTATGCTGTTGGAGCAACCAAAATGCTCTTCCATCATCATTTACCAGATCTCTGAAGTGTTTGCAGCAATGAAGGCCATCCTGTTCTGATCTGTGTCCACTTCATCTAATTGTCAAGTTATCTTTTTAGATTAGATTCTTAATTCAATTTTTGCTCTAGATTATACTTGTTATTGTGGCAATGTGGCCTGAACTAGATGATTATACCAATTCCGATTTGCAATGTTAGGTTGGATATGAGACCAAGGAAGTTATTGTAACTAGTCATAAATTTGGTGAACGGAAGAAAGATTGGAATGCAGCAGTTCTACATTACTGTTACAGGGCATATTACATTAAGCAATGGGACTAAGAGACATTGTCGATGGACACACACACACACACAGAGTAAAAGCTTAATTCTCAGAACAGAGTAGAGAAAGCTCAAAATGTACTAGAAAAGAGGCTTCCTAATACAGGCTTCAAAGTTCCTTCATAATTGTCTATCATCTTCTGTAATACTTTCCAGGACCAAAAACTGAAGAGATATGGAATACTTGGCTGATTTGGTTCTACGAGCAGCATCGGTCAGTCCAGACTGGTAGGTATTCTTGAGAAGGAATGATCCAAGACCATCACCTACCATGAAAACAACGGATGTTACTGATTTCAAAGCAAAAGATGGGTCAAAGAACACAGTTACAGAGAACTTTAGAGTTGAATAAAACCTTGAATGTTGTAGATTGATGAAACCCATCGCTTGTATATATAGAGAAACCTTGGGGAATCACCATGCTGCGAGTCAGAAAGTAATAGCCTGCACGGCCATCCTGCTTCACTGTAACAGTAGAATGCAAGAAACAAAAGAACATGAACATTTTCCGAAACTGGAATAATTTTAACCGGAATCGAACATAAACTGCCGAATTGATAACAGGGAAGAAGAGCATTACTTGGCATGAGATAATGCATTTTGACAGAGAGCCAGAACACGAACCATGGCCAATTCTCTTCCCCTTGCATTCCCATATCTCTCTTGGCAATTTCTACAAGCGAAAAAACAAACTCATTTTAGGAGCAAATTCAATTATCCCTAATGAAAAAGTAGCATAATTTGACCCAAGAAAGCACCTCTGATCAAAGAAATCTGCAAAATCATCAATGACAACTAAAGCAGGGAAAGTAGAGTTATGCAAGTGAAACCCAGCAAAGTACTTCTTGATTCCTTCATCATCATCAACATACCTAGAGAAAAACATACAGAATGCAAGATTAACATTCAAACAGTTTGACCTAACAGCCACGAGAAAGACTAAAAAAAGTCGGAAGTTTATTTATTTATTTCTTTTTAAAGTCTTACTTCATCTGGATACGTTCAAAGACTTGAGAAGATGGATCAATTCCCTGAAAATGAAAAGTCAAAAAACAGGAGTAAATTCAAATTGGGCTAGGAGGAATAGCAGCAAATTACCTGAGAGAGAAATGGAGGGTTAGTTTCTAATTTGCGCCGGTTGCAGAGAAACACCACAGTAGAACAAGTAGAACTGCTGCTGGTGCCATGGCTAGCAGAATTAAATGCAAACTGGAAGAGTAACGAGGATTTCCCACTGATGGTCAATCGGATTCAATCGCACAAACATTAGGAAAATGTCAATCATTTGTTCAATCGATCATCCCAGTAGAAGCAGGAACTAAAATGAGGAAAGAAAAAAAAACTAGAAAGAAATTTACCAGGAAGGTGGGCCGGAAACGAGCAGGATTTGGGGTTGTGAGGGATGGTTACCATCATCACGAGGAGAGTGAAAATCAATTTGGGGCAGACGAAAGAATCTTTCCACCATTGTTCTGGTTATTTAGGTTTAAAACCTCCTTCATTTAATATTTTATGGAGTTGCCCCTGTTTCGTTCCCGGGTGGTTACTCTTGGTATTTCCTTCGTCCAAAATGATTATTTATAAAAAAAAAAAAAAGGATGAAAATGTAACATGTATATGTTGAGGTAGCACAATTAAGAACAAAAATTGGAATATATAAACATCAACAGTATTAACATCCAACACAAAATTTTCCAATCTTCGGTTCACGAATACAAAACATTGACTAATTGAAAGGCTAAAACTAAAGGAAGGAGTCCTTAAGATGTACATGGAATTGAACTGCCTTTAAGAGCTAGTATCATATTTATGGAAAAAAAGGCAAAGATCTTCTACATTCCATTCCAAACTGAAAATGGCATTCCACAATTTGCATACAGCTACAGTTGGAAGTCTGCATGCCGTAGTGAGGACATCATGTGGCTACATCAGACCGTGAAAGGCTGCAGCATCCTGAAGTGTAGCTTTGATCTGGTCCTGGTGAAGCTCCATAGCTTCATTGAATTTCTGCATACTCAAAACCATAGCGGGATGTTAATGCTAATTCTACTCAAGATGCATTAATTAAAGCAGAAAAAGAACTAGGTAGTTAAAAGTTCAAAGCAGATCTGAAACAAATCACTGTTACAAAACTCGTTTCCTTATAATTATAACCAAAAGCTACATAATCCAAGGATTTGTCGATTTATTACTCAGCAAACAAGGTAACTTATGCGACATCTTCCATTTTTGCCACCAAAATACACAGTTTATCTACAAAATCTTAAGAAGCTTTGAAATTTTTGCATTCCCTGAAAATCCAGTCCTTTAATTATGAGATTATCGTATCATCACTTGATTTTGAGACTTTCAGAATAGCTTGCAATCTCAAGTAAAATCAACAATATCAATCCTGCCAACAATCATCCAAGAAAGAAGTGTACCTCAGCTTTAAAAACATCTAAAGCAAATCCATTGAAACAGCTTATGACTGCTTGCTGAACATCAAGTCCAACATTATCCAAGGCCCTGAGGGATGAAAGCAAGAGACCGGGTCTTCGGGCACAAAACATGTGGATGTTAAAGGCATTTTCTTCTCTTATCTCAACATGTATCTGCGCAGGAACCGGACAAAATCAGCATGCAACAAAAAGCTTTGAAGAGAGATAACCTTTAACCCGAGGCATGTGGTTTACCATTGGTGGCTGATTGATCTGATTTTTGGTGGCTTCTTCTTTAACATGATAGGACTCGATGGGGGTGGCAGATGTTTGTTGAAGAGGGCTTGAACTGGATTGCAGAGAAGAATTTCCAGCTGCTAAATACTGCAGTTCATCGTTAATGTCCTTGATTCTTTGCAAAAGCTCTTTTAGGTAATCAATGGCATCAACAAGGATGGAGGCCCTATCCATCTGTAAATTGAAAAGAACTCAAGTCATTTTAGCAAGCAAAAATCATATCTTATATGGAACAGAAAAAGTAAAATCAAGCCTGTAAGAGCCAATCAGACAATGCAATGAACAAGTTCAAAGGAAATAGACAGTTACTCAAATTTTCACATTGACCATATCTATTTTTCATAGTCCACCTAGGAAGCAAAAAGCTTCACTTGAATGATTACGGAAGTGAAGAACTGAAAGAACTAATAACAGCAAGATTTGAAAACCTGATGAAACTTCTCTCCTTCAACACATACAACAACAAATATCATACATCACTATTGTGCTCCATCAAAACATACATTTTCCTCTTCTGTTCTACATAGCCGCAAAGAAGTTCAGAGGAAGACTATCACTTGGTGAACTAGAAGATAACATGCAGTATGCACTAAAATGTGAAACTAACATTGTCTATCTCACTAAGTGAAGTCAGTGAGATCCGCTTTATGGATCGTGTATCCATCTTGCTCTGCCATTAAATCATTTCTTATACACGATCTTTATTCATTGAGGTAAGAATACCAATTTTACAGTGGTTGTCAACCTAACTCAACTTCCCGGGTTTAAATCGGAGGATCCATATCCTGGATTCGAAATTGAAAACTCCACATTGGACCGGCAGCTACAAGCCGGAAGCAAACTAATTTATCATACAGTAGTAGCAAAGTATGCACACAAAATGTACTTCTATGAAAATATGCAAAAAAATGGATCTGAAAAGAAATGAGGGTTTGTTTCAGACCTTGCTGATTTTTGGGATGACAGAACGCAACATGTAAAGTCTGTCATTAAGCTTTTTTCTCCTCCGCCTCTCAGCCATCAGATTCTTAGCTGGAAGCTTTCCAGCCACCTTCTTTCCCCCCTTTTCCTGTTGTTCTCTTCTGTCCGTGCTGAAAACAACCGAATTAGCATTGGAAACATCATCATTCTCTTTCCTCTCAAACTCCAACATGCGGCCCTGATTTCCATCTTCTTCCCTCCGAAAATAGTCCTCCGCCGACCCATCCTCCCCTTCCTCTTCTTCCAACTCAAAGCTCATATTAGTCTCACTTCCACCACATTCCAGCTTGTTGTTAAATCCGAAAAACGGTAATCGGCTTAGTCCATCAAAAACAGGAGGAGGCATCTGAAAGTTTTCTCCAGTGATAGAATCAGCAGCATTAGCCTTTTGGCTAGCATTAAAGCAGGGAACAATGCCGCCATAGTCGTCATCAGCAGTTGCTGCCCAGCCGGAAAAAGGACCAAACTGGGTCCCGGAATTCCGTGGAACAACTGAATTGGCGCCGTTACCAGCATTTGTAGTATCATAATCAGCCAAATTAGAGGAAATAAAAGCTGGGTTTTGATCTTGTAGAGATCCTAAGAAGAACCCAGAAGGAGTGGAAGAACAGCCACCGGTAATTAGAGAATAATTCTCATCCTCCACTTCCTGGCTGTTGTGGTTGTTGCTTTGCTGCAACAGAAAAGGGTAGTTCCCGGGAGCGAGAAGAGACGGCAAGAAGAACGAAGAAGGTTGATCCATACGGTTGTTGAAACCGGAGATTCCAAATTCAGGCGGCCGTGACGGTGGTAGAACCGGTGGTGGTGGCGGGTCCCCTCCTATCTTAGTCTCTCTCAAGAAAATGGTAACTGTAACAGTATTACAGTAATTGGTTTTGGTTTCATGCAAACATTGCTGAAAGAGGGCTCAAAAATGAAAGCTTTTTTGGAGGGATTGGATTTTGTCCTGTTTTGGCGGGTTTAATTTAATCTTTTTGGAACTGATTGAAATTTTTTTAAAATTGATGTTTGAAAGATTGTAACAAGTTCCCAAAAAGATTAAGGTAACTTCAACAACCAAACAAAAAAAAATCACACAATTCCACGTTTCAATTTACAGAGGCCCAAAAACAGAGTACGCAAAACAGCAAACAGCAAACAGCTGAGTAAATTTTCTTTTTCCAATTTGGGTATGAATTGTAAACAAATGGTCAGACAGAAGTTGGTTGGGAATGAATGCAAGTAGGCAGCTTTAACCTAACATTTACGAACAAAATGAGGTGTGTAAGTGAAGAGGAGTATTGCAAATTGGGAATAAATTTGACCAAAAAGTTTTCTCCACAGTCCACACACCCAAGTTTCTCGTGATTTCTTCCGTATCACCGCAGCTACTACTAACTAGTAACTAGTAGTATTATTGTAGTTGGCTCTCTTTTTAGTTTTTAACCCATTGAATTCTATATTATTATTATTATTATTATTATTATTATTATTATTACATGAAAGGTCTAGGAGAAAGTAATGGATGAAACTCTTTAACATCATTACAAGAACTTGTAAGAATTGGTTCGGTTATAAATCGGGAATAATGAACAGTTGTTCGACTAAGTGTACTTGGAAGATACTATCACATCATAGTATAGTGATGTAAATTAAAACGGTAGATCTAAGTGTATTTTATTCTTTTCAAGTCGAGACAATGACTCGAAGGAGGTATTACATTTAGGAATCACTCGACTTCATGTTTACACGGACTGCGAATCTTTGGCTGGAGATTTACGGCTTGCTTTAATCTCTTTTGAGGCTCATGAGGTGATTTATTTGTTAATTACTACTATTTTTTTCATTTCAGTCTTGCTCACTGATTTAAAGTGTGTAGACAAGATGTTTTAGGATTCTATAATTTAGCAGTTCATAGAATGCGTCATAATAAATTAGGTATTGCTTATATACCTTTTAAAAAAAACGGTAAAATCAATTTATTAGACCAAAGTAGGGGAATAGTGGGCACACATCCTCTCTGTAGCTATTACCTCACCATGCACAACGCATATCCATGCAAATATGCAATCATAATTAAGCTGCTGATCAACTATCAAGAATAGAAGTTGGGCCTTCAGGCTCCAGAGCTTCGGCTGAACATGCCCGCGGACCATTTCAACAAGAAATGAAATGGAAAAGAGATGGTTTCGTTGGCCCATTAGTGGACACAGGCCAGGCTTTCAAACTGCAATTACGAAGTCCAGAAAAACGTGACAGAGAGACATCGTTTTGGGTCCCAGATCAATGTGTTGTTTATATAGCTACTACTACTAGTTTTTAATAAGATAAAAGTTGATTACTTTGTTTGAAAGGAACTTCAAACATTAGTTTAATCGTTGCAACAAACATGAAGTTTAATCATTCATTAAAAAAGAAGAAGAAAGAAAGTGAAACTGGGGGTGTTTGAAAGCCAGAAGTCCCCAAAAAGCAGGATTAGTTCTGAGTGCTCGGAGATTCTCAAAGAGATTATACTGATTAAACAAAACCATCAAAGTAAGAAAGAAAGAAAAAATAGCAGCCCACATGAAGCACAGTGGATTACTAAAAACCAAATAGGGGAGGGATGGTTGGGGGTCCCCTAATACGCTGTTTGGTGGAATAGCACAGTGGGTGGACTCCTTTAGGATGTGTTCATACTTCAAATGTTTAGTTTGTTGTTGATGATGATGATTGATGAGGTGATGATATAGAAGAGATAACGGCAGCAGTCAATACCATCCATTCTTGACTTGTCATCAAATCAGGAGTGCCTATTTTAGTATTTTGGCCTTCTCTATCTCATTTGGTGGGATTGCATAGGTGAGTGGGACAATCCATTCCTCCTCCATCCTCCCACATTTCAAATTCCCCTTACTCCTATGTTTAATTTAGTAAACTAACTCGCATATTAAATAATGCTACTACTGTTACTACTTTGTTTGTATTTTACTAAGATAGTTTTATCCACTTAGAAGCATCATCAATGTCATCACCATCCTCATATTCCCAAAGCAAAACCCAGTGGTGAAGTGAGCTACTCTTCTACTCTCTCCTCAGTCTTCACTTGTTGTCGGTGGTACTAACCCTCTTCCTATTTCATCAAGATTCCATTTTTTTAAGTGCCCTCTTTTTTTTTTTTTTTCAGGACTATTAGATTAGGCCCTGTTGGTTTTTGTTGCTCTTTTTTAATCGGCCGCCAATTTCCCTCCTTTTGCTACGGTACTGTGAGTATACTACTACTACTTGTTACTTTCACTCAAGTTGGCTAGGTTACAGTTCTAGAATTTATGATTTATGTTTGCAAGTAGCTAGCAGCATATTCTCCATACTGAGGTTGTTTTAAGTTGTAACTCTATATATTCTTGACTTGATGCTCTGAATTCTCATGATAAGTTCATCTTAGTTTTTTATTGCTTCAACTTGCGCCCACTTTTTCAATCCAATCAGGGCGAAGCTTAAAAGTTTGCCACTTGCTTCAAAACCATAATTTTAACACTAGTTCAAAACCATATTTTTTCTGGGAAAACTGTACTTGTGCCACTTGCTGAAAATTGGCCGCATCTAGGCTGAATATGAAAACGTGACCCTTTTCTATGTTCAGCGCATTGCATTGCTTGGATAAGCCTATTTGTCGAGACTGTGCAGACATTATTGAAAACCACTAATTTCACTGTTGGATTTAGGATTTCTTGCGCGGTATTGCACATTGTAATTTGCCTATTTTTCTGGTTTGTTACTGGCTCTACAGTTCTTCTCTGTGGCTGTTCATTTACTGGGAGATAGATGCAAAAGTGTGGAGTTGCTAAACTGACATCTGAACCAATGAACCATAAAGAAACTCATTCATCTTCTTCAGTAGGATATGCCAAACCCCCGTGGATATTCAAAGGCAGGCTAGTGAAGTTCCAAACTCCTTTCAAATGATTTTTTTTTTTTTTTTTTCCTTGAAAAAATTGTCTTTTTGTTTTTGACATGCAATGTTGTTTCAGTGCACTGTACCAGTTACATCTTGTCAAAGCGGAGACTGCTAAAGCTTTCATTCCCAAGGAGTTCAGATTGGTTGAAGCTTTTGGGTACACACGATTCTTCAACTGACATATTACTAAGTATATCTGGGACGATGTTTACATGTTTAACGCTTGTTAACTAATACGAATTTGCTTTGGCTTCTGCAGGTATACTCTTGGTGGATTCTTCCTCGCTAGCTATGATGACAGTCCTGCTGGAACGTTTGATGAGGTATCTGAACTAAGTTGTGTATAAATTTTTCGCCAGGTTACTGTAGGTAAATGGTGACAAACATCCTAGAGAAGATGAATTTTGCTAGTTTGAGAAAATGTTGGAAAGTCTTTAACTTCGTAGGTTTAATTGAAATAGTTCAGCTTGTGGTGATTGCAGGCATTGTATGGAACCCACCTACATCTTGCGCGTAAGTTTCTATGTGGTTCTTCTTCTTCTTCTTCTTCTTCTTTATTGATTTTTGCACTGATATAATGGTAGGAATGATTTGGTTGCAAAAAATTATTCTAGGAATGATGATATCCCTATATATTCTGTGATTCGGGCTCATACTTAAACAACTGTTGCAAAAGATTTAACTTTGAAATCAAGTTCTATCTGTAAATCAACTCTGTGCTAAACTTGATGACGAAAACATGATATGGAAAAGAAAAGTATTACATGACCAAATGAAGTTTGCTTGTAAGAATTGGTTAATGTGACGTTAGATTAATAATCACAGTATACCATTCAAACAGATGGGCTGCTAGGGTGCTGGTGAACAGCGATGAAGCTTGCATTCATGGAAGAAAGGTAAGAAGCTGTAACATGCAATACATGGAATTTCCGAAACTTTAGTTTTGCTTTACTATGAGCTTGTATTTGGCTAGAATCTTGTGGAAATGAAAAAGGAAATGGTTACTGTCTTAGGTTTTTCATATTTTGGGGCGATCTAGTGTTCCTTTCCCATTTCCAAAAAAAAAAAAAAAAGGTGTTCCTTTAGCTTTTATTTGAAACGGGTTCATTATAGAGTTCTAATGCATTTTTCACACAGGACATAGGGCTTCCAAGCCAAGTTGCCAAATTTTCAAAGGTCAGTATTGCATCTTTCTTCTTTTTCTCCTCATATTATCTTCACTGAGTAATTTAATGTTATCGTGGTTGCATCAAACATTTTAGTCCTGCTTTTATATCTATGAAGAGTACAAGTTGAATGGCTTTCAGGCTATGATGAAACTAGTTGATATCTTTTATCTGTCTTATGTGTGTGTGGCTTCTCATGGAGCAGACTATTAAAGCAGTTCCAAAAGCAACAAAATCTACTAGCAGAAGCTTCCTTGATACATTTGGCGCCTTTGTTCCCAGTAGCCCAAAGAGTTCCATGGATATACAAGTGACTGAAATTAAGGGCCTTTCAGCAATGAACTTATGCAACATCAACTTAAGCATGGCTGGTTAGTTGAAATGATTGCATATTTGCATTCAAGTCATTAGTTAAAACTTCTCTCACCCAGAGGCAACGTGTAATGATTGATAAGTGGCACCAAATACATATGTGCTTCATTGATCCTTTTTCTTTTTTGGCAGGAGTTGAACTATCCAGCAAGTGGATGGGTCCTCATATCAAAATGTCCCTTCCCAGCTTTAGGTAACAGAAAGACTAGTGAATTTTGGTTCCCTTCTTGTTTTTTTGCTAGCTTCATATCATTGAAACTAATTCCTAGTCGGATTATGTTTGTAGTGGCCGTACCAAATACAACTCAGACCTTCTCAAGTATTCCTGCGAGATTGAATGCAGGTTTCTACTTCTACTTCTTCTCTGTTTTTATTCGTTGGTCATTTTGGGGCGGAAGGAGTAGCCACTTATCTAGTAGTGATACGGATGTTAGTGTAACTGTCGGGATCAAGTTTTTAAAACCTTTTGTCCAATCGCCAGTTGATCCTTTACATGATTTAGATGACAATTTTAGGCCCTTAGATATGAAATGAAGAAGTGGTCCTTCAAATGCTACATGAATCACGTCATTGTAACAGTTCTTTTGTATTGTTTGTGATTGTGGAGAACTTTGTTGACGGGGTTCTCTTTGTTGATTAGGGTGAGGGCTGTAGCACCTGCAAAAGTATTAGCACTTTCTCCACCTCTCCCGGCATCTGGCGCAGTGGATATGGATGAAGAAGAATCAACCAAAGGGTTGAGAAAAAAGAGAAACCTCAGCATTTCAGTATTGCTATCGAAGCCAATATTTGCTCTGGAGTTTAATTGCCTCAAAATGAAAGTTGAACCACCTAAAGTTATTTCCACTCCCCCTAAGAACTCTTTAAGACATTAGCCTTCCTGGTTTGTTTTGACACTTTTTTTTTTTTTTTGGGTATTTGTTTTCATATATTTGTACTGCCTATAGTGGTAGGCATCCGTTTCAAAGCTCATTATTCGTTTCTTAAAAGGCAGTTCCATTTCCAAAAGAAGGAAGGTTTCAGATGCCCAGTACTTTGGTTGATAGGTTTCATTTTTGAGTTAAAATTTGTATTAATTTTTATATAGAATTGGCAATTAAATTTCTTTTTTCCCCCCGAAAAAAAGAGAAGGTAATCTGTAGCACTAGAACGTTTATTTGACTTCCACTAGGTCGTACTCTGATTTTCTACTTATCTGCACGATATAATATCAAATTCTATCTTATATTAAGAGATAATCAACTGGTAAGCCAAACAGTTTGAAGCAAATAGAGTAATATTTAGTAAGCAAAATTTACACGGTAAATTTAGTTTGTTCTTCATCCCGCTCAACAATAGCCGGAATGAATTACTATACAACTTTCAGCTTCCGTGCAACTCTACAATTGTACTATATTCATATAGTAAGAAACTACTTCGACCATTGTTACTGATGCAAGCAACGGCCATCGGATTAATCATCGACTGGATATATATATATATATATATATATATCTATATATATATATATATATAGATATAGACCATGATGACATACCCGTCTGGAGGATCGATAACACTACATAAGGATCTCACCACATTATAATAAGGGCTCAGCTACCAAGCCGATCTCTTTGGTTGCTCCCCAGATTTAGGACCATTTTGAAGGGAAGAGCTATGGTCTGTCTCTTTGCGGGATGTCTCCCATAATCGTTGTTCGATATCTAATTTCCTCAGTTCCATCAGCCCTTGCTCCACTGAAAGAGATGAATTACATGTTACGGAATATGCTATACTGTTAGCTAATTAATTTTCAAAGTTTGAGTAAATTGTGACAAAATTAAAGCATTGGGCATGCCAAAGCATAATTTATAATCTTTGTTCTTCATGACATTCAGATATTTGGAAAGGTAGAAAACCAATCAAAATGATGAGCTAGACACTTTGGATAGAAAAACTTTAGCAAGTCACTGCTGATGCAACAGTAGCTTATCAAATGACAGGAAATATCTAGGTATCATCCATGCAACAGATTTCCCAGAACTACGTATGATGGTAGTAATGTTAGTGAATTAGCAGAAAATTTCCAGATCTTACCATCAACAGCATCATGAGACGTTGGAGAGTGGGCGCTGCGGCTTATCCAAAATTTAACTCTTTTTTCAGCTATTTCCTCCTCAATCCCGTGCGCTTTCGCTCTCTTCCAGAAGTAAGTAAGCCAAGCCTGTTTATTGTAAAATTAAAATTAATAAGAAAAATGGACAAAAGAGTACAATTTGCTGAATGAAAGGAGAGTTTTGAACACTGATCATTAGTTGATTGGTAACAACTTCGATTATCTACGCATTGTGGAAAGTTTCTTTCGAGCTATCAACTTGAGTGACTTGATTGTAATTCAACACAAAGTAGTACAAGAAATAAAATATTTGGTAGTTACACCATGCATACCATAGAACAACAAGGAAAACTGGAAAAAAAAGGTGTAAAGGATGGCATACCTCCTTGAAAAGGACATCCTCAGATTCCTCGGGACTCAATTCTGGAAAAGAGAAACAAAATTATTTATTTCTTTTCAAGTACATAATTATAGTTGTGAAGACATTTGTATGAAAGAAGTGTCAGTTCCATGAAGTAGTACTAGAAGAACAATAATAATATCCCTTTAGGGTAACATCAGAAGTTTTTAATTAAGCATCTTCAATATTGTTAGCATTGCACTTTGGCCCACGCCAAAGCCCAATTGGCGTATGAGAATATGAAAAAGTGGAGATGGTGTTGACGAGGGCTCACCAAATGCTTCCATAAACTTCGGGTCCCCTGGTGACTTGATATCTGACAGATTGACACAAAAGGCAGCAAAATCACATCAAAATGTCAAATATGCAGTTTCTGATAAGCTATATGAAAAGTTCACATTTCATACCCAGCCAACAGATTACAACATAGCACATAGACATTCTACATGACGGCACAAGTACTCTTATTGGAACGACCATACACTACCATTTGACAGAGTTTAATTTATGCCCAACAGTTAGCAATCTCACAGTATGCAAGGATAGAGAAGAAGCCAAAATTAAGTATATGATGGATATGAAATGATTGATTAGACATCAGAACCTACTTTTTGGCTCCTGCTGGATGAGTACGATGGACCAAAAAAATCAAAGGCCTGAAGTGTGCTAGGTATGTTGGGACAAACTTAAACTGATAAGAGAACAACCAAGGCATATATGATGTTATAGAGACTCATAGATGAAAGGACAAATAAGTAAAGTCAGCAGCATTGTGGCATCATGCATTTAAACAAAGCTTCAGTATCTGGTCTTCTTCAAGAAAAGACTTCATGAAATAATGCAACGAAAAGGAAAAAATATGTTTCATTGATGATAAGTGGAGTGGGAAAGCTTCAGCGACACAGTGTAGGAGCAGGTATTTGACACAAAGAATTCGATCATCGATATTTACATCCAGACAGACATTTTAGATCAGAAAAAAGAGCCAGCAAGCCAACACAATGACCTTTTACCTGAAAAAGATATCCTGGAAGAATTTGGACGCCTTGTTTGAGCCAATGAAAGCACAATGGCATCTTCAACCTTCAAAACAAAAATATAATAATAGCATTAGAGGGGGATAATATCCAACAAAATCATCCATGTAACAAAAGCAGGAGAAAACCTAAATAAAACCGCAGATTGGAGAAAAAGAATCAGCAAATGACATCAATCTGTGTCTAGTCGGATAAAAGCATGAAAAAAGTTAGAAGTTCTTAGAATCTCGACTGATACCTTCAAAGAAACAAGCTCCTTCAACCCCTTTTCTACAGCGAGCATACTCTCAATATTTCCTTCTCCTGTGAGATCATTGAAGTCCTGAACTAGTTTTCCTCGCTCTGGGTCAGAATCGCCTGCTGAACATTGAAAAAGTGAAAGAAACTTGGTTAACATATTAGAATTATGTGTTTGATACAAATAATCATATTCCATATGGAAACTTAAGAAGAAAGTTCCTCCTGCGACCTTTGTCCAAGGATGTCTCCTTAGCCTTTTGTCCAGCCGAAAGGACAACTTCAAAAGGAAGAGGTGCTAATGATGACCAGTATTCATACTTCCCAACAGCAATATCAGAACAGATATCTGAAAGGCATGCAAAGTAAGGGATAAGCATCTTTAACAAATCCAAGATAACACAGTTCCACCTGAAAAAAGATCCATATAAAGGATACTCCAAAGTACAAAATAAAGAACCAGCAATACATTAAAATAAAAAAATAAAAAATAAAAAACACACACACACACACACACAGTTCAACAGCATTATTTTCAGAGCTGTGTTAATTCAAGCTGGAGCAGGTACACAGAAAGTTCGGATAATTAGGCTTTTTCAGAACCAAAAGTCTTTAGCTTCTTAAATTGAAACAGTATATGTGAAACTAAGTTTATATGTACCAATCCGGAACATATCACGACATTAAAACTAAGCATAGGAAAGAGAAAAATCTTAACACCGATTAAAGATAAAAATTTGAGCGAGCTTGTTTACCATACTTCACAGCTAGACCCCAATAACGTGCAAGCCAACACCTTTTAAGCACAACTTCCTCCTGAAAATGAAAGAAAAATGTCATTAATATTACTACTTATGAATTAGAGTCAAATGTAGGAAATTTTTTACTTAAGACACAGACCATTTCACTTTGTGTCAGGACCATTCTCTGTGTCATTGATTGAAGACCTTTGACTTCCAATTCAGCTTCCCGAAGCTGATCAGCTGCTGCTTCTGCTTCACTCTTTGCATTCTAAATCAGAAGCACCAAAATGTTAGAGTGGATAGTTAAACTGCAGCGTAGCAGGTACATAGAGCAGAACCTTTTACCTTTACAGCTGATCGCAGTGATGAAATTTCAACATCAGTTCCATCTTTTGCCTGTTTTGCCTCTTTGAGTGCAGCCTGTGAAAATCAGTTAATGAGAATCTCAATATCTTTGGTTATCAATCAAGAATGGCAGCAAGAGTTAAGCAACTTGTATAGGAGTTCCTCTCAATCTTCTTGTTTCCCCTTCTAAAAAACCCCTATCAATGTACATAAGATTAGACAACAAAAAGTCCACCACTAACCTCTCTTTGGCGCAGAGCAGCTTCTTTTCTGCCAAGTGCCAATCCAAATTGATAAATCAAAACATATTGAGATTTAAGACATGATGTCATTGAAGATCATTATTGTACCTGCTTAACAATTTAGCTTCCAAAGACACTCCTTCACCTAGAGCAGCAACCTATAACACAAGCCAAAAACTATCTAAAATGAGAACCATGTGAAGCATTTTCCACGAACATCTATGAACCAAATCATTCTTTCCATAACTTCACACGAACTTCTTTGTTAATTTATAGCCAATTATCACTCCAGAAATGAAGCCAGGGTGGGATCAACAGAATATAAGAGCAAGCAATATTGGATATTTCTGGTGGGAAAAGAAAGAAAAACCATTTCACTTTACCTGTATGGTACATATTCAAAATTTAAAATGAGATCCTGATAAGAGAGGGGAGAAGCATGTAAAAGCAAATAATTAAATCAAACTCAATATGGCAATTTCAGTTTGATGAGAATCTATCAATTAGAGAGAGAGAGAGAGAGAGAGAGAGAGAGAGAGAGAGAGAGAGAGAGAGAGAGAATATGACCTGCTTCTCAAGTTCCTTAACTCTAGTTTCTGCTTCCTCACAACTCTCTTCTGCCACCCTCAGCTGCAGAAGAAATGAAAAGATTTGTCACCAATGGAGGCCGATTTTTTCTTATATATGTTTTTTAAAAACTTTTTTCAATAAAGATTGTTATTGCAGTAATACTGGTACAAAGAACTAAAAATAATAGACTCGTCACTGTAATAAGGGTGCAAAAACTAAGACACTAAGATTTTACCTTTTCAAGAAGACTCTCATTTTCTTCTTGTAGCATATCTAGCTGTCAAACAAACAGGGACTCAGCAGTCAATAACACTCAAGTGGAAAGCAGAATGCAGCCTACCAGCAATAGGGTCATTACTTCAAAAGGCCTATGAAACCTTAACACAAATATGTTGACATACCTCGTCATGCAATGCAGATGCCTCGCGTGGATCTCCTGCACCTTTTATGTTCAATTGGCCAAGATCGGGTGAAAACCTGTAGGTTTATCAAGAATATGTTTACTTCGTAAAACAGTTCATAATAAGAGAGAAGCATGGAATAACGTCAAAGAATTAATTTGTTTCCAATAATCGAAATGGTTCCACGTCAGCAAGCAGGAAACTCTTGACCATTTGCACTTAAAATGGAATGATCAAGAATATGAAAAAGATCTTGTTAAAGAGATGCTATAACCACAAAAAATTACCCAGAAAAATAGAAAATATAATAAAACAATAGACAAGAAAATGCAACCTTTTCTCCCTCGGCTTGCTAGTAGGAGGGTCAAGTGGTGGTATTGGAGCTGCAGTCTTAAGTGATGGTTTTGCAAGTGGTACGGATGGTGTCGTGCGAATGGACATGGACGGTCTTCCAGTTGATGCTGACCGATTTGAAGAAGTATCTTCCAGTATATTGCGAGTTAGCTGATGAGACACCAAACAACTACGTAAGAAATTAGAAAACCCAGCTGGCTTTGAACGTAGAAAACCCAAAATAATTGGAGCATGCAAATTACAGGCAAACAAACCTTTGCCATTCATTCAGCAACCAATATAATAAATATATATAAATGTAGCATGTAGAATGCATATAGCTTATTTGCATCAAAATTAACAAGACTAAACTTGTCTGCTACATATAAAGTAATTTTTTGGGGGTTTCTGTGAGTGAGTAAGAAAGTGATAGTGATTTGTATCAACGGTATAATTTGAGATGTGGCATTGCTGCTCCACAAGAAAAGAAGTCAGTTCCTGGAAATCAAACCAAGTCCAGGATTCATAATTAGATTCTGTTGGATGTATGTAGTGAGATCCTCCATTTGATTATGCTAAGAGGTTTCATTCCGCGGCTAAAGTTATGAAGCACAATATGTACATAACCAACCCACTCTTGCAACAAGGACTAACTAACTTTAATTCCTTTTTATGTTTACTTTTCAGAGGAACAAAAACATCATTAATCGTCTATTAGTTTCTAAACTTGATCATAATCTTCCTCCACTTTATGAACCTATACTTCAAAAGAGAGATCAGCAATGGGTAAATAATTACCACACTTACCTACACTTGGATAAAAAAAAAATAAATAAATAAACGGAATTGAATTGTACTTTACTTAAATAGGTAAGTAAATAAACAATTTTGGTCAACATATTCAATTCAGAAGAAAACAAACATTAAAGACAACTACCTCAGTTGAAGAAGATCTATTGATCTTTGTGGACGTGACGCCAGAAGGCCTCAAACTAGCAGCATCACTTCCATTAATGCCGTTAGAGCTGACCACATTTCTCGGATGCGGTCTCGGAGGAGGCAGAGGAGCGCCGAATCTGAAGTCGAGATCAAAGTCGGTGCCACCGTTGCGGTAGTCATCAATGTCATCGCCGTCAATGTCGTCTGAAGCTGCTTGAGAAGCCATAACCTGAGCGAGGCGCTGAGCGGCAGCTTTGGCAGCATAGTTCTGATTCCGCTTAATGGTGGAAATGGAGGTCACAGAAGAGGAACGAGAATGAGTAGGAGCAGCAGCAGCGGTGACGGGAGAGGATGAAGCTGAAGAAACGGAGGGAGGTGGTAGCGCAGTGGTAGTAGTTCGAGGTTCGCTGCTCCATCTCCGGCCATACAGCGGTGGCGGAGCATCACTTCTTTGCTGCTTCGCTTCCATTTATGATTAAAACTTAACTTCAAAGTGAAGTAGAGGAAGTTGCAGACAAATGTAGGTTGAAATGTGGTCAATGAGATGAGACCATAAGTCAGTCTTGCTCCGCGGACGACGTCGTATTCAAGCTCTGGATATCTTGCTTGGGTTGTGATGATGGCGAAAAAGATCGGAGGTAGATGAGACAGTGTGATTCGGTCGGTGTCCCAGCCTATTTGGGCCAGATTCTTTCTTATCTGGGCCAGTGATTAAAATGGAGTGGAAATGGGCTCCTTGGGCCCGAAAACAGTCTTGTCTTTCCTCCCGCCTAATCCTAATCCCCTTCCAATTTCAGAAAACCGTTTCTTGGTCGCTCATTTCTGGTTCAAAAAAAAATCTAATCGGGAAATAGCTCCGGCGACTCACCCTCTCCCATAAGCTCGGCCGGGCGGCGTGACAACGGGAGCTCCTTCAATTCTCCATCTCCCCCGACTAACATCCTTGGCTCTCAATTAGGTTTGATTTCTTCTATCTTTTTGGAAATTTTGTTCATATCACACAACCTCCTGGATTGCTTCCCGTTACTTTCTTTTTACTTCGCCTTTTTGTTTCATTTTTGGAAACTCGTCGAATTAGTAATATTACTACCGTACTTAATGGATTGGATTAAGCTTCGTTTAGTTGATTAGGAATGGAATGTACTTCATGACGGGCGTACCGAATTTGTTACTTTCTTTGCAGCTCTAGTCTTTCTTTTTTTTTTTTTTTTTTGGGAATATGCAGCTCTAGTCTTTCCTTTCTACCTTGGGCTATTATTTTCCATGGACTACTTTCTTCAGCTAGTTGTTATTCCTTCTCTTTTTTCTTTTATCTAAACTGCTAGAAAATTTGATTCTTTTGTCAAAAAATATGATCAAATATTATATGTTTTTCTTGTGAATGTTAGTGTTTTTAGTTTTATGATTTGGGGTCTGTTTTGGATTGTAATGTAGGCTCTTTCTGATTTCCTGCGGGAAAATGTATTCGTCTGCCCAAGGAAAAGAGTAAACACGAGATGAACAGACTATCTAATCGTCGCTTGTTGTCAGTTACTATTGAAGTTGGCCTCAAATTTGTAAGATTTATGTCGTGAAGTTAGGTAAGGGAGAGAGTGAGGCAGCACATATTAACCCACCAATGTTCACTTGGACATCAACTCAAGCTCTTCATTTTCCCTTGATTCCAAATCCCCATTTTCACATAAATTCATCTCTGCAAACTCAATATCCAAAGACACTTAAACAAACTAATCATCTTCAACCACTATCAACATCCCCAATTTCTCTTTCCTCTCCTGCCATTGCTGAATCCCCACCAAACCCCACTTCACAAACTCCTTCCCCTGAGTCATGGATCAAAGAATTCCGTTTCCTGGCGCAATCCAACCGCTTCAAAGAGGCCATTGCCGTCTATATTCAGATGAATATAGCAGGCGTTATGCCGGACAACTTTATTTTTCCGGCAGCTTTAAAGGCCGCAACGGGCCTTTGTGACATGCATCTTGGCCAACAGTTACATTGCTCTGTTGTCAAAATGGGGTACGATTACTTGTCTGTCACTGTGGCGAATACTCTAATACATTTTTACGGGAGTTGCGGAGAAGTACGTGAAGTCCTCAAGGTGTTTGAAAGGATGCCCGAACGTGATCAAGTATCTTGGAACACCATGATCAATGCTTTGTGCAAAGCTGCAGAGTGGGAATTGGCACTAGAAGCATTTAGGTTGATGGGATCTGAGGGAACAGAGCCTAGCTCTTTCACATTGGTTAGTGCTGCGCTGGCTTGCAGTAACTTAGGTGGAAGTCATGGGTTGAAGCTCGGGAAGCAAATTCATGGGTATAGTTTGAGAATGGAGGACTGCAAGACTTTCACCCAAAATGCTTTGATGGCTATGTATGCAAAGCTTGACAGAGTTAGTGATTCAAAAGCAGTGTTTGAGGTCTTCCCAAATCGAGACTTGGTTTCTTGGAACACTATAATAGCTGCTTTTCAACAAAATGATCAATTTTATGAGGCTTTAGGGCATTTGAAACTTATGATTACTGAGGGATTCAAGCCTGATGCAATGACAATATCTAGCATCCTTCCAGCTTGTGCCCATTTGGAGTTGCTTGATGTTGGGAAGGAAATCCATGGTTATGTTACAAGGGATCAAGATTTGGTGGAGAATTCTTTCGTGGCCAGTGCTTTGATTGACATGTATTGCAATTGTAAAAGGGTTGAAAGTGGGAGAACTGTATTTGATGGTACGATGGAGAGGAGACTTGGGGTTTGGAATGCTATGCTCTCTGGATATGCACGAAATGGACTTTATAAAAGTGCATTGGTGCTTTTTTTGGACTTTATGGAGGTCTCAGGGTTCTTTCCGAACTCAACAACATTAGCTAGTGTCTTGCCAGCTTGTGTTCACTGTGAAGCATTTACTGGAAAAGAAGTCTTTCATGGGTATATAATAAAATTAGGATTTTGTGGAGATAGATATGTGCAGAATGCATTGATGGACTTGTATTCTAGGATAGGAAACATCACTGTTGCGAAATATATATTTTCCAGCATGGAGAGCAGAGACCTTGTTTCTTGGAACACCATGATCACAGGCTATGCAGTTTGCGGACGCCATGAAGATGCTCTAAGGCTCATATACAGAATGCAAGAAAAAAAACTGAAGGATGACAGTGAGAAAGGTCTTACAGCTTCTTTTAAACCGAATTCGATAACAATTTTGAGCGCCCTTCCTGGTTGTGCAGCATTGTCAGCACTATCAAAGGGTAAAGAAATTCATGCATATGCTATCAGAAATTTGTATGTTTCAGATGTTGCTGTTGGCAGCGCATTGGTTGATATGTATGCTAAGTGCGGTTGTTTACATCTAGCAAGGAAGGTTTTTGACCAGATGCCTACCAGAAACTCCATCTCGTGGAATGTTATTATCATGGCCTATGGCATGCACGGGAAAGGAATCGAAGCCTTGGAACTTTTTAATGATATGTTAGCCGATGGATCTAGAAATGGTGAAGTGAAACCTAATGACGTTACTTTTATCGCAATTTTTGCTGCTTGCAGCCATTCTGGTATGGTTGATGAAGGCCTGCATTTATTTCACAAAATGAAAGAAGATCACGGAATTGAACCTGGAGCAGACCACTATGCATGTGTGATTGACTTGCTTGGCCGAGCTGGACACCTTGAGCGAGCAAATGCCCTCATAAATTCAATGCCGGCACACCACGACAAGGTTGGGGCTTGGAGTAGTTTGCTTGGTGCTTGCCGGATCCACCAGAACATGGAACTTGGTGAAATTTCAGCCAAAAATCTCATTCAACTGGAACCTGATGTTGCTAGCCACCATGTTTTGCTGTCTAACTTGTACTCATCCATGGGAATGTGGGAGAAAGCAACTCAAATACGCAAAAACATGAAAGCAAAAGGCGTTAAAAAAGAGCCTGGATGCAGCTGGATTGAGTTTGGTGATGAGGTCCATAGATTCTTTGCAGGAGATACATCACATTCCCAAAGTGAGCAGCTATACAGATTTCTCGATAAGTTGTCTGCAAAATTGAAAGAAGAGGGTTATGCCCCAGATACTTCCTGTGTACTTCATGATGTTGGTGAGGAGGAAAAGGAGAGCATGTTGTGTGGACATAGCGAGAGATTAGCTATCGCTTTTGGTCTACTTAACACTGCTCCTGGGACCACTATCCGGGTGGCTAAAAATCTCAGAGTTTGCAATGACTGTCATGCTGCTACTAAATTCATTTCAAAGATTGAAAGGAGGGAGATCATCGTGAGAGATGTTCGAAGGTTTCATCACTTCAAAGATGGTGCTTGCTCTTGTGGAGATTACTGGTAACATGCATCCTGCAAAACTTGGAACGGCTTTATTATATAACAGAGTTCTGTGAGTGTTTTATTCTACCTGTTATTGTATGCCCACATTTATATGCAGATCCAAATGATTGGGAAGTGAAACAAACTCTGTAAAAATCCGAGCAGTTGTGCAGAACATTAGGAATCTTGTTTCCATATAAATGTACCAAATCTTGTATACATGAAGGCTGAAGCACAAATTGTACAGAGGAATTTACAGTACAATAGAGAAATTTTTTTTGTCTCTCTGATATGTTCCTTGACCTTTTCAATGATGGGCCTCGCTGACACTATCAGTGGCTGTGTCATTTTCTACCTTTGGGGACATGAATTTACATTATCAATGCATATCTACAAATTTCGCTATAAAGTTTTACATATTAGTATTACTTTTAAGACAACAAAAATTCAAGCATTGTCTAAAAAAGCATTAACTTTACAGAACCCTGCCACTATATTTCTACTTTCACACCGCGGCTGTAGGAAAAAGAGCAAAACGCTTGCTTTAACTAGAGTTCCAATTCCAGCGCACTAAAAACCATAACCTACCAAGTGGCTATCGGATCAGGGCTTCAAAGCTCTCAAATTTGTGTTTCCTCTCATCCATGACATTATTACATTGACAAGGAGATCCACGTCCTTGGAGATGTCTGCACGAATATTTATTGATTCCAAGCCAATCGTAGTGCTGAAATCTTTAGCAAAGGACTCCCACGGTGTCCCTGCAGTTAAAGAGGCCAAAAGTTCTCCACTGCGATTTACAGCATCCGCCATGGCTGGGGGAACATCTGGCAGAGCCTGGAAAATAAAAATTCCTTTCATGTTCAGCAGACCACATAAGAGGAATATTATCAATCTTACCACGACAAGAACTTTAGTATGTATTGTATAATAGAATATGCGAACTATTGGCGACATTTAAGCAAGGGGTTGGGGGAATGGGGTGCGAGAGAGTAGAATGTTAATTTATATTGGACACAAATTCAACCTGCTGTAGAGGCAGACCATGGTCCCCAGGTAGTGAACGGATGGACATATCAAGCATTGAACTGACAGCAGCATCTGAGCTAAGCAATTGGGCTAGAATCGGTGTTTCATCAATCATGTCGTCTTTGAACTTTATCAATAGATTTCTCGAAATCCCATAGTAGGACCTTATCTGCAAAGCAATATTATCATCCACTGAAACCACAACCGAATATCCAACAACCATAGATTATTCATGCTGCTAAAACGCAACTAGGATGCATGCAGTAATTCCTATAATAGCATTACATACAACAGAATTTGAATCCGAGAAACTGAACACAGAATTTGAATCCGAGAAACTGAACACAGTGCAGCATGGATGTTCAATAATCTACAGTAATAACCAGGCTGTTAAATTCCGGTCCAATTGACCAGGTTACAAGTCTGTGACAAACAAACAATTTTCTCATGTACGAGTGCAACAAAAGTGGAAAGCCAAAATAAGATTTAAAAAAATATAGAAAATGGGGAGTGCCAGTGAGTCAAACTCAGACAGCTGGAGGATAAATATAGAGTTCACCAGAGATAACAGCAAAAATTTCACTACAAATTTCAGCAGAAAGAATGTAAACCAAGCTAAAAAATCACACGAGATGTTACTTTAGAGACTCTTGATAAAATTCTTAAAACACAAATTCGTAAGATCACCAAGAAGTGTATACCAATCGCTTAGTTTCTTCCGGCCTCGGGATAAAATCTTCCCTTCCATTAACCAAGTCCATATATAAAGGTGGCAGTTGCTCAACTAGAGGAAGAACCTGCTTCATGATGGGGGGGCCAAGATTCTCTAATTGCTTAAGAGTCATCTCTGCCTGCAGTTTTCAATACACGAGAAAATAACTTATTCTTGAAATGAAGTTTTGAAAATCACGAGGACCATTCCATCTATTAACATAAAACCCTTAATTTCTAAGAAACATAATATCCTCATAAAAAAGGGGCACCAAATGAAAATGAATTATAAGGTCAGTCATGCATTGATGGTCTACCAAACAATAAATCCCAATCTACCCAAATAAGCACATAAATCAGTTTAACCACCATAAATTTTGCATAATCAAGATTCTGACCCCCATGCGTATGGATGGTGATGCAGCAATCTGTGATAATAACGGCCCAATGCTCTGAGCCATTGGTACAAGAACAGGTGAGAACAATGGAACTGCCACACTTGCTTCCTGAAAATTGCGATAACAATAATGAGTACCTTGTCGAAATTTATATTTTCAGAAAAAGAACTAGAATGGAAAATCAAGGACCTTATTGTTAAATGACATCAGCACATTCCCATTTCTTTGCACAGCATATCTTGAACCTGACAGCAACTCATTGAGTTATTTACAGCTTATGTACCCCCCCCCCCCAAAAAGCCGTTTCCAATAGAAATGGGACTAAAATGGAAAATTAAGGACCTTATTTATTTAATTTACCAATCAAAAGGTGAATGACAGATCCAAGAGAATGACCAATGCCAAAACTAGGTAGACCTTGTTCCTACAAAACCATTAGTAAAGTGAGTAGATTAAAAAAAAAAAAAACCAAAAAATACACATATATGCAAGCAACCATACTATGACCAGAAGTCAAAACTCACAATTTCAGGAAGAAAACGAAGACATCTGTCAAATTTAAACTGCACTTCATCTGCAATATGGAAGTGGTCAAATCCACTGGCATACGGTGTTGCGATCACCAATACACCTCTATATCACAAAAACAAAGAGTAATGAGTTAGGGGGCCTTATAGCTGCTTCTGATCTTTCAGCACTACCCAGAACTTCAAGAATCACCTCTGATTGTACCCCCAGCCCCACCCCCCCAAAAAAAACCCAGAAACCGAAGGAAATAGCAAAAGAAAGAAACGTGAGTATTCTCATTAAGAAAAGGAGGGGAAAATAACTGGTTACCAAATATTTATAGATTTAAAACCAACAGTAAGATTGTAACTGATAACAACTGCGTAACATTTCAAAGATACAAAGAGGATGACAAAGAGAAGTTTATCCGAATACAATTCCAGTGCTCAGAAATCATCAAGTTTGTCCTATATTTATAACAAAAAGACAATAGTAAAACCACTCACTCTTCTGCAAGGCGCTCCAAGAACAAACGGTAGGTAAGCTGTGGGGCTGCCCCAACAAATATACCACCAATGAAATGTACAATCAATTCTGGCTTTGAGTTTCTTGGTCTCAATATCCATGCACCCTGAGAGAAGTAGTAGTTAGAAGAAGTTCTGGAACATATAGACATATTTTATTTACCATTCTTTCTCGTTTCAATGATCACTTTGAATTTACGGAGAAAAAGTCAACTCACAGCAAAGGGAAAAGAAAGGTCAAAATACCAACACAACAGCTACTTTCTGAATCTTGTGCATATTAGTTTCCCAAATCGTTTGTGTTGTGATGTACCACATTTTTTATGCTATGAATTAGCAATGATACTGACATGGTACCTAAACGTATGTTCAGAAAGAGCAGAAAGATCATGGTACCTCACTCTCAGTCCAGTCACCTGAACTCCCCCAGTCACCTTGAGATTGCTTCACAGTTTCTGTAAGCACTCTGAGAAGGAAAACCGAAAACATAAAAAAGATTTGATCAAAAGTTCATTACCAAAGAAACTGAACAAATTAGACATAATTCCTAGCAAACTTTGAGGATGATGCTTCCAACATTGTTAAGAAGTTAGATAATGATTAGTACTTCCTATTTTAGTTCCCCGGCAACGACTAGGCTAGGTTAGTCCCAACTATTATTAAAGATTAAAGAATAAAGAAAAACAAAAAACATGAGAATTTGAACACAATATTCAAATTACAAATAATTAGAACAAATCCAACAAAGTAAAGAACTACTTCTATTACACAAATTCAAAAAGTCTGCCTTGTTTCACTGCAAATTTTAATTTCGCACCAAAAGATACATATGATTGAAACGTTGATTCGTGAAAATCGAACTGTGCTTGCTTAGTACAAAAATTGTGTAAGATTAGGTAAGTTCAGATAGTCCAACAAACAGACCTCTCAATATCTCTGTAGAGCTGAATTCCAGTTGGGCCCGGTTGATTTCTGTCCTCGTTGGAACTACAACGGATTCTGAAGCGCGAAACGGAAGTAGAGAATTTGGGATTCCTCAGAGATTTAACAGTACAATAGCTGATTCTTCTGCTGTCGGAGAAATGTCCAGAACCAGTACCCTGCAGCATCGGTAAGGTTGCTGGCGGCCATAGCCAACAACTCGCCATGCCCGTTTCAATCTTATATTTTCAAAATCACAAAAGTCGAGATCTTTGATCAAGAATCGGAGGCAAGAGGAAACTACAACATCAAATTAGGAAGGAGAACTGGAGAAGTGCACGCATCTGTTTCCATTGATTGGGAGCGAAAGGAGGAAATGCGACTTTGCGTGACATTGTTCTGGACTTTTTGGTGTTTTATTATTTTCATTTTCATCCCAAAAGAGAATGACACATTTTTACAAATAAATCTAAAATTGATAAGATATACTATAAGACATTAAGACTTATAGAAACTGGGGATAGAGGGCAAGTTGGTCTTAACAGTACAAGTTAATGAAGTCGCCCACACAAGGTTACCCTTTTGTTCCTTGCCTTCTTCATTCCGTCAGTCATTTCTCCGAGGGAAATATGCAAGTGAAGTTGCCGCCAAAAACTGCCCTGGTATTTGCAGCAAAAAGAGAGCTCCATTGTCCTGCTGATAAGCCTAAGGTAATTCATATCTTCTAGGAATATTCCTTTTCTAGTTTTTTTCTGTCTTACCACAAAACATGTTTGTATATATGTTTTAAAACCGTAACTTTAGTAAAAAAAATTATGTTAATAACAAATGCAAAGTTTTGGCTTTCGTTGAAACTATTTTGGGATTGATTGAATTGAGGATATGATAATGATGTGATAGCGCTATAGAAAATTGGGTTTTTCTCAAAGACAAAGTTAAGTGGGATTGGATTGGTAATGGATAAATACCTGGACTTTTAAGAAAAGATTGGAACTTGAATTAGGAGTTTCATTGATCATGTAGTTTATTGACTTAATTTTTCTTCTTATAAGAGAATATAAAGCTGTTATCTTTTTCCCCTAGGAGGTTTCGAGGTTGAAGCTACCCAGTGTTGAGTTTGTGTCAAATTTGCTGGACCGGAGATGGGCGTTGAGGAGCCAAGATGCTCAAATTCACCAAGTAATGGTATCTGGGACTGGCAGCTGTAAAGAGCTGGGAACTGGTTACAATTTTCGAAATAATCCACAACCAGTTCTGGGGGAGAGCTTGTTGGGGAGTAGCTTCGGACAGCCATCATTCTATGTAGTGAGGGATGATTTGTTGCATCCTTTGGTCAATGGTAACAAGGCCAGAAAGTTGGATGCGTTGCTCCCTTTGCTGGAGGATAATTCTGTGACTGATGTGGTATGATCTTATTATGGTAGCATACCTTCCCTGAGTTCATCTGTTCAAAGTTCTAGCCTTGTTTGATATTTACCATCAGACATTGTGGTTCTTGATTTTGTTGGTTTGTTCACATTGTGGAAATGGGACTTTTTTTTCACAGCATTTAGAATTCACCTAATGAACCTAGTTCCTTGTTACAACAAACGAACATCACTGCATCTTTTCGTTTTTGTCAACTGTCCACTTGATGGGTTTCTAATATTTTCACATGCCAGGAGGAACGATTATAGTCACAGTACCAGTTGTTTGTTAACTTGTTTCCTTCTGGAAAGTGATTAGTCATCTAATTACGGTAATTTCTGTTCATTCTATGGATAATTGTAGGTCACTTGTGGAGGCTGTCAGAGTGCGCATGCCGCAGCAGTTGGTATGTAATGGTACTGTTAAACCTGCATACCCTGCCTATATCTTTCTTCCTTGGATCAATGTGGAATTGACAATGTGATGAAGCTATAATCTTTTGCTTGGACTTAATGCAGCTATTTCATGCGCGGAGAGAGGAGTGAAGGCACATCTGCTACTTCGAGGAGAGCAGCCTGAAACTCTTACTGGTTACGCTCTAATTTCCGCATTGTATGGAAATGTAACTTACATGGAGAGGTCATTGTATGCCAGAAGGGAGGAAATGCTACTGAGGCATGCAAGCTCCATAGCAGACAGTAGTGGAAATTTTGAATCTCTCAACAATTTGCTGGAGGTAGCCTTTTCTACCTGTCCGGCATATCAGCACCAGAACCTTTTGCCTCCAACTGTTTCTAGAGAACTTATAGATAAGAAAGTCGTTATCATCAATGAAGGGGCAGCTGATGTTGTGTCACTGCTAGGTAATTTGTTCAGTATACATTTTTTTACCCACCCTTTAATTTCATTCTTCAAACGTGTATATCGCTTATGCTTGAAGAGTTGTCCTTTGCATCTTAGTTTTTCCGAGCAATTATTGGCATTTGCTTTTAGTGCATTGTGTTTAAATAAACAGGATAAAAGTATGATGAATTAGGTCATTTCTAAAATTTATTCTCTCCATCTTACAAAATATATCAATTTCAGTAACAAGGATATTATTAACACTAAATTTTTGCTGAGAATCCTTGTGAGTACTTTATTGAAGCTTAATAGTTGTGACACGTAGTCCATATAACCCATGTGTCCTGTCGTGGGATAAATGATTTAGTCGCTATTTTTGTATCCGTGTGATGGCCTTGATTCTTGTAGGTGTTATGCGCCTCGTACAGTACTTATCTCAAAAGCACATATTTGGAGGAGTTCAGACCATCAAAATTGTTGTAGATGCAGGAACTGGAACAACTGCTGTTGGTCTGGGATTGGGTGCTATGTTTCTAGGGTATGAACCTCTATAATGCTACAATTATGAGCTTGTAACACTTCTTAGATGTCCTACAAACTATCTGAATCGGAGTGTTGAAAACTTGTTTGTCAGGTTACCCTGGGAAGTTCATGCTGTGATGCTTGCAGACACAATCGATGGCTATAGGAAAAAGGAGCAAACTCTAATTTCAGAATTCCACAAAATTTGTAATTCTGGAGATGTCAACCTTCATCCACGTGTAGGGAACGATAAAGTTGTGCACTGGGTCGAGCGAAGATCTCCAAGAAAGTAAGTATTAGTCAATTTACATCTGCTAATGATCTTAATTGGTGTAAGATGATACTGGCACTCTTCATGATAAGGTATAGTCACGAATCATGATAGTTTTAGAAAAGAACTACATTTTGGGACAGAGGAACTACTATTGTGTTCTCTCTTATCTAGTGGATTCACTAAATTTTTTGCCTTCCGTGACTGACTTTCCAATAGGATATCATGTTCGGTTTGCAAGTCTTAAGTTTCTTAATTGCATTCTTCATCCAGATTTGGCAATGTCTTGAAAGGAGAAGTTGAAGAATGCCAAAGAATTGCACAACAAACTGGCATTCTGGTTGACCCTGTGTATACTTTGGCTGGTTGGGAACTAGCCACAAGATTTAGTCAAGATGAGGGAACACATAATGATGCCAAAGTGGTGATGCTTCACACAGGAGGCACACTTGGATTGTTTGGACTTGCACAAAGGTACAAGCCTTACTTCCAAAATCTAAAGTGCAGTTCCTGATAAAAAAAATGAGTAGTAGTTTATGTATGAGTCATAATTTCTCATATTAACATGATCATTTGTACTTTTATAGTTTTATAAGTACTTTCTCCGTCCCACAAAAATAGTCCACATTGAGTTTTTAAATTTGTACTAAAAATAGTACAAAACTCCAAACTCAATGTGGACTATTTTTATGGGACGGAGGGAGTAGTATTCATATGAGTAATATACATGATGATCAATTATTTTACTTTGATTCAAGACTGCAACTTAAAAACAAAAAATAAAATAAAATTCTGATCATGTAATCTACTTTACCGGAACACGTTAAGAAGCCGAGATTAAAGAAAAAATCGTGTCAAATCTCTTACAAAAGAATACTAACTGAAAATTTTAATTCTGTAACAATTTGTCAAACTCTTACAAAGAATATACTAAGTTCAGGTCCACTATTACTATCTAGATTCATCATATAGTAAGTTTCCGAGTCTTTCGATCCGACCATTCTCTCAAAGCAAGCTCTCAAGTACGTCAACTCTCCGCCGCCCCCTTCTGATGATGATGAAGAAGTCCGAGTATGATCTCCACTGGGGAGCACTCCAGCACCCATGGAAACTGCCTGAAGCAATTGTATGACATGCACATCCTCATCAGTTGGCTCCCTTTTCACAGCATACCCAACTTTTCTACCATTACAATACATAGTCCATATAGGCTCATCAACAAGCTTAATTTTTTCTGATGGGTGGCGCTTTTCGCATTCAAGTGCAATTCTGACCAAACCCAAGCCCATGTCATGAAGAAGCTTTCCGGTATTGATGGAAAGTTCAAGAATGAGGATTGGAAGGCTCCTGGGGCTTTCCTGTAAAGCCAAATTAACTCTGCATTTGCGATACCCAAAAAGTGTTCCCGTCATTTGCTTTCCTCCGTGAATGTTGTGGTGGCCGTCGTGCCTGCCGCCGCCACCACCAATGGTTGGCATATTAGGCATCTTGCATGGTGTGGTCATGATGGGTAGTGATTTGAAAACTGATCTGACTCGACGGAATAGCTTGGTTGGTTTCAGTGAACCTTTCCTGTGGTGATGATTATTAGAATTTTGTTGTTGAAGGGGCAGAACCTGGCGGCCACCCGCAGACGAGGGCAAAGAGGAAGACCGTGCCGTCGCAAAGCCACCATTGATAATGGACGGTGAAGCTGGAGATGGAGGTGGCGGAGGTTTACGTGTGGGCATTGTATAGACTTTTGGATAAGAGAGATTTTGGTAATGCCAGAAATGAAGTTGTCGAAGCAGGTATTAGTATTAGATTGATGATGGTTATAATGCATCAGTGTGCATGTTCATAAGAGTAATGGAGGACACGTTTACTGCTCATTGTTGAATCAGGGAGGCAGATTGGAGCCCTAAAGGCTGTTTTTGACTTGAAACCTTAACACCTGTGTAGTTGGAACTCAGTTTAATTTAATAGGATAGAAATTTGCAAATACTCCCCACTGTGAATGAAAATGAGGGAGATAATGATGCGCACGTTTTTGGTCACTGGGTAATATTCAACATGAAGTTGCCATTTTTGATCAGTGATAAATTTGAACTCTCTCTGTTAGTCAGTTGCATACCAAGTCCCAATCTGAAGGAATGCGGCGAAAGTTTACGAGGGGCATTTATTTCTTCTATTGTGTTTAAAACAACTGTACTAATACGAGGGGTGAAATGATTGTGAGTGATAACAAAAAAAAAAAAAAAAAAAAAAGATTCCCGGCAGGGTTTCGAGGCTGGAATTTGGAAGATTTATTATACGCGGATGTCTTACAGTCAGAAATAATAATTAAAGTAGCGGAAAGATATACTCCCTCCGTCCCAAAATTATTGTTAAATTGTACTCCCTTCGTCTCATAATTATTGTCCAGTTTTACTAAAATGAAAGATTTTATTTTTTGTCAAACTTAACTATATTTTACCTTAAACAACCGGATATACCCCTACATAAGTAATTGTTTAACCACTAAGATTTTATGGATAATGTTTTTTACTAAGGACAAATGTGTAACTTGATCCATAAAAAGTCAAATTGGACAATAATTTTGGGACAAAATTTTTTGGGCAAAGTGGACAATAATTATGGGACGGAGGGAGTACTAAAAATGAAAACTCAAACTGGATAATAATTTTGGAACAGAGAGAGTAAGTTTTTCAGGAAAATTGAACAAAAAAAATAGCTTGAACATTATTATTTTTTGCACAAAGACCACGGGATGTAGCAGTTTGGAAACAATAGTTTTCCAGAATTTTGAATGAAATGATAGTATGTAATTTTGTTCCAAACAATTAAATGGGTGAAAATCTGGGGCTAAATCTTAATGGGCTTACATCTGTTGGGAGAGAGATAGGAGGAGGACGTCAAACCAATCAGTCAGCTGATCATTTCAACTTCTGGGCTTCACATAATTTTTCTTTTTTCCCAACAAATACTCAAGTTTTCATAACAACGAAATGAATGAATTCCGTCCCTAAAAAAAAAAATCATATTAGTATAATTTATGAATTACAATAGTAAAAATAATACAATTAATTAATTGTATTGTGGACTACTTCTTGGGACCAAATAAGTAAAATATTTTTAACTTATATTATTTTTTGTTGATTGTTTATAATTACAATACTAAAGGGATAAACATATATTATATTCTTAAAACAATTACAAATAAAATTGCTGAAAAATATTCCTTTGTCTCACAAAAATAGTATATATTGTAATTTTTGAAATTTACTAAAAATAAAAACTATTCACAAATCATAAATGTGGATTATTTTTCTAGTACAGAAAGAAAGAATAAGAGTTCTCTTTTGAAGGCAAATAAAATAGAAATTTTATATTGTCAGGGATTAAATAATTCAGTCAATCGTCAATTACCGAAGTACATGATGTAAATAATGATGCAAATAGACATATAATCAAACCAGTGTCGCTCCTTTATTTATTTTTCTTTCTTCTTTTTTTTTTTTGGCTGAGGAAAAACGTTTTCTTTAACGTATTATTTGTTCCATTTTGGATATATTGAAACTTTCCCAGTATACCATGAAGTAGGTACCTTGATAAACATCTTATTGTCCTTTTGTTCAAAAAAAATAAACACCTTATTGTGACAAGGTAATAAGGTAGTTGTACTACATTTTTTTATTTTTTTTATATACGAAGGATACCCACAGAACGACTAGATACAACAAAACCTAACTAGAGCGACATATATTAGCCTTATCTAATTCTAATGCCTCTCTGACTATAGAAGGAGGAGTTGTCAAAATATGTTATCCAACCGAACGAGATAGGTCAAATTGGGCATCAGCGACAATGTAGTAGTACTACATTGGATACCATGATTTGGATGTATGGAGAACCATAATTGGGTATGATTGTTTATATTCATGGAATGGGAAGACAATCTCGTTACGAGGAATGACATTTATGATCCTGCATGGAACATATATTATTCCAATTAAGAAGTGTTGTGTACGATGATTATTACAATAATATAAGCTAATGTCGTGATCGTGGCACATATAATGAGAAATGTGTTTGATTATTTTTTGGGGAACAAAGAAAACCGGAAATTGAAAACCCTCTCCGGAGCACTAATGAGAAGCTAGATACTGATCAATATACTCATGAATGATTATGGAGAATTTTCACTGCCATAAGTGGTGCGTGACTGTGTGACATCTTCTCACTTTAAAATACTCGCCAAATAGAATTTGGTTGATTTTGTGGCGTGCCATTGTCCAAAAATTAAAAAAAAAATAAAAATAAAAAAATCAGTGGTGGCAGCAACAACTTTTGTATATGTTTTTATCATTCCCTGGTAACAAGGGGAGCAAACCGGGATGTAGATGTTCCCCTTTGGGGATCCCCCCACTATTCTTTTAGTTAGTTGAACCCTCTAATCACTCTTTAAATTATGCAAATGTGTCATTTCCACTCCATGTTCATCCTGCATGCCTCGCGAAAAAACAAAGACCAAAAGGTTATTCATGGATCATGGCTCTAGTCTTCGACTAATGAACTGAACAAATTATTTTAGAAAAAAAAAAAAAGGAGTAATTGATTCATTTATAAAAATGTAAGATGTAGTTGCATCATTTTAAATCACTCTAATGTATAGACCGTATATAACTTCTAATTAATTTGTAATAATGTAATTGCATCATCTTAGGGAATGATGGATGGGAATGTTTGGACAAATATGTGGACTGGGATTAACCGTACGTGAAATGGCAATTTGTGGACAACTATTTTCTCTGATCATCCACCCAGAACTGCCGAAATTAAACCAGAGGTCGGTTGTTCTGTTTCTAATTACACACTGAGACAGTAACATGGAGAGCTGGAAGATGATCGGGAATCGATAGGAAAATCGGATGCATGTAATTTTTTTTTCCCCCCAAAATAATTAATTAGTTTGAATTTTCATTTTAGTATAATTACTTATGGACAAAAAACTACTCCTTCCGTGCCAAAAAAAAGTTCACATTGAGTTTTGAATTTTGTACTATTTTTAGTACAAATTTGAAAACTCAAAATAGACTCTTTTTTTTTAACAGAGCTAGCATTAAATTAAACAATTATTTTAAAATAAAGAAAATCGATTTACCGGTATCGCTTTCATATACCTCCTCCTTTTTTACGCCATTGGAAAGGCAGCTTGGGAAAATGGGATTTCTTTTCTTAGCAAAAAGAAACATAGATTAAGTAGTACTCCCTATGTCCCACAATTATTGTCTAATTTGAGATCTTACTTTTAGTACAATTTGAATTAAAAATGAAAATCTAAACTGGACAATAATTATTGGACGGAGAGAGTAGTATTACGATACATGTACTAAAACAATTGTAGGGTGGGTGGCCCCGTTACCTTTGCATATGGAAATGGGGAACATAAGCTAGTTACTAGTATCCTATGCACTGGGAATGTTTAATTTGGACTAGACAAACTATGTCAAAATAAAAAGCCTATAAATTCTGCGATGTCATTCGTTTGAGAGGACAAATATTAGACAATTAGGCATTAATTAAATGTTTCCGAGCAGTTATATGTACATATTATTATGGTCCATATATGCAAAGTACATTTTTAGTCTTCAATAAACAATTACATGTAATTAGTACTTCCTCTATTCTAAAATAAGTGTCATTCTACACTTTGCACAAAGTTTAAAAAATTCTTAAATTGGCTAATAAAATTATTTGAATACCTTTAACTAACCCCATTAAAAACAGTTCACCGATAGTATTAATTTTTTTTAGGGTAATTTTGAAAATATTAGACAAAAAAATGCATTGCAATATGAGAACGACACTTATTTTAAAATTTCTTCATTTTACTAAAACGACATTTTTTTTTGAACGAAGGGAGTACGAAAAGTTAAGGTAATTATCGCAAAAAATGAGTACAAATACTCTAGAAATATGTCGTTAACGCTAAAGCTAAAATGAAATAATGTGTAGCTAATGCTAGAAATGTTATAATCAAGTCTATAATTTTATTAACGAGGATCCATTTTTCAACCGAACAAAAAACAAAAGAAAACAAAAACAAAAGGAGAGACCAGAGGCAGAACCCGAAAAGGTAACGAGGCCCCTGCGTAGATATAGTTCCATCAAATAATATTTGTTAATTTGTTACCCGAAATCCAAAATTGAAAAGGCTATTCTGTCAAGATCATCTCGACGGGGAGCTATAACCTTAAAATCAGGATGGAGGTTAAAGCTAGCAAACCAGAAATAGCAAGATGCATAAGCACATCCAGGATGTGGATAAATAAGAAATGTTTAATTCTAGTGGCTGAGTGCTCTCTTAGAATCAAACTATGACATTTTAAGTACTTCTTTCATTTTAAAATTAATATTTCGTTCGAAATTTCATTTTTAGTAAAATAATATTAAAAATAAATAATTATATCGGATAATCATTTCAGCTGGAAAGAGAAATTATTTATTATTATATTATTTTGCCATATAAGTTGAACATTAAGGGTTTTGCCTAATTGTCTACTTGGTAGATTTCATGCGCGTAATTACAAGCGCTCGTATTCATCTTATCTCTAAAATTAAGCTTGAGTTGTAAGCACTCGTACTCAATGAGTGATTTGGTATTTGCCTGGTTAATACATGCAATGGCATTGCTATTTGATATGGTCGTCTTTGATCTATCCCTCCAAGAATGATAGTCCGTCGGCTTCCAGGTCGACTTAAAACATTCGACGAAAAAGTCGACGGACGTTTTCCTGTTTTGTAATATCTATCCGTTTTGAGCTGGATTTGGTTATTAGTAATTTCCTCAACTGTTTTCAGTCATGTATATAACTTACCTGTAGGAGTATTATAGTAATAGTAACAATTGAGACGTTTGCAAGTATTTAATTTTAGTAATTTCAGTTTAAAGAACTTCATTTGCCTGTCCACAAGTTGTTACTTGGAGAGAAAGTTAGGATTTCTCGTCCAAGGGTGGTTGCACTACTATATTCTACTTTATCCGTCCCATTCAAATAGTTCTCATTGAACCAGTACAAATTAAAACTCAATATAAACTATTTTTTTGGATATAGAGAGTAGTAATATGTGATTTGATGATTTTGATCATAAAGCTTGTCAGTTCTTTGTGAATTCTCGTATGTTGGAATTAAATTGATTTTGATGCATGAGAAACTAATCAATTACTAACAACTAAATCTTGCTTTCAAATGTTACAAAAAAAAAATTACTATCTCACTCTTAAAAAAATAATTCACATTATAACTAATAAATGAAAATTTTTTTTTATTATAAAACTTAAAAATTACAATATAAAAAAAAACTATTTATAGAGACATAAAGAGTATAAAATTGGAAAACTTCTGTCAACTTTGTCATCGGGTTTCCTAAGTGGATGGACATCTTGACAAACTTCTTTTTCACTCAAATCCCTCTAATTTAGATTTGTTTTTCATTATCTTTGATGCAAACATCATAAATAATAATAATAATAATAATAATAATAATAATAATAATAATAACGACGAAACCAACATAAAGTGAATGTCATTGTTTAAAGGACCGGATGCACTTTTCGTCCCCCGACTTTTGAGCGTAGCAAGATCGAGTCATCATGAATTTTCTATTGGCAAATACAATTTAAAGGACCGGATGCACTTTTCGTCCCCCAACTTTTGAGCGTAGCAAGATCGAGTCATCATGAATTTTCTATTGGCAAATACAATCCTCTAAAATGTTTTTCTCATCAATTTTAGTCAATTTAACAGAAATTTTACAGAATTGACGGAAGAAGTCAACTCTCCGTTAATATCAAAATATTTTATTAATTTTTCTGATTGTGGGCCCCACATTCATTTGTCTCAAAAAAAAAAAACTCAAATAAAAAGGAAAAAAGATTTCTTTCCTCCTACTTCTCCCTCTCCAAGAATCAAACAGTTAATATTCATTTTAAACATCCCCCACACTTTCACCATGATAGTCCGTACCGAATCCAATGAAGCGGCGGCCGGCCACATTTCATCTCCTCCGTCATGCCAATATCCAGCCATCCCGATTTAAAGTAGAAAAAACATCAACAATAGGGTTTAGGGTTTAACATTACTATGGTTATCACCATTGTGCTCACGCGATTAAATTGTTCATACACTCACTCAACCCCTCCGCCACTCCCAAATCACCTAATTCCCCTCCTCTAACAGGACCAGCCAAAACCAAATAGTAAATTTAAGAACCCAAACAATTATAATCACAATAATTTCAGTTCACAGACAAAAATTACAATAATGAGTGATGATAAAAATACATCACCTCCAATCGGACTGCATAATAAAAACCCCACCTCCAATTCGGCTGAACACTCCAAATCTAAATCCCGGAAATTACACTTCAACATCAGTAAAAGGAGTTAAAAGTCATGAATTTCAGCCATCTCGATGTTTCTATGAGATTTTGGATAATTTCATTCCCAAAAACCCGGAAATTTGGACCGAACAAGATCATGATTTTTCGTTGAATCAATCATCTCTGCAGCTCCATCATGCGAGAGAAGTCTTCGAAGCAGATGAATCCGTCCCTATTTTTATCCACACCGTTAATCATCTGCCGACAGTCCTCAAAGGCGTCCAAGAGTTCCGAATCACAAGCTGGAGGCCCAAAAGCCGAGCTGATGGCTCCGAATTCCTCCAAAATTATGCATCCATCCCCATTTCTGTCCACTTTGGTAAACAACAAACTCAGCTCCTCCTTGTTCGGCGGCTCTGTTCCGACCTTAATCAACAACTCCTCCAGCCCTTCCCTCATGATTTCCCCGAGTTACCAAATCCTCTCCATGAACAGAGCCCATTAGATCAAAAGGAGAGTGTTGTTTAAATGAAGGAGTGAAAAAAAAAATCCAAAAAAGTAAAATAAAAAAAGAAAAAGAAAAGAAAAAAAATATTGGGTCAAATAGTGGGCGTCACCATTATGGAAATTAATAAAAAATATAAAACTTAACGGAAAGAAGAATTAACCCCTTAAATTTGAAAAGATTCTGTTAAATTGACTAAAATTGATGAAAAAAATATTTTTAAGAGACTATTTTTATCAATTAAAAATGTATGGCGACTCAATCTTACTAACTCCAAAAGTTAGGAGACGAAAATTACATTTTGCCATTATTTGAAATAATTCTTAGCTATCTATCCACCATCATGTCAAGTTAATGAAATATGTTCCCAACAAAACAAAAATAACTCTATATGAGCGGGTTCGAAATCGAATGATTAGGAAGATAATAATCACCAGAAGCACTAGTCGAGAGATTTTGTATTTACCTTTGAGAAAAGATAAAAGGGGGAAAAAATTAAGGAGGAGACAAAGTAATGCTAAACGCAGCGCAAATAGCTGAGCAGACATGATTGCGTTGGATTAATAGAAAACTGGATAACAAATTCAATGTTGGTTGAATTATTAAAATACTACTTCTCCTGTCCCAAAATTATTGTATTGTTTGAGATTTCACTTTTAGTACAATTTAAACTAGAAATGAAAATTTAAATTAGACAATAATTATGGGACAGAGGGGTATTAAAGTGGGTAGAAACGATTAAAGCATTACTAATAGCAGCATTTGGTGGAGATTTTTTTAAAAAGAAAAAGAAAAAAAAAAGAAGATAAACAGAAGGAAAACAAATGGGGGGGATTAGTTTAATTTTAATAGGACGTGGAAAACGGTGGGGGCATCGGAAATCTCCAATCTCCATGTCTGTGTGTTCGACTACTCGAGTCAATGTAATCAAATCTACGGCACACGTGAGACTCCCCCAACTTTCTATGCTCAACTCCATCACCCATTTTTTTTTTTTCCTTCTCTTTTTTCACAAAGGTATATAATTGGTCATATTTTTCAGTCGATTCGAAATGGAAACGTCCCCATAAGACCATAATGTCACATATTGTATCAACGTTTTAGTTTCATTCCGTAGATAATGTAATCGCAAAACCCCCCATGCATGCTGGGAAGAAGTCATTCGTGTCTTGAAAAACTACTAAACTCTATTGACTGCAGAGACTCGACGTTGAAATTCAGCTCATATATCATATCCGATTTGATCCCACTGTAGTATTTTCTTCTTAATCACTCATAAATCACCTTCATAATCCCTCTATGATTACCAACAATATTCTTATTACCTTCAACCATTTTACCCACACGCATACTCAAGTCAAATGGACTATCGTCTTGCCATGTCTAGAGCCGGCATTGAAAGGGTAGACGTTCTCAACTATATCAAAATTATTTATGTTTCAATAAAATAGTCCAAGAGTAATGTTTTCATTATAAAAAAATTCTAAATTCGATGTGTATTATTATTTCTTAAAGACAGGAGAGGGAGGAGTATAAAACCCCTTTTCCCTTGGCTTCGCGGATGCCTCTCAAACTCAAACGTGCCACCAGCTCTTATCGAAGCGGCCCAAAACGAAACACAAAAAGAGTCCAGAAAATTCTAAAGAAGGTCAATTCGAACGTGGTTCTTAATTTATTTATTTTAAAACATAGTATAAGGCAAATTATATGTAGGTTCGAGTAATCATTTTTGCTTATGTATTGTCCCGTCATGTGATTCATATGACCCCAAACGGTGATCTTGCTTGGACCTACTTTTCCTTGACCCCTCGAAAGAAAAATAAAAAATCCATTTAATTTATTTTCTCAAATTTATCGGGAATTATATTATAATTTACACAAAACATGTCGGGATAAGCTATATATCATAATTCAAAAACATATGATGGTAGCGCATGGAGGTCTATTTCTCGATAAAATTTACTGTACAATACAGTCAGAGACCAAATTAGGTAAAAAAAGATATTAGTAATTTTATCAAGAAAGTTGGGGGAAGGAGGGAATCGTGATGTGTTTAATATAAAGTGGGTATATTTGTGTTGTTTTGCGCTGAAAAAGAGAATACAACTGTTGTACAATAAATTTTTTACATTCGTCAAGTTTTAAAAATTTTCATCTTAAACCTCGTCTTATCATTCATTGCTGATTGCGAGACAGCAAGAATACAGTTAATCATACACCATTTTGGTCCTGGTAAGAATTCAGTTGATCAATGTCCAATAATATTACAAGCCACACCAATAACTATAGTGGAAGAATGCAAATGTAGTAGTACAATAATTCAACCTGAAGGTCCTGAACAAATGACTATAAGGCCAGAAAGTCATAGATTTTAGTAAATTAAACCTGTCAGGTGCTTAAATTGTGTTACCTAAAATAGAAAACGTTAATCATGGTTGACATGCACCCCAAATTATTTCTAATTCTTCTTATTCGGTTGACCAAATATTTTTTTGGGGTCTAATGCTGACATATATATATATATATATAGATTCTCAAAATCTCATCTGAGGAAAAGATTTGAATGGGAATTGGAGATTAGAAAAATAACAAAGAGTCGATCATTATTATCACAAAGTGGGATTCTAATTTTGGGTGGCAATTCAATTTATAAAACTTATTTCACCGAGTCAAACTGATATACACCCAAAAATTGTCCCAGGAACAGACAAAGAACAGATTAATAGTTGGTAAAGCACTAGGAAGTAACGTTAACAGTCGGCAGCACTAGTGTTACATTACGTTACGTGTAAAAAGACACTGACATTTAAAAAAGAAAAAAAAAATTATGTTGGACTATTTAGAAAAAGAAGGAAGGGCATGATACCCAAATAAAGACACAGAAACGGGTCGAAACTCGAAAGAGTTAATAATGTACAACAAAAAACGAAGCAGGGAGAGGACTACTTACTACTGCGTCATACTAGCCATCTGCTTCAGTCAAACTAACCCACATTTCTGGAAAAAAAAAAGGTACTCCTTCCTGTCACTCTTCAAAATTAGTAGTATTATTGTTGTATTTCATTAATTAATCACCCCAATTTTCCTTTCATATCACAAACATATCATTCTTTTTCCCTGTGATTTTTTACACATTTTTTCAAAATTGATTTCCCCATCTGACTATTCAAGTTGAATTAAAAAGTTTATCATCCCTATTCGTTTCTGGTCAACGTACGTACCTTTTGAGCTTTTTAGTAATCTGGTTTTCCTCATATAAGCAGTATATATAGGTAGGTTTGGACCATTGCCAATACTGTTCTCCAGAGTTACCATATTAGAATTTTCAACGCCAATTTATAGATTTCCTTATTGGTGAAGTTTGACCAAAGGAACAGCAATATTGCTCTTCATCTCACTAGGATAACTATCGCTTATGTTGATACCCCAACTTGAAAATCGAAAAGAAAATCTAAGTGATATTATTATTATTATTATTATTATTATTATTTGTGCCTGTGTCTGAAATTACTATCTTACCTAAATAGATATGAACCTTATAATTTCCAAAAAGAAAAGAAGTGAAAATTCAGAGATACTAATAACTTGTTCCGGAACAGTTCATGCCGTTTCATGGCATTAAGTAGCAGCATTGTCTAAAACCGAAATGACTACATCCATTAAATACAAGTCCTTACAAGTAAAGATATTTAAAAATTCTAGTTGATTCCAATATACTCCTCACATTCAAGTCAGACTGAATACCTTTAACCTAATCAGTATCACTACACAAAATATTGCAACTGCTTCCTCATTTCTAATATCACATCATTAAATCACCAGAAATTAGCGAAAAAACAGATTTTTCTTTCCAATGTTTTGTTTGGCATTTTTGGGAAACAGATATTCATGGAGGGCTATTTTGGTAAATGAATCGCCATTATTATTACTAATTAACAAGAGTTTTTTCCATTCTGTTTTGTTTAACCAAAGCCTTTTTGTATATTGGTCCGACAATGTAAATTGGGAAAGACTAGTTAGCCGGTTGATATATGACTCATTGTTCTTCTCAACATTCTCAAACTCTCCATCTTCTTTCTCTCTATCCCTCTCTCTCTTCTCATCTTCTCGCTCCTCTCTTTCTCTCTCACATAGTCACACACTAAAACTAGATGACTATGCAGAGTACAAAGATCCTAGAGATAGAGAACACGCGTTAAGGACAACACATATATATTAGAAGATGAAGTGTTTGGACTTTGGATTAGTATAGCTTCTTCAATCGAAAGCCCATGACATAAAAAGCTATTTCTTCATCTACATATCTTCGCTTGCCAGAAAAACTGCAGTCTGTTGCACTTGTGGGTGGTTTTCCGGTGAATTCCAACATGGGAGACGCCGGAGTTTCCGCTTACCCGGGAAACCTTGACCCGAGAGCTCGAGAATTCATTCCGGTTTTTCATCAGCAGCAAATCCATGTAGAAATACAAACTTTGGTTCCTCCCAACATGTACTATTCATACCCCCAGCACCATTTCCCGACTCCTTCGCCGCCGCTGTTTCCTACATCTCCGGCGTACGTCGGCGCCAACCCATCTTCTTACTCGCCGCCGCCGTCGCGGGGGTTAACTTCTAGAGCCTTGCTGTTGAGCATGGTCCCCACCGAGGCGAGCGAGTCGTTGGTGAGGAGGGAACTGGAGGTTTTCGGTGACGTACGGGCGGTTCAGATGGAAAGGATCCGAGAAGGGATCGTGACCGTTCATTTCTACGACCTGAGGCAAGCTCAGGAAGCTTTGGTCGAAATTCAAGCTCAGCACATGCAACAGCAGTACCGGTTGCGGAGGCACTACGATGCCGTTTTGGCAGCTCATCATCATCATCATCATCATGCTTTAATGTTCCACTCTGCTCCGCCTCCGCAGCATCAGCAGCCACCGCAGCTCCTCCCGCCGCCGCCGCCGGTGCCGCCACCGGCACGTGGGCTCATTGCAGGCCGGGCCGTTTGGGCCCAGTACACTGTTCCGGTGACTTCATCTATTCCGGAAGGCACAAACCAAGGGACTCTTGTGGTATTTAATCTGGACCCGGAGGTCTCTCCTTTCATGCTGACACAGATTTTCCAAGCCTTCGGTATGATGAAGGATCTCCTCCTGCAAACTCCTCTTGTTTTTGGGGTCCAATTTCCCATATGTAATTTAATAACTAATGTCGATTTGGTGTCCTAATTTCTTTTTAAAAAATAAGATGGTGTGAAAACCGTCAAATTTCCAAGCAAAGCTTTATTTTTAATTCATTGATTGAAACAATTTGACTGGAGAATAGAGAGACTACTTGTGATCTTTGCATGTTTTTTCCTCATATCTAGGATTCGGTCCATTGATTGTTTACTATGAAGTCTTTTTGACTGGTTACCATCAATGAAAATGAAATGGAGTACCATAATTATGTTGGGACCGCAAAATAGGTCTATTTTTTTGTTTTGCTAATGTTATTTTTTTAACCTTATTATGCATTGCAGGCCATGTTAAGGAATTGAGAGAGACACCTAGGAGAAAGCATCAGAGGTTTGTAGAGTTCTTTGATACAAGAGATGCAGCTAGAGCGCTGATGCATATGAACGGGAAAGAGATTCATGGAAGACAGATTGTGATTGAATTCAGCCGTCCCGGCGGTGGCTACAACAAGAACAAGTCCCTATCTAAGTCCACCGCCAACCTTAAATTAAACTGCGCAACAGGGAATCATACTCCTCCCTCCCCGGCACCGGTACCGCCGCCGCCACCTCAGCCTTTGCAACGTAGAACCTCCGGTCGGTGGCTCCCCATCTCGGACTCTTTCGACGACAAGAAAGACGGGTTTCACCATTCCCAAGGAGGAAACCCTAATGGGAGAAATGATGAGTTCAGCAGGAGCAGTTCGAATTCAAGCCGGAGTTCGCTCACTAATTCAATGGGGTCTTTCAGGCTTGGAGATGGTCATGAGGAACGAAGTTCATCTAAGTTCCGGCTTTGGAGTCCGTCAGGTTCAAAGAAGAGTTGCAAGGGAAACGGCACAAGTACTACTCATGGTAGTGGTGGCAGTAGTAGTAATAATAGTAGCACAAAGCAGCATCAGCTCCTGCATAAGCAACGGTCTAAGGGTGGGAATCGACCATACAAGGGGTCTTCAAGACAGTCAAAGGAGTACGATCCTCGGTTCTTGATCAACGAAGATTCCGTCATCGAAGCCGATTCTAGAGATACCAGAACCACTGTCATGATAAAGAACATACCCAATAAGTACAGGTTTGTTCTGGTTTTCACATTTCACCTTCTAATCCAGTTCAATTTACTGTTTTGTTTCCTTTTCTGTGTGTTTTATTTTATCTGTCTCGATTGAAAATATGAAGTATTGTTTCATTGACCCTTGATACATATTTTTTTTTTTTGGGGCTTCGAGATACAGTCAGAAATTATTGCTGAACATGCTGGACAACCACTGTATACATTGTAACGAGCAAATTGGCGGTGATGGGGATGACCGGCCATTGTCTTCCTACGACTTTGTTTACCTCCCCATTGATTTCGTGTACTGTTTCAACTTCCCTCATTTCTCAATTTTCCCCCAGTTCTCATTATTTTTGGGCGTTGTGATTGATTTTGATTTTTTTTTTCTGGAAATTAATAATTGAAGGAACAAGTGCAATGTGGGATATGGGTTCGTGAACATGACAACCCCAGAGGCAACCTTGAGACTCTACAAGGCATTCCACCGTCAAAGCTGGGAAGTTTTTAACTCCCGCAAAATTTGTGAAGTTACCTATGCCAGACTCCAGGTAAATATGATATAATCACCACCAATTACCGCCCCGATAAAGTTGTGTTTTAATAAAGTTATTATGGATTTCACGAACGTTTGTGCGTGGACTATTTTATTTGTATTTCATGTTGATTAAAATCATGATATGGATTATGGAATAATGGTAAAAAGGGGGTGGAAGCTCTGAAGGAGCATTTCAAGAACTCCAAGTTCCCGTATGATATTGATGAGTACATGCCGGTGATTTTTTCACCGCCCCGAGACGGGCGGCTGATGACTGAACCCGTTACCATATCTGGCCGGTCCGACACAGCTAGCTCATCGAATGTTCAGTATTCTTCTTGTACGTCCTCCTCTCCCGGCGGAAGTTCCAACTCCAAAGAAGATCATTTTTATTACTCCGACGAACTCTCCGGGCACCTTGATTTCTGTAACGATGTTGATGGAGATGGCGTAGTCGACGGTGGGGATCCGGTTGATGGTAATCATGATGTGCACAGAAGCGGCGGTGGCAGCAGGTGTTGCAGCAGCAGCTCAAACGGCGGCGTGAGTGGAGGATATGATGATAGTGATGACGTTGAATGAACAGTGGAATGGATTTTAACTTTACTTTGTACCAAAATTACCGTTCCTTTGGGAATGGTTTTAACTGTTTTCTTTTTTTCTTTCCTGATTTATTAACCCAAGAAAATTAAAAATATTTGATAATAAAAAGGGTAAAAGCCAAGAAAAAGAAAAAGAGAGAGAGGGCTGCTACTGGCTATGGAGACTGGTAAAAGAATGGCTGGACCGACCAATCCGGGTTGATGTTGAGCTCCGAGCCCTAATCTCAGAGAAACCCGGACTCTATTCTTCTGCTTTGATGAAATCTGAAATCTTATGCTTTAAAGTCTGCTTTTTCTTCTGTTGCCAATCCATGGCTAAAGATTGTGTCATATGGTTGGCTGGCTTCCTGGCTTTTGCTAGTTATTGATACTATTGTTGATGTTGAGAACTGAGAAGTTGGGCTTTGTTTTTTAGTAGCTTTTTTTAGGCTTCCTTTCATTTCTAGTATCATTACGTCCCCTGTATAGTTTCTCTTCTCTAATCTTTCTCAATATATGAAACATTTGCCACTTCCCTCAACTTTATTGGAAGAATACCCAAGGTACATATCCCTATGATTTTGTTTGTTGTTTTCATTTGTTTAACTCACTTAAATCTCGTCCAGTTTTAAGTTTTATGGATTGATGTGTTTTTATGATTGTGTCTTATTTTTATCAATCGCTGCGAGACGATTTCACTAAATAAATGAATTTATCTTTATTTTTCAAAAAAAAAAAGTTCAATTACTGAACATGAATAAAGTAAATTATCATCTCCAAAACTGTACCACCATGTTAAAAAAAATTCAATCAAAGTTCATACACTTAAAATTCGATATAGCAATGTGAAAAAAAGAATGTATTAATTACAAAACTTGTTTTCCACAACCGTTCTCTTGCAGATTTTCATTTCTCGGGACTTAAAAGACCATTTCTTTTTTACTTTTCAAAAGCATACCATTCGTTTTCAAGAGTTCAATACCATTTATGGTAAAACAAAAAGAAACCTTTTGGCACAGGAGATCAGAATAAGAGGAGCGGATTGATTTTCTTCAATGTCAAATAATTCAATTGAAACATTGCAGTCAAGTCAAATGAGAATATTGATATATAGTTATAAATTTGAAAACTGAGTCAGGGAGGGAGAGGATGATCCAAAAAGAATGCCCTATTTCTGGTAGGTATCAGGGAGTAATCCAGCATGTAGTGTTCTTTACTGGAAAACAAAATTATTTATTCAGATCTCTGTATGTATCTTCATCATCCACCCATCAGTTTCTTGCTTTTGGGACATCAGAAAGAGAGAGAGAAAGAAAAAGTGAAAAAAGGAGAGCGGGTTTTGGTTTGCCTGCCCCAGCATTGAGGAGATGAGGTTTTAGGGTTATGACTTGTGAGAAAGTGTCAGGGAACAGATGAATGACCACTGGATCAAACAATGTTCTCCTCTTCCTTGGATGATGATTTAGGGCTCGGTATTCCATATACTGTGTCCGCATTTCCAAATATTTTGCTAGTAATTCATTCTTTGCCACCTAGGAAAACTATTGCTGACGTGGCAGAGACATTGATTAGTAGGTTAACAATGTTGTCTCTTCTTTGTTTATCAGCACTATATGACTAGAAATATGTAAAAAATATTTCATTTATCGTCATATTCTTGGCAAGTTAATATTAAGATAAATTATTGAGGGTGATGATGGTAGTTGTAAATCAATTGTTTGCTAGTCGTAGAGTCAATTTACTTTTCGGAGAAAAACAACTTTTAGTAATAGGATGAAATCGTGACGAGACGCTCCCAGTAAGGTTCATGGTTAAGATATTAGTTCAGGTTCGGTATATTCATATCGTAAAGAAAAATGATATATGTTCCAAAAAATACATAATAATGTATTGTCTCTATTCTAAAAAATAATCAGCATTGAATTTATACAAAATATAAAATTTAACGCGAGCCATTTTTTTTTAATAAGGAGGAAGTTGAATACTGAATAATGTGGTACGTATGTTATACATAACAATTGTCATTGTTAGAAATATTTTCTTGGCTTTTATTGTTCAGCTTGTTTTTGGTGATTTAGAGAGACTCGCGGGAAATGGTGGCAAAAATTGTGTCCGAAAACCCTTTAAAAATTATACGACCCGCTCCACTGTCCTGAAACCAACAGCTTTCTGTGTTCGCTAGAGACTGGGCCCGCTCGTCAGTTTCCAGTTGAACGCCACCCAGTTCTTTGTTTCTCTCCTTTCTGCGAAAAAACACTTTCGTACTCCGGTTGCCATTAATATCCAGGACCCTTTTTTTTCTTTTTTCTTTCTTTCACATCTTGCCCTTCTTTGGGGTTTTGACACGTGAACCACTGCGATCCAACTAGATTTATGGAGGGATGTCAATATTTGAGTTCTAGTTTTGAAGAATTAATTAATAGCACTCAATTTAACAATGGTCCCAAATTAATCAATTAACTGACCAGCACAAAACTTCAGTTCAGGTTATCATCAACCTTAACATATACCTTCACGTATATATAATCAAGCAGGGGTATGAGACAGTTTTACCTTTGTTATTATACAATGAACCTGTTTTAACTCAAGTCATAATCAATATATAAGAAAGAAACCTCGTACGTTATCGCGCATGTACTTTGAAATGATCAAGTGTCATCTTGTTGAATATATCCCTGGATTTAGCTAACTTAAGGTGTGGTTATAGTTGAATTAATATATCAACTTGTCACAAATACTCCAAATTAATTGTTGATAATCTTTTACAAATCAATTCAAATCTATGAAAATTGAAAAGAAAATTTGGAAGTCCACAGTTTGCTTTTTGATTATTGTTGGTGCTCTTTTCTTTTTCCCCCTCTAAAGATTGATCAATCTGATGAAAAGAATAATTACCCTGGATCCGAGGCATGTGTAGCTGGTTTGTTCTTTTTAAAGGATGGAAGTTGCAGAACTCGTGCTCATTTTCGGCAATAGGATAGGTAGAATCCATTATCTCTCTTTGGATAGGAGTATCGTTGGTATGCAGAAAGAAAATTCATCGTTGTGACTTGCAAATCGGAGGATCGGAGGTTTGGCGGAGGCGGCGGCGAAGGCGGAGACGGAGACACAGACGGAAACGGGAACTTAAACGGGTTGGTTTGGACTTGGACGAAATTAAAACAAAAACTCTTACACAAAACGACATCATTTTGGTCTCTTGACATAATAAGACTAGTGTTGTCAACGAACCGAGCACTTTGCGAGTAACTTGGTTAAAGCTTGGCTTGAATTCGGTTTTAACCGAACTCGAACCGAATCGAGCAGATCGATTAAATAGACGAGTCGATCACGAGTATCAAAATACTTGATTCGAGAACTCGTCGAGCCTATTTGAGTTTATTATGAATAACACTTAATTCACAAACATTTTTCTTTTTATTCTTTAAAAATTATTGTCCACTATAATTTGAGGCGATAATGGGATATACATATTTTTTATGATTTGTCAAAGAATTTTTCCCATAAAACACATAATTTGAACTTGTTAAATTAAAAATGACAAATATTAGAATTTATTTAAACTCAATATTATCAAGTATTTGAACTCAATATTTATCGGACATAAAAACTCGAACCAAACGAGCCGAGCGCGAGATATTTATTTTTATTTGAATCAACTCAAACTTCGATTTAGATGTTCACCAAAATTTTCATTGAACTCAAGTTCCAACACCTAACTATTTGAACTTGGCTCGGTTCATTGACAGCCGTAAAGAAGGCAGAGTTAGGGTGGACAGTGGATCTGCTCTCGGAAAATCGGAATACAGAAACGTTACGTTCACATTTTAAAATATAAGATATTCAAAATTAGAACCAGTCTTGTCTCAATTCCTATGGATATTGAAGTTCAAAAAGGACATTGGAGTGGTACTAGTAAATTCTAGAGTGGTTTTCATTTCCCTCCTCAAGTAGGGGTTGATAGGGGAGAGGGGATTTGATAGAAGTGGTCAAATCAGATGAAGGGAGTTTTGCATTTCAGTTCTCACAAAAAAACAAGTCATGAGGGAAGAACAAAGATCAATTTCCCCGACTACACCCACTTTTGGTCCTTTGATGCAGACAAATATTAACACATACGAGGAAAATGAATCATAACTAGGCACCCTAAACCGAGAGACAAAGAGATAGAGATTGCTTGTGGCGGTAAAGATAATAAAATACTCTAGGGAAGAGGAAAAGAAGTGAAAATGTCAAAAATCATCATCATTGCCCCTTGGTACTCTCACTCTACCTCTCTAGCTATGCTAAGTAGTAGTAGTAAACTTTTTTTGCACTACTAACCATACTATTTGCCATTTATAGACTCAGACATTTCGACGGCTGTTTTTATTTACTGCTAACCAAGTACCAAATAAGTCCGAAACTACACGAAAAAGATATTCCATCATTCCATTTTATCTCTTCTTCTTCTCCTCTCTTGCACACATTTGCAATTTGAAGCATGCTTATCCATCATTGAACGTTCCATCATTCCCATCCATTTTTAAGTATAGCTAGTATGATTAAACATTATTCAAATGGCATGGAGATTGTGAAGTGATGTGGTGTGATTTACTGATTGTTCAAATTTAATGATTTAAAAATGATGTTCGGTTCAATTAGTAAATATAAACATTTGCTAGAAATTATTTCATTATATCGGACTGCTTTAAAAAAGAAAATTCAATTTTGAAATTGATATTAGTTAAAATAATAAAATATCTTATTTAAAGTTGGATTAATTGAAAATTAATGTTTAGATTGGGGTGTGAGGGTTGGGTGAGGTGGTTAAGAAATTAGGATGGGGAATAATTACCAGAAAGTCGAGGATTCGATTCTCACTGGGCCATTCAATTTTTTTTTAGAAAAAAAAATTTAATGTTTAAATTATCGAACGTGTCATTATTAAAAAAATTAAAAACACTGAAAAGATTTATAATGGGCAGGTTGGAAATGACATTTCACCTTTGAGGACTGAAGATAATGATGGGAAGAAATTGGCAAGTAGCAGTATGATTTAATAACAGCAAATCCAACTCAGCATTACTGGGAAAGAACAAACACCGCAGTAAATTACCGGTTGGGTTCAACATTCTTCACAATTACTGCTTACGGCGGGCCTTACAGCACAACTTTTACATATTTCAAAAATAATCATATGCCTCGTAAATGGAAGAATACATGCAAATTAACAGCTGCCCTAGAACTACCTTTCTCCTGCTCCCTCTTCATTGAATGCCTTGTGTACAAGATTCTCGATATCTATCCAACTCAATATCAACGGGGATGATCGAAATGGTTCACTAATCTGGTGTACATGTTATTTACTGCATTGAATTAGTTTTTATGTGTTGATAGATTGGAGTGTTTTTTTTGTGTGTGAACTATATTTACTGCATTAAATTACTTATTTGTTTATTTTTAAAAAAAAAAAAGAAACAGGCAAGCTAGCTAATTTAAGAAATTGGTTCACCAGTGAAAAGGCAAACAAGAAACTGAAAAGGCCAGAATATGGGGGGCTAATGACCCAATAAACCCGACAAAGAAATGAGATTAAAAGTTATTGTAATCAAAGGCATTAACCTAAAAAGTGAAAACAAAAAGAGGGTGTAAGCCCCATGATGGTTAACTTTTCGCGAAAAATCCCCCTTTTATTAATCAAATTAACTAAAACTGGGCTTATTTCTGTCGTTTCGTTAGTAGCCACTGCCCATTTTCTTTTTCCGATGGTTTTCTCAGGAATAATATAAGATTAACTGTCCTATCCCAACATAACTTTTTACATTTTTAACAAAAAAAACACGTAAAACACACACACTAAAAAAACGAAATAAACATACCCTAGTGATTATTGTTTGGATGGTTTTAAGATTTAAAAACGGTTTTAAATTTTTTTTGACCAACTATCTAATTGTAATATTTACAGTTGGACGAGAAAAGATTAATACACCAGTCAATTTAAATGGAGGGTAAAAAATGACTTACGACATTAAAAAAAAAAGAAGAAAAAAACTGCAAAAAACAGGAGTTTGACCGGAACAGTGAATTGAGTACAAAACAAACTGGGATGGGGACAAAGGGTCAAAGATTTTGGAGGCTTAAAAAAGAGGACATAGGAGAGAAGGGTTTCAGCACGATTTGTCCACCTCCACCATGCGCTTTTGTAGAACTCTGTAGCAACGCAACCGTACGGGGATTTTGGCTTTTTCTGCTAAGCTTTTTTTTTTTTTTTTCGTTTACTTTTATAACTCGTTTATTAGATTATTAAGAAGCTCTCTGCCTAAATCAAATCTTATGTCCCTTTCTTTTAGTTGATCAAGACCACACGGTTGGCCTTTGGTCCCCCACCTCAAATTAATCCATTTAAACAATTACGATAGTGATACACTTATTATCGAGTGTTGTTCGTTTTAAAAAATATATTATTATTTCTTTCGTGCTAAAAAAAAAATCATTTAAATGATACAATATCATTATATATATTAAATGAAACAAAAATAAGCGACACGTGTCGCTTATTGAAACCATCAAGTCTCATTTTAACTTATTTTCATTTTATCCCTTAAAGTTATATTTATGTGCTACTTAATTATTAAGTTTATCTATTTTATATTTCTAAGGACGGTTAATTTTGTCTAATCCCCAAAGTCCCTTTGCCTATAAATAAGCTATAGGCATCTAGATATAATTTAAGTATTTTTTAAATATATTTTTTAATCCAAACATAACATTAGTTAGTGGTGATAATTTTTATTATACAACTTTTGAAAATCTTTGTTGTAATATTTTTTGCCAGATCCTACAAATATACGTATTATAAATAATATCAATACCTCTCATTGATCTAAAATTGATTAATCAAAAAAATATTACAGTTTTAAGAAATATTAACAACTACATTATCTAATTAATTCTTTTGAAATATAAATTTTCAACATTAACAAATCCGCGCAACACGCAAGACACGTACTAGTATGAATAAAAGTTGATGATAATATAAATGGTTAATTTAGTTGATTCTATATTTTTTTAGTAGAGAAAAATAATTTTTATGGGGGCTTTTCGGAGTAATCTTTAGGTGTAATTTTTATGGGCTAATTAAATGTACGTATTCTTAGCTGTTTTTGAATTTTAAAGGCAAAAATAAAAATTTCAAAAAATTATCTAAAATTAAACTTGAGGTGCACTTCCAAACAATTCAATATGTTCTTACTTTTCCACGAGAAGAAAATTTTATATAATATATAATTATTCTAACCAAAGAAACCTAATTAATAAAATATTTTTAGATATTCCAACAAAATTTATCATAATTAAGTAATAACGGGATATATACAAATTTTCTCCTATGAAAAAAATTCAAATGAAGTCATAATAATCATAGTTTTAATTTTGTTAATAGTTGCATGAATAAGATTGGCGGACAATCTTTACTTTAAATTTCGTGATTAGAATCCACGTTTCTTAATCGTATAAATAGTTGCCTTAATTAACGTCAACGTTGATGTATGCTTCAATGAAATATTATAAATAATTTTGAAGTCGCATAATGGCATTAGATTTAATTTATTCTAATAATAATTTTTCAAATACTTCAATAAAATACGAATATAGTGATAACATTTAGCACAATAACCCAAAAAAGTTATCTGTTTTTCTATAATAAAAATAAGCTTTATTAAGATGAGAACCATTACAATGGTACAAGTTGATTCAGGGTAGCCTTGAACAATATGTAAGAATTAAAATTGCATGTAAATCTTTATTTCATGTCATATAATTTATATATACAATTCGAACTCTAGGTAATTAAGGAAAGGAAAAATGTGAGTCACATGTGGGTCGTTTTCCGAATTATAATGAAACGTGTCTTTTTAAGTTTGAAAACTTGATTTTTTTTTATTTTTTTTTTAGCGCTGCAGATGCGCTTCTTTTTTCTCTTTCATTTTTTACCCCTTTTCTTTTAGCATTGAATTTTTTATTTATTTATTTTTTTTTGCGTTTTGTTAAATTAACATGTGTTTTTATTTATTGTGCAAAAGAGATATACATCATATTAATAATTATTAATGAGATCTATACATTAAAATTAGTATTGTACTCGTATTTTTTTGATAGAAACTATCAAATGTATAACCATACCAGTAATTTATTTAAAAAATGAAAGGTATTAATTATGGGTTAACAATTTTTTTTTGATCAAATGTATAAATAATTTTTGAACTATACTTGAAATTTTTTTACTAAAAATTATGTAAGTTTTCAAGAAGTTGAAATATATATTATTCCATATGTAATTATATACTAAAAATAAAAATAATTAATTAGCACTATGTATTAATGTTAATCTATACATAAATGAATGGTTTTTACTTTCAACTATATAAAAATTTTCCACTAAAACCCAAAAGGAAAACTAGAGATTAAAAATTTATAAAATAATAAAAAGGAGAGAAACAAGGATGTTTTACATGTTACTTGTGAGAATTCCAATCATCACGTTAATATTTCTTACGTAATAATAATAAATTTTTTTTTCCACAAGTATGTATGTATATAAAATTAATATATATTACTCAGACAACAAAAGTTTTAATATAAATGTACATCATAAATTTATTTTTTTATCTTATATATATGTAAGTAATAAATTGCTTTGATTTATAAAATTAAGTATTTCTTTTATTCAATGAAATAAAGTACTAAATTATAGTTAGATAATAAAAAACTAATTCTAATTCTAGATTTTATAAATTTATAAAGATCCAAACACAAGAATTGGTATTAGAACCTTAATTCTAGTCAATTCTTGAGATCTTCCAAACGAAAGAATTAGGATTGAATTGCAATATTAATATCTCATTAAATTTTAATTTAATAGTATTGTAATTATAATTTAATTACAATTCAATTTAACCAAACGGAGCCTTAATTTTATTATAATCCAATACAATACATTACCTTTCTGGGCCATTTTTCATGAATGCAGCTTAATTTAATATATACATACAGACGTTAAGGCCTGTTACACTCTTGCTCTCTCTTTTTTGGGTGGGAAATAGTGGGCTTAAAGCCTTCAGTTTCTTTTTCGTTTTCCGTTACTTTAAATTGCATAAATGAAGGCCTCGATTAGAAGAAGTTCAATACTATTACTATGGGCTGGACTCGGACAATTCTACAGTTGTGAGTTAGCTCGTTTCAATGTGTAACAATTTGAATTCTTTTTAGATTTCAGCTCTTTTATTGTACTACTCACTCCGGCCCTCATGACATTTTAATTTATTCTAAATTTTATTTATTATATTTTTTCGATTGAAAAGAAATTTAAAAATACATTTTCTTGAATGTGTTCACTTAATTATTATGAAATATTTTTAAGATTTTTTTTTTCAATTAGAAAATACTAGATGAAACATAATACAAATCGAAATGCCTTATAATAAGGATTGAAGGGAGTATATAAATACACAGAGAAGTAGTTGAAAGATATCAAATAACAACCTTTATTGATTCAAACCAATACAACAACTAACAGTAATATAGTAGTAGTAAGTACAACATAAATCTGCCTGGAAATGAAATGAAATGTTCCCTCATAAACCCTCTTTCCTTCCTTTAACAAACTGCATAACAGATTACATCTGAGCATAACACAATCTGGTAATGAAATTCGAGTCTTGATTCTCTAGAGTTCATCTTTAGTTCCTGGAGCTGGCGTCGGGTTTGAGGATGTTTTCACAGGATAAGAAGCCTCCATAGCTAACCCACAAAGGCCTTCTGCTGCATCAACACCTCTTTGCATCCTGATGTAACCTTGTTCTCCCCATCCCTCTCCCCACGAGTTCTTCACTATCCAGTATTTCGTTCCATCCAAAGTCGTTCCATACCCGACAATGGCCACCCCATGATCAAGCTCCTTCCCGCAGTCTCCACTGAATACTCCCTGCAAATTTTTTCAGTGATCCATTGTTAAATTACCATAATGCATGTTTTTCACCTAGATTTTAAAATTTTCTTCAGAAGGGAAATGATGGCTAATTTTGTACCTCTGAGTAGAATTGCAAGTCAGAGCCTGATGCATCCATTGCGATCGATACTGGCTGATTGGCGACGGCTTTCATCAAGGCATTCTCATCGTTTGCAGGTACCATTTCATGCCCGTCAATAGTCACAACTGGTGCATTCATCTGCATATACATAAACAATCAAGTCAATTGCGTGCTTACATTAACAGTTCTGAGGTTTGTGTGAGAATTTCTACCTTTGCCAAATCACAGTGCCCATCTCTTGCTGTGTACGGATACATGCGCTCAGTTGTGATTCCTCCACTTTTTTTAATGAACTCGTATGCGTTTTCCATGAGGCCTCCATTGCAGCCTTCATTGTCGCGTTCGCAGTCCACGAGTTCTTGCTCAGATAAAGAGACTAGTTGGCCAGTTTTTAGCTTGTTGATTCCCTCTACTCCAACTACAGTCGAGAACGCCCAACAGCTACCTATAAAACAAATCACAAGCACATTATATTTTGTATTAGAAAGTTAAAAATTTGTAAACACATGTAGATTGAGAATTGAGTGAAACTCTCAATAAGCAAAGCAAAAAATGGTGAGTGAAACATTAAATACAGAACTAATCTACAGAGCAACCAGGACACTGATGTTTTCGTTTGGAGGAAGGAAAACTTACCACATTTGCCTTGATTCTTGACACCAGTGACAGCACCTTGCTTTCTCCAATCAACAGACGCCGGCGGATTTTCAGTATTGGCATGCATGAATCCAGTTTCGCTGCGGCTTCCTTTGAGCATCCTGAAATGTTTGATCTTGGAGCTGTAGAAATCTCTGAACTCATGATTGGTCATATCAGCAAACTTGTTGAGCTTCAACTTGTAGGGCTTGTCCATCTTGTTAACCTTATGAATGTGATGGACATTGGCCTTGAAGACATTGAAACGTTTTTGTTTCTCAGTAAGATCTCGAGAAACAGTATGCTGACTTCTCCATCTTTCGTACAAATTCCACAAATTTTCATCAGAAGCCAAATCCTTTTCTGTGATTTCTAAACTGTTTGCGACACCGATGAACACGGCCAGCAAAACAGCAAACAGGAAAACTTTTCCCATTTTCATAATCAATCAGTAACTAAGTCAATAAACTTATGGTCATCAACAAAATGAGCTAATAATGTTTGAAGAGTCTGGTTTAAAACTCAGTTCATGGGAAAGCCTGTGAATGTAGCCATGCTTTTTATAGGTGAATTTCAGGATATTACACGACATGAAATCCTGGTCATGGCTGAGACTTGGGTCTCAGCAGTATACAAAAAGGCTTCAGAAATTGAGGAGAAAGTCGGCTTCTTTTTCATAAGGCAGTTCTGCTATTTTTAGAATTGGGATTGTAATCTAACGGGAAAGAGTATTTGCTGAACTTGGTAATCACGTTTATTGTTAGTTTGTTCAGAAAACATGACGAAAAAGCTTCTCGCAAGTAGGCTTTCTAGGCATGGTTTCTATCCTTCCAGGGGACAATTAGCTTTTTCAAACTCAAGTAACTCATTTATATATGAATCATATACGGACATCGTAATATATGTATATGAATCTTTTAGCATTTGCAAACACCATTTTGCACTGCCGGCTATATATATGAATCATATACAGACATCGTAATATATGTATGATCATCATCATATCCATTACAATGTATGGATTAAAATTGGGGAGCTTGCATTAATGCATGGCCGCAGAAACTTAGAAATTGACGGTATCGATGTATATGGGTACCATATTGGTAATGTCAATTGCATAAGGTAAAGCTAAAAAGAATCCGAAAATGCACAAGGTTTCGATTTGTTTCCCATCTCATTTTACTGTTTAATCTCTCCAACAATTTTACTACACAACCTCATACCAAACTAACCAAACGTAGTGGTAATCTCATCAACATTAACACAAACAAATCAATCGAAAAGTGAAGAGCTTCTGCTGAAGACATGCATCATACTACAATTGTCCAACTAAACCACCTAACAAGACAATATGGAGGCATGCAGAAAGAGACCTCAAAGACGATGCATCCAGTCTCCTGTTCCATATCTAGTATGAATTCAAAATGAAAGCCGCACCCAAACTTCCTTAACAACTCATCTTAAACAGAAAGTAGCATATAACAGTTGTAAAAAAGAACAAAAAAACAAATAAATCTCAATCATCTGGGCATAACAAGCCAAAACTATACTAACAGCAACACACTTTGGAAGTGCTCAACAGATGCCAAAACTGAAGGATAACAGATCAAACGCTTCTCTACATCTGTACTGTTAGCTTGATTTACTTCTCATAAAGTGGACATGCAATAAATTCATCAAACTGAAACCAAAATGTGAAGAAAATGGTCTACACTAATCCTCTGAGAACTGTAATAGGTGTTCTGCAATAGAGTTCAGTGTCAAACTTCAAATGCTAATCAAATGAATCAAAAGCATAATCTATTCAGCTGCAAGCACTAGTTGTTCACTATGAGAATACTTGGCGATGTGTAATAAAGTATACTAAACATTGGGCTTCAAGTAGAGTAATCAAAATAGAACTAGAAATTAACAGTAGCAGTGCTGACCAGAAACCAGCTCAAGTACCATAGAATTCAGCTTATTATCAAATGAAAATAGGAAAGCCGTCTTGTAAGTACAAGTACAATTGAAACAAGGTTCATGGCCGATAATCCCAGAATCACAATGACGAAAAATCACATCTTAGGATAATTGGGCGACTGTAGATATAACAGTTTCAATGGAGGAAAAGACATGAAGAAGAGAAGTACATGACATTTAAACAAAAAAGGGCTTCTGATATCAAACATTCTGAAGCTCAGAGAATAGAATCCCCTCGTTCTTGGTTCTGTCTCAACAGTTCCTCCCTAATCCTTTTAATCTCAGCTTCCTTTGCCAGTTTCTCTTTCTGTACACAAGGATAGGAAGAAAAGTTAAAAATACGAACAACACACACACACACACACACACACAAAGGACGCATTGCATATGCCAAGTCAAAACACCAGGAACACACATAAAAGGGCAGTGATCCCAGAACTCATACATAGGAGATTAGGCCTTATTGATAATCCGAAGTTACAAATAAGATTAATTGACTCATTTCCGCGAAAATCCATCGCAAACACAGAACCACATCAGCAAAACAAAAGAGAGGGATCTAATAGCACCAACTAGTTAAAAGAAAGCATTTTTCACCAGTAACCAAGTAAACCTCATCCAAGAAGATGGAAAACCACAAAATTCGACCTAGGAAGAAATTTCACATCTTTCTCAATTTAATAGCGAGAAATCAAACAGAAAATGAGAATCCCAAACCAGTTCCACGACACAAAGATATAGTCTTTAAAGGATTCCATTTCATGATTCTTCAATTTACCAAAAAAAGAACGAGAAAATTTAACAAACAGTAAGTGAACATGTAGAAAGTATAGGGCGAATTCATTGAATTGATTAATGAAGAAGCTAAGACCTTTTCGTCTTGGTGGAGAGCGATCCAGACGTGGACTTTGTCCATAGTTTGCCAGAATGCGAAGGCCCCAAGTGCCATACCGAAGAATGTTACCACTCTCACCATGATTTTCTTCTGTTCTTCTCCGCTAATTGGAATCTTCGAACCCTAATCGGAATGGCTTAGCAAGTTTGTTTGTTCCGTTTGAGGTTTGGACTGTACACGTTTTAACCGAATCAGGCTGGCAGAGACGGAACGCAGCGTTCCATTGGTGTTTGGAATTGGGGAAATTTTAATTTATTTAGGTATTGCTAAACGCAGCTTGATTTTATTTCGCGCAGCTTGTAAAATAGACTAAAATATCCCTATAAAGCTGTGTGAAGTAAAATCAAGCTGTAGTTAGTAATAATCATTTTTTTAGACTTCGATATTCAAAATTCCAAGTTCGTTGTTTCATTGCTCTAAACCGAACAACAAAACTAGAATCACACTTGTAGTAAAAAGTCATTCATGGGAATTTCTTAGACAAAAATCCGATCAAATCAAAGCTGCCGATCACATCCAAAAAAAAAGAAGAGGAAAAAAAAGATCGTATTAATGTAAATACGATCACCCATTTCACACACAAAAAAAAAAAAAAACGATTGGTGATCACCGATACTAAAACTAAAAATTTATCCTAGAACATTTCTCAAAAAAAAAATAAAAATTAACAAAAACAAAAAAAATCTACTAGAGCCCATAACCCCAAAGCCGCCCAATTAAAAAAATTCGCCCAAAATTCACCTCATTTTCTCCTCTTTCACATGTTTTTCGGTTCTCTGATGTTAAAACCATAAAAAATTGTTAAATTTTGACTGTCTCTTAAAAGAATATGTGTGAAGTTGTAAAAAAATATGATCTGAAAAAAGATTTGGGAAGATTTTTGGTTCAGTGGTATTTTAGTCTATTTTACAAGTTGTGCGAAGTAAAATTAAATTGCGTTTAGCAATCTACTTTATTTACAACAAAAGTGAAATGCATCGAATTAGTACAAATTACACATTAGTTTCCTGTTCAATTTGTGAAATGACAAAAATTCATTCATCACAATCAGACTTACATTTATTTTAATTTATTAATACTACTGATTACTAGAATTGTGTTGGACATAATTTTCGAATATATACTAGTTATATTAGATGTGTTTTCCACGCCCTCTAATAATTCTACATTGATACAAATCTTGTCAAAGTATATGGACAAACAAATTTATTCAATAAAATATTCTTATAATCATACGTACTCAATATATTAATACATATGAATGATAAAAATTTTTTTTACCTGAAAATTTTTGTATTCTTAAAGTAAATACAAAATAGGCATCGATGAATCTTTCAGTTAGTTTTAACTTTTAAGCATATCTATAAACATCATACATGTATTTTGCATAAGATCTACAATAAATAGTAAAGCAACTGTTCTAAGAGTTCATTTTTATTTCCAGTGATATATGTTAACAATGCATGTACTCCCTCCCCCAAAGAATAACTTTTATTAGGACTTGAACCGGTCTTGGATGATATTTTCAGATCACGAATCAAATTAATACGGTATAGTTGATTTAAGAAATGGAAAAAGTTGATGATCGTTTTGTTTCTATGGTACTCCGGGCTATTGTTTTGTTACGTGCGTCACGCGTTGCAATTTTTTATTTATTTTTTAGTTAATGTACTTAAACACAATTAAGAATAACTGAAAAGATATATTTACACCTTTAAAAAAAAAACTACGCTTTACTACGGATCACCATATTGCCACTGCCATAAATCCGGCGAACTGATGGAAAATTCAACCAATAAATTAATTCTTAAGCCAAAGAGAAAGTTATTGGAAATTTTTTGTACCGGAAAAAAAAAAAAGGTTCTTGGAAACTTTTGATGGTAAAAGAAAAAGTTGAAAATTGAAAACAGAAACAAACATTCAACACATCAACTGGAGGAGCAGTATTTGTTTGACACAAAAACAATCTTCCAAAATCCTGCAAAAGTTATTAATTTCTTCTGCTATTGTGAAACAAGTCAGTTTAAGACTGCACCCATGAACCAGAATAGTTGTGCCGGTCCATTTCGTTGGAGGTTAAATTGCCTTTTTTTGGAAACGAGTATCTTTCCACACTATTGCCCTAGGTTTGGCCAAACAATAAATATCATCCTTCATAACACAAAAACAAGATTAGTCCGTCACTAACTGATACCATAATAACTAACATCAACCAAAACTAGTTCGACAATCGAATCCAAAATTCACGAAATCATACACCAACAATTTGGTCATATAATTTGATCATTTTTTTCAACATCCAGCCGTCTACGTAAACTCTAGTCCTTTTGATGATCGCATAAAAATGTGATGTGCTTGAATGTTACATTATTCGTTTCGAAAAAAAATTCATAAGCGAAATACTTTTCAACAAAGAAAGAATTCATTGCTATTCCCGCGCTGTTTGTAGTCCGTTAGTGGGATAAAAGATGGGTCGAAAAGGACTCAGTCCAAGTTTGGGCATCCAAACTACATATTTGGACTTCTTCAGCAACCAATCAAACTGTCGTCAAAGAAGTAATATATTCTAATGCTTGGACGTTCTATACCAACATATATACTATATAATATATAATCATTGAAATTCCATCTAATTACTATTCGGCGAACTAAATGAGGATACTTTATCTTGTCCTGATATGAAGAAATCTAGTTTGTTTCACTTGTTCCTGTTTTGCTATAAATACTCGACCTTATTTCATCATTTTAAATCATCGCACTAGCTTCACTTCCATCACATCTCATTTTGATTTAGTAGCTTTCGAAAGGTAAAAAAAAGGAAAAGGAAAAAATGATGGAGTTACTCATCCAATATCTTCTGCCATTAGTCTTGTTTCCGTTATCATTTTTAGCCATATTTTTCTTCAACAAGAACCGGAGTGATTCCAAAAGCTCGAAAAATCTTCCACCGGGAACAACCGGATGGCCAATGCTCGGAGAAAACATCAACTTTGCATTAGAAGGGTCGGAGAAATTCGTCCGCGATCGGATGAAGAAATACTCTCCTGATGTGTTCCAAACCTCTTTGATGGGAGAAAAGATGGCCATCTTTTGTGGTCCTCAAGGCAACAAATTTCTCTTCACAAACGAGAACAAACTTCTCACTTCATGGTGGCCTCAATCCATGAAAAAAGCTTTGCTTTTCCCCGAATTCGTCGAAGAGTCGTTGAAGGAAGTATCCGCTTTGAAACGCAGTTTTATGCACGAAATCCTCAGGCCCGAAGCCCTGAAGCAGTACATTCCCGTGATGGATTCTTTGGCTCGTCAGCATATCGAACAAGAATGGACTCCAAATAATGAAGTGAAAGTTTTTCCGCTGTCCAAAAAATACACCTTTGACTTGGCTTGCAAATTGTTCATGAGCATTGAAGATCCAGCCCACATCAAGAGATTGGCTGATCCCTTCCATCTTGTCACTAACGGGATGTTTTCGGTGCCGATTGATCTGCCCGGAACTGCTTACAACGGCGCAATTAAAGGCGGAAAAATGGTGCGCGCCGAGCTTTTGAAGATTATCAGGGATAGAAGAAAGGAGATGTCCGAGAAGCAAGAAACGGAAGGACGGGATCTCTTGTCGAAAATGCTTCTCGTCAAAGATGAAGAAGGGAAATTTATGAGTGAAATGGAGATTTCCAACAACATTATAGGTTTACTTGTGGCCAGTTACGAGACTACTAGCAGTGCCGTCACCTTTGTCTTGAAACACCTTGCAGAACTTCCTCATATCTACGATCAAGTCTACAAAGGTACTGCTGCTGTGTTAGTACTTTCCGTTCTAAAATGATTATCTTTTGTATATCCTTTGTTAACAACAGTTATGTTATTTTGCCATTCGTGTAAATTAATAATATTTAATTGGAGACGTTGGAACTGTTTGATTAATTTCTCAGAACAAATGGCAATCGCAAAGTCAAAAGGTCCGGATGAGCTATTGAAATGGGAGGATATTGAGAAAATGAAGTATTCATGGAATGTGGCACGCGAATCGATACGAGTAACACCACCTGCTCAAGGTGCATTCAGAGAAACAGTAACCGACTTCACCTTCGCAGGTTTCACAATTCCAAAAGGATGGAAGGTATATATATATAAATCCTTCGGTCTTTATTATAAAATATTTTTAATTTATTATAAGTTTCACCTACTATGCTTTTCTAATTGAATAAATAATTTTAAAAATCTTTCTGATTATTAGAAGAACACATATTTTTTTTTAAAAAATTCAATAGAAAAAATATTTTAGATAAAATTTAAGATAAATCAAAATGTCTTATTATAATGTCTGGAGGAAGTATCAATTGAACAACATTTTTTGGTTCAAAAAAAAAAAAAAAAAACACACACACAGAGAAACACAAATGTCTCGTATGTTATTCAGTTAGTTAACTAACATTTGGTTGATGTGTAGACGTTTTGGAATGTGTACACGACACACAAGAATCCCAAGTACTTCCCGGAGCCGGAGAAGTTTGATCCGTCGAGATTCGAAGGAAGCGGACCGATGCCATACACATTTGTGCCATTTGGAGGAGGACCACGAATGTGCCCTGGAAAAGAATACGCTCGTTTAGAAGTATTGGTGTTCATGTACAATGTGGTGAAAAGGTTCAAGATGGAAAAGGTGCATCCTAATGAGAAGATAGCTTTCCATGCTTCTCCTACCCCCATGAAAGGACTCCCTGTTCGTCTCCACCCTCATTAGGGTCCCGCCCGCCTCAAAGTTTAATCTCCACAAACTAAAAACTGTTTCATACATAAACTTGGCAAAAAAATATCAACTTTTTTTGGGTTATTTTTCTTTTCAGTTTCTGCATGCATTGCTGTCGTCATTTGTGCAAAGCAATAAAAGGCTTTTTGCCTTCAGCCCCGTTGTAATATTTTTTCCATATATGATTTTTTATGTGACAATTATTGATTCTTACGTATTACAGTATATATATATTTTTAATATATAAAGACTTTTTCGAAGGTTCTCTCGTCAAAACGACGAATTCAAACAGAATTGGATGATATCATCTATCAAACGACGAATTAAATTTAATTTTGAGTGCCTAGCTAGAATCAAACGAAGATCTTTTTATCTTATTTTCTTTTATTGAAAATGAAAATGATTTTCATCAGTTGTGTCGAAAATGGTCCAATATATTCAACTGTGATTGATATAGTCCGAGGATATATTTAATAAAACTTTCCAACAGGCTACAAACTACAAACTTCAACTGATGAATTGATCTGTCGTTTTCATTGTTCGACAAAACCTTAATTTGTAGATCTGGAAACTGAACTATACTTTTGTGGCTTCCTGAAATTACTAGAACGGCAAATCTGAAGAAACTCATTTCCCGAAATTAATTACTAGAACGACGACAAGTTTGAATTTGATAAAAGTTGTGGAAATTAAGAGATCAAAAGTTGGAATAAGCGGAAAGGAATTATGAACCAATTGACAAATCACATCAAATTTTATACTGCTGTAGTATTAAGTTGAAAACGCTTTCTTTCGCAAATTAAGTTGTTGATTTCTTTTTTCTTTTTTTTTTTCTTTTTTTTGCCCTTTGTGAGAAACTAAGCAAAAATGATTATTAATGCGCGCATTGACTAACGGCGCAGAGATTTAAGTGTAATCAGTTTTGTTAACTATTTGTTTCTTTTTTCGTACTTTATTTCTTCTTTTGCGACATTAAAAATGTATTCCAGTCACTTGATGTCTCATCTTCTTTATACATCAAACCAATCACAATATGCCTTCCATGAAATTTTAATCAATTTCCTCTAAAATTATAGACTCCCCAGAAACTATATGTTATAGTACATAATGATTTACGTTATGGGTGTAGTGAATAAGTTCCCTTGAGACGTACGTAACTATGAATCAATTTAACTCAAAATAAATATTATCCCACTCAAAAATCATTCGTGGGCAAATATTTCCTAATAATTACTCTTTCCGTCTCGAAATTATTATTTAGTTTGAATTTTTATTTTTTTTTAATACAAATTGAACTAAAAGTAAAAATGTAATTTTTAAGAAATAGTATCTAGTCAAAATTGTTTGATGGGTACATTACCGAAAATCCAATTATCGCCTTTCTCGGAGTTACAATTGTCTGAATCTTCTTCCAAAGTGATCCTTTTCCCAGTTCCCCCTTACTTACAAGTTCCTCTAACTCTCAATAAGTTACGACACTAATTTGTCTTTTACAGTCTCCGTCCCTAAATGATTTTTTATTTAAACTTTCATTACACAGTAGAATTTCTAAAATTTAATACTGTCAGGATTATAAAAAATTATTAATTTAAGAAATTATTAATTGATTGATAACTTAATAAATTATTAATTTAAAGAGTTTATTTAAGGAAAAAAAGAATTCTTACTAAATTACGTAATTTTTAATTATTTTTACAATCTGAATCAAGCAAGTATTGAAACTTTCTCGATAATAAAATCCATACGTAGTCAATATCATCTTTAAGCATTAAAAAACAAGTACTAATAGTTCATATTTAGCTATTATTATTATTAATATTATTATTATTTAGAATAAATATTAATTTATAATATTACTGATTTTTTAAAATATTTTTATCTTATTATTTTATCGTTTTTCTCACTTTTTTGTACTAGTCTTAAGTTGTGACTAGATACATTTATTAATTACTCGAAATAATTAATTTAGCGATATTAGACATTTGTGTGTATGTAATTTAGCGACGTTTTAATGTAATTGTAACATAAATATATAGTGATATTAAAAATGAACAAATCACCTTATACCATGACTAACAACACGGTTTGTCCCAATCAGAGAATTACCTGCCGTCTACGCACGTTTACTCTTACAGTATCGTTGAATAAGCATAGAAATTAACGAAATTTTGGCTGTTTTTGAAACAACATTCAGATTGAGAAATGATTTGTTTCGTAGTATTTCCTTAATTTTGTTTATTTTTATTTTTTTGGAATTATAATGAGTTCATATTCTCAGTATGATGAATTTCTATATCTTTTATAAATGTGAAACTCTTTCAACAAGTGTATGATTCCCATTTTCTTATGGTATACGTATACTGCTTTGTCGTTTTACTTAGCCATGTGTCTGATAATTAACAATACGCTTTTCTACATATCTTAGATCAAGTCAGACGTATTTATGACCACAAGGGAATGAACTCTGTCAACAATGAAAACTTACAACTATTGGTAACCGATCAACTAATAGGAACAAGAGAATATAACATAATCATAGTTTTTTATTTTTAAATATTTCAAATTCTAAGTAAATTTTAGTGACCAATTTTGCTTGAGAAAAAAATGAATTCTTCTACTGAATTAAGTTAATAGTTTCTTCTCGTTACTTGGAGTTTATTCTCCTTTATTTTATTATTTTTTAATTATGATTGTGAGCAACAAAAACCTGATTTTCGTTATGATATGTAACAATTTTTAGAATTCACATAATTTAATAGGATTGACATAGAATACCCAGTAACATACTGAGATTCTTGATCATTGATACTCCTTCCATCCCAAAATTATTGTACAGTTTGAGATTTCATTTTTAGTGTAGTTTGAATTTTTCACTTTTATAAATAAATAAATAAAATAATTATTGTGATACGAGAAAAGTAAGTGACAACATGTTGGTATAAGATGTGCAAGGATTTTCGTTTGTCCACGAAAAAAGAACCGAAAAGAGAAACAATTGCCGGCTGATAACATAAACATATATGAGAAGAATTTGGGAAAATGACAGTGGTCCGACTTTTTGTATATGTAAATTCCAAATCATCGTTTCGTACAAATTTAATCCCACTTATTCGAAACAAGCCAAATGGATGCCGCATGTCTTAGGACATTATTGTTAAATATATAGAGCAGAATTGCAGGCCATCGTTCTTTCTTGTAATGTGCTCACTTCATTAACGCAACTGTGATGGGAGAAAAGAAAGGAGGCGGCGGTGGCGGGAATATATTCCGATGTGCTGATGGGGTGGACAAGTTACTGATGATGCTCGGTGTTTTGAGTAGCATTGGTGATGGAATGGTGGTTCCACTTATCTTGATTACTCTGAATGGCATCATTAAGAATTATGGGAGCCCTAATGTTTCTTTTTCCAATGAGATCGTCAACAAGGTCCGTAAACAAAATTCTTATTTACGGACGGATACAGTATACTATTTAATTTGCAAGGTTATTAGGCAATGATGAAGTATCAAATTTGTGGTATGGAATGCTGATATTTGAGTCTGTTTGGTACTAACAGTTTTCACTCAGGATGCTTTATGTTGCAATTTTTGTTGGGATTTCAGGTTTTATTGGTAAGTCCCCTGTTCCCAACTTCCACATAGTTTTATTTATATCTTTGTCTTAATTTTCTGATTCATTTTTAATTAACTTTTTTTTTTAATTTTTTTTTTTTAAAAAAAAAACACACACACACACACACAGAGGGTATGTGTTGGACTAGAACTGCGGAGAGGCAAACATCTAGGATTCGAACAGAATATCTGAAATCAATACTGAGGCAAGAAGTTGGTTTTTTTGATAACCAAGATGCTTCCTCTTCAACAACCTTTCAAATTGTCTCTTCCATATCTGCTGATGCTCATACCATTCAAGATGTCATTGCTGACAAGGTCCATTTTCCAATCATATGATGACTACTAAAATGACACATATTTTAAACAGAGTAATTTTAATTTATCTCATAATTCATTCCCATCAAACACTTTATAAGATATCAAATTAATTTTTCAATCTCTTCATATGTAGATTCCAAACACCATTGCCCGCCTCTCGGAATTCCTGGGTGGCAATGTACTTGCCTTCTACCTTTCATGGAGAATGGCATTAGCTTCCATCCCATTTGTAGTTGCATTTGTGGTTCCAACTGTAGCTCTCGGCAAATTATTCATGGGTCTCCAAGCAAGATCAAAAGACACTTATGGCACCGCAGGTAGTATAGCCGAACAGGCGATTTCGTCGATTCGGACAGTTTACTCCTACGTGGGAGAGAATCAAACACTTGATAGGTTCAGGCAAGCTCTTCAGGAATACATGAATTTTGGGATCAAGCTAGGAATCATGAAGGGATTGATGATTGGAAGCATTGGGACAATGTTTGCCTCTTGGGCGTTTCTTGCTTGGGTTGGAAGTGTTCTTGTCATCAACGAAAACGAAAGCGGTCCAAGAGTTTTCATATCCATTTGTAGCGTTACTCTTGCTGGGCTGTAAGTTCTGTACTTCCTCCAATTTTTATTTTATTTTTTTCTTCAGCATTTTGTTTAAGAGAAGAAAAATCATGATTCATTAAAAAATTTCAGGTCTACTATGAGTCTTCTACCTAATCTTCCAATCATCTCAGAAGGGAGTTCAGCAGCTAAACGAATGTTCGAAATGATTGACCGTGTTCCTGAAATAGATACTCAAAGTAGAAAAGGCAAAGTCCTGGATGAAGTAAAAGGGGATATTGAGTTCAGAGATGTTCATTTTCGGTATCCGTCTAGACCAAATACTCCAATTCTTCAAGGGCTAAATCTAAGAATTAAGGCAGGTAAAACTGTTGGTCTTGTTGGAGGAAGTGGTTCTGGGAAGTCCACAATCATAGCTTTGCTTGAGAGATTTTATGACCCAAATGAAGGAGATATTCGACTTGATGGGCACAAGATTAAGAAATTGCAGCTTAATTGGTTGAGGTCTAGGATGGGGCTTGTCAATCAAGAGCCAATTCTTTTTGCAACATCAATTAAGGAGAATATATTATTTGGCAAGGAAGGAGCTTCAATGGAAATGGTTATCAATGCAGCTCAGGCTGCAAATGCTCATGACTTTATTATGAAATTGCCTGCAAGATATGAAACTCATGTAAGTCCTTCATTTTCCTTGAAGACAAATTATCTCAGCGGTTATAAAGTAGTAATGTAATGTTTGCAAAAAATTTCAGGTTGGGCAATTTGGGGTACAATTATCTGGAGGGCAGAAACAAAGGATTGCTATTGCAAGGGCACTACTTAAGGATCCTAAAATCCTTTTACTTGATGAAGCAACAAGTGCTTTAGATGCAGAGTCAGAGAGATTAGTGCAGGAGGCACTTGATGAGGCTTCATTGGGAAGGACTACCGTCGTTGTTGCTCATCGACTTTCCACAATCCGTAAAGCGGATAAGATCGTGGTTCTTCAATCAGGTAACGTTTGGAGATTTATATCCAGCTTATAACTGCTCAAATTCCGTTCTGACATGGTTTGATCTCTACAGGTAGAGTGGTTGAATCTGGTTCACATAATGAACTCATGAAAAAAAGGGATGGTGGAGTTTACTTTCAAATGGTTCAAATGCAGCAATCAGAAACGTCAAATCAAATCACTAATCCTGCTATTACTCCCTACCATGAAAAGGGAACAAGAAGCAAAAGGAGGAGCCCAATTCCCCAAACTCCCAAATCTCCATACAGCGCAAGATCAGGCGGCCAAAATAGCCCATTTTCTCCTTTTAGCCCGGCATTATCCATGTCAAATTTAACTCCTGAACTTTGCTCTTACTATGACAGTGGCAGTGATGAATCTGATGATGATTACAGTGACTTTGGTGGTCAAAGTAATGCGTCGCAATGGAGATTGTTCAAGATGAACGCTCCGGAATGGAAAAGGGCCTTGCTTGGTTGTTTAGGAGCTGGTGGATTTGGTGCATGTCATCCTATTCATGCTTATCTTTTGGGATCACTAGTTTCAGTGTACTTCCTTGAGAATAGTTCAAAAATAAAGTCAGAGACTAGATTTTGCAGCATTATTTTCGCGATTCTGGCTGTGGTGACACTGATATCAAACTTCATTCAGCATTACAACTTTGCTGTGATGGGAGAGCGCGTGACAAAAAAAGTGCGCGAGGAAATGCTTCGAGCTATGTTAACATTTGAAATCGGATGGTATGATCGCGATGAGAATACAAGCGCAGCGATTTGTGCAAGACTAGCCACTGAGGCGAATCTGATTAAATCCCTTGTGGGAGATCGAATGGCGCTATTTGTCCAGGTGTTTGTTAGTGCAACACTTGCATTTGCACTAGCATTAGTCCTTACCTGGAAAGTTTCAATTGTGATGATTGCAATGCAGCCTTTGATTGTGGCAAGCTTTTACTCAAGGAGCGTTGTGATGAAGAATATATCAGCAAGTGGTCAAAAGGCACAGAATGAAGGCAGTCAACTAGCTAGTGAGGCTGTGATCAACCATAAAACAATCACTGCATTCTCTTCTCAAGAGAAAATTTTGAACTTGTTCAAAGCAACATTGGAAGGGCCTAGAAACATGGCCATAAAACAATCATGGATTTCTGCTATAGCCTTGTTCTGCTCCCAATTCGTTAATGTTGCAACAATGTCTCTGACATTTTGGTATGGCGGGCGGCTTATGAATAGAGGTGAGGTGAATTCAAAGCATTTATTTCAGGCTTTTTTCATCTTGATGAGCACAGGTAGAAGCATTGCTGATGCTGGGAGCGTGACAAATGACATATCCAAAGGTAGCAGTGCCATTAAATCAATATTTGCCATTTTGGACAGAAAAACTGAGATTGACCCTGAAGATTTTGACGGGATCAAGGTTGAAAGAGGATCATTGAGTGGACAAATTGAGTTGAAACATGTAGCATTTTCCTACCCATCTAGACCTGAACAAATCATTTTTCAGGATTTAAGCCTGAAAATTGAGCCAGGAAAGAAAGTGGCCCTTGTTGGACAGAGTGGTTCAGGAAAATCCACTATCATTGGGTTAATTGAAAGATTTTATGATCCAATTAAGGGATCAATTGTGATAGATGATCATGATATTAGGAGCTATAACTTGAGAAGCTTGAGATCACACATTGGGCTTGTGAGTCAAGAACCTACACTTTTTGGTGGAAGCATTCGCGAAAACATAGTGTACGGGAAAGAGGACGCGACAGAAGCTGAGATCAAGAAAGCTGCAATTCTCGCTAATGCAGATGAATTTATAAGGTAAACAAATAACACTAGTTCCCTTTGGTGAACTAAAAGTCTTAAACTGTACAAAAAAAAAAAAAAAAATAGACTATTAAAATGGGACAGGATCCAAATACAACTAATCATAAAATTTCTTGTGCAATGCAGCTCAATGAAAGATGGATACAGCACATACTGTGGAGAACGAGGTGTCCAGCTTTCAGGGGGGCAAAAGCAAAGGATAGCTCTGGCTCGAGCCATTTTGAAAAATCCGACGATCCTTCTCTTGGATGAGGCAACAAGCGCCCTCGACAGCGTGTCGGAAAATTTAGTGCAAGAAGCATTGGAAAAGATGATGGTTGGTAGAACTTGTGTCATTGTAGCACACAGATTGTCAACAATACAGAAATCAGACACCATAGCTGTGATCAGGAACGGAATGGTAGTTGAGAAAGGATCACATTCGGATTTGGTTGGACGTCAAGGAGCTTACTATTCACTCATCAAACTACAACATGGACAAACCCCATACAGACAATGATGAGGATGCCAAAGTATTGTTTTTGTGTTAAATGTGAAGTTTTCCATTTCGTCTAGCTCCATGGTTTCATTACGTAAAAGGGGTGTTCATTACAAAATTAAACCAAAGGACTGTTGAATTGAATATGACATTTGGAAATTTGTTCTTTTGGTACGTAATTGAGTTACAAGTTTCATTTGAATCTGCATATACACATACATTAATAATTCCACTGGAAGCTACTGACCACTGATCAGTGATCTAACAATCTTACACAATTACACACTAAAATACTTTCAGTTCTATGAAGATGTTATTCACTCCTTCCCACTAGTAGCAACCTTGTGTCTGAAGCTATTGGTGAGGCCCAAATTCAAAAGGATGCATTCTACATAATTAATCTATAACACATAGTTCAATCTTACTGATATAATAATTGGGTGTCTACAATACAACAAGGAGATTAGTTGTATTGTACACTTTGCAAATAATGATAGATGATCATTATTTTTTTTAAAAAAAATAGTATTAAAAAAAACTTACCTTCTGATTTATCACAATTTTTAATGAAAAACTTAGTTCTGTATTTTTATTATTTATTTTTTTAAAAAATGTAGTAAGTGAACGAGAAGATAAAAATTGTTTAAAGCTTCATTTTCATAGCAATTTTCTTTTTCTTGAGCCTAACGTTTTCTAGTTGTGAAGGCTTAATTTAATTATATGTTACTTTGGCTTATTTATTTGTAAAAGCAATATTCTTTTTGGCTTATGTAACTTCCTAGCTAGTGACCAATGGTGACTGGTCCATGAGAATGAGAGGTAATAAAATGAAATCCAATGTTGAAAAAACTGTATGCTCAGTGTTCCAAAATAATGAACCTATTTGTTATTATATTATTTATTCTGTTTCAAAAAATACTTCATATTGAATTTTGATTTTTGTACTAATGATAGTACAAATATCGAAACTCAATGTGAATTATTTTTTTGATAGATGAAGTATTTTGAAACATTGAAAGCATATAGGTACGTAGAGTGCAAAAACTTATTTTTCTAGAGGAATTATTTAACCCAAATTGTAGCCTTAATATTTTCAACTTTCATGTGAAGACAACATGAAATGAGCTTTATCGTCAGGGCCTTAAAGCAACGGATGACAAAGAACAACATGCTAATGATGCAAGTAAGTTTTATTGTTAAGTTAGTAAGGTGTCCCTTTTAAGCCTAATCAACCGATGTGATCAACTCTAACATGGTAGTACTTTCTTTATACTAAAGACTTTAAGATCTACAGAAATCCATGGATAGTGAGATTATGCTTGTTTAATTAACGCTTTTAATTACTACTTCCGTCCCAAAAAAAATAGTGCACATTGAGTTTTCAAATTTGTGCTAACAATAATATAAAATTAAAAACTCAATGTGGATTTTTTTTGGGACGGAGGGAGTAGTTAATTTCCTCTAAAGCGTTAGACTGATTAGGATGTTTTCAAACCCTACTTTTTGTTTTTTTGTATTTAATTAATTCACCAGGTTATAGGGGGAAATGATGAGTGAGTTTCAAGACGGCTGATGCGGACTCTTGTCTTGTTCAATTTGCAATTATTTTGACCCCAAAAAACAAGTTTTCATTTTCAATGATTTCATGGAACAGCTCAGATGAGTGATGACCAATTTCACTTCACACCAAAGTTTAACTTTGTTTATACTTTATACAATGCGACTACTTCTATCACTTCCCGTATTTAAGAAAACTTGTTAGACGAAAAGTGCCCTTTAGAAAATCAATATTTAGTCACCTAATCATAGATATTTTGTTCCAACACCCATACATCCGGGTGTATATATACAATTTCTTGGTTCCTACATTAATACTTACTCCCTCCTAAAATTATTATCTGATTTAAAATTTAATTTTAATACAAAATGTAATAAAAATGAAAATTCAAACTAAACATCGTTTTGAAACGAAAAGACTACATATTAGTGGGTGCATAATAGGACAATCTGGTTCCGCTAAGAAGTGAGCCCGGTCTGAAATTTTTAAGAGATGATTACTTTGCAAGTTCCTATATAATTCCTCTACTTTTGATCATTGACCAACACGCTGCAGCAGCAAAGCACTCCAAAGAACACAGTTGGCCGACAATTTGCACCCCAAACACATAAATTCGTTCCCTCCCTTAATCACATTACTTTGCTTTGTGCCAATCGAGTTCCAGGTAATATATATGCATGAAGTGTATATACATATGTTTCAGTGTTTCACAATTATTTTGGGACGAAACAACTAATGAAATAATAATTATACATGAGCCATATTTTATACGTGTCCTATTTCAGCGCGGCAATCTGAATGCGTACGATGCAGCGACGGTAGCTGAAATATTAAAATAATTAATGGCAACCCATAAGCTGAATTGAAAGGGTTACTGGGGGTTCGTGTGTCTGGATCCCATTTAGAGAGAGCACGAATTTATGCACAAAATGTTCAATTTGATTATTTGCAACTTGAAAAGGGATTTGTTGAATTTTGTATCTTCGGTCTAGATTCTCTTATGGCACTAGTACAAATTGCACAATCTACGGCCATGGTAACTTGAATAATTCTTTTGGTAGATGGTAGATGCTATATATATAATATAATATATATGCTGCTGGCCATTTTTATTTTTTTTAAAAAAAAATCAATTGGCTTTTGCTTTTGGAGCCTTTAATTTTTACTTTCACCGGGAACCGAAATACTTCCGTCCATTCGAAATATTCAAAACACGTAAACATCTAGTACTACTACTTCATAATCACCTCACCCTACTACCTTTTCTTGATTACTTTTCTATTTTTAAAATAGCGTAGACTTTGTCTACTGTTTTGGCTTTTAACTTTTCGAGTTTAAATCCGTTATATATAAACAAAGCCCTAGTCAGTTGATTTCTCTTTGTCCACATTACAAATAGATTACAACAATACAGAATGTAGAAAAAGTGAAAAACACATTTAAGGTTAATTTGGGGGGTTTTTCTTGACCACCATAATAGTAGGGTGTAATTTTCTTTACATATTTGACCGGTCTGAGATTAATGCCTAAATTGGTTTTTCACTTTTGATTAAATTCAAACTCTTATGGTATCTTCAAAAAGTTTCATTTGTTTCCCACACACTTTAGTTATCTCGGCTTTAATTAAGTCCAATTATATATCTATCTTATATGACATAACATTCAGTTACTCGTAGTTGATGCGATGAACTTTTCGATGTAAACTGTTTAATGATAAAAGTTTTACGATTTTTTTATTTTGATAAATTTGACTGACTGGGCTAAAATTGAAATGCTAACTGAGATTTAGCCATTTCAGGTACAGCTTTTAATATACTCAAAAACTGAGAGATGAAACTGAATCTAACCTCAAAGCTGAGGGGCCAACTCAGTGATTTACACTAAAATAAAATAAAAGCTTCCATTCATTTCCTTCTCATTCCACATCTTCTTCCAGGCTTCTTGTGCAGGAACATGCAAATCAACACCACATCCTCCTCTTTCTAAAATCTAAAACCTCACACAAACAGACATAAATACACATCTCCAATGCTACAGAGCCTACAAAACAACCAACATCGATCGTTTATTCCTTTAATTCCCCTCCTTGAACCCATCGTTATATTCTTTACGTTGGACCTAAATAAAACCATCACCACCTTCCCACCTTTGAATGATTAGGAAAAATTAAACAACCCTTTAATTTCTTCTTTTTGCTTCACGTTTTCTCCATTTCTTTTCGCACCTGCAGAAATGAAGCTCCCATCATGGATATCATCATCGTGTTCCTCCGAAACAGCAACTTCCATAGCAAAACACTCCATGATTAATAGTATTCCGGCTCAAAAATCTGTTCTGTTTTCAGATTCAAGCAGTTTTTCCGACATTAATCAAGGCAACGGATCATCATCATCATCATCATGTTCTTCAACCTCACAAGACTCAAGCGATAGTAATAGCAGCCTGCAGAGCAGTCTATCCATCGCCACTCACCCATCCATCCCATCCCTCCAAAAGCTCTCCCCTGAATCCTTCAACCTCTCCGTCAAAACCCTCTCCATTACATCCCTCAAAAGCCCCGAAAACGCCGCCATCGTCAACTCCCTCCAAGTCCACGACAACCTCCTCTTCGCCGTGTCCGGCAGCCAAGTCAGTGTCTTCGATGTTAACAACAATCTCCAACTCCTCCACACTTTCAACAACCCTCATAACAAGAAGGAACCTTCTCCTTCTTCTTCTTCTCCACGTGGGTCCATTAAATCTCTAGCCTTTATTGATGGGAAAATCTTCACCGCCCATCAAGACTGTAAAATCCGTGCTTGGGAATTAAAACCAAAGCAACAACAGTACTACAAGCAGATTGCCACACTCCCGACAATGGAGGATTTCTTCAGGAATTTCATATTACCAAAGAATTACATCAAAGTCCGGCGTCACAAGAAGAAATTGTGGGTCCAACATTTCGATGCGGTCTCAAGCTTAGCCGTGGATAATAATAATTTGTTGTACTCTGTTTCTTGGGACAAATATTTGAAGATTTGGAGTGGGAAAGATTTCCGTTGCCTGGAATCAATCAAAGCCCACGACGACGCCATTAACGCCATCGTTGTATCTCACGACGGTTTAGTTTATACGGGGTCTGCGGATAAGAAGATTAAAGTTTGGGGGAAGCCGTTAGGGGAGAAGAAGAACGTTTTGATTGCGACTCTGGAGAAGCACAAATCGGCGGTGAATGCGTTGGCGTTGAGTTCGGACGGGTCGGTTTTGTTCTCCGGGTCGAATGACCGATCCATATTGGTTTGGGAAAAGGAGGACAGTGCGAATCATATGGTGGTCTCGGGTGCATTGAGGGGTCACGGTAAGGCCATCCTGTGCTTGATCCATGTGTCGGATTTGTTGTTCAGTGGATCCGCTGATCGTACGGTTAGGATTTGGCATCGGGCTTTTGACGGACGTTATTGTTGTTTGACGGTGTTGGAGGGGCATGCTAAGCCGGTGAGATCCTTGGCGGCGGCTGAGGGCGAGGTTGGTGGTGGGATGACGGTGTTTAGTGGGAGTTTTGACGGGGAGATTAAGGTTTGGAAGGTTGTGGTTTCGTCCGATTTGAAAACAAGCGAAGAATCTGAGGACTACTGAAGCGATGAAATCCAGGGCCGGAGATTAAGAAAAAAAAAAGAAGACAAAAAGAATAAAATAGTTAGCTTTCGTGTATTAGAGACAGACAATATTGTTCTATTTTGCATGTATAGACTTTTGGTACACGAAAACTTGACCTTGTTTTTTTTCTGTGGTTGAGTGTTTCTTTTAATTCAAATTTATATATCATTAAACTGATTTTTATGTACATATTCGTTTTTCTTCTCAAACTTAGATTTTGTGTGTTATATATATATATATCTCTTATATGAATTTAAAGGAGAGAAGAATGTGATCAAAATTTTTGCCTTTATTTTATGGATCATTCGCAGTGCAAACTGTGCAATGTCTCACAATATGCATGTGCAGCTCGATTAATTACTTAGTGAAATTTTAGTAAATAGATAATAAAACTAAAATATTGAATTTCTTAATTTATAAATTTAATGGCTGTAAGCTTTGGGCATGATGTTAACTTTGAAGTTTCCATTTTTGCTTAAAAATAAACAATATATACAGTCTTCCGCTTATCACAAATTTCAACAAACCATTATTTCCAAGCACACAGTTATTGTGCATGTAAAATTTAATTTTTGTGTTGATAGAGACTGTATCGACTGACCGTCTTTGAGATAAAGATGTGTTGGTAAGAAATGCAAGGAGCAGGCGCCTGATTTTACATCCCGGCCGCTTTAACTTAATAGGGATGGAGGCGGTGGGAAAAATGCTCCAAAAACCAATTAATTCACTCAACTGAGAGACGGACGGAGAACACTTTGAAGGGGACGGTAAAACCAAGTATTTCTAAGATCCAGCTGCAAATGTGTCCATGCATCCTCGATTCCAAAATAGTTTAATATAGATATTCTAAATACAATCCTTTCATTTCGATAATAATTTTCCAGCTTCGTTGGAATTGAAAAGCTGTAACCGTGTCACACATGCGTTTCGTCTCTTTTTCATGAATGAAAAACTGAAACCCGTTGTCTTGTCCACCATAGTTTATGCGTAAAGCACCTCATTTAAAACTTGTTTGGAGATATTTGTCTATCGGAAGAGACTGACTCGATTAAAGTTGGAATACTTGAAACGGTGAATTCAGACTATATATATATATAAAGAAAAAACTTATAAGAAATTGCAAGTTTTATCGTAACATTTGAGGTAAAAAGCATATAGAACGGGTGGACTATTCATTTGGAAAGGTGCAAGTTCTCAACTGTCCTCCTCCTGTTCGGTTGCATGAGACACGTTGAAGCGATAAAACTGCTTAGTATCAGTGGCAGTAGAAAACGACAACAACTTTGTATAGTAAAATTTAGAATAAATAACCAATTATAATGAGCCTCTGACTAACAATTAACCGAGTAAACTAAGAAATTTTAATTATTAGTGATTAAGTCAACATCTCGAACCAATCCACAATCGATGCTTATTACTATGTGATCCATTCCATTCACTTTCTGTCTACACTGGCTTTGTTTACTTTATTAGTACTCCCTCCCTCCGTTTCAAAATAAGTCTCGTTTTGGCAAAATGGAGAAATTTCAAAATAAGTGTTGTTTTCTGATTCTAATGCATTTTTTGTCAAAAATTTCTAAACATACCCTCAAAAGAAATAATATTATTGGTGAACATTTATTTTAATGGGGTTGGTTGAGGATATTTTAATAATTTAATTAATTTATCTAATGTTTTCTTAAACTATGTACAAACTCTAAAATTACACTTATTTTGGAATGGAGTAAGTAATTAACTCTACAAAGTACATTAATAACGACCGTTTGTTTCAATGCATATGAACACGATGACGAACATGAGGCTTTATTTATTATTCCCATTTAACTTTAGCACTTTAATAGTATTACACTTTTAATATGTACTTTTACGTTAAAATAACCAAATCTCTAATTAATTAAGCTAAACCATACATAAATAACGAACAACGTAATATCATATTCCAAGCACTGAACTACAATTTTAACCATTAGATCACGTCTCAGCTGCAATGCGTTAGATTTATTAGCAGTTTGATATTACGTGCATTCCATTTGAACTGTACGTAATTGCTTTGTATGCAATTAATCCATCCTAGAATTTAATTATCAATAGATAATAGTTTACTCTCTACCGCGCCACCGCCCATTAATTAAGGTCAAGTGCTGTCGGAGTGGAAATACAAACAGTAATCAAATTGCTGGAATATTTAGTGAGCGACAGAAATGAAGTACAAACTATAGATTTCCCATGTATAGAAAAGAAAATTCGCCCATACCTTTTGATTTTTCACCATCATTTTTTTGCTTTAATTTGGGGACCTAAGCTAAAGTAAACTATAAGGAAAAATAAAATAAGCATCACAACTCATAATTCCTTGTGTCAAAAGACAGACAAGTTGCACTACTTCAAATATTTTTTCCGTAAAAAGGACAAAAAGAAAAAGACATTGTTCTTCAATTTTATCCATAAGATCTTCCCACCCCCTAGAAGGTTTCAATATTCAAAAACAAAAAATGAACCAGAGCTCCCACGCACTACCCATAAATTCCAAGAGATGGCCCTTGCGGAGGGGATAAATGCCCCCAAAATATATGCCCATACTCCCTCATTTTCCGTAGCGGGGAACCTACACAAACATAAAAGATATCCCCAATAACATAAAAAATAATTTACTTAATTATAATAATAAAAAAAAAAACACGCACACACACAGTGTAGTGTCTGTAGTCAATCGGCTGTTTTAACTTGCAAGTTGTAAAGTGCCTTACAGATATGACAAATGGACAAAAGAGGAGATTGATAGTCTAGACTATGGAGACTCTACATGCTCTGGTCCCAAACTCCCAACCCTTCTAAGATGAACTACTGGAAAGCAGAAGCTTTGCTTGGTGTGGCATATTTGTGTCGTCAAAAAAAGATCAATTATATTTGAGACTTCCCAATACTTGAATCGTGCATATATAATATATATATATATATATATATATTTTTTTTCTTCATTTTCACGTTTTCACTAATTCATTTCCTTTTTTTTTTTTTTATCAATAATAAGTACAAAAAACAAACGAAGTTAATGAAGTTTGTGGTTGATATTACTCAGCAGCCATGATACTTTAGTTAACGTACTTCATCGCAATTGCATCGCCAATTTACATTACCTTTTCCATGATAATGTACACCGCAAAATTTGTAGCGGATCATATAATATCTACTGAAGTTTTGGATTGTGGTATACTATTTGATGCATTGGGTTGAACACGGACTATAAGAATTGACCACACAGAAGCATTTGTAGAATTCAAATCTATACACAAATCACAGGGGTGTATATATTGCAGGTTGAACAATGAAGGATGCAAGATTAACTAGTTCAACAAATCGAAATATTTTTGCCAAAGAGAACATTGATAACATTGTTTTTGTTAACTAGTCCAGAGATTTTAAACGTATTTCTGATCAACCATGGCGCTGGAACTAAGCATCTTCATTTAGGAAGTGAATGAAATTCTATTCGAAAGTACTACCTTAACCTAACTCCCAAACAAGAAAGAAAGTAACCAAAACAAAGTGGCAATTAATCATGACTATACAAAAAAAAAGCAGCTTCATTTCATTCGCAAAAATACTAACAAATCAAACAATAGTGGATGGGATATGGATGAGTAGTATTTCGATCTAGAGGCCCTCTTCTGACATGCATAAAGAAAAAGTTTGACGACACAAAAGGAATGAAGAGAAAAAATGGTCATTCCGATTGGAGATATATATGAATGCAAGTTGACAAGTTGCAGAATGTTGGGAGATGCAGAGCCAGAGAGATAGTGTAGCTTCTGTCATGTAGTTAGTTCTTCCAAAGTGCTCTCTCATTGCATGGCCAACTTTTGTTTCTGACTACCTTTTCTTTTTCCCTTCTTCGTCTTATTATTATTTCACTGTCACATACTACTTCCCAATTCATCTCCCTCGTCGTTAAATTCAAATAGAATTTAATTAAAATAGAAAGAAAAAAAATCTATTTTGCTTTCCAGCCTGGTTGCTGCGAAGGATTGATACCGGTATAAAAATTTTTTCAATATGTGACGATTATCGTTTCGGGACTCTAGCTACTCAAACCGTTGAAATCCAGGCATAAAGTCGTATCCAAATTATGCAGTGTGTGAGCCTGTGAGGCAAAACGTCAAAGTGTCAGTTGTACATGGTGCAAAATGACAGAGGTAGTTGTTTGCACTTTGTGTGGAAGAAGAAAAAGGAGTAACAAGTTGCCCCCATGCAGGATCGAACTACAGACCTTCAGTTTACAAGACTGACGCTCTACCACTGAGCTATAGGGGCCTCTTTGTTCAAATGTTTTTGTCAAAATTAAAAAAACACGTGCGAAGTCCCGCAATTTGAAGCTAATTTAGCATGCCCCCATAAAGAGAAAAGAAAATTCCAGCAGTAGAGACTAGAGTTTCAATTGCGTATAGATTTGAATTATTGAGTAACTAAAATCATGGATGTTTAAAAGGATGAAATAATATGCTAAGTATAACCGATTGAATATTATTTATAAACTGTGAATTAGGACTCGGTATCTAATCAAAAGAAATCAACGACTTACATAAAGAGGACAAAATGTTGGTTAGATGGATATACAACAGCACGACCAAGGGAATACTTTACCGTAGGGAACTTTTCTTTTTTCACTTAAGATTCCTTATTAAGATCACATTTTTCAATAATGAATGTGGAAAAATTTAATCAAGTCATAATTTTTATTTTAGTTTATTATTAGTTTCGTGTGTGTTAAAAGTCTCTCTTTTGGTGGTAAGTTTTACATAATGATGATACTTACTTTTGAAACTAATTCGGATAGCCTTGATCTTGAAATATGTAGTAAGTGTTTGTAATATCCCCGATATAAGCGGTTAGTGTGTTTATCTCGTATAATTGTTTTTTTTTTATTTTTATTTTTTTAATATGAGCTCCACAAATTCCAAGCACTTTCGTTGGAGAGATTAAAGTCGTAATAATCGGAGCAAATCACATGGGAAGCCAGGGAATAGAAGTAGTTGACGGCGATGATGACGACGACCAAGTGTGCTTCTTGTATGCCGAACCAATTTTGCACAATAAAGGCGGTAATCCAAGTAATCCCATCTCAATTGAAAGGTAATTTAGCACAGAAAGAAGGCTTAAAAGGGGGTAATCGATCCTGATGATGATGAAGTTCAAGTTGTTGCGCCAGTCCCAAGAACAAGAAGAAAGACATTCCAAGGCGAGTCTTCGAATTCTAAGCC